TAGAATGTAGAATCTCCTGAATGTATACACAGAATATATATATACACCCCAAATTTAGCAAAAGGTATATTACCCCATCGATGATATTACAAGAAAAGAAAGAGGGAGAAAACAAAGGAGTATTAAAAAAGTGTACAAAATATGATAAAAGCAAACAGAAGGTGGATATCTTTTGCATTTGGCATCAAATATATATAAAAAACCAGAACCGCAAAGTGGAAACCTAAGAGAGAAGAACTGTCTTCAATATTCATTCATGAAGGCAAATAATCATCATGCCCTTTCGACGAGGGCACAAAAGAAGAGTAGAGAAGAGAATAGAAGGGAAGGGAAAAAACTTAGAAAGTTGTCCAGGCCTTTCAATAAGAGAAGAACAGAAAAAAAAAGGTGCCCGCGCCACCCATCGAGGGGATTAATTCAAAAGAATCCCTAAAATTAAGGAAGTCGGGGAAAAGGCCAGGCCACAGAAGAAAGTCTAATAGCACTTTAAACAGGGGATTGTATTATCAGAAGAGAAAGAGAAAAACAGCTACTCATCCTTCTTCCCCCCGAAAAACCCTCCCAGAAACTTCCGCGGCGACAGTGCGTTCTCCTTTTTCGACGTCGCCGGACTCTTCCCCCTCTCCATCCGAGCATTCAGCTCATCAATACTCGAAATAATAGTAACCATCTTATTTTGCGAAGTAGTGTCACCAGGCCGCTTCATGGAACTCCTATTTGAACTCGTCCGCTCACTCACGCTCCTCTCTTTTAAACGTTCTCTATCTCCGCGATCTCTAACTCTAGAATCGGACCTAGACGCGCCCACATCACGGTTTCGACTTCGATCTCGATGCTGCCCCGAGGACGACGGCGACAGCTCGTCGGGCGTATCCCTGTTGCTTCGCCTTTCGCGGCTTTTATGTCGATCGCGGCTCTTAGCTCTATGCTCCCCTCGACGCTCACGTTCAACGCGCACGATCAACGAACGTACATCTTCGTCATCCGGCGGTGCTAATAGCCCATTCCCGCCTAAATCATCGCCCATATCCCTCGATGAACTCTTTGTCCCACTTCCACTAGCCTTCGGTTTCGGAATCATCGACATTCGCTTAGTAGTCCTATCGTCTGGATCATCATCATGTCTGTCGAGTCGAGAAATCGTTCGTTCTCGTTCCAACTCTTTCTTCAGGGCTTCTCTTTCACTCCTTGCTTCTTCAAGTCGTGCTTTTGCCCCTGTTCGGTCGAGTAGTCGAGCCTCCCGTTCGGCTTTAAGTCGCTTCTCTAACTCTCGGAGTCGTAGTATCCACCGTCTCTCGTTCTCGTCTGTAACGTCGTCGAGCGAAGCTATTGTATTGCTCAGGGCAAGACTAGTGTCCCCGGGTGGATCCGGCGAGCCCCGGTGTACCACAGAGTTGTCCGCCGCAGATAAACTATCCCGCGAGGCAACAGTGCTAATACCACTTCGTACCGGTAGCTTGGATGGCTGTAATCGGACCACGTTAAGTTCCGCCTATGGAAAAAAAAAATATTACGTAGAGTAGTTAGCATATAAAAAAACGCTATCTTCAGCCGCTAAAAATATTCGCAAAATAAAGGTTCATCCAACCAGAACCCTTGAATCAGGCAGAATTGCATACCTTCAGCAGCCGGTTTTCAGTTTTCAGCTTGGTGATTTCATTCCGCATTGATGATTGTTCGCCGACTCCATCTCGAACCATAGCTTCCAGCCGTTCTAGTCTGCGAGTCCGAGTTTCTAGCGTATTTTCTACAACACTGCACGTTTCATGTTGGTCAGCGTTCACCCTTGTCAAGGCCCATCATCAATAGCCCGAAAGGGAATCATGTCCCAAAACCACAGCCGAAGACGCAAAATTGACGAATCATTAGCCCAAAGCTAGCGTGCAGGAAAACTTACGCATATTCCTTCCATAGATCCCGTTCAATATTGCGTATTCTAGTTTTGAATCCCGTTAATACGGTCTCCAAATTCTTCGCAGCCGCAAGAATCGACTTTGAGAATCCGGAAATATGAGTGTTGACACTAGCATCAGCAGATAAAACAGCACCTCCCTTGCCCACCAACTTATTTCTGTCAGCCCACTCGGCTCCACAGATAGCGGAAAGGCGTATCCATAACTGGACAAGAAGTGAGTTCCTTTCGGCGAGCTGTTCCTTGTACTGCAATTCAAGCTGCGACAGGGCACGCGAGTCCTTGGTGCGAGATTTCTCCAGGTCTGCAAGCTGCGTCCGGTGCTGGTCGACGAGCCGTCGGGACTTCTCATGGTTGGCTTGGAGGTCGTCGGCGACAGCCTTATCGGATTTACGACCTTGCCGTTCTTTCTCAAGGAGATCCATGAGTCTACGGACTTCAAGGGCCTATAGAATGACGTCGCGTAAATATCTACGGCCCTAAAACTTGTGATGTGAATAGGACGTACCGTATTCTCCATGAGAGCTTCGCGATCCTTGAGAGTTCGGTCTTTGTCTGCAAGATCGGCTTTAATCCGCCCAATTTCTTCCATCCGCTTCTCAAGTTCTTGGTGTAGAGCAACAACGGCCTTAAGGACGTCAACTTTGTTAGCAGCGAGATCACCAACTGCTTCTCGAATAGAGTCTTCTAGTTGACTAAGCTTCTCTTTCCAATCCCTAACTTCAGCTTCGCGACGAGCCAGGCTCTTCTTAAGCTGCCTGGCGGCTTCCTTCATGTTAAGGATCTCTTGATTCTTATCGCTGACCAACTTCTCCATCTCAGCTTTATTCAAGTTCCTCGTTTCGTCCATCAGCTTTCTTTCCTCTAAAAGTCGATCACTCAGGCTTCTCGAACGCTCTTTCTCATCCTTCAAAGTCTCCTCTAGCGACTTCATGGCACTCTCCAGCTGCCCAATCTTAATTTTATCGCTGTCCTGTTCTTCCCTTAGGAACGCAATTTCGCCTTGAGCACTCTCTTGTTGCACACTTAACCTCTCGTTTTTCGTTGTCAAATCATGAATTTGTTTCTCCAGCGAAGTCATCTCTACCTCATTATCATTGATAATCCTCTGGCTCTTTGTTAACTCCGATTCAAGCTCTACAATCCTAGTTTGTCCGGCAGCCTGCGCATCCTCCATCCGCACAACGACAGTACTCAAATTCCGCATCTCCTCCTGGAGCGCTCCAAAGTTTTCGTCCTTGTTACGGAGGTCTTCCTCAAGCTTCTCCATTTCGTTGGCGCGGATATCAATCTCCTCTTCTAAGCGCTGAATCTCTTCTTCGGCTTCTTCTTTGAGATTATCAAAGTCCTGTTCGAGTTCTTCGCGGAGGCGGGCCTGTTCGTTCCGTTCGGCTAGGACAACCTGCAAGTCGGCATTGAGAACCTCCAACTCGTCTTCATACTCCGCAGCGAGGTCACCAAACTCCTGCCGCTGGATAATAACCTTGTCGAACTCGCGGAGCTTGGTTTCCAACTCGACCTCTAAATCCTGAATCTTAAGCTTGTGCTCAGAGATCTTATCGCGTAGTGCACCATTGGCATTCTCGTAGTCTTCACGTTCGGCATCCCCCATCTGGTTCTGCTGCGGGTTGCTACTGACACGGCTCATCGCACGGTCGTAATTTTCGACTTGAACAATTTGAGTGTTCTCTCGCGGTAGGCCGAGTTTGAGCTCCTCGATCTCTTGGTAGAGTCGTTCCTTCTCTCTGTTGCGAGACGTAAGCATCGATAATTGAGCACTGACTTCTCGCCGTAAATCCTCATTCTCCATACGTAGCTGCGAGACCAGTGTGTTTTCCGAAGTTATGGACGTGGCACCGCGTGATCGTGGAGCCGGGTCACTAGCACCGGTTTGAGCTGCAGCCTTGAGGTCCCATATCTCACGTCGTAGATTGGAATTGTCTTCCTCGGCCTGTTTTCGGCGAGCGCTTTCACTTTCAAGGAAATCTCGGAGTGTATCCTAGCTAAATCAGCCCAAGACCATTATACTGAAAGAAAATTATACATACTACTTCCTCTCCTCCACCGGCCATTCCGCGAACGATGGTGCTCAGTCGCTCACACTGGCTTTCCTTGTCCTTCATCTTGTTCCGTAGCTCCTCTACTTCTACTTCAACCCTCTCCGTCTGCTCTTTCCAGTATATAACCTCAGTTTCCAAATTCGTGATATCAGCCTTCTCGTCTGCATCGTCACTACCGTTACGAGTGCTGCTCGCATCCCCCGACTTCTCTAGCTGTTTGATACGCTTTTTCAAAGTCTTTACGTGGCTCTTTAATTGTGTATTCTCGACAGCTAGTATCCCATTTTCATTCTGCAGAGTCTTGACACTTTCCTCCGAAGTTTTATCAAGGCGATTATTGAGATGAAATACTTTTATTCTTAGATCCCAGTTCTCCTTTTGCAACTTGTCGATTGTGCCACTCTGCTCTTTGAGGGTCATGCCACGGCCACCACCGGGCTTTTTAGAAGGCGAAAACGAATCGTTCGAGGCTTCACGTTTACGGAAATCGCGTGCGATGGTATCGGGGACTTTGATGTTGCGGATTTGAGCTTTCAGCTGAGTTTCTGGGGGTATCGGTTCGGAGTTTGGACGGGCACGAGGGGTTTCCGGGGCGGAATCGTGAGCAGAGTCGTCTTCACCAGAGTCGGAACGGCCTTCTTCATCCAAGTCTTCAAGGACCTTTTCCACGGCGGCATTCATGTTGACAGAGCTGGCGACGCTAGTGGTCGAAGGATTGCGGCGCATGGAGCGTTCGCTAGAGAGACGTGTGGACCTACTGCTGCGAGTTTCGTCAAATCCGAAGTCGAAGTCAGGCTCTCTGTCTCTCTCCCTCTCACGCTCTCTTTCCCGTTCCCGTTCACGATCCCCTCGCTTTGGTGGTTTGATGTCGTGATCTTCCACGTCCGAGAGTCGTTCGCTACCGATGGAGCTGATACTACTACGGCTCCGCTGGGTCCTAAGGCGGGGCCTTCTGGCGGGTTCTCGATTTTCGGATGAGATTTCGTTCCTTAAGCCGGATTTCCTCGCCGGTTTGGGAGTGTACTGGCTGCTAATCGCTCTGGCTTTTGCCATCGTACTAGGGCTGGAGAAGGACTCGAGAGTGTCGGACGCAGGGACGGATCTGTTTGAGAAGGAATCATCGTTGTTGTTTCTGGGAAGTTCAGGTGTGTCCGAAGAAGCTACCGAGAGGGCCTTTTTTGTTGATTTTGTGGAAGATGCGATGGATGATCTACTTTGCTTCGGTTTCGAGGAGGGTTTACTATAGTCATCATCTTTGGATTTATATGATGATGATGAAGGTCGAGCAGGGGCAGGGGCAGGGGCAGGGGCAGCAGCTGGTGGAGGCATATCTGAGACCTTACTACTGCTGCGCTGCCGCCGTTGACTCTGCTGTTGGCTCTGCTGTTGGCTCTGCTGTTGGCTCTGCTGTTGGCTCTGCTGTTGGCTCTTCTGTCTCTGACTGGAAGTGGAACTAGCTGAGGGAGGTCGGTTCGTTGTCGTAGTCGTGGTATTAAGCCTCGGTTTGGGCTTTGGATCAGTGGGGCGGATACCGCCCACTATGGACAAATCGGCGTCATCCCCGTCGCCGTTGTTAGGCTGGAGAAATGGATCAGGAGTGCTACCCCTGAAGGAGCTTTCGACCTGGGCAAGTTCCTTCTGCTGGTCGATGGGGAGGGAGAGGTTGGAGTGGTTTCCAGGAATTTCATCATCGGAGAAAGGATCGTCGTCGTTGAGGTCGTCATTGGAGGAGAGGGCGCTCAATTGGTCGTCGCCGTCGGAGCCTTCGATTGTGATTGTTGGCTTGGAGACCTTCGAAGGGTATGAAGATGAAGAGGAGGGACGTTGGGATGATTGGGTCTGTTGAAGGCGAGACTGAGATTGAGATTGGGGTTGAGGTTGAGGTTGCGACGGATGGGATTTACGGAGAGGAGGAGAGGACGGGTAGACGGGAGACAGGACGGGGGATATGGGCGACAGGTCCCCGTCGTCGTCGCTAATTGTGCTCGCCATTTCCTTGGGTCAGGTCGTCATCAAGGATGATTGTTGATATAAGCGTGTATCGAGTCGAGGCCGAGTAATCAAGTGAGCAAGTGGTGATGCGATGATGATGATAATATTATTATAGACGGTGTTGATGTTGTTGGCGAGGAGGTCGGTCACAGGTCAGTCCTGTCGTCAGGCCAGGTCAAATTCAGGTCAAATCAGGTCAGGGAGTAATAAGTGGGTGTATAGCTCCGTCTCTGTCTGGTCTCTGCCCCGTTTGTTTTGTGGCTGGTTGCCGTGCACACCTGGACCTCAGACCTCAAAACCTCAAAACCCCCAGAGACCACCAGAGACCCACTGCACCACTCAGACAGCGCCAAATCGATCCTAGCAACACTCCCCAGACAGGCTGATTACCTAAGGAGGATTTATATCGATAGACAGACAAGAATTAAAATGATGGAAGAATGAAAGAATATTATTTTATTATACCTAAAATAAGCGAAAGTTCCTCATATGAGATATGCATGGTTTATATATACTTAAGTACTTAGTTAGTAGCTAGAGTAGGAGCATGCATGTTATCGTATCGTATTGTATCGTATAGTATATTAGAGTAGGGCCACCTGGCGCCCTCTGTCGGTCCCCTTTCAGACTAAGTCAGAGGTAAGAACCAAAACCCGCTTACAATGTGCGTATCCAGCCTTTCAATTGCGCATATTGCTAACTAATGTATGATATGATATAGTTGAACTGTGCCATGCCATGTTATGCGCTATGATATGGCTCATGCCATGCTCTGCACGGTTCTATCCGCTGTAATTCGTTCAAACCAGTTTAACGTCGTTAGTTAGTACAGTATATATCGTATAGCTAGATTTATATAGTTAGCTACCTACTTAGCTAGCCAGGTACTTCTGTTGCTTCTTAGATCGATAGTCGGATTAGTTAGTGTGGTCTGTCGCATTTAATTAATATACTATGCTACTACCCTCGATATGCAACTAGACTATATGTAATTAAGATCACAATGGATACTTCATAGCTGCTTGATATAATCAAAAGATTCAACATGTAAATATTTAACTGGGCATGGCGCAGTAGGCAGTACTTCCTTAGCATGTAATATATGGGTGGCGGTCGTAAGTACCTGCGAGTGTCGTTATAAGAAACGTACGCGCGGCCGTAACCATTCCGGCCAGAACATCAGATCTGAAACTTTTATAAGAGGCTGACGACGGTGGGATTCGTAATAACCTGGATTGCCTGATTTATATCTCCAGCTTCCTCAAATTTATATCCCTCTCTTCTTCTTCTTTTCTTTGCTTTACTCTTCACATTCATTCTTTTAACTATTCGCAGTCAGACTGTGCTGATACGTTGACTAGAGGCTCTTGATAATTATAGCTTTGCGTAAGTTAACGTTCATCTGCACGCCACCTCGCATACATCCACTTACATCCTGCACATACATATTTTACACGGTTAATTCTGCAGTGTATGCGCTTTTGTATGTTTTTTTTCCTCTTCTTGTTCGACAGTCAGATCTGGTTGACATGTTTTACACGTAGCTGGCTAGTCTGTGATGGTTATTTAATATATAAGCTGTCGTGCCCCGCGTCTTAACTCAATCCTCCTTCTCCCATTCTCCACACTCCATCGATCCCCCATCATACATACATTCATCAACATCTACTCCCCATACCTATACCTCCTTCTACCGCAATCTTCGTTCTGCTGACTTGAACCTCTCATCCGCCTCGTTTTTTTCCTTCTTATTTTTCTTTCTTTTCCGGTTCTGTCAAATCCTCGCATCGTTTTTTTTTTATCTTCTTTCATTATCTAACCGACTTGCCTCGTTCTGGGGCGAGCGAGTCCCATCAGTCTCGAAATCACTGCAACCACCACAACCATGTCATCTAGACCCTCATCGCCATCCCGGCCCCGGTCGCCACCTCGTCCCAGGAGTCCAACCACCAGTACCTTCCAGATCAGAGGCCTTCCTTCGTCGAATCCTTCCCATGAGGCTGGTTCCGTCACCATTTCTAGTTCAGAATACGATGAGCTAATTCAGCTGCATCCGGAGACCGTGTTGTGCTACATTGACGAAGATGATGAAGATGTCATCCGGGTATGTCCTATCACAATCCAATTATTCAACCTCATAAAAAAGGAAAAAGACAAGGGGGAAAACAGAAAGAAAGAAAGAAATGGCGTTAAAACGTGTACTAACATATGTCTTGTCAAATAGGTCGGTTCCGGAACTGAATTACGATCAAGATGGCTTGAGGTCATGTCATTTCCACCGCCGCCACCGCCAATCATCTTCAACGTCGAGGGTGGCCTACCCGGGCTCCGATATTGGCAGGACATTCATCAAAGATCTCTTCCAGAACCTCCAAAGCAACCTGAACGACAGCAGTCTCCTCCTCCTCCTCTTCTTGCTGCTCCAGCTCCAGCCGTTACTGTTGTAGAGTATCCTGTTCTCCGTTCCACATCTATTTCCGAAGAATCCGAAGAAGACCTTTACTCGGCCCCTCCAAAGACCACTACTCCGATAGTTCCACCAAAGGAGACCGTCGCAGAATCCTCAAAACCCGTTCTTAACATTAGCGTCCCAGAGCCTCCACCCCGTATTCCCTTAGAATTCGCCGAAGCTCCATTCATCGCTTCCTTCGAGGCCGAGGTCAATCGCATCTACGACGAGGTCGTTAGTCAAGCAGGTGGTTCCCCACGCTCTCTGTCACCCAAGCCGATCAGCCCGAGACCTATCCCATCTCTTGATTTGAACACTACCACTCCCACTCCAGCAGAGGCATCCACCACCACAACCACCTCCTCCTCCCAACCACCCGTAGAAGATTTCCCCAAAACTCCTGTAGTCGAACTCATCTCCGACGTCTTCACATCTGTCATCCAAGGAATCCAGAGGGTCGCCCAGGAAGCCACCACCCAAGCGGCTAGAGCATTCCCACAAACTCCCACCGCTGATGGACGGCCATCGCCTGCGGAAACTTTAGATGCCTTTAATATTGCCGTTCAGCAATTGCTCAAGAACTTTACCGATCAGCTTCACATTCTTGCCGCTGAAGCAGTTACGTCGGCAAGCAATCCCCAGGCCAATCCGCAGCATCCAGCTGCTGTTCTCAGAACCTTTGCTGAAACAGTAGGCCACGTTGCTGTTCAAAATGCCGGCCGTATCAGAGAAGAACTCAGGGACGTTGGATCTGACGCCGGCGCGGAGGCTAGGCGCGCAGCCGAAGAAATCAAAAAGGCCACGCAGATCGTGACACAGGAAGTCGGCAGGAGAGGATCAGCAATCGGCAAGGGAGCCATTGGAGCCACGCGAGAAGTCGGGAAAGTATTTAGTGACGGTGCAGGTATCGTGACACAAGAAGTCGGTAGGAGAGGATCAGCAATCGGCAAGGGAGCCATTGGAGCCACGCGGGAAGTCGGAAAAGTATTTAGCGACAGTGCAGGTATCGTGTCTGGCTTCGCTGGTGGGCTTGTTCGTAACTTGAGTCGTCCCCAAGCTCCTACCCCGCCGCCCCCTCCTCCTCCTCGTCCTACACAGTCCACTTCTCGCCCGGAGGATGCGCCTGAGGTCGTCGAGGACACTGGAAGCAGGGGCCCAGCGGATGCCAAAGTAACAACCCAACCAGAGTCTATTTCGGAGCAATCCGTTCCTGGATCGTTCCCTGTATCCCCACACTCCCTCCCTTTCCTCTCGAACCCTCCTGGATTCCAGATGCCAGCTCTTCCTCCTCCACCGCCTCACTCCGGAGGCGACATGCCTCCGCCACTTCCCCCTCACGGCTATATGTCCTCTCCACCGCCGCCTAATGTCCCGGGATTCCATCTACCTCCCCCTCCAGGACCTCCCGGACCATTTCCACCGCCTCCAATTCCTGGTAAGCACATGCCTCCTCCACCTCACCACGGTATCCCCCCAATGTTCCACCACGGTGGCTGTTTCCCTTCTCCACCCCCTCCACCCCATCATCATTACAGCCCTCCACCTCCTCCACCTCTCCCAATTCCATACCACCCCATTGATCTACACTTCCACCATCCCCACGCACATCCTCCCAGCCATAGCCCCAGCTGGCAACTACCTACGACCTGCTCAAGCGGGGCATGGTCTGGATTTGGCAGAAACAACGAGCAAAATTCGGCAAGGGGGGGAGAACGTGCTGCTCCGATTTCCGGGTTACAGGAAGCAATGGCGGGACTTGATATCCAGGCTGGACCTTGCTTTGTAGAGATTCAAAGCTCAGATGGTTCTTCATCCGACTCCGAGCGCGATTACAAGACCCGAAAGGGCGTGTTCCGCTCCCGAATCAATGGTAAAAGTGTCGACAGGTCCATGTACCGTCGTCGTCGTTCTCAGGAAAACGGGCACACCAGTGACGGCTCTGTTGGTGATAAACCATGGAGGAGGCCACGCCGAAGGTCCCCTCCAAAGGCGACTGCTTCTCCGTTCGAGAACCCATGGGTAAACACTCGACCGACAAATTATAGCGGCGCCTTTGCTGTTCCCAAGGACTTCAAACCGGTTGCGCCGCCAAAACCCTTCTACGGTTTCCCTCATGAGTTCCCGCCACCCCCGCCTCAGTTTTTCCCACCATTGCCATCCTTGCCCACCGGACCACCATCTCCGGCTCCGGAGGTTGGGAACTCGCTTCCACCTATCTCGACTGTAGTTCCGGGTTTCGGCACCGGTTTAAGATCTACTCCAGATGATCTTGATAGAAGGCATAGTAGCTACATTCCCCTGGGCACAACATCTGCTGTTGGAGAGAGTGAAAGCGAAGATGAGTTCCAGGATTCCAATGAAGCTCCAGAAGTTCCAGCCTCCGCCCACGAACGAGTAGTTCTTGTTGACCTTGCATCGAGTGTCTCATCGGCCGGAAGGTCCCCAATCCCAGAACCTCAAGAGACCGTACCCCAGTTCCACTATCCAGGGCTGAGGAGGTCTCGCACAACGACAGATTCATTTGGGAAGAACCAGCCATGGTTGTCACCCTGGCAGCAGCGGCGTGCTGCTGATCCAGCGGATAGAGAAAGGTCCGAGGCAATGAAGAGATTCCCATCTCTGTCTGAGCTTCAGAGGGAGTGGTCCTTGCCATCGACTTCCTCTACCCCGACCCCACAATCACAACCAAAGCCACAACCCCCCACCACTAGCCCGTTTGACGATCTCTCGACTTTGTCAGCTGCATTGCCCCCAATCAAGGCTAATGATAAATCTCCTAACCCGTTTGCCGGCCCATCTTCATCAGCTGCCCCAACTACCAGTCTTCCCGGTGCTTGGCCCTTCCCGTCCGCCCCAGCTGCCCCGTTGGTGGATACATCCGATGTCACACCAGTTCAACCGCGTCACAACTCTCGCAACCCCTTCCTTTCCCAAGTTGACACAAGCTTCACCCCACGTACCAATTATGATTTCCCTCCACTCCCAGGGAACCTTCACCGTGCCACATCCATGAGCAACGCGAGCACTCGCAGCCGACAGTCTTCAACATCGACCGTCAGATTCGCCGAGCCATTGTTGCCACGTCGCGCCCAAACTGTTCTCAAACCTTCCGGAAGAAATAGCAGGCTAACTAGCTTTACAACCATGCCCGGCGGTTTCCCAGAGGAAAACCCAGCACCCCCACCACGTCCCCCACAGCTGGTGGAACAAACCAGCCAAACTGCTATTGACGATGCTTTAGCCCGCGAGCGTGAACGCATGCGCCTGATTGACGAAGTCGAGGAGACCGTCCGACGCAGCAGCGAAGAGCTCGAAGAGCAGCAACGAATCAATGCGGCTAACAATCAGTTTGCGACAGGTTGGACCGTCGCAACAGATGACAACACCAGGGCCGTCCCTTTCAATGAGGATCCTGTTGAGAAATGTGTTCAGTCATTGATCGAGTTAGGGTACACAGAATTGGGTACCGATAGGCTTAGAGTCTTTTCTGAGCTCAGCGGCGGAGTAGTTGAAACCGCTGTCGAGATGGTTGAAGAAGAAAGAGGAATATGGCAATCATTTACTGCTTCGTAAGAAATAGTGACGGCCGTGACAACGAAAAGGATAGTAGCGGAGAGGGAGAAGGACGCCACTGCAAGACATACTTGTCAATCTATGAACTGTCTTATCAACCCTAGTCCTGGAAGCAACCCTAGAAATAGAAGCTTGCAGTCAGCGTGGGTTTGTTGAAGGTAGCCTCCACTACCTGTTGTCTAAATATTTGGGACTCGATTTTGATTTTCGTTTTGGATACATGTAATTCTGGGCAACACTACTGTTGACTATCACTTCTTTCCGTGTTCTATTAAGTACTTCTCTATCATGGTGTTTCTGCGATGAATTGGTCTCTCTCTCACACTCTCTTGGGTTCTTGACGTTAGTTGTCCACCTGTGTTTTATTTCATTTTAGCGTTTCGAAGGGGAGTTAACTCACTGTGGGAGCATGAAGATGACATTCTTTATAGCCAAAATTTGACAAAAACGGAAGGGAAAGGAGTGAAGGGCTTTATATCATCAAGCATGTCGGGCTTTCTTATATTCATTTTTATTTTATTATTTCTAGGTATTTATCGATATCTCCAGAGTTCTAAAAGAATACAAATGTGTTTTTCGTACCTTAAAATCCAACAAATGGCTAGAACCCGAAACGGGAGCAGTGCCAAGACAATTTACACGAGGATTGAAGACCCTTGCGAACCTGTGGATTTCGATATTTCACGTCATTACAACCATTCTAATCACGATATCACCCCCCCCTTCCATCGGGATAACTACTACCAGCTACGACCAGCACTACCACCGCCATTAAATATTCCAACACATTCCTACCGTACGCCTCTACGCTTCATATACCTACACAGCAATACCACACGCGACACGGAATTTCGAATAATACCATCGCATTTACAATAAACACATCACAGATGGGTCGCTGGGACTCCACATCGCCTACACGAGCGCGCTCGCGGTCTCCACGCGATAACAGCGGGAGGGAAGGTGGCAGTAACACACGGGACGATAGGCGAGATAGGGATAGGGATGGGAGGAGGAAAGGCAGTAGATGGGAGGATGAGGATAAGGATAGGGATAGGAATTATCGTGACCGGGAGGATAAGGAGAGGAGGAGGGTAGTTGGTCAGGGTAGGGAGAAGGACGGTGATAAGGATAGGGAGAGGCGGAGACGGGATGATGGTGGTAGTTCAAGAAGGGACCGGGACCGGGATAGAGAAAGAGACAGAGACCGCGGGGGTAGGGATAAGGAAAGAAACCGAAGCCGCGATAGAACTCGAGATCGAAAAGACCGACATCGCGACGACGACGGCGGCGACGGCGGCGACGGCAAACGAAAACAGCAATCCAAAAACCCCTCCCAAGAACCAGAAGAAGAAGCACCCCCCAAAGAAGCCCCAAACTTCAACCGCACAACCCACTTAGTCTCCGAAACAAATACTTTCAACGGCGTAGTCCTAAAATACGTCGAACCCCCCGAATCCCGCCTTCCCCCTTCGTCAATAACCTACCGTCTCTATGTTTTCAAATCCTCGGAAATTCTAGAAACAATAACTTTATCAACCCGTACTGCATGGCTATTCGGACGTGATAGATTGGTGGCGGACGTCCCCATCGATCACCCTAGTGCTTCGAAACAACATGCCGTCATTCAGTTTAGGTTTGTAACTAAGGTTAACGAGTATGGAGAGAGGGAAGGCGGCGTTAAACCTTATGTTATCGATTTGGGAAGTGCGAATGGGACGACAGTTAATGGGGAGACTGTGCCTGAGAAGAGGTACTTTGAGTTGAAGGAGAAGGACATTATTGGCTTTGGGCATAGTAGTAGGGAGTATGTTCTTATGATTGAGAAATAGACGCGGGGCGTGTAATATATTGTGGAATTGTTTGTATTTAGCGAGACTTTGGAATCGTCGAATGATATTTATTCTGGACTTTGCGATTGAAGCGAGAACAGCAGTAACTTCAGATCCTCAGGCTTTTGATAGGATCGCTCTTGATTCATGTACCTCAACGAAATTTAGATCATTCGCAGGACCGATCATGCGGTAACCTCAACCGGGGCTCTAAAATGAGTTCTTGAGTCCCGAGTATCTAAAAAGAAAAACCACCACGTTTCCATATTTCTTTTCACTCCCTAAGCCTTGACGCTACATAGCACTCCACTCTCACAAAAGAGATAAGAAACCAGCAACTTACAAGGCTCCAGGTGGCAATATATATACAAGGAAACACTCTACAGATGTCTTGTCACCAGCTGCAGTGCCAAAGGAGGGTATACGTAACCTTAGATCTATAGAGATAATTATATAACAGTCAATGCTATTAATATCTTTTCAACAACACCTATATTCTAGCCATGAGGTTAACTTATATTCACATACTTACTGTAGCCCTCTTTCTAAACGATAAGCTAACTTATACGGTATGGAGGTACTTAGGTACTCGGTTCTGTAAATAACTAAACTGCAGCTAGATAGATCCTCTCATACTTGTTCGCTAGGGAATTAAAGATGAAGTAAAATAACATCCGTCGAACACTGCTTCACTACCAAATTAGAATTAATCGCTATAGCAAATAGAACCGTGATTTTATTATGTTGTAGTACCGCCCCACCAATCACCTCGTGAAGCTGCCCCATGGATCCATACATGTGGTAGGCACATGCTAAAAACCGTGTTGAGGCTTCCATGTCGTTGTATTTCCAAATTCGGCTGGTGGCTAGAATTGGCCAACAACACATTTTGAGGTGACACAAGGTTTCGAGGGAACATGCTCATGATCATCGATTACGGCCTTCGATTCCAGGTCTGGGTACGAGACAAGATTATGGCCAACCTTCTCCTTACTTTCTAACATACATGCGCATGCTAGCTATCTGATAATACTCCACACGGCTCTTAGTACATACTATAGAATCTGGTTTTTACGTTACATTTCATGAAGCCTTGAAGGAATACTCATGAGCTAGATTTTTTAGCCTACAACTAAAGCTAAACGGACTAACACTTTCCAACTTTGTAAACTGTTCGGGTTATAATATTAACCAATGCGCATATGCGACGAGATCTTGAGAAGTGATGCTTGAATGCTAACTTTTGACGCACGGAAGTCTAGTACCATCCAGACGAGCTAATAGAGCAGCCTTAATCTAAAACCTCAAAGTATGTTGCCGGTTTGAGTATACAGAACCTTACTCTGAGAGATTAAACTCATCATGACGCCGGGTGTTGGATATCCGGATTGATAACCATGAGACCCTAGCATCAGGAACAAGAGGTATCTATATCCAATTTAGATCCAAACCGAAGCCTTGTTTATCTGTTGGACCAACATCTGGGTATCTAAGCATTTAGCGGTATTAATTTACTAGTATAACATATTGTCATAACTCTTTTGAGATTTGTGATCGAACATCTACTCGAGCTCCGGAACAAGGACAATGCCATTTACCAACCTGGCTAGTTTGTGGCACAGACCTCCACGTCTTGCCTCCATCCGTTTTCATGCATCGGTTATCAGAGCTATTCCACTGTGTCTAGATGCCCCAAGATCGCACCGGTACAATTTCTTTGTAATTCCAACTCATCACAAGCAGATCTATGTCACTGAGCTCATCGAGACGATAGAACACACTGCATAGTATGAATGTAGTCCATCAATGAAGGTGAATCATAGATACACAAGCTACCCTCCCGGATTTGTCACAAAAACATCATCGACTTGCCCTTGCCGCCCCATCGCAGTCGCTTGCATAAGCCGTATTCAAACATATATTGCTATATATCAAATACTTCAGCCTTAACGTAGGATCAAATCTCTCAACGGCCGGCGGGCTGAGCTCTGAAGATTTTAACTTGTGTATTCAACAGGAATATTTTGTCTCAATTAATAAGCCTTACTTATCATTGTACATGTACAACCCTTGAAAAGCCTCTCTGTGCCGCATTTTCATGCCTACAACATAAAATACATACCCGTAAGAGAAAGAAAACTGCCTGCTGACTATATCACAAGTTAAAAAGTGTGTTTGTTATACCCCACGACCTAACAGTTCTTTTTGTTTGTTGCCTGTTATGTATGTATAACAAATGCTCTCAGCCTAGAATAAAGCCTGAAAAAGGTACTAATGACGTTAAACCCTTGTAAACCTCTCGCATAAACTTACCAACAGCAAACAAGTTTCGAATAGAAGGCCGAGGCAAAGGGTTTTTTTGTAGAACTTCTAGCGCAGATTATAATGTAATGTAATGCACCGGGTATAGACCGATCCGATCCTTCCGGTGCAATATCTATCACGCTAAAATACTTCTTTCGAAAATGAGACCTCATCGAATGCATCGAATGTCAACCAAATTACAACTTACGCCATCGATCGATAGGCCCCTTACTTGTATTTATCATCTGACAGTATCCCGCCATTCGCCGAGGTGTTGTACTAACGGTAGATGTTAATTATATGCGATGTGGTTTTTAGGAAGAGGCAGGACGGGCATGGATGGGGCCGGTTATCGACAAGGACCATCTATGAATCCCGGGATCATGATAACTAAGGGTTCCCTTGCTTCTAATTTTCTAGATGTGTGGGCTAGGTCCTTCGTGACGAAAATGGTGAGCGAGATTCCAGGCCTACTGCCATGTGGGATTTTGAGCCAGAGTCCGGAATCGGTGTGTGTCTCTAGGGTTGGTTTTACGGTATCGAATTTCCTGTTGTGGGATCGACTACATTGTTTTTTTTTTGTTGGGTAAGGTTGTGTGGTGTATATTCGTGGGGTTATCGAAGGAACCACCGTGGTTCGTCTCGGTTAAATATCGTCTACCGACGATGTTTAATTTCGCTTCATCCTAGACGGTGGGCTGAGAGTTCGTAACAGGCTTACAGTTTCCAATTTGGTGGCGCTAAGAGGTGTTTTCTTTGGTATGCAGCTTGGCATGTGGAGGATAAAAGCTGAAAACAGAACCAGGTGTGGGTTTCTTTTCGATAGTCGATATAGATTGATATGATATAGAATGGTTTGTCTTAAATTCCCGATCACAAATTTTTAGGGTGAGATGGTAACATTGGTCTTCCAAGACAGTGTTCGTAATTCATATTGTGTACCAATGTGCGACGGAGAAGTCCCCGGGAATTACCAATGTTGCCTTTTAAATTGACTTTACTCTAGAGCGAATTTATCGATTTGGATAGCCTTTTAATCAATTGAGAGAATTTTATATCGATTTGATATTTATCAGGCTTGGAATATGCGGATGCACTAGAAATATTGCATACCTACCTATCAAAGAGCTTGCCGTTCTATCGCGATAACGAAGAGGTTGGTGATAGGCGGCCTTATGAGGTACATGAGGCATGAATTCCCAACTTCCGCATGTGAGCTCTTCCAAGAATTATTGTAGTCTTAACTTCCTGTTGAGATTTTACCCGAGTTCGAATAATACATGTAGTTAGGACCTTTTTTTGTTCTTGAGAGGGTTTATGCATGAACGACTTGGGCCCATGTGGAATCGAATACCCGAGAAATGGGTAGCGACATTTTTTTTTTCTTCCTTTCTATTTTCGAAGACCACCCAAGGCTTACGAGGCTCGAAGGTCTCACTACTTGAAGAGAGGTCAAAGCTTGCCCATTCGGGCAGCTGCAGGCTGATGAAATTCTGATAGACGGTTTGCTCACCCCACACCACCCACTATCCGCCCCTCCATGAAGAAGGTTATCTATGCCAGATCCTAACGAGAATGTCGGATCGGATGTTCGAGCCGTTACTCCAGATTTGCTGACCAGAAAGGGAAGTGTGATTACAGCGCCACAAAGGAAAAGAAGAAAGAGTACTCAAATCCTAACCTTCTGTTGGAAGGCGCCGATTGAAGAGGACTTTAAAGATCCACTGGAATGTGGATCTAGGCTAATGTTAACCGCTCAGCTAAAAGATCCGTGCCACCTTTTTTGTTTTTCACCAATCGTCGGCCTTGTTGGTAGTGCGAGTTAGACACTTTCCTTATCGATTAGATTAAAATACGGGCCGGGGTTTTCCTTTCGTCGTGCAAAAGGAGCCCTTTGAGGATCAGGAAGGGTGTTTTTGTGTCGGCCGGGTAGAGTCTGGCTGCGCCAGAATCCAACAGTTTGGTTTTCCAGGCATTCTTTGAGCCTGGATGTTCTCAAACGTGAACCACGATCATTGAACCCGATTTTCAAGTGTGTTTCCGGTAGAACTTCTCTTTTCAGATAGGTTTCGAATGATTCTTTCCTCACCATTGTCACAGATGTTCCCCGTTCGCATAAACTTGGGAACGAGCGCACGGGTCGGTTACGGATCTCATTTCGTCTTGCGATTGTAAAACCGTTCGCCAGAGACGGCAGGCATAATCAGAACGGAACGGCGGCTGAATGATATCATGTTCCCAACTGGTCGTAGGGGTAGCCTTGAGCGGAGTTCTATTTTTTGAGTCCTGCGACAGGCGGGCGAAAAAAGTCGTTAAGCTGTTGCTTTTTCTTATTTCGTTCGTTCAGCACGTTCCAGGATCGGAAATTGGCCTGGGACTGCTGCAATCCCTGCTGTGGCCAATGGGCACTGGTCATTTGTGTTTCGGCAGATCCATGTCTTCATGCAGCTTCTGCTTTGTTGACGAATCACATAAAAGTCAGACGACGTGAGAACTTCCAACGGTTGACCATCGACGGGCAAGAACGAACTTGCCTTCAGAAGTTCTTTGGGGGCCCCACTCACACGGCTTGTGGATCAGCCACCCCATGACACCTAAAGGCCGCAAGCAAATGCACTTGGAATCGGCGTCCCATGACGGAGGCTTCAGCGGCGAAGTATCAAAGACTTTTGCGATTTCCAGGCATCGTAAGAAGGCACTATCAATTGAATGCTTGCCATTGCGCATGTACCGGTACTGGTACGGGAAGGGTACTAAGGCAGCCGCGCGTAGTTGCATAGTGATCGAGCATGATCGAAGGGAAGGACCCTCCGAGATTATGTTATGTATGCGCAGATGTATGTATGTGAGCTTGTTGAATGTTGCGCATTCTACTTGCGAATGCAAATGGTGTTTGTTTCCCCGGAACTGGGGAGTTGTAACTGTCATGTTTTGACAGCTTGTGATTATATCACGACAGAGCGACTCATGAAGCGCACTCCACTTTGCTACTGCGACATCAACATGGATATTCAGGAGAATCGGAGGCTTCTTCAGGTTCGTTTTCGACCTGGATATATTACCAGGCCGCCTTATTTGCGATAGATATTAATATGGAGGGGCCTTTGGGCAAGCCACTTTTTACGCGAGTGGTCAGAAAACCCCAGTTATCAGGCACCGTAGTGGAGGGGGAGGGGCAATTAATTGTGGCCTCCTATCACACCCTTCCGTTTATCTTACAACACGGCACAGAGGGCCTCGACCCAGGGGATTATGATACAGGAATCTTATAATTATGGGATTCCATGTAGTATGTACCGTGTATGTATGTCGGCCGTTCGTAATCTTCCGTCCTTGAACCGTGTATGGTTAAGGGGTGTAAGATGCAATCGCGGCCGGTAATATGTGAAGCTGAAGTGAGAAAAGCCTCGTGGGTAATGAGAAATATAATAAGAAATATGTAAATTAAAAGATGTTTCCTCACGTTCGAAGGTTTCATTCAAAACCTCGGCCGTCGAGAATCACGGGGTTCCTAGGCTAATTGTGTTTGTAGTCTACTATGTAGAGGTCCTTCTTTATCGATATTAACCCTTAAGATCTTAGATATCTTAATACACTAAGTCCAATTGTCGCCTTCCTCAACCACATGTCAGTGTTTGTCAACGAAAAGTATATTCCCATAGGTCGTGATACTTTATTGGCAAACGAACCGAGAATGTTAAGTAAGTAGGTAGTCCAAAGGCCGTTCTCGTGGAATAATTGTGGAGTCCTCGACACAAACAGGCACCTACCCGAAGAAGGAGCGGAAGAAAAAAATCGTCTATTTTCAGAATATCAGACGAAGTGTGGCCCAAAAAAACAAATCTTTCTTGGAAGTCAAAAAGCACAAGAGAAAGAAAGGAATTATGAGTAGTGGTGGGCTGACCTTGAAGGTCTTTTGGTCTCGAGTCAAGGATCTTTAATCTGCGATCCGTTCTTCAACCACACCGCTCCGTGCTTTTTTGCGCCCAAGCCCCACGACCGGTGAACACACACACACGCACCTTCCAAAATACAAATTTCTTATTTTCATCTGCGCTCCACGAACTGAATAATCGGCCGTTCATAGACGTGAAATTTACCTTATTTGAAAAACAAACTCCATACATACCTTGAAAGGTGTTTGTACCCCTTTGGTTGGAAGCACAAGGTTAATATCTTTTCGTACCCCCCTCCCTTGCTTTTCTTGCTCCCTCTTATACTTCTAGATCTTTTTTTAACCCTCTAACCTCCAGAAGGTTATTATTATTTTTTTGTCTCCCACTTTCCATCGTTCAGCCCTTGTGCTTCATAACCTTATCGCCGTCGACATCAAAGTAGTACCAGCGGTTGTACCGGCCGGAAAGAGTAGATCTGTACGGATCAAAAGAGAGCACGGGAAAAGCCGAGAAGATACATATTATTTCGACATTATTATCTGATATCATCTGGGTGGTCTATGACTGTTTTCTCTCATTCAACCAACAGTATCCCGGAATAATACTACTATTTTCAAAATCTGAACGGAATCTATCAAATGATATAGCTCGTGGATCAGCAGCTCTTTCGTTTTACAATCGTCCCGGCTTTCTTCAAACGGCATATATATTTCAAAAATGGGTCCAACATTAGATATTCAACGCCCGCCATATCCTACGGCAGAAACAGTTATCGACTCTGAGGACGAACTGGATAGCCTTCACGAAAGAATTACAGTTGGAAACCACAAACCTAACAAAGGTGGATTGGATACATGGGTCAACAAGCCAGCGCATAAGAGGAACAAAAGCGACGAGAAGAACAATAATATTGGTAACAGTCGTACGGGAGCTGGCAAGGAAAAGAACAAGAGATGGAGCCTGGGAGTCCCGCCGTTGACGGTGAATACTTCTGAGAAGCGCCAACAACCGCAGGGAAGGATTAGGACTATGTCAATGTCTGAGGCTACGAGACAGGGATTCGGTAAGCAAGCAGACGCAGTTCTTTTGAAGTTATTGTCATATTTACATATAACCACGTCTCTGCTTCTGGTTTGTTTGCAGACGTCAACATCGTCCAATGGTGTGGCTATCGCATGTTTACCTTACTGGCTTCTGTTTTTGGATTTTGAGTCTGTGGTTTTTTTCTTCCCTATCAGCTTGTGACGGACCATGCAAGTGGTCTTAACGGGCAAGGTTGTTTGTCATGTTGCATTCTTCCACGATCCACTTTTGCTGTCGAGCTTTTCTAGCTGCAGATGCATACTGCATGACTATTATTTAGTTTAATGGGTGTTTGGGAACCCTCGCCCATACCCGTTAACCTTTTTACTAGTCTTTTTTTGCCCTTCTCGCCTTTTTTTCCCACAGAAAAAACGAGAAAGAGGACGAAGAAATAGGAAAGAAAGAAAACAAAAAAAAGGGCAAGAGATTTTCGTGGTCAGTCGTTCTGGTTTCGAGGCCTGCCCTTGTCTTGTTCAAGCGCTTGCTCAAGCTTTCATTGGACAAAAGTTTTCCCAGAAGTTTTCCCAAAGGTTTTCCCATTCGCCAGCCCACTTCTGGAGCAGGCTGGGCTTTCCCTTTCCCTTTTGTGAGAAAAATATTTTCGCCCATCCGCATTTGCCCAGCTGCAACCGACGACGCGAAGGGTGTCCCGGTTCCAATCGTTCTTCGTTCAGTCACGGAGGGTACCAAAAGGCACTTGATGTGAATGAAGGGAGTTTTTCCGGCGTCAAGGGAAACTGTGTCGAATAAACACACTTCTGTCCTTTCGTATCATTTTCATAAACATATCGAGTATCGACGCCAGAAGATTCGCCTTCATTCTTCGGTGCTCGTGGGGTTTAGACTGCCATCCCGAACTTGCACTTTCCCAGGTTGTGCGCCCCGCATTTTCCCAGTTCCTCTGGCAGTTTTAAACTTATTCCTGTGCTGCCCTTTGCCTTTTTTCCCTTAGCTTCCTTTTCCCTTAGCCTCCTTTTTCATGCCTCTGCCCATGCCCAAGCCCATGTTAGTGCTTTAGGGTCTTGCTAGTCTGGAGCGAGTCCCGTTATAAGGTGTCCCACCGGAACTAATTCTTATTTCTTACTATTATCGTTGTGGTTTGTTATTAGCAGCCAGTGAAAAGCCAACTCACATCCTGACGAGCCTTCCTTCGTCGTCGTCCTCCAAGCTGGACTCCAGCAAGAACTCGAACAATCATTCGCTGCCCACTCCGGCTGCCAGCCCATCATCCACCACGCCCCCAATCGACTCCAAGATTGGGCCTATCAGCAGCAGCATCTCTACGTCAGCATCTGCTAGCTCTCAAGTTACTAACCTTGCTGCAAAGTTTTCCGCTGCAGCTGCACAGGTGCATTCCAAGAACATCTCTTCGTCGTCGGGGCCGTCGACCACAGGCAGCCCTAATCTTAATTTGAATCGCCCGCGCCCGCGATCTTATTCTGCGTACCCCTCTAGTGCTTCATATCCCTCTGAGACTTTGATATCTGGTCTTCATAAACCTCCCACGCCCGTCTCCATATCCGAGGACGACGAAGGCGAAAGCGAAAGCGAAAGCAAGAATAGAAGCTCACACCACCTAGCCATGCCTGCATTAAAAAAGCCGCAGAAGGCGGGCCAGCCAGTTCCACTGGCCCCCTCATCCGTAGTCTCTGCTTCATCCGGTTCATCTTCCCCCTCAGTGTCGTCTGGCTCGTCAGGTTCCTCTCTTGAACAAGACTCTTCCAGACTAGCAAATTTTAGAAAGTTATCCGGTCTCCAAACTCAGAATAATGGATACTTCGCTTCTGTAAGCGACGAGGCCCAATCTCCGATGCCAGAAGCCCCGGCCCCACCGTCAAGAGGCTCTGCCGCCACTTCTGAAGCCTCGAGCTCCGAAGGTATGAAGTCTGGCGAACCAAAGCAAGGCTTCGCTCCACAAAACTCTGTTCCAACTCCAAAGTCCGCAGTCCCACCGACAAAGAATAACGTTAATACTCGACCACCTGCCCATAGCCGGACTTACTCTAATGCTACAGTGACTGGTCCCGAATATGATCAAGATGCATACGGCCAGGATGCTTACGGTGCTTACCAATATCCGCCACTTAACCGCAAGAGGAATTCCTTCTCAAGCAGTGCAAGTCGACAAACTGCTATCGCTGGTGTCGCTCAAGGTGCCCCAGCTGGTTTAGGACTTGATGCTAGTGTTTTCGAGTTCCTTGACGAAGGCGAAGAAGATGAAGCCGCTCAGGAAGAAGAACACCAGGCTGCTTCTGATGTATCGGCGCCAATTCCTGAACCGTCTCCAGTCCCTCCCCGACAGGCTCCAGCTCCTCCACGACAGACTCCAGCTCCTCCTAGACAGACCCCAGCTCCAGAACCTCGGCCGAAGACTCCAGTAAAACCAGCCAGCCCCAAGAAAGCCACTCCGACATCTGCACTTCCCCCACGGGCCACGCCTGCGCATCCTCAAGATCCTTACTTTTCTTCCCCACAGGCTTACGGTGCATACGGCGCCTATCCGATGCACTACGATCCCTACATGTCAACGGAAGCTGTACCAGTAGATCCAACTCTCCAACCGGCTCCGCCAATGCCTCCCATGGTCGACCCTTACAAGAGCCTTCCTAACGAAGCTCCCGACAATGCTATGGTCCATACCCCGCAAAAATCTCATTTCAAGGAGTCTGTGCATGCTCGTCGGGCGGCTGCAGCAGCCGCAGCGGAAGCGCAGGCAACCGTCGAAGCAACCGAGATCGAGGAATACCACGAGGATGATTATCCTGCTTACTCTTCATACGTTTCACCACAAGCACCACCATCATATCGCGGTCGCCCACGCATGCCACCCAACCAACGTGCTCCTGCCCCACCACCACCTCCACCTCCACAAGCCGCACACGATATGTATGGTGGGTACCCTCCGCATCCACCACCACCTCCACCACAAAGAAACTTTCAAGAAGCATATCCACCACCGCACCCGCACCCGCACCCGCACCAGCCTTACAGACAACAAGCGCCACCACAACAAAGAAACCCAATGTATGGTCCTGGACCCCAGTACAACATGCGAGGCCAGCGCCCACCACCACCTACTTCTAGCCTCAACGGTGGTTATGGGAAGAGCTTCGGTGGTAGTCAAGTTAGCAGCTACTCTCCCAACTTTAGTTCCATGCTTAACTCCAACGTCTCCGAGATGGCCACAACTGTTCTTGGTGGGCGATGGAACCACATGGGGGCTAGACAACATGCTCCTAGCAATCTCAGTATGGCTTATAATCAACCTGGGTATGATGACTACTATGGAGGTTACGAAGGATACTACGACCAGGGCCAATATCACCAAGAGGAACCGGAGTACGAAGAACCACACAGCATTCCGTCTGCTAGCCCACAATACGCTAAACGTCGACCAAACTCTGGTGAATTCGGAACACCCAACAAGAGGAACAGCATCCATGGCCAATGGACCGCAGAGTGGGCCGACACGGATAGTGTCAAAGGCGGTTCCCGACCACCCACCGACAGGATCCCGGACGGGCCTTCCCGCGAAGAATTCGAACTTGGAAAAGATGGCAATGATGACCAAAGTTGGGCCAAACCCGCAAAGACTCGAAGACGCAACACTATCACTCCCAACAAACAAACCATGTTTAGTTCCAACTTTTCTGATACCTCGTCCGCGAAACTTACTAGCGCTGCTAGCAGTCGCATGCAACCGCTTTCTGAGGCAGATATCAAATCTGAAGCCAGCATGGAACAAAGTCATCCTCGTCAGCCGCCATCTATCAACACCAGTCTCCCCAGCAAGCAAAAACATGGTCTTCCCACACCAGAAGACAGCCCTCCAGCGATCAAGCCATGCCGCGCTCAGTCCCGTCCTCCTACTCGACACTCTTCTGTGGCTGGATCATTTTTGTCTAAGAACGCTGCTTTGACTACCATCCCAGTCGCCCTTGGATACCCTCACTTGTCCAATCACTTGGCTGTTACTCCTAACTCCGCCATGTATCGCCGTTTTGACAACCTCAACCATCGCATCTTGCTCCACCTTCAGGATGAGATTTGCGAACTCGAATCGATTCTTGAAGGCCTTGATAATGCAGAGCAGGGCAGCGGTGGAGGTGCTGGTCTACGAACCCGCCGAGGCCTCAACCAGACAGGTCACAGAGCCCCTGGTCCTCTTGATGAGAGATCTGCTCGCCGCCTGGAGCTGATGGGAGCCATCTTCGTCAAACTTCAACAATATAATAACGCTTTGGCTGCTTATGCAAAGATCCTTAATGAACTCCCTGGAGCAACTAATGAGAGCGTGAGAGAGTACCGTGAATGGATGACTCTTCATCAGCCAGTTGTGCCTGAGGAAATGGACTTCGTCTTCAAGGCGAATGACTTCTCCAATCTCATCAATGATGAACCAACTTCTACCCCTATGCGAGTTCATATTCCATCCGCTCGTTCTTCTCGTTCCCCATCGTTCACCTCGACTCAAAAGCCTAGCCTGCCTGTTGAGGGTGTCCTCGGCGTCCTCGACACTCTCATTACCTGGATTATGAAGCAAGAAACTCCAGTCCAACTGGGCATTCTTGCGGGTATCTTCTTCCTCATGCCTCTTCTACTCTTCCTCTGTGTTTCTACTTGGTTCGGAATGTTTATGGTTATGACCGCCTGCACCGCAGGTTTCGCCTTCTGCGCTAAGGACTTGTTGGGCGATGCCATCAAGGGCAAGGCCTCAAAGCCCGTGGACGGGAAATCTGATGCCACGACAATGAATAATACGCCCGTTGGAACGAAAGCATAATGTTACGTTTCCTATACCTACGACATAACTCACAACTCCACGCTATGACACTTTTTGACGATAGCGGGACTTCGTCTTTCTACCCTCAACACCCTTCCACTTCGACCGCTGTTGGTTAATCTTCTTCTACACAATCTGCAGATGCAGATTCTTCATTTTCTTGGTGATACCTTTATATTTCTTAAGAAGGATCCATACATATCTTTTTTTTTTTTTTTCCATTTAATATGGTCATGTACAAATTGTCCTTGTTTTCTCTTTCTGGGGGAAAAGATTGTTTCTCAAAAAAAAGATTGGGGGAAAGACAAAAGATATTTTTACGGAAAAAGTCTTTGACCTAATGTTTCGATGTTACTCACTTTCTTTGTTTTAGTTCCTTGTGTTGATTGAAGTTTTAAATTCGGCGCCATATCTGCTATTTCTCGATTTGATACCATTTACTTTATGTTATGCGCTTTCTGCCTTGCTTATCTTGGTTTTGCATCACTTTTATTCATGGATTTCCGTTCGGAACCATTCTTTCGCTTTCTGGGTATATTTAATGTATATGGGAAAGGTCTCGGAGTTAATGTTTTCTGAACCAAGATACCAGAATTTCCTTTTTTTATCTCCACGAAATCGCTTTTTTTGCTTCTCTGCTTCGTTCGCTTCTGCTGTGATATCCTGTACGATAGCGATATTTGGCGCCTTTCTTTTCGATAATTTATCTGATTTTCTTTTTGGTTGACATTGCGATGCTTTACCCATTCGATCTTACAAAGTTATTAATTGAAATATTTATTGCTTGCGACCGCGATGATTATCACATAAGTAAGTAGTTACTACACGTACACACGCGTTCGTAAAGGCCCCGCTATAGGCAAAAGGATTTCCCAGAAGTTTTCCGAAAGAAGATTTTACCCCTATATCACTGCTTGAGATGAGTCTAAGGTCGGCATCGAGTCTTGTGAAGCATCACCAAAAGGCGCCTAGCTTCTTCTGTCCCTTCGCTGCATTAAGTCTCACTCCCAGAAACATCACAAAAAGCCGCCCGAATTCCGAATGTCATGCAAAGCATTATTGGTCCCTGCATCATTAGTTTGCCCGGATATTTCGAATTATAGATCAGCCTATACCCTTTTCTACGAAAAGATTTCGTCACCACCGCTATTCTCTCCGTTTCACGTCACCGAATTCCTGAGGCTGGAATACCCTCGCTTCCCCTGGTGAGAGGTTTCGCCGCCTCCCCATTTTTTATGGTTTTTGTGTTGCGTGGCGTGGGGCACTTATATTTCCTCTTCTGGAAAGGTGCGTGTAACCAGCCAACCACAGTCCAACACCGCAACACGCCATTTGCTGCCAGCCCCACGCTATGCTCCATTTATCCTCATTTTTCATTTTTCCCGCGCTGCAGCCTGTCGCATGTCGACGTGCTGGCAGCTTGCTGGCCATGGTTTGCAGCTCAGCTTGCTAGCTTCGATTCTACGGGAAGATTACCCAGGCCGGAGGCTGCAGGAACCGCCAATACGGCTCTGACTTATTCCAACCTCCCATTATCGCTGTTAACGGTGGTCATATAAAAACTTAGATAAATTCCTGTCCCGCGTCTCGGATGGTTGCACCGATGTTAATTTTCTCTCTCTTTCTGTTCAGCTGAGCTGTCTAACTTCCCGTCTTTTCACTTTGATCGAAGACGGTAGACCCTGTTGGTTGTAGCTGCGTGCGAAATCCGCGGTCATACATATCTACTCCCTTCGGCACACTTTTCTGTGCCCTCCCTTCTCCTTCTCTCTTCCTCACTGGCTTGTGAGCCTGTGGCCTTGTCTTACCTATCCATACTCGCCCCTTCCGCTTCTTTTTCTGGCGTTACTCCCGCCAGTGAATATTGTACAGTTTCAAAAAAAAAAAACTCTAGAATAAACTCGGACAAAAATACGCGGATAAGCGCATCCAGTGCTCGGGATCTCACAGCTGCCTTACACTGCAAATCAGAGCGTCTTTGCTGCACCTAACCGTTGAGCCCGGGGTTTTCCAGCCAAAAAACACCTATCGGCAAATAGCATTCCTCACTAAGTGCGAATAGAGCACACCCTCTTCCCAGCCAAAACGAACCAGCCGAATCGGATTCCCTCGTCTACTGACACAACACGTCAGGCGACCAGTCTTCACACCACCATCATCATTTACCCCGGCCCTGCATATAGCTTAGTTTGAGCTTAAAGTTATCATGGCAGACGAAGTCGAAGTCGAGTACAGGTCCTACCGTTGGCCTAGGGATATCTTTACGTACTGGCTTATTTTTCTGGGAATATTTTCCATTATCGTACTCTCGATCTATGCCCAGTTTACTGCTGTCCAGAATGCCCTAGACAGACCACAACCATGGTAAGTACCAGTACAACCTTCTCCCCAAAAAATGTTCTTTGCGCCATTACTCCCCAAATTGGTGTTTTGACCACGAGATACCCTCATGGGTATTGTGTCGAAATCGCCTCGTATTTTATTTTCTTAAAAAAAGCAAAAGAGAGCAGAGGGCTAACCCAAATATCGTAGGTACTTCCAAATGTCCCTAGCAGTCGCAGTCATCACTCTCTTCCTCATCGCCGCCGTAGTAATGCTATTCCAACTGCGCATGGTCACCCCATTTTTTATGCTCGCATTTTCGCTCGTAGGGTTCGTTCTCTGGCTTGTCGCACTAATCGGTAGCTCCTTGGCACTATTCTCCGATCAGAATAATAATGCGAATGATTACTGTCACGACACCGGTATTCTTTGGGCGCCACCGCAGACTGTAGTGACCACGAGCGGCCCAGGGTACACTGGCTACGAGGGCTCAGGAACAGTCACAGCATCTGTGCTCATCTATGCAGCGCAGAGCCAGCTGTCCACGTTTTTGTGGCACCAACTTTGTGGGGCTTGGAAGGCTGCCTTCGTATTCCAACTTTTTTCACTGTGAGTACTTCATTTCCGAAGATATTATATTTGGTCGTTATAATGGAATGCTAACTATCAATTATAGTATAATGTTTATCTATATGATCTATCTTTCTTTTGATGTTCTATCAGCAGACAAGAAGGAAGTCGCTGACATTGTCGATGTCGAGGGCTAGAACTCCACGATATCAAAAAAGTCAGCAGATCCCCTCAAAATAACCCACTCACACGTCCGAAAATTTCAACTTAATCACTTACCTAGAAATATTTGCTGCTTCTTCCGCGATACCCATCCTTTCCTTATGCTCCGCAATTTCCCCACAATTATGAAGTTACCCTTATGACCACCCCGAATGTACATATATGCCCCTTCCCAACCATTTACCCCCCTGGTTCCGTCTTCATTTTTTGCATATTTGATTTTCGATATCATGTTAGGAAAACGGCGTTCTCTGCTTTACGAGACTTACCAGTTATTCTTATTACTCAGATTGGGGTCAACTACACCCTCCCAATCATTTCATGTATGCATACGATACCGATCCCTACGGTTGATGAATGATTTAAATGATATCATGAAGGAATACATGCTTTTCCCCAGACTTTTTTAATATAAATACCTAGTCCGCATTTAAATCCTCAAACCTAAATGAAAATGGTAATTTCCCGTAGGTGAGGCTCGTATCTCACCTAAGAACAATGTCTACCGTCTCCTATTTTTGTAACCTTGACATGGTAGATGCTAAAGGAACGGTGGTATTCCTGAGTCGGTGTATATATACACATTTTCCAACATCAACACAAAACTCCCCCCCCGCATCGCCAGATCTGGAGGTCCTCCGTAGCAAATCGGATCACGCCCTTCTAGCCAAATTACAAAATGGGTCAATTACCTTATTTGGGTGTGATATAATTTTACCGTGCTTTGACGCGTGTCGCCGTACGGTGCACATGCGCACACTGTATATTATCGGCTCATGATAATTAATCAACAACGGTTTAGCCACTAACACGTACCCGTCATCTAGGTCTTCGAAGGGGGGGTTTTAGGTCGCACAGTTAGTGAGGCATACTCTACCGTGTCGTGAGTGTAAGTGAGGGCATTTCTGACGCTGCAGGAGTGTTGAAGGTTGTACTCGTAACAGTAGATTGGGAGTAGTTAATTCTCAATTTAAACATGGTGACGACCTGGTTAACATAGAACAAAGTATAAAACCATGGCTCATGATTAGTGGACCGCATCTACAATATGCAATACGGCACTAGGGTATCTATATATAGCCTCAAGCCCGCCAACTAATCCACCTCAAATGTAGCCCACGAGTATATAATGGTGAGGCTGGATAAACGTAAGCATCAATTCCCATTCGTGATATATATCATACAAACATTATTCCATCAAGAAACCTAAAAATGAAGATAAAAAGCAATGGTAATAGCATGAAATATTTTCCGTCCCGAAAAGGTTTGCAGAAAGAACTTGGTTTTCAAATAGTACCAATTACAGGAAACAATGCGCAAAGAGGAAAGGGGAAGAGATATTATCGGAAACACACGTTTATTGCACGTTAAATCCGTAATACATAGGTCGTTCGAGAAATTTCCTCTAGCAATATAAGTCATAATCAACCCGTTTTATGCTTTCAACTGAGATATGCTAGAGTCCTTCCTATAGCATATTCCATCTCTTGATCATGACTCTCTTTAGATATTTAATCTATAGCCACGTCTCTTCCAGGCCGGTATCAATCTTCCCTTCAAATGTACCCCTCAAAGGCTTAAATATGGGGGGGGGCTATCGTTCTTGTGGGAAACTTCAAAAGATGTATCTAGTAGTCCCTTCTTGAGTCCCTCCTCGAATCTCTTCTATCAGGGTAGTAATAATCATCTCTAGTTCCGATAGATGCATGGGACGATCTTCTCCTCTTAGATGACGAATGGGAATGGCGATGGCGATCGCCGCTCCGGCTTGTCCTGTGTCGCTTTGATGACCTGTCCTTTTCGACAAATACGGCACCGGGCTGAACTGGCACCGCTGCTGTGGTCGTTTGTGAAACGTTTCTGACAGCGGGCTGGACCGGATATCCTTCTTCGATGACGGTACGGCGGGCGACGGGTCCTCTGGAATTAAAATGTTAGAACATAGATATAATGGGCCTTATCGGTTATATTTCAGAACCAATCAATAGCTTACCCAACTCGTCGGTATTCATCCGCTACCATCATAGCTATCTGGACGCCGCCGACACAACAGAGGAAGAATAAGACGATATTCGCAAGCGCTTTTATATCAATTGAATCAAATTAGCCCCGTCAATACCTAAAAAGATGATGGCAGGAACAAAATCATACCTAACCCCCACCCCGCCCTTAACAACCCACAGACCGAACCTACGTTATCAGTCCTAGAAATTTCATTCTGGTCCCCCGCCTTCGCCGCCGCGCACTCATCAATCGCCGGCTTCGTCAATAATGCCACACCCACAATACACAATATCATCCCCACAAAATCGAAGAAAGCGATGGTGATCGATACATTATTCGCCCGTAGGAATGTTATCAATATCAGTATCGACCACACAGTACCTATTATCCCCACCGCGAACATAAAAACGACAGATTGCGGTGTGCTTGAATTTGAGTTGGAGAACATGGACATGGCCTGTGCCAGGACGGCAAAGCAGGCGATGAGAGTTACGATATTGACGAGGCGAAAGAAAATGTACCCGGGACCCGGGGATGCTGGATCAGAAAGGGTGGCTTTGGAACCTGGAGCGACTTCCATTGTGGCGAGATTCTAGGAACTTCAATGGATACTTGCGAGGTTGGGACCCAGAGCTGGCTGGCTGGCGCTGTTTGAAATTGATTCTTCAGCGGATGGATTGGAGACAGAAAATATAAGATATCACTTGATAGGTTATATAATCTGCGCTTTGGAAGAAGGAAAGCACGTATATGCGGGCCGCGAAGATTCAATATCACCAGCGCCAGAGAAAGTCGCAAGCTTGATGAGAGTAACTTTGGGGGAGAAATTGAGAAACAAAACTCCAGTGGCGATAAAATCCGGAAGGAAGACGTTATAAAACACGACACAGAGGAAGCGGGAGAGGGACTACTAAAAGGACCAGCTCAATCGTAGGATCTGCGAGGTACGTGCCAAATATCCCGTCTTCACACTCACATAATGACGCTACACACATCCGGTGCCTACCCGAATTGACACATAGGTTAACGTTGGGCGAAACTCTTTCAACCTGGCTAGGAATTGAGGCTAGTTACTCCAAATAATCGTAAATTCCGCACTAAAATGACAAAGATCAAACCCATTTTCTTCTATATCTTACTGGTGTGAGTCCGAAAACTACTTACACCAGAAATCAAGTTGTGTCGATAAATCGGGTAACGGCCTCACACAGCCTGTCTGCACATCATCAAAACTACGTCATGGGACTGCACCCCCTTGTTCTGTAGCGAGATCATACATATAAGCCATCGAGCTTGGCGTGGGAGTGGAGTTGAATTGAGCTTGGTATCAGAAAATGGATATCACTTTTCATGATTCCTTTGGCCGAAGTTAAACCCAAGCGGGAGAATGGTCCGCAAAGGCGACATAATAGGATTCAAGAACTAATTTTGCATGATGCGGTTGGCCAACTAGCGAAGTGTACATAATGAGGCTGCTCAGAATGAGATGTTGTGTAACAGCGCTAGTAATGGGTACGCACTTGCAGTTTTTGACAACCGTAGCTTTCGAGCTTCAACCAAGTTCGCTTGGGGTATGCGGGCACTGCACATGCCTCATAAAAATTGGGGCGATAGCTTCAGGTTATGCGCCTAGTATATTAGTCTGGAAAGAAACTCTACGTCCAATTAATTAATTGAGAACTTATAGTCTACTAAGCTTGTGAAAATTGCTTCGGATTTGCGGTTTAGGAAGAATCCGGTAACGTCTGTGAGAATAGCAGAATCCAACAAAGAAAACACAAAAGAGAAGTCTTTGATAACGACCACACTGACTTAGAACATTCATCGAAAGCACTGCGTAGAAATTTCATTGTTAGTATTCAAACCAACGTTTCAAAGCTCTCCATGAAAAAAAATTCTGAACACCAAGGAAATTATCATGCAGAGCGCGGTTCGCCTACATAAGTCGCTACCATCTGGAGGAATATCCCTAAACCAACCCATCACCATTTCTACCCCTTCGTTCACTTTCCCTATGCCGAAATGGATAGAAAATTGTGTCAGATTCAAACTGCCTCTCAATATTAATAGTAGCAACATCGAAATCTGTCTTCCGTCGCCTAGCAGCTTTCGGAACACTCTAGTACTTATTACATCCCCGTTTAAGAACATCTACTTCTGGATCTGGCTCATATACTCCTTCTCGTTCAACGGCTTCAAGCGATTTGACAGCGTTATACTTCCACAACCATTTTCACAAATATATAGCTTCCTACTCGGATCTACAGAGCTTGCCGCGGCCATAAAGTCAGAGATACTCTCAAGAATCCACGGCAACGCGGCGTTATCCTGGTTTTTCTTCTTTTATGGACCTGAATTGCTTCCAGGGGGGCATAATTTCTTTGAGTCGCTCCAGTACTACGACGACTGGATTGAAACTTATAAGCTTGGCTTATTGTTGCTCCCAGAGCTGTGGGGGCTGTTAAACCGGGTTCTATATTTCTGCTTGCAGTTGGTTAACCTCATCCCCAAAGTGATATTTATTATTGCACTTATTCTCCCATTTACGAGTTTCAACTTTGTTGTAGTTAGAAGCTTGAGCCCGCTCCTTGCTGATTTATTTCACAGAGAGTTCGAAGGTAACTTCAAAATCTGGGAATCTCACATTGTCGAACCGCTGATTTGCTGGTACATTGTAGGTCTGCCCTTTATTCCTCTGAACATTTATTGTCAACTATTTAACGCTGTAGGTGCCAGCTTCACTATTTTAGTCACGAAGCCATATAAAAAAGATGGTATTAAATTCAGGAAAGGTTATCGATGCCGGGCTATACACCTACCAAGAACGTAAGCCGAGTGCAGGTATACCCTGGGCCTTCTTTATATGGTTCTTGATCGCTCTCTTTAGCTCAGCAATGTTCATGATCGCTGTACTGTTCGCCTGGGATCTTTCCTTTTTTGCTTTGCCATGGTGTTTCTTCTCGGTTTCATACCTCTTTCGTGGAGCCCGCGAGCGTCGTAGTCCTGTGGACTCTCGTTTGAGTGAGTCTTCTGGGGGGGATAGGGATCGTATGTGGGCTATTGGATGGATGAATGGATATAGAGAAGGGCAGATTCAGTATCGGCAAAAACTTTATGAGATGATGGGGGCCAACGGTGGCAGCGAGGACGAGGACGAAAACCAAGGGCATGATATTAAAAATGAGGACCACAAAGGAGATGGGATAGACCACTCACGCTACTTCTACGATGAAAGATCTAGATATAACGGGAGGTTCAGGCCTGTGGTTCCAAATCCAAGACCGCCGCCTCAGGGCTCAACTCTCACCAATGCAGCCCTTTTGCAAGGAGATAGGTCATTGTGGGAGGGCGATAAATTATAAACAAGGAGAGTAAATAAAGTCTATCTGTCGAGTTGAATACATGATTACGGAATAAAGAGAGGGAACTATAGCCAGGATGGAAGGTTTTGCTTGTCAGCCGACATAGGTTTTTGGGGATTTCAGCTTTCATGTCCAATTACGAGGTCAGAGATGCCTATGATTATTTGCTTATGTCGTTGTATTTACAGTCTTGATCTTATATTCGTTTTTCAGTACAGTGTGGTTCGCATGTTTAGTATATGTTATGCGGAAAAGATCTTCTCAATAACCTGCTTGCAAGCCTGAACATCGACTTTGCCTCCAGTCGCCTTCATCAGGTTTCCAATGAAGAAGTTCTTGAGGTTTGGCTTCTTCCCGGATCGCACCTGCTCTGCTTTCTCGGGATATTCGGAAATAATATGGTTCGCAATCTGGATGAGCCCTTCATCATCCTCCCCTTCAGTAGACCGTGATCCAAGATCGTACTCCTCGATTAGATCTACAACACGAATATTTGAATCATTAAAGGTGACAAGATGGTCCAGAACCCGTTTGGCATTCCCTGCGGTGAGAGTTCCATTTTGGAGGTTGAAAAGGAGGTCCGCCATTTGAGCCGTAGTAACCGGATTGTCCAACCATGCAATAAAACTGGAAGCCAGTCTACCTCCTAGTTCATGGAGTGTCCAATTTCCTACCAATTTACCTAAATGTTTCGAACCTGGTTTAAAGTCTTGACGAGCCGATAAATCCTCGTAGATCGATCTATAGTAATTCACTCTTGCTCCATCGTCTAGGTCGACCATGGTGCGGGCATCTTTGAGCGTTAGGGCGAATGGCTCGTTCATTAACCCCAAAATAATCTGGTCAGGTAATGGGGGTAGAGTCGATTTGATGTGGTTTACGAGGGACTATAAATGTTAGCATGGCTTAATAAAATTCCATACTTGATATGTGTACTTACTTCGTCAATTATTAGGGGTGGCAACTCTGCGTCTGGTTTATATCTATAATCCACTTCTCCCTCTTTACTACGCAGTTTTCTCGACTCTCCTTTAACAGCATCCCAACCCCGAGTTTCACCTTCGATTTCACCGCCCCTTTCACGTACTGCTATCTGTCGTTTTATTTCCGCTTCGATGCTTTCTTGTACTGCCTTGACACTATTCAAATTTTTGATCTCAACCCTTCTTCCCAGCCCTGGCAATCCCCTTCCTTGAATGGAAACATTGACGTCACATCGTACTCCTCCCTTTTCCATACCATCGATAGCTGCTGTAGAAGCCCTCAGGATGCTTTGGATTTTCTTTAGACATGCTGCCGCATGCTTCGAGGATTTAAGGCTTGGTGTGGTAATAATCTCAACCAAAGCTGAGCCGGTTCTGTTGAGATCTACGAGGGTTCTTGCCGGTGTATCCTCCGTCGAAGGTTGAAATATCGATTTTGCAGTATCTTGCTCCATCTGTACTTGCTTTATTCCAATTTCCACGACTTCGGATGGATCTAAACCATCCAGTTCGTTTAATACTATCTTCCCATCTGACGCAAAAGGGTGATAAAATTGTGTTATTTGATAGCCATTAGGCTGGTCTTTGTAAAAGTAATGTTTACGGTCAAAAGCGCTACGGCGGTTGATCCGACAGTCCAGGGCGACAGCAGCGCGGATCGCGGGTACGATTGTGGGAATGTTGAGTTTCTATAGTTCCCTCGGAATTTCGTCAGCCGATTTACGATAAGGGAGGATGGGTAAGGGTAGAACAGACAGGCTGTATACCAGGTATTGAAGCATCAAATGGTGCTACCCGACTATTAGGAGGTGCATTGAAAGACGTAGCAGCATCTATCGTTAATCAGTACATGATACATTAATCCGGTAGATGAGTCCGAACATACAAGAAAAGAGTTTTCGAGAAGCATTGAGCTGTGCGTGGATCTCCAATCCAACTGTAACCTCCCATTTTGAGTTATCGCTATCTTTTTCTTTGCCCTTAACTGTAGACTTCACAGACTGAGATCTTCCAACTAGAGGTGGGGGGGTTGACTGGTTGGGTGTTTTGGCTGCTTCGGCATGGAGTCTTCGGGATTGAGTCAGACAGGACGGGCATACCCATTGGTTCCGATACCGAGGTATCACGAATAACCCACGGGCCCTTATTGTGGATATTGGAGGCGGCATTTCACTTATCCAGCTTCGTATGTAGAGCTACAGAGCTAAAGTTGAGTAAATACAGGACTTCGTCAGTTTTGGCGCAAAATCCAAAGTTCCGCGGCGTCGTGTTGCAACATGTGGCGCAAACGCTGTTCCATGTTGCGCCACAGATGAAACTCCAACTCCCGTGACTCTTTGAGTTTCCATGTAAAACTCAGACTGTTTTCGAGTGCAAAGCCGAGCTATTATTTGTAGCGAAATACTACTGCCACTAGTACTTAAGCATTCAAAACCAAACCGTTTGGGAAAGAAGAGGATAAATTTGAGGAAGAGTTATCGCGAATTTTAAATCATGGGCAGAGCATGGTACATATTGTACAACACAGTTGTATCTTCAACTTAAACGGCCATCCCGAAGCTGCATCAATATTGTTCATGCAATGTTAGCAACCCTACATTCTAGCAAGTCACTTTACACTGAACTTAAGCGTAAATTACATATGTATGTTCGAAAGAGGTGCTGCCTTAGGTTTCCTTTGTAGGAGCAGTATTCATAGCGTCAAAAACGTGGTGGGGTACTGAGATGCCAGTCCTCTATCCATGCACGTCTAGTTGAGTCCGAAATCTTCTTAGGATCTGCTAGTATAAAATTACTTATATGCCTACTTAAGTAGGTACGTATAAGTACTTAAGTATATATGTTAATCTTAGTTGATGAGCCGGCGTTGTACTCGGGTAAGGATCACCAGCAAGGTACACAGCTCTAGAAAACCCCGAGCTCAGGATCGATTCTTCCTCCGTTCCTAGAGCTAGTTCGAGGCTTCCATCCAAGGCTGTGACCGGGTATGACAGAATCGTTACTATCCAATAAGATGCTAAAATGTGCACTGTTATTGCATTGTCATGATTGATTCCTGGTCGAACGGCTTGTACCTCAAGACGAAAATATTTAGAACATGGGAGGATTTGGCCATCCGAGAGTCTCAAATAGATTATTGATAATTGACTTCGCAAGTTTCCGAGGCCCTTCATGACAAAGGCATCGCACAGGCCTTTAACCCAACAGATTACATAAAGTTCAACCGGTTACCAATCATTATAATATTAATACCCAACTCCAGAGCTCCAACAGCGCTGCAGCTAGCATGCATTTATCCTGCCATGCGATTGATCTCTTCGAAAAGCTGCAGGTAAGCTAGTCAGCGCTCGGCCGAGTTCTTCACCCAAGTCCCACCTTCGAGGTTATATGTCACTCAACAGCTACAAAGGTAAATGACCACGCAAGTACATTAAGTACTTGTGCATGTGCCTCAGCTAGCTCTACAGCCTCCTGTGCTACAGGGTACACATTGGGCTCGGCGATCGCCCCGATGTAGTCAAATCAACAGGGATTATTTCCGCTTTAGCAAGCAAAATGGACAATCACTTCCATGATGGGAACAAAGTCAACAGGGGTCTTTCCCAAAAGAGACCAAGGTTTGACAACAATCCTCCCCAAAATGGGATAACTATGTCTCACATGGTCCTCCCAAGGCCTTCGAGGTCCGACTTTTGCTTCGATTGCGTACGGATTCTGCCTTCTTAGCGCTTTTAGATTGCCGAATGATAGGTACAACATTGAAATTATCCAATAAAATTGCTTGGAATCCAAACTCTCGGTGCATTTACCTGCGGAATGGACCAAGGATGCGGGAAAATTCGAGGTGGTAGAGCTAGAGTCCAATTGCATATTTGCTGGCCACTCGTCCTCCCCGTATGCAAGGAGGGAGATAGACAAGGTGGTCTGAGGGGAAATGCCATTTTCGAGGCACGGGAAAAGCTATAAGCTCAGCGAAGGAGCCTTCGACGGTTCAATCCGCTTTCCCAGCAGCTTTTGGCGAAAAACTGGTATATAACACACTCTGTAACGCCTCCCGTTGTCGTTCTGTTTCGTTTATATAAACGTTTCCAGGAGGTCGGTTTCAGTATCACACAGAATACTTGAAACCTCCCAAAAATACTCCAACGTGATAGATTTAACGCGGTCTTCGACAGTTCCCCACAGCATTTCAAGAAGGTCTTTTCCTTTAAAGTTTTTTTTTTCTTCCTTGACATATTTCCAGATTTTTGTTTCCCGTCTCGAGAGATTGATCAGATCTTGGTAACGATATATCAACACAACTACCAGGGATCCACCCATATACCATCGACACTATATATTTTCAGAAGACACCCTTGCAAGTCTACGGCCGCGTTTCCCATATCTCACGAAACAAAAAAATCCTTCAATTCAAATAACTTCGTTACATAAGCAAAATGGCCGTTGCGGCAACATCAAACCCAAAATCGAAAGTGGTTCTAGCCAAGCCTATGGTCCAGAGTCCGTCGAGCGGACTACCACCTTCTCCATCCCAGCTACCCTCACAATCCGAATGGGATAAAGCGCTATCATTACCCATGGTGGACAGGAATGGCGAAATACACTCGTTCGGGTCCCTCATTCAAACGGACCATGAGATCGATACTGTCCTTGTAATATTCGGTACGTTCCCGACTTTTAAACTTGCCGTCCTTGGAAACCTGTTAATAATCATTTTAACTTCTGACAGTTCGTCATTTTTTCTGCGGCCTTTGCAAGAACTACATCGAATCACTGTCACCCCTCATAACACCCGAAACCCTTAAATTACAAAGAACGCGACTTATAATAATAGGATGTGGTGGTTATAGCATGATCAAGCCATATGCTGAAGAACTCAGAACACCCTTTCCCATATACACCGACCATTCGAGGGCGATATTCAAAGCCCTTGGGATGGGCAGAACTCTACAAGGGCCAGCAAAAAAGCCGGCCTATGTAAAGACTACCGTAGTAGAAATGGGATTGAAGGCCTTCAAACATGTAATGAAAAGTGCAATGCATGGTGGGGCGCTATGGGAAGCAGGTGATATGAGCCAAGTTGGTGGGGAATGGTTTATAAGAAACGGAAAACTAGAATGGGGCCACAGGATGCCAGATACGGCAGGGCATATGAGTGCCGAGGAGATATGGGATGTTGTGAAGTTTAGAAGTGAGGAACAAGGGGGAACGCAAATCAGGGAAGGGATTGTAAGAGCGGGAACTATGGAAAAGCATGGAGCTTTCGAGCCCTCGAGAATTGAAGATACCAAGCGCTGTGGGTGTAGTTGAAGTTCACGTTCTTCCGAAACAAGTGCATCATTTTTCGGCGTTACTTCTTCCTTTCTTCATTCCTTCATCTTTTGGGTTTGCTATACGCCGGTCGGGTGGGTATTTCGTTTTTATTCATTTTGCCCGGAGCGTTTTGGGGCCGACATCCGGTCCCGTTCGGTTTTAATTATCAGCTCTGGTTACCAATAATATTATCTCCACTGGAAAAGTCTCGGGGTATAGTGAGAAATGTAAGATAGCAAAGATACTCCAATCCGAAACGACATTTATCCTCAGTGGCTACCGATGGGAGCTGATGGCGAGCCATAGTTAGCAAGACTGGGTACGCAAGACACCGCTGAATAGGATCACCACGTGCCCGATATAATTCTGCAGATGCATGTGCATAAACTGATGCCTATCACCGGGTTACATTAGTCTCCATATCCGTACAAGTTATAACATTTTGAGAGTTGGAATTAAATCTTGGCAAGAGAGTGGTCAAAATAAACAAAAGACCACTCGACATCGTAGGGCGTGCTTTGACGAGCCGATGACCGGCTTCTGGTCGCTAGTACCCTGGTATTGGGTCCACTCGGTAAACCATCTGCGTCTTCGAAGTCCCTCTCGCCTCAAGGCCTCCCAAAAGGCCTCCAAGGCTACCAACGCAGATACGTGTGGCTTCCTTAGATGCATGCTGTATATAAATCTTTCTATTGGACGGTACACTAAACGGGAGGTACTGCTTTATCGCCTCCTGGAACCCCCAATATTTGCAACGAAGCTATTCACACGCGTTACATAATATCACGGAATTTTTGATTGGCGTGGCGTTTGCCTCGTGGAGAGCTCTGCTAACGTTATAGCTAGTAGAGACTTATGTACGTATGTTTGGTTTACAATTCTGGGTATTCTGAGTGTTCTCCAGGCATTGAGACCCCGGAAAGCTTGTTTGAAGCTAGTATGACTGTTGCCATAAGACCCACTGCTGGTCCGGCAGGGCCGTCCCAATCCGAGATTGGTTATATAAACCATTCGAGGCCCTAAATTTGAATACTCGGCATTGTGTCAGTAAATCTTGTTTCTTATATTCGACAAACAGCTTCGAATCTATATATCTACGAGCTCTTAGGAGTTTAGAGGATATATACTTATATATGCTTCTCTAGCAAGCCTCCTCCCATCCTTTCACAGGAGTCAACAATGTCTTTACGAATATATCGCATGGAAACTTGTGTAGCCGAATCATGGTCAGAACCGAAGCACATGGTGACGCCAAGCCAACCGAACGGGACACCTGGAATATGGATCCTTCACTCAACGCGGATTGCCTGGCGCTGGTTAGCATGGTTACGTTTAACCACCCTGCGCAGGAAGACGTTTTAAGTAGCATGAAGCTCATAAAATAGAATGGGAGTACTAGATTTAGTTCTCTACCACCTATTCTCTTCTTCCAAAGCTTCTGCTGTGCAACATTGCAATTTATTCTACGACTGTCTGGTACCAGTGTGGATCTTTAGTTCGGTTCAATCATCAAACCCCTTCGATTCAATTCAGGCCTTCTCTCTAGTAAGGCCTTAATTTATAAATTTAGCTTAACAAGCTTAAGGTTATACAGGGTTCTTGTACAATCCTCATGGATAGGTACTGATGGAGAGGTGCCATTAATGAAATAATGGGAGTGTATATATTCCGATTCAGAGTGAGTACTATCTTTCCCAAAGAAAACAAACGCCGTGATAAAAGTTTGATACATCATAAATAGGTAGTAAGAAAAATCATAAAAGCTAATGAGAGAAGGGCTTGCCAGTTCCAGGGACCATGACGATTCAACCCTCCTTGTGAAAGAAAGAAGAAGAAAAACAACAACGGATGAAAAGGCGGAAACTAGACCAACCAGTACCAGAACCTTTGAAGCATATTCTTGGGGATCTGTTCTGGCCAGTATTCTGCGTCAATAGCTGCCTTCCCGGTGTACAAGTCGACTTCAGCAGGCGTATGGATCTTTGTGCGCTTCAGGACTTTCCAGAATACATAGAGGACAAAGAAGATTGGAATGCCGATATATGCAATAATGAAGTCCTCGACTTTCCAGTTGCCCTTGGTGAAGACAGCGAAGCCGTTGAAAAGGATGATGATCGAAAAGAAAACGAGGCCACACCATGCGGTATATGGCTGTCCCCATGCACGGAATGGAAGGGTAGATCTATCAACGCCTTGGGCCTTGAGGGCGGCGGTGAACCGGATTGAAGCCACGCAGATTGTAGCCCAGGTGAACAAGTTGGCGATGGTAACGATATTAGAGAACCAATTGAAGACATTGCCGGATCCGCTGGAGACAGTCATGAAAGTAAGGAGGGAAACCGAGGCGGTAATTGCGACACACCAGATTGGGACACCACGCTTGCTACATTTGAGGAGGAATCGTGGGGCTTGTCCAATCTGAGCCATGGCAAAGAGGTATCGGGAACCGGTATAGAGGAAGGCATTACCAGACGACGAGGCGGATGTCAAGATTACCGCATTAATAATGTGGGGGAGACCCTTGATTCCGGCGCGGTCAATGGCGATAACCCATGGGGACTGAGCAGCACCGGGGGCACCGTCAGCTTGAGCTTGAAGGAGTTTGGTGTCATTGTATGGAACGAGGACGCCGATGGCCAATGTTCCGAGAACATAGAAGAAGAGGATACGCCAGAAGACACGACGAACAGCCTTGGGGATGTTCTTTCGAGGGTTTTCGGCTTCACCAGCAGCGACGGCGACCATCTCGACACCGCCGTATGAGAAAGCTGCATTGACCAAGGTGTTGAAAAGACCAAGGAAACGACCAGTATCGCCAGTACCAATGTACTCCTTCATAGCACCTGGATTTCTCCAGTACTGGAAGCCGTACCTATGCCTGTCTGGGCCACCGCCAACATCGAGGATGAAAGCAAGGATGATTAAACCGACGATCGTGATGATTTTGATACTGGCGAACCAAAACTCAGCTTCACCGTATACCGAAACTGCCCAAATGTTGAGACCGATAATAAGAACAATAATAACCGCGATATAAATGGATGCATGATCGGCATTGTGGTCCCAGTATCCAATAACGAGGGCAGCAGCAGAGATTTCGACGCAGAGTGTGATAGCTGAATTATACCATTGGTTCCATCCGACAGCGAAGCCAAGAGCTTCGTCGACGTAACGATCAGCCAGTTGGGGGATAGCACCAGGAAGAGGCAACCAGGTAGCCATTTCGCCGAGGCACTGCATCATAGCAAAGATCGCGACACCAGTGAATGAATAACCGAGGAGGACAGAAAGAGGACCGGAGCCAGCAAGAGCTCTGCCAACACCCAAGAAGAGACCCGTTCCGATGGTACCACCGAGGGCGATGAACTGGATGTGACGAGACTTCAGGCTACAAATTTTTTTCTAGTCAGTTGCAGTCCACAATAAAAAACATTTAAAAAAATGGGAATAAGGCGATGACTAAGTACTTACCCACGAGCGACGTAGCCGTACTTCTCGAAGTCCTCGGCATTTTGGTATATATTGGCTGCTTCATTCTTAGCAACTTCTGATCGTTCTGGCTTGACGCCAACCTCGCTGGCGCGATGATCGTTTTTCTCAACGTTTTTCTCAACGTCGTCTGACATATTGGTCGAAAGCCCAAGACGGTCTGCTCAGTGAAGAGGACGATTTGACTGACACGGCCTCTTTGTGGAAAATTGATGTTGCGTTTCGCTTTTGTAGGTAAAAGCGTAGAGGAAGAACAATAAGAGTAGGATGAGAAGATTGATGGGGGGGATTGATGGGATTAGAAGGGCGAGAAGAGGCTTCTTATAAAATAAACTCGAGATGTGTAGAGGTAACAGGAAACTACCTGGGTCTCCAGAAGAGGTGGCGATCCGATTTCAATCAACTGCAACGGGTGGTACAAAGGTACAAGCAACCATCCTAAGATACTTCTTACATACTACGACAACCGCTGAGGCAGTTCTCCTCGATTGCTGCACGATACCACCACCCATGCTGCCCAACACCGAAAAGAAGCAAAGGATTCTATCGGGCAGAAGAAAAAAGCAACATATCTGCGAAGGGTCTTATGCATGTCGCAAAAGTAGGAAATAGCGAAACAGATAATACTACTGGTTTGCCGAAAAGTCAAGCTAACGCCCGAAGGTCTCATATTGTGTGCTAGGACGCGGACGAGCTGCACCCCGGAGGTGTTACCAACCTGAACTTGAACGGAAAAGGCGAGAATCAGGACAGGCGCGTCGTCGGGTGGCTATATCAGATCAAGGTAACGGGCAAAGTCTGCTATTTCATATGCCGACTTGCTGATCGAGCCCTCGGTCTTAAATTTAACAATGTCTTGGATGAAGAATGGAAGTATTCCACAGACATCGACACAGAACATTTGAAGACCCTATACCTTCAGAGGAGCCGTTTTCAACAAAATCCCCAGGGGTCAAGATGGTACAAAATCAACGCCCCGTATTCATTGAACTATCTGTCATTTCAAATTACGGCAAATAATGTGGTTTCCAGTTCTCGGGCAAGAATGTTTGGTTACAGCACGTCCGTCGGGATGGGCTGGAAAAGTTGGATTTGACATGAAGGTGAAGGTTCAATGTTGTCCTTCGAAATTCCCACATGAGGATCCCAGATAGGCAGCAGCGTCAAGGAAAAAGAAAGAGACATGCGTCACAAACCCATGCTCCGGCCCACCGCCGTCAGTTGCAGGGATTAGACGAGGCTTCATCGACACAAGCAAAGCCAATATGCTGGCCTCCGCATTGGCATGAACAAAACTCCGCTTGGTATCGAAAAATTGCTTGGTTCTATTCGTTCAATTCTGCATGGCTTGGCTTCCAATTTGTCTTATTTCGAAAAGTAATCGTCTACACAGACGTCAGTCAGCAGCTTGGAAATCAATTTCTATACAGACTAGGAATCGAATACTTCATCTGCGGCGTTGTGGAACCATGGTTTGAAAACCTCGGTTCGAAATATTCAGAATGGTAGGCAAATAAACTCCAACACAGAGGAATTGCCATCAAAGCACCTCGTTCCTGGTTCTGGGGTGATCCTAAATTACCATGATCTAGGTCTTCTGAAACGAATCACGATACCTAGAATGGCATCTCTGATGATTCCTAGCTCCCACGCTTCTAGATATGCTAGCACCCGCCTGTCAAAAGATCCAAATCCCATGGATTTCTAACGCATCGGATATCTACGGGGTGCAAAGCAACCCAAGAAAGACACCCAACTTACGCCACCCAAGCTTGTTGCCTAGATTTCATCGGTGTATTTGCAGCTTGGCCTCAGATGCCGTCAAGCCATTCACCCACACACGCAAAGCGGTGGGTTTGCCCCATCGATGTTGCAAAAATATTAAGCTTGAAATACACGCGAACCACACATATCTTTTGCCTCCTTACTACCAGTGGAGAATTAAAATTAACTTCACTCTTATCGGTGTCCTCGTACTGTGAGGATACCTTTGGTGGGGGATCATACCATTTTTTATGATATCTTTGCTTACTTCCTGAATATCTAGCCGTTATCATCACGATAGAGAAGACTAGACCTTCGGTTTGTTGCTTTCTGGCGCCAAGGACTCTTGGACTGTTAGAGACCCACCCATATCTAAGGAACCTGGGTCTAGTCTGCTGCTGCCTGGAGTTGCCCAAGAAGACTGGACATTTCTTTGCATTGCTTATATTCTCTTGACCATGAGCTTGGACACGGCTGTAAAGCTTGTTCTCTGAAAGCGAATCAACAGTTGGCGCTAATACTACTGCAGACACACGGGGCCCTGTTTCCCATGCCCTTTTAACACCTTTGTTGTTGGACTGCGAAGTTGTAAGGCCGGGTATCTTTCGGGATGTAGCAATGTTATCCGAATATTGATGTCAACGTACGTTTGCGATATCTGATAAAGATTGAGTGGGAATACATCCCGAGCTTCAAGCCGGCGATTGTAAATCCTAGAACTCGAGATTGCAAGCATGAGGCAGGCCACAAACGCGTGCCCTGTAGTCCTATTATATTTGCCTGCGATGCCATTCTATATGGAATATTGTGCAGAGCCGTCCTGAATTCATGGCTTATCACACTTCGCGATAACGAGATGTTCATTCGTTTCCGAAACACGACAGGCCTGGAAATCTAGATATATCATCCATCCTCCTCTTAATACGGCAGGTGATAGTGGTTCTAGGGCGTTGTGCTGTTCTACCTTCTAGCCTATCGTATGTGCCGGCACCATTTTCAATATTCGCCATTGTATGTAACTGCCGGCTGAGTTATATTATATTGTCTATATTAATTTAATTATCCCACTATCATTTCTGACAGCTTGGTTCCATCGCATGTGGTTTACAATATGCGAGGCTCACATGCACATCTTCGTCCCGGGCGGCCCCGTTGAACCCTCGTTGGAATTCTGTGGACGTGGGGGGTAAGATGATACGGCTCGTATTCGCAACCCGGCAGCTACATGCACCCGCGCTAGGATACCGGTACTCATTAAAAGAAACCTTTTAATGTGAAGTGAACTGCATAAATTTAAATGTATCACGACATCAATATGATTGCACCGATGGCCAGCTTCAAGTTAGTGGCTCTTTCAGCTGACCCGATATAGAACTCGCTGTAACTGATATGGGCAAGTACTCGCGGCCTCATCTCGTAACCGATCGTTCCCCTATGGCAGACATCTACATCATCTCTCCAGTAGATTTCCGCATCGCTACAGGAGCTAGTTCTTAAACACGCGACCAGGTTGAATTTAGGCAGCCGACGCCTCTTTCCCCAGATTATTTGACCTATAGCGTTTTTATGTAAACGGCGATGCAATCAATACCCGAATTCCCATTGGCCCGAGATGTCTAGTTCAAATGCACCCTCTCGGACCACACTACCAAGATGGGACGACTCGTTGATGCCAGTAACCTCGAAAGTCTTTCTCATATTCATGTTCAGACCTCGAAGATAAGCGAAAGCCCCACACACGCAAAGCTACGCAAAACACACGGCTTCCCTCCGCTCTCCGACGAATTCAAATGCGCTGCAGCCCAGGTAGTGCCATAATCAGAGCAGGTTTTTCTTCTTGCATGCATCGAAAAGTAGCCATCCCATAACAGGATTTTCTGGCCAGCCACCTTTAGGGTCCTGTTTGGATTGGGCAAGATTTCAACCACACTAATTCATGATTATTGAACGTTTGGGTCTCATGTCGATAAGATACTGAGATCATCGAGTGTTATAGGAGACGGCCTCTTTTTTCTTTTCGGACTTCCCGAGGCCGCAGGTGATCTGCATGATACATACACCACCACGTTTTTATTTTCCTCTTTTTTTATTTTTTGTTTTTCCCCCCCTCCTTCTTCTCTTTCTTTCCTTTCCATTTACATCAGCGGCTTACCATCCCTTGGAGATTTTCAAACTTATCATGCTACCGATATCTGGGCCAATTGCTTGTTCCCCGACTAACTTACTTGGCTCACGCCAAGTAGAATGTTCCCTGTCTAGCTGCGCAAGGCTCTCAGGTGGCAACCAACACAGAACTTGTGTTATAGTTTTTGTATGGAGGTACTGGCTAGCTGCAGCGGGCTTGATTGAGACCAACTTACATTCGATTAGTCTCATTAACGATCGTTGGCTTGGATCCATATTCTTGAGATACCGAGTAGTTGGTGCGGGGCTACCCAGCTCTTTGCGTAACGTGGCCACAGTACCTTGACAAATAATGCCCGTCCCTTTCTTGGGCAAATTTGGTACCCAGGCGCCTCCTCAAGTACAAGTTCTATTCTTCCTCTACTTCTTGGGTCTAGAATCAGTAAACTGCAAGGCTAGCCACGGCAAGTTTTAATTCGTGGTGTCATGTTCAATGTTGCCTAAGTATTCGTTCCAAATTTCCCTCAGAAAGCTCTCACTTGATAGATACCGAGATATCGATTAAAAGTCGTGACTAATTCTTAATAAGGACTTCACGTTATGGCACTAACCAACTCGATGGTTATCTTACCCATTTTGAGTGGGTTTAGCTAAAGTTCAGGTTGACGAAACACCAGCTTCAGAGTCCAAGCTGTTGCCTAGCTAGCAGCTCTGAAATAAACACCATCGCTAGAATCTTTGATGTGGATCTATTGATTATTCTCGAGTAACCCCGGGAACTCATGGCGGCATATAACCAACTCTTTCCTTTGAGCCGTTTTGAGCCCGGTTTCCAGGTAACATACCCCAGTTTCCGATCTACTGACTTGGGCGTCGGAATCAAACTATACTGTGTAGTCCCCCACAAAACGTACATCGCCCGTAGGCATCTTCCCTGCGGGTATCAGTGATAAGCTTTTTGCATTTGCATATGTTCCGAAAGCCGAGATATCGGATCTCCGGCTAGGCATTGCGGTGGGTAGAATACTGCATGAAGGGCTGACGCGAATGTTCCGTAATATTCCTGCATTTCATATCCTCTGCCCATCTACGTGACGGAGTATATTTCTTTTTTACCTATATACCATCCGCCGTCGATACATGGGGGTTCTTGTAGCGGCTTTTAAGGCTTCGAGGGGCCTAGGACTTCTATGGAAATTGCAACCTATGGTACTCTAGGCAGATCCGAGGCTGTGGTACGCGGTAGCAATTTGTCACCAGGTGTGATTTCACTAGGTATATCTACTTTTATGCATATATGGATACTTCTAAGGCGTATAAATCGGATCTTCTGTTGTACAACAGCGCGTGTGTCGGACTTCGAGTTAATTTCGAGTTAGAAATGTTTGGATCTAACTTGGGACTTTGTAGGAAATCCGAACACACTCCGATCTGGTGAGCTCGGTCAGATCGACTGGCCGATGCCCTAGTTAATGGTCTATTCAGGTGCCAGGATACCCTGTTTAGGCTCCAGCATACTAAGGGGTCGCTGTTACACGAATACACAAGGTCATTAATTTGCAATTGCCCTTAGGATTGAATTGCAACACTGGCGAGCGCTGCACTGACGGCCGAAGTGGTTCGCTATGTTTAAATACTCCTTAGTATATACCAGTTACGTATCTTACGTTACTACATGGTAGGTACGTATTGACCAATGAAGATCGATAATGTATGGTGCGATTCATGACAAAGTAAGAAAACCTATGGTTCCTTATCTTCGAATATATTACACGTATACACCTGATGCATGCCGTTGAAGCTTCGCGACTTGTACATGACTAGCCAGCAGCTACCTAGTCTCGTATCGCAGACGCGGGCAGCTACCTGGGTACTTACTTAGTTACATAGAAACATGCGATTTTAATTAATGAAGGCGTAACACAAGCTTCTGCCGAGTCGCCTAATATCTATTCCAATCCTAAATAGGGCGCAGCTCGTCTCCTCGAAATTGGAATGCCCACCGGCGTTGACTCGCCTAAAAGCCGACAGGCACTTGCTTTATAGGGAAGTGGTTTCGAAAATTGTAGGGGTATCTTTTGCGGGGCAGTAAGGCTGCAGCTTTGTTTCAGACTCTAGAGCATCCTGTTGTAGCCCAACGTACGTTAACCTCGAACCCAGGTGCTCTTGTTACGAGGCAGAGTCCAACGTTATATATGTGTTGAAACTGGCTAATTATATATACATGGTCGGCGCAACTTTTGAAGGTGGCAGCTAATGAGGTCTAGATCTATAGACCGATGATTTCGTGCCACATATATCAACAAGCTAATGACTTAGTTTGTGGGTAGTAGCTATTTCTGCGATTAGTTCCATATTGCAATATTGGGTAGCCGGTACCGGAAAGCCCGAAATGCCGTTGTAGTCATGGAATTTGATTAAAGACGAGTATACTCGAGTATCGACTTTGAAAGATACTTGCAAGCACGACAAAATTTTAGGACGGACTCTAGGAGCCCATTATTGACAAAATTTGCTGCAAACAAGTCCCTAAGAATCGATCTAGTTTACAACGTTTGAACCCCCAGTTGTTACCTGGATTTGCTCAATGTGTAATAAAGATTTGGCTCCCATTCAGTAAAGATTATAGATCTAAGGTTTGAACGTTCATGTGACGAAAAATACCACATATGCCATGAATCGATACACAGGAATGTTCTAAATCAGGAACACTCGCCGTCGTAGGACGAAGCAAGGACAACTAAACTCCGAAATGAGAAATACCCAAACTCATCCGTTAACCCACTCGTCGGCCTTCAAGTCCTGAATTGGTAGCTGAATATTTGAATATCGACGTAACATATGACCGAAAGAAGTTGCGGGAGCCGACGGGAACCGTCTAGATGCGTGTGCATCTACTGTTAGGAAAAAAACCTAAAGCCCACACTGATATTGATTTTTATCTAAACGACGGCCTATTTCGTGGTTGACGTCTTCATCCTTTCGACTAGCCTGATGCAGTGGTATTAATGTGCAGTATGTTGCATGTTGCTATATTCCAATATCTTCATTCTCCAGGATTCCTCGGCAGTTCGGAAATAACTAGGCTGGGATGCACTGGTATTTTATCTCAGCATAGCGTTTCTAGATCTAAATATCTGAATCATGAAGATATTTTTTTTTGTCCGGCTGCATTTACCGATATGACGACAAGATCCCGGCAGATGTGGGTTAAACGAGACGTACAAGTCTTGGCTGCAGCTTATCGGTTGCTTCCGGAAGGTGGAGTATCCCGTTCGTCTCGACAACATGTATCCGCTTGAAAGCTGATGGATTCTTCTCCTGCGGAGTACAGCCTGGTAAAAGTTCTGGTCAGCAGGAATATAATGATTTCTCAGAGCACGTCTATGTATACTGTTATTTGAGAATAGAGCGGGGAAACTTTGAGGTTCATTAAGGAAAGACTGGGTTTTATTATTATTTGACGCCGTAATATGCTAGTTTATGCTTTGCTATGCTACAAAAATTGAATTCCATGCAACTTAACTTCCAACCATTACCAATATCCTGAAACTAATCAATATCAATTAAAATTAATCATTAAGGAGCGTGTGTGTGTGTGTGTGTGTATGTTATAGTAATATGCTCATAAGGAAATCCGTCTCGTATTCGTCGTTCGAAGTTTTCTTTTTTTGAATCGTGATGAACTGAACCATTTAGGTTGTGATTTTTGAGGATCTTTGAAGGATCTTTGAGATTGTTAGATCACCGTAGAATGGTTCTCATATCGAATCTCGTTGTATTTAGGCCCAGCAGTTGCTTGGGGCATCCTTGAAGTAGGTGATATAAACAGGGAGGACACCCTCGTTGGTGGTACCGCTCGGAGAGACGCTGGCGAAGGCCTCTGGAGATGCGATAACAGTCTCAACACCGTCTCTGGCGACATCGATGGCAATGAAATTGAACGAAAGGTTGGTCTTTGGGTTGCGAGCGCGGAAGCATGCACCGCAGGATGGAGAGTTCCAGGAAGTAACAAACTTGTGGGCAGCAACTTGGACACCTGGCTTGAGCTTGCTCCTGAGCTGGCTGAGGTTGTTAACGGTGCCCTTGAACTTTGTGATCAAGCCATTGGAACCGTCGGAGCAAGCAAAGCTGGTAAGAGGAAGATTCCTGGAGTAGGAGTAGTTGGGATCGTATTTCAAGACGCTGGCAGAAGCACAGGCAACCAAGAGGAGGAGAGTGTAGAAGAATCGGAACAACATTTTGATTATTGTTTGAAAGTGTTCGTTAAAAACGAAGGTTATAAAATATAAAGATTATATTGAGTGTTTTGAAGGTAGCGAATGTATTGATGCTGATGATGATGATGATGCTGATGATGATAAAAAAAAAGTCAATTCCAAAGCAGATTCAATGACTATATATACTTGAGAGCAGACAGTTCGGAGCCCTATGGCTCCCACGCCGCATTAGTCTACCATCACCACTTTCGATCGCGATGCTCACGGGATTCTGTGAATATTCATCCGTGAGGTTACTTCGAGGCAAGGTTTGTCGAGCGAACAAGGACTAGGGTAAGATAAAAATAGTAGAGTTCTCGTTGTTCAGTATTCCTCTTTGCGTCACAAGCGAAGACAACCTTTACAAAAAAAAAATGGCGGGCTGGCCGGACATGGCCCGTAATCGCCATTTAGGGGATAGTGTCGTCTAGTTTTCCTTTCATTGCCTCCAACCTATGAACTCAACCGGCGAAATGCTTAACGAATGTAACCCGAGATCATGAGAAGTGACATCAGAAATGGACCTAACTGCCCGAAAGAAAGCTTTTCGGTGAGGTGATATCTGGCGTACGAGCGGCAGAGCTTGGTATATTTCCGGTGATATTCACATAACGTCTCCACATGCACAGCATGCATTACATACATACATAGTACAACAGCTTGAATTCTGTTTGTTCATTGTGAGAATAATCCGCCTTTGTTTGTGTCTTTCATGTTAGGCATTGAGCCGTTTTGACGACGTTAGTCGGTCCAGAGCTCGCCACCAGGTCATTTCCCCATGTACGATACCACCAACGTGGATTAACGGTAATTAACCTGGCTGAGAACTCGAAGTATTGGGCATATATACCGAATCTGACAAACATCTTGATAAGGGATTTCCGTAATCACTAGGTAAATATGTACATGTACATGTAATGTAATGTACTTACTTGCTAGGCAGTTAGTATCGGTGACCTGTACATAGTATGTAGACTATTCCTTTTATTTTCCACAATCACTTAAATTAATATCAAATGCAACCTAACTGCACGCCAGGGCTGAGCCGGAGACAATGTCTACAACTGTTGTCAATTTTGCCGCATTTGCTTTGCATGCTTTGCATGCTTTGCTTTGCGAACTTGCATGCGGCGGTATCGTCAGCCCAATATTATCATGAGAGTCGAGTCTGGAATATCAAAATTGGTCGAAATGTTCGCCAACATAGGAATGTTTTTCTCTGCTCGACTTAGCAATAAAGCCATGTCGCAGCAGCTAGTCGGAATCAAGGCGAGCCCCTCCACACTCTTGGAAGCCCGGTTATGTTCTGTTTCTGGCGAGGAGAAGGAAAAAAAAAAAAAAACTGGCGGATGCCTTAATTCAGGGCTTCTGCACTGTAACCTTTTTAAGGCCATCTTGTCGAACCCTGTTCATCGGTGCATGGGGTGTGCTCTGACATTTCTCTACTATGTAGTATAGTTTCTCCGCGCTATTCACGGGTCCGGATTCACCAACTATTCACCGACACGAGAGATTGATTTGCTTGCGTTCTATCCGGAGATGGAAGGATACCATACCATACCACATCTAACATGCAGCTCCGCCGTGCTATCTTGTCTTAGTCGGTGCCAAGCTCGCGGATTGTAAACCTTTTGGGAATATCCCCCATGTAATAATACTGTTCTTATTGCAATCTTGAAGTCTAGATCGTACATACACACAGAATCACATAGGGAGAGGGAAGGGAAAAAAGAAAGGAAGAAAGAGGGAAAGAAAGAGGGAAAGAAAGAAAGAAAGGGAAAAGAAAGAAAAAAAAAAAAACGAAAAAGAAGGAGAGAAAGAGATAGAGAAAACGAGATCTGATCGGAACTTAAACCAAAGTATATGATCACTATAGTACTATACTATCCATTATCCCTTCAAGCTTCGCAAATGTAGATTATTGAAGTGTCCGGATCCAAGATCGACCAGAGGTTGCAACATTGTCTGACTTCTTTAGTTCTGGGTACTACGACATACAACCGCTTAAACTTCAAATATCGGCTTTGAGCGAAACAATCTTTTGTAGAAAATGAACATCACCTTTCAAAATTTGCTAACCATGGCAGACGTCATCGGGCGTGGATGGTAGGATAAACAGATTCACTGTCACGAATAGGCAGTCGGTCGCGTTTATCTGGCGTGATGTTTTAACCAGCAAGAAGAAAGATATTTTTACATTCTGCACAGCACAATCATACTATGGAAGCAAGTACACAAGTCAGGCCAACTAACGGTGGTAGTGGCTTGAGCTGAGGCTAGGGAATATTCGAAGGTGCTGGTTATTTTTTCCTTTTTTTTTTTTTTTCCAAATCAGCTTCTGGAATTTTCGGCTTGCCGAATAGCGGGACAAGCAAGCCGGCCGAATCAATCGGAGATACCCAGTACGGAAAGGTGAATGAAGGTATGTAGGACCGACTCTGTGTGTGGAACCACTACACAGGACGGCGCTGCAGCAGTATACTGCAGTCTGGCCCGAGCGGTCCTTGTCAGGCCTCAGGGTTTTCTTGCGATTGGTTTCCAGAAAGCCGTCAAACATTTCGTTCAACGAATAGTCAGCGTTATTTGGTGGCTAACTGCATACGGCAGGGTCATCATCGCACCTTTCCACCAAGTTTGGCAGCATAAATTGGGAGATACTGCAGGAAACGAGATCTGGAAGTCGCAAATGATTGGCCCCTTTGCTCCTGAGATGGGTGAAGGGAACAGGAAAGAAAATTAAGGGAAAGTTTGCTGCGACATCTCCCGACAACGAAAATATCTCATTCCGAATATCCCCTTCATCCCAATTCGGCCCGGGAAATATTCGAAATTGATTGCACTTCGCACGAAATCCGAACGGTTCAATTTCCGCGCACCGGCGCAGGAAATGGCAACAGCGACCATGGCAACAAGAAAAACGTTGAGAGTAGCAAACACAGCTCTCATACTCCTACTCCGTACCTCGAACTGAGGGGGGAAGATCAGATGAAGCGGTTCAGTATATATGTCGAGAAGCAGAAGGAGGGGTGATTTAGTCGGTCGAGCTCTTAGCATCCAAATCGCTGCAAACCTAGCTGTTCTTGCATGTTCTTGCATAAGTCAAGAATGTCATTTGGGAAAGTTTTCCAATGAAATCGGGCGACCTCCAGGAAACCTGCGTTATTGATCTCGTGAATCAATCAGCAGCAGGCTTGGAAGCAGGGGAGTGAACAACGCTATACTATCTGCGGAAGAAAATTTTCAATGCTGCGGGATCGATAAGAGAGATGTGCCTACACATTATGATCGTCGACAGGCCACAGCGATAATTAGCTGCGACGGGAAGATGGCTATGGGCCCCTCATGGCTTGGAACTTCGATCGAAGGTACCACAGGCGGATGGTGCATGTACAGACACAAGCACGGTACGACGGAAGAGTACGTCAGGCGACCATCATCAAGATTGGAGTTAGCTATTAGGGCATTAGCGAAGAGCTGCCCGCGGCCGTGGCCTGCGTATCGAAATCGAAATCCAGCGCCGGCGAAAAAATTTTTCTTCTGTCGGCATCGACATGAGCATTTCGCAGTATCAACCTTGTGCATTTGTCGCAAATATCTCATCCTCCCACAGGAAATGAATAACCCACGCCAGCATCCCTTGAAGCCAACTCGATCACAAGGAACCTTCTAACCCTATTTTGAAGATATTGCAGCCAAGCTCGACACTAACAGACCTATCATTCGCAATAACTCCAAGCCTAATACATTTTCCAAACCTCTTTCGGATCAAGTGTGCAGCGCAGCGCAGCTGGGAAACCGAAGAGTGGGAAAACACGCATCGCTTCATCTCGCATCCACCCTTTTATGGACACCTCAACCAGGAAAGGTAAAAATAATAAACTCCTTCCCCAATCAGAAAAATTGGCAGTGTCAGGGAAATAGCCAAATGACTAACGACTCATTCCTTTTGTTGTTTGTCCACCCCTTCGTTCAGTCTTTTCCTTCACCAGTTTCCATCATCACCATCACCACCACCAGAGTAACGGTTGGGTAGTCGTTGTTGAGGACCGACTACGCTTTGCCCCAACTACGTACGACCGTGCAGATTCGGCAACCGTCGTCACCGGTTGCCATCGACAAATTTAAACCTGTTTTCTGCGGGGCTTCTCGGAATACGCCCCCTTTAAACATTAAACACGACTTTCAACACCAACATTCTTTTGAGATAGGTTTTTTGTTATTGACGACGGGACGCTCTTTTTTATTATTTTTTATTTGTTTTGAGTACTGGTACTGTCTTTCCTTCAGAAACCGCGATTTACGAACTTAAAAGAAAGAAGAAACGAAAAAAAAAANAAAAAAAAAATAAAGAGAGAGAGAAAGAAGAAAAAGTCCAGAGGACTATCTATTTTTATTCTATGAAAATAGTTCCGAGGACGGTATCCTTACAAAATTTCTGTCTAGTATTGCTAGGGGGCTTTCCTAGTCCCCGACTTCACCGTCGTCAAGATTACGAAACTCGGGAGCCGCGGGGGCGTGTCGATTGACCGTCAACGCGTGAAGTCGAGCGAACTCCGGTTGGAAGCGATGCCGGTTGTCCAGCACCGCTCACGAAGGTTGTCGACTTCCTCAAACACAGATGACTTGCACGCGGAAATAGATTCGCTGCAGGCCCAGCTGGATACGACGCAGTCGAATCTCGGAACGCTCCGTGGCACAAACAACCGTTTAAACGATCGTATCCAGAATCTTGAAGCACAGCTCGACGACAATGCGGTGCATGTGCAAACCCAGGAGAAGGATATCAATTCCTTGCGACGACAGTTACGAATAAGTGGTGCCGAGATTACGAGATTACGAACGGAGAGAGAGGTTTTAGAGAAAGATTACGAAGGCGTCCAGAGGGATGTTATACGAGAGCAGGATGAACGGAGAAAGCTCATGGACAAGGTCGCAGAGCTGGAGGAACAGGTGGCATCGGCGCTCCATTTGCACGTTGTGTCGAGTAACAGAGTTGGAAGTTCTGGAGGTAATACGGACAAGAAAAGACCGACTTCGTGGCTGGATCTGAGTGCAAAACTGCGGGAAACGGAAAACGAGCTCGATGCTGTCCAGCAAGAGCGAGATTGGCTAGAAGGTCAATTAGAGAAATTCATCCATGCTAAAGATGCTCTGGACAGCAATTTTAGCATCAAGAATTTACGCTCCCGGACGAGCATGAGCTCTATAGCAGAAAGCGCGCGCAGCTACGGATCGAGCAGCCGAAGAAGCAGCACATCTTCGCATGCGCCCGTAAACAAACAATCCTTAGGCCAGGAGCTTGGATTGGAATGGAATGGAGAGTACGAATCGGATGCCGACTCCGACGGTTCTGGAGACTCCGACTCTACTGAGAGAGCAGATAACGAATCAGAAACAGAACAACCGCCAGAAGTTCCCCGGATAGTAGCTGACGACGATACCGCTTCAGTCGCCTCATCCTCAAAGCAGAACCTAAAGGATTTTGCCTTGAGGTTAGACACATCTGGTCGCCCCTACCGAGGGCGGTCTCGGGCCCCGTCTGCTGCCTCGCACCGTGCTCCATCAATTGCAGCATCTATTCGATCCCGAATGTCTGCTCGCCCTGGCAGTCGACTATCGAGTTTAGATGATATACCGCCACCTCCTGTAACGGCTACTGCTGTATTCCACGAGATCGAACGCCAGCACGACGCCAAAGTTTCCAAACTGCAAAACGATATCGTGACTCTGAGCACGGATTTGCAGGGGGAAATCGAGATTTTGCAACAAGAAGTCAATGCTGCACGAGAAGAACGGGATGTCTGCGTTTTGGAGATTCAGAAGTTGAACACTGACCTAAGTGTTGCCAATGCTCGCCATGAAGATTCTATATCGACACTCGAGGTTGCTCTTGCCGCTGCAGAGGCAGCAAAAGGACAAGCAAAAGCAGAACTACAAGCCAAGACAGAATTACTAGCTGAAGCTGAATCACAAGCCAAAGCGGAATCACAAGCTAGGGCGGAACTACAAGCCAAGTTGGAATCGCAAACCCTGCCGCCCCCTGTTGTGGAAATCGTAGAGGTCCCAGCGGTCAAAGAGATCAAGGAGGTCAAAGAAATCGGTGTCCAAACAGATTCCTACGAGCCCGCTCCGGTATCTGGTGTTCCTGAGATTTCGGAGTCTCCCTTCCCTGAAATTCCTAAAGAAGAATTAGCGGACGTTGTCGAAGAACCCGAGGAAACAGTTTCTGAAGAGCTAGAAGAGGCGATGGCAGTCATCGAGGCTCCTGCCTCAGTTGAACATCCCGTGTTGCTAGAAATCGCAGAGCCTCCGGTCACCCACTTTACCGCTGCCCTAGAGGCTGAGATTGCCACGCTCAGGGAACAAGAGCAGCTCCGATTGACCGATAATCTGAAGTTGAAATCGGAAATAGACGTTTTAACTCGAGATTTAAGGGAGAAGGATACGCTGCTCCGGGCTGAAGTTGTCAGGCTGGAAAGCCATCTGGATGAGCTTATTCGCGACAACCGCAATATGAAAGATGATGCTGAGATCAATCACTACAAAGTCGAAAATCTTGCAGATGAACTGGATCGAACCCGAGAATTGCTCCAAATTCAAGCCGGCGAAAGACGCGAGTTTATGGAGGAAATAGAGCAGCTCCGGGCGCGAAATAGGGAACTGGAACTTCAAATGCGTATTCGGTTGGCTACCCCGTCTCCGGTTCCACAGGAGGGCCCGGATGAACGTTCGGCCGCCGATATGACTCCTTTTACTTTCCCTCTGAAGGATTCCTCAAGCGCAAAATCAGATTTCGAGGATGACACACTGGACAGATCTGAGGACGAATTTGCCCTCATATCTGATTCGGAATCGGACGTGCCACCGCCAGTTCCAATCCCGACGAAGCATAAGCGACGTAAATCTAGCTCCGGAAAACATAAAAGACACCATTCTAAACGAGAAAAGAGGAGGGAGAGGGAGAGGGAAGATAGAGTGGAGACTCCGAAGGAAACACCAAGTCCCAGGAAGCACTCACACTCAAAGCAATCATCAGTGTCTAAGATCCCCACTGCTTCGAAAATACCATCATCTACCAAGTCAACGAGAAAGAGTATGACGCTGCCGAGATCTGTTTCTGCACAGTTGCCCCCAGCACCAAAGTCACCGAGATCCCCACCTACGCCGCCACCCGAGCCGCGATTCGAACGCGAGTCCCGTGCATCCGCCCAAGAACAGCCGCGGGCAAGGCCATCAACCTTGGCCCTCAAAATCCCCCGACCTAGTATCAGCTTCCGTGGTGCACAAACGCCAGTTGAACCCCCACCCGACAAAACCTATTGGAAGGATCTTATGGTTGGAGGCTACTCCATGCCGCCGCATGAGTACAATAAGCATCGTCGCGACATGCGAAATTTCCATAAGAATATGCAAATCAAAGTCACGGCGAAAGGCGTCGAAACAAAAGGACGGGTTGGAACTGGGGCTGGATTCGGCGTCGGCAACTACGCAGATGAACCAGAACTCAAGCCTATTTCCAAAAAGAAAATCCCTAAGCGTAGGACATCTTTCTCTGATGACGAAACCTACACCCACAAAGAAAGAGGCGGATGGCTCTCCGGAGTGTTCCGCAAATAAAAAAAGGTTCCAAGTATATTAATATTTCATATTTTGTTTTAGCGACTTCTTTTACGTTTTTGCGATATAAAGGTTTGCATACCAGGTGTTTGAATGGTTTACTTTCTCCACACTTTTTTGTTTCTTTTCTTGATGCTTCAAATATCACAAGGGGGGATCCCCTCAAAAATACCCAATATCGTCAGATCTATTTCTTTGAATACCCATGGTTCTGGGCCCTTTTTTTATTATCTTGTTTTGTCTTCCTGTTTCGGGTAAGGGTCAGTTCCTGTTTTTCTTTTTTCTTTTTCCTTGGGACTTTGGGGATTGGGGGAAGGACTGACTGCGTTTCTTATTGGGTTTGATATTTCATATTTATATATACACCTTGGTTTTAACCACAGATGGGGAGGTCGGGATAGCGTTGTGCTTCTCAGGGAGTTGAAATTTTTGTCACCAATGGTTTAAATCTAGTCTTTGTGAAGGCGCAACGGTAATCTTCCCGTCATTTTTCTATTTCGTTTCTATCTCGTTTCTATCTCGTTTCTATCTCGTTTCTATCCCGTTTCTATCCCGTTTCTATCTTCCTCTTCTTGTACATATTTGTGGATAACACTATACCCCTATACCGATTTCACTCTCCTATCTGCTTTTCTTCTCTTTCTTTTCTCCCAGATTTTGCTGGTCCTGTTTTTCCTTTATCAACGTTTAATGTTGCGCCTTTACTCCCGCGGGCTTCTGACATGTTGCAGGCTTACTCCTACCCTTTGCCTGACAACTCTAGATTAGGTTCAGCTCACTTATCATTTATAATATTGTTGATATCAAATTGCAACATGCGAAGCATGAAATTTGACGTTATGTTACATATATTACAATCCTGTAGCTTAACCTGAAGTGCACCCTTGCTATACTACGGAATATTAAATAATGGGGGGCAGGTTTACCTCCTCAGATTCAATGGTTAATAGTTCTGATCTAGCCGCCTGCACTTGGTATCCCTAGTCATCGATTTCAACTTCATATCTCCCGACGGAATAATGATTCAGAGTTTCGCAGAGACTCTCAGAAAACTTTCATCTTGGCAGATTGATCAGCAATATGGGTGCCCACATCGTATATCCGATGTACCCGACAGAAATCCATGTCCGCTATGGAAGCAGCACGATGCCCGCACTTTTAGCCGACGAGAAGGTCGAGGGATCCTTCGTTACCTTTTTATGCATCATCAAGGGAATCCCTTCTTATTTTGCCTTTGCGCTCGATATATAGTGCATTTGCATTTATATATCTCACCCGTTAGGTACGATTTATTATATTCGCCTATACAGCTATGAGTAAAAATTGCCGGTGAAACAAGTTAGCAACATTCACAGGAGAATAACTTTTAAAATCTCGCTTTCCCAGCGATCTGCAAACTCGTCGACTTTTCATTCATCATCTTTTCCTTCTACTAACTTCCCACTATGCACCAGCTTCCGTTCCTTATGACTTCACTGGCTTAGCTCTAAGCCAGAGTTTCTAGAAGTTAGGTTATATATCCGGCTAAATATGAACACTTACCGATCAGAAAACGATGACAAAATCCTACGCGGGGCCGCTGAGGCAGGTTCGGTTACATATTATCTGGATCGATACTTGCAGTGGCGTTTATAGTCAAGTATCTTGGAAAAGTCTTTTTGCCTGAAAATCTAGCACTAGTATGGATATATAGTTTCTTGGACGTCTTGACTGACAGGTGCCTAAACTCGCTCCTCACAACGAGGCGGCGCCTTCCGATAATGACGAGACATGCAGGAACATTTTGGCTTTAGATTTCGAGTCGTATAATGTGCAACTTCTTAATTGGTGTTTTTCTAGCCCATAGTTTCTCCGCATGGCGTTTTTCGGCTGGAATTTCAATTCTGCCGGTACTCCATTTTAGCCCCGAACACCCTGGTCGCTATAAGTAGTACAAGCCAATCGTACATGCCAGCTTCGAGAACCATAAACTCGCAGATCCCATAAATATACGGGTTACGGCTGTTGAGCAGCGGTACCTTCGATCCGCAGCAACATCCATCATCGGAACCTGGATAAATGCACTCGCTGACATGGTCCACCATGGTAAGAGCTTCAGCACGTTTCTCTCTAGATCAGGCAATGCTCTCCACCGATTGCTCACCATTTATGAAATTAGCTCCAGGATTTCCGTGATCTGGGGTAATGAGCATACAATCATTCAACCGGATTCTATATTGTCCCAGAGGGAGATCGCAACTTTCTCCTCACAGGGAAAAACCAGTATATAGCGAAAAAAAAAAAACTCTTTTGACAAGGTTTAGGGTCTTGTCAAAAGGGCTCTGGTCCAAGGATAGATACAAGAATAACCAATGGATAGTTTTTCTAGCCCATCAAAGAGCTTCCTGTGGAAGTATAAAAGATAGGGGGATCTCTCGACCCCTCTGCATGGGCTTCCTTTAGTCCTCAGCGACATCGCGACGAAAACCGTGGTTCTTCGAATCACCTATTGATCATCGAATCATGCGGCGCTTTTTCGATATTGTGCGTGTGGCGACCATTGCTTTAGTTAGCAGTAGTCTCGTCAATGCACTTGGACAGACTCCAGTTATAGGATTTACATCCTCTCGAGGAAGTATCCAGCTAGCTGGACCCGACGACAATGCTATCATTGTGCTTGACGGACGAGGTTCGTATTCCAAACATTCCTTACCACAGCCCCCTGTGTGTCACGCTCGAGCTCTAGTTCTGCTACAACCCGTCGACGGACCAATTTATATGTAGGGATCTAGATCTGTTGCTAACTCGACTATTTTTTTTTTTATAGATTGGCCGGGTGTCATTAGAGCAGGAAAGGATCTTGCTGCAGATTTTGGAAAAGTGACTGGAACCGATCTCGATTACCATGTCCAAAATACAACAAAGGGTCTTCCAAAGACCCAATTTGCCATTATCATTGGAACAATCGGCAAATCAGCCTTTATCGATGGGCTTATCGCTAAAGGAGACCTAGACGTTTCCAAGATAAACGGAACATGGGAATCATATACTACTCAACTTCTCCTTCGCCCCGCAACTGCTCCGGGAATTCATAAGGCTCTGATTATTGCGGGATCTGACAAGCGTGGCACAATCTTTGGCGCTTATGATATCTCCGAACAGATCGGCGTGTCTCCATGGTACTGGTGGGCAGATGTTCCTACTGTTAAGCGCACCAACATCTATGCATTGGATGTTGACCGCGTTCAAAAGTCGCCATCTGTTAAGTATCGTGGTTTATTCTTGAACGACGAGCAGCCCGCTTTGACCGGTTGGGTTAATGCCAAGTTCCCACGAGGAAAATATGGACCTGGATTCAACAAGGAATTCCACTCCAAAGTATTTGAGCTCTTGCTGAGACTCAGAGCCAACTATTTCTGGCCAACCACTTGGAACTCCATGTTTGCTGTCGACGATCCTGAAAACCAGTATACCGCTGACTATTACGGTATTGTTATGGGAGCATCTCATACTGAGCCCATGACTAGCTCTACCAAGGTAAGACTAAATAAAGAAGATGACCCACCCTATTATCATGTTAAGATTCTGACAATAATTGCAGGAGTGGAATACACTCGGAAACGGCACGTGGGACTTTTCTGTCAATGACAAGAACATTGTTGATTTCTGGTATAAAACTATTCGCCGCGCAAAGCCTTGGGAAAACCTTATTACAATGGCAATGCGTGGAAATGGTGACACCGCTCTAGACAACCCTAACCATATTGCTCTTCTTGAGAGAGTCATCTCTAAACAGAGACAAATTATTGATGAAGTCTTCGATGTTCCAGTCGATAAAGTCCCCCAGATGTGGTGTTTGTATAAGGAAGTCCAGGGATACCCCGAGCAGGGACTGTCTGTCCCTGAGGACATCACCTTCCTGTGGGCTGATGATAACTGGGGCAATGTTCGCCGCCTACCAATTGGCGATGAACCTAGCAGAAAGGGTGGTGCTGGTGTTTACTACCACTTTGACTACGTCGGCGATCCACGTGACTACAAGTGGATTGACACTGTATCTCTCGCACAAACCTACCAACAAATGAAGCTGTCCTACGACCGTGGCGCAGACAGAATCTGGATTGTCAACGTTGGAGACCTGAAGACCCTCGTAAGTACTTCCTATGAGAAATTTACGCACTACCACCATGATAAATATACTAAAACGATTATCCTCGGTAATAGGAAACCCCAATTGATTTCTGGTTCGCCTTGGCTTATAATGTTTCATCCGTTACATCAATCGGTATCAACGGATACCTCGAGCAATTCGCAGCCAAGACCTTCGGGTCCCAATACGCTAAAGAAATCGCCGGGCTTTTGGAGAGATACTCCTTCTTGACTGCTAGGAGAAAATATGAGCTATTAGAGTCCGGCATCTACAGTGTTATCAACTACAGAGAGGCTGAGACCGTCCTTGCCGAGTGGAAAGATCTCTCTGACAGGGCCGAAGCCTTGTATAGCAAGATCCCCGCCGAGTACAAGCCTGCCTTTTTCCAACTTGTCTCGCACAAGGCTAAGGCGGGATATATCGTCTATGACATTTACATCAATATTGCTAGAAATCAAAGATACGCCGCTCAAAGAAGAAACTCTGCCAACTACCTGACCTCCTACGTTCAAAAGAGATTCCAAGAAGACTTTGATTTGCAGAAGGAATGGGACGAGCTTCTTGACGGGAAATGGATTCACTTCTTGGATCAAACTCATTTTGGGTACAATTACTGGTAGGTCTTCATCACTTCCCGACCATTGGCTTAAATAAACGTAGACGATTTGCTAACTCACAACGCGATCCGAATTTAGGCAACAACCAATGCGAAACACCATTGGTGGGCTTTCTTTCGTTCAGTTCCCGCAGAACTCTCTCGCAGGCGCTCTCGGTGTAGCTGGAGAAGGCAGCAACGGTTCCATCCCCGGAGACGATAATAACAATGCTGGAACCTTCAACAACAATACCATCGTTCTCCCGGTCTTGGATACTTACAATGCTGTCGGGTCCCGATGGATTGAAATCTTCAATAAAGGAAACGAGCCCTTTAACTTTACCATCAAGCCACATAACCCATGGATCAAGGTTTCCCAGTCCACTGGAACTATTCTTCCCTCTCAAACCAGCAACACTGACATCAGAGTCGAGCTTTCTGTTGACTGGGCCAATGCACCAGCTGGATACAATATCGCCTTCATCGATATTGAGTCTTCCGCACCATATGGAGACTTCAACATGCCATCTATCCACTTGCCAATTAGCAAAACCGCCGTGTCTTCCGGATTCAAGGGGTTTGCAGAGTCTTCTGGATATATTTCCATAGAAGCCGAACACGCTACAAGAAAGAGCTCTGCATATGAAGTAATTCCCGGCTTCGGCCGAACGAAATCTGGTGTCCAACTCAAGGACAATACAGCTAGCACACAAAGCGCTCCAAGTGGCCCTGCTTTGGAGTATGATATTTTTACCTTTAGCTCGCCAGCCAAGGGCACCAATATCACCGCCTACTTCGGCACGGGATTGAATAACTACCCGGGACGACCTCTTAAATACGCTATCGCCATCGACGATGAAACCCCTAAAGTGGTTAAATACGTCCCTGACGAGAGCTCTCCCGGAAATCTTCCACCAGAATGGCTTATTGCTGTTGCAAACAACATTTGGACTTACAAGACTACCCATACTGTAGCACCGGGCAAACACACTCTTAAATTCTGGGCCCTTGAGCCAGGTGTAGTGCTTGAGAAGCTCGTCATTGACCAGGGCAGTGTGGTTCCTAGCTACTTGGGCCCACCAGAGAGCAAGATCTTGTAAATCATGTAAATATATATTGTAATATATAATATGTAAAGTTAACGAAGGTATTATGTGGTACCTCTTTAACCCTAATGTACAGTAACAATAGCAAATGTTAAAGAAAAACCTTTGATGCACCACTTTTTATAATTTTCCCTGGAAGTTGAGCTTAGATATTCTTAATCGATATTATTGTAAGATGACATCCATTGGTAGTCCTTGACAATAAGCTTGTTTTTCAAGATTGAAGTATGGCTATAGGGCCCGCCCAGTCCCGTAAGTATCAGCCTTAACGGTGTTGTTCCCAAAAATCCAACACTGGCCAGTCTCGCGTTACACTGGCCAGATCCGTACGGACCACACGACCACGTTCCACGACACGCATGCATGGCATATACATCCTACTTCTCGACTTCCATCGAAAGTTCCAAGTGACGCTCACTATAACCTAGAGACCACAATGCGGACAAGGGCTGATAACTTCACCCCATTCGCGGATCGCCCTACCGCGGGCCAAGCCGGTGCCCATATCTTCCGTGCACTACGTCGGCCAATCGTCTGGGTCATCTTTTTTGGAATGATCATAGCCTGGTGGGGTGTAACCGGTGTTACGACAGCTATAAGGAAATGGGACTCAGTTCAAGAAGGCCGCAAACCTGTTCAAATCTATGCACACGACGGGGCGGGGTATCTCCCAGTAAGTAAATTATTTGTCGTCTGATCTGGGGGTTATTTGATGCTGACTAACGTGTATTGCATGTATAGATTATCAATGAACTCTGCGGATCGGAAGTTCATGCCTGGGACATTTGTTTCCCTAGATATTCGCATAAAAAGCGGGTGCATAAATGCAAAAAACAGATAAAAACATTGGAGGCCTGTGCTCATTCTGCGTAAGTTAATTGGCCTCATACGTTCCGTCCGGGAACAGAACATCCCTCCTTGTTGACCCTTGGGTGCCAATTATATAGCCAGGAAGCCGAGAAAGCTTGCTACCACTCAGATCCAACACTGAGCGAAACGGGTGTCTATAGCTGCGCCAGAAACCTGATGGCCAAATATTGATTGATCGGAAAGGGCTTTACGCTGTGTGGAAACAGATGCATTTTACAATTTAGCTCATCTACCTCAATGAGAGGGTCTATTGCCAGAGCTAGAATATGACTATAGTTGATTGACCGGGGCTCAGAGAGGCTAGCTTGAAGGTCAAGTGGTATCTGTATCGGTTTAAGAGTGATTTGGTAAAGGTCTTACTGGCTTGCCGTGGTGGGCCGCAGCTGGTGGCGGAGATCGATGTAGACGTTATCATGAACTTCTACCTAGCCATGCCGTGTTTTACTTTTCCTTCAACCCCATCTTCAGCATCTTCGACCCTCTACCTTCATCATCACGTTAACTTTCACGAATCAGAAAAGCCAAACTTCTCTCATTTTAATCGAAAGATATCGCAAACCCTCCTTTTAAATCCCTTATTAAAGCCGTAAAGATGCCTCCTAGGAGTGAGTCAATGCCTCCTCCCAGCGGGTTAGGTGCTTCGCGCTGGGCTGCACCACCTGGCCCTGAACCACCTGGCCCAACTTCATCCGATCCACGTCCAGTAATCTCGCGTCCTGAAATCCCACTCCCTGTAATTCCACGACCGTCAATTCCACGACCGTCAATCCCTCGCCCTGCAATCCCACGTCCTGCAGCTCTACGCTTTCTAGCCCCTAAAACTGAACTTAACGATAGCCTGGGACTTTCGCGTTCCGCCGACCTTCCCGCTAATAGCCCCGACACTTTTGATGCTGGGTCCTCCGAGCCTTATCTCTCTAGCTTAACGTAAGAGCTGCTATTCCCATCGTTGCTTTAGTAGATTTGGACATCGTCCTAACATCACTAGTGCTACAACCATCGAAGAGTCGGCTGAAGAATTACAGGCGGACCCCGCCCCTAGAACCCACGAGACTTGGCATCACGGTGAAGAAACAGAATCCAAGATAATCCTTCACTTAGAGGATATCGAATGTGTAGTTCGGGGTACCGTCGATAGTAAGGACGGCGCCTTCCAGGATGTTCCTACGATAAAGGCTGTTGCCAAACTTTCGATTGAGCTCGATAAGGTCCTTGTTTTGGACAAAAAACATGACTTCATGGCTCCTGAGAACGGAGGGTTCCTTGAGAAGGGTTCCACTGTTAGTCTCAACGTCGAAGGCGACACGCACCAAGGTCAGGGTCCAGCTTTGAGAGTCGTCATTCGCGAGGTCAAAAATAGGGGACCGGATAAACCAACTGGAGCTGGAGCTATGCAGGTTACGGCCCAGAATCCATTTCCTCCAACTTCTAGGGATGCTGTGGATTTGAATGGTCGGGAGTTTGAAGGCGAGTATGACAAACTCCCTCAAGCTATTCAAAATGTATTTGCCCATGCAACTACCGAAGCAAAAGTCGCTGTTGAAGAAACCGCGCAATCTTCCAGGGCCTCAGTAGCTGCTAGCCCCCTCGAGAGTGATGGTAAGAACTACCTTTCTAAATGTTAAGTTGAGTGAAACAAAGCTAACAAGTCTAGGTGCCACACCTTCACGTTCTGTTATCATCGCGGGGCTTCCTTACGGGTTCAAGGTCAAGCAAGTCCTCGACCTCATTGAACCTACAAAAAACACAGGGGTGATCGAAATAAAGCTCACTAAGGCATATGCCGCGCTATTCAGCTTTCTCACTCCTGCGGGAGCGCAGGATTTTCTATCCCAGTGGAAATCCGGCTTCATTACGTTCCCGTATGAGGATGAAGAGCTTGGAAGGGTTGAATGGCGTTCTAGAGTTCTTCCTTGGGGGGTGTACGTTCCTGTTAAACCCTCTCTTCGTGGCTATATTGAGAAGGGGGTAAGTTTTTCCAAACTAGGTTTTCCCCGTTGCGATTAGCATTAACCCTATGCTTAGGCCACCCGCTACCTATGTATCCATGGCCGAAACCCGATTACTATCAGAGAAGCCAATCTGACTTGGAGCCTTGATAATTATCGCCATTGTTTGGGAAACCATATATATGATGGCCGTATCTATCGAGATGATCAAGATGTAAGTCTTAGACAATTCCTCGTTTGTGATGAAAATTTGTGTATACTAATACAATCTGCTCGATGGCCGGAAATCAGACCGAGATTGCCGAACTCGAATTCCTCTCAGTCTCACGGGCCGTGCAGGCTTTGCACTTCCTAAAACCAAAGGACGGTTTCGCTCGTGCCACTTTCACGTTTCTTCCTGATAGGTAGGCTTCATTTGCTCTGTGTATACATAGTATTTTTTTCAACAAGATGTTAAGCTAACCACTATCAAACAACCTAGGCATGTCCTTCTTTAAAGCAGTTTCTTAACAGGTACGTTTTTTGGGAGCTTACACTAGACTTTCCTTTATTTTTTAGTAGGCCTTTTCTTTTATGTTTATAACCCCGTTATAACTGACCATTAGTGGTGGTTCAGCTATTCGCCGCCGCCGCACCTTCCCTTTCTTCTGACACAAAGAAGCTCTATTCTATTATATCCCATGAAGCATAGGTCTTGATTTAGGGGTAATATGCACCTGCTCTCGGGCCGCGAACGTTGGCTTTTAGTTAGCATTCGCCCATCCTTCGTTACACAAAATCCATGGGCGAAAAAACCCACTTCTTCCCTCCGTACAATATATTCAGCACATTTGCTAAGCGAATGCAAACTTGGCTTCAATTATTAATACCTCCGTGAATTACCCGCCGCTGCAGTCCGCCGAAGGCCAATCAACATGCAGCCTTGAGATTTCGGTGACAACGCATGTTAGATACCTCAATTGTGGCAATTCGGATCTAAAGTTCTGGCAAAGTTGAACCAATCAGAACCAGATCGCAGCCATCTTAACGCTGGCCGAAATCCCTGTGTCGAAACTGAGGGATCAGCTTGCAAGGTAGGGAAATGAGTGTTGGATTTGGAATCCTTTGCCAGGAGACTGGAAGCTTTTCCCGAACAGGTCAACTTTTCCAGTTCTATCTGCATTAGGAAATTGCGACTCCACGGCTCCACTGAACCGCCTCTCCAGCTCTTGGCTGCCAATGCATGCCCGTCTGGCCTTTCTGCTCCAAACAGAGGAAACTTTTGTTAGCATGGGTGCTAGCAGGCGTCTAAGCCCTGCATTCGACCAAAAGTAACCCCATTATCCGTGAAAAACAACAATGAAACGCTGCTGCAGGTGTTCTTTCGATCTAGCGCAGGTTCAGCCTCTTGTTCTATGGGAAGAGACAAAAAGGGTCGGGTTTCCCTTCGAGGATTCTCCAACTTCACCCTTTTCACTCCCCTTCCGCGAACAGGCCTTAGACTTTTCCCTTTATCTTGTAATCTATTCACAGGGTCAGCGCTCAAGGCTCGATCGATACTTCCTTCAAACTTTGATAGATTGTTGTTGTAAGTTTCCTTGGCCAATTTGTGGTTCTCAATGTTCGTGGAACCTATCAAAACCCTATCGATATATTCATAAACTAACGAAAGGGGCAACAGTGATTTATTTCTCTCTCTTCTTGTTTTCGGCATTTGTTTCGAAACAATACACTATAATTTCTAAAGATGGAAGTAAACCACGAAGCAATGAACAATGCGGGGAACGCTACGGCTGTGAGTACCTCCTTTGTGCTACCAGTTAACCATCCGCCCCCCAGATTATTGATGACAAGATCAATTTTTTTTAGCCTACATCTGCAAGGCCTAGAGAGCCATCAAATGCAATGGAGCATGATCCTTCTTCAGCACCTCAGATCGTGGACCCATCAAATCCCCCCATGAGTTTTCGATCTGGCGCAGTACCAGACCAATATGAGTCGTATCCGGAGGTAATGCCACCGCAGGGACTTGGTCCACCATCTGCGTACCCTCAGTCCGCGCAGACGATATCACCAGTTCAGCCAGGGGGCTCTTACGATAGATATGCTATATCTCCACCCCCACTCGGACAAAACCAACCCTTGATGCAAAATGCACAATACGGGCAGGCACCGAATGCCACTGAGGCGGAAAAATCATACTACCAACCAACATATGGGGTTAGTCAGCCACCACCACCGACACCTTACAGTAATGCGAATACTCTTATCCCGGATCAACATACTGCGGCTCCTTCGTACGACAAAGTTGGGGGAGCGGGTGCAACTCTCCCACCGCCTGTTGCATATAGTCCACCAGCCGGCGATGGTGAGAAAAAAATATTAGGAATGAAGAAGAAGACTTTTTGGATTGTCTTGATAGTTGTGATCGTTTTAATATTAGCTGGTATCGGTGGTGCTGTAGGAGGTGTCCTCTCGAGCAAGGATGACGGTGATGACAAAAATGACAATCTTGGTACCGATCGTGGCAATGGCACAAGAGGAGGCGGTGGTGATAACGGCGGCACCTACACCCCATACGCACTTACGACTGGTCAAAGAACACTCAGTCTGAGATATTCCGAGAGCCGAGGATCGTGCAATGATCCCGAAAATCTGGGCGGCAGCGGCGTCATCGACTGCTTTGCTACGTCAACTTATATCGTTCGTATCGATGGTAGCGTTAAAGACGGCTACACGCTCTCTAGTGTTGATGTTCAAGGAAGCACTTTCAGCAATGTTCGCGGGACTCCACCAACAACTTCAGATCCTAACGAGCCCAACAGTGGGTGGGCATTCGAAGTTTCCTTCACCCAAGGCGGATCCTGTGCAACCAACAGACTTACAAAATATGTGTTTGGCATGGATGAGAATATATATGCTATTGGAGAGTAAGTTTTGTGTAATTTCCGTAATAAAGCCTTTTTTTATTAGGACTGGGAACTAATGCATTATTTACCGGGTTTACAGAGCTTTTAGTCTTCGACAACAGTGCTCAAAACAGACTGGAGAGATATTCGCCGCAGGGACCGCGTGTACATGCGTCGGAATCTCAACAACGGCAGAGTAATAGTTAATACATTGGCGTAGAAAAGGAGTATCCATACAGCGATATACGCTATACTTGAAGCCAGACTTCTCTAATTCTTTCTAATGCATGCATGTTGGCGTTCTTATTGGGTTTTTTTCGACTTAACAGCATTTTTTGGGGAGGTTCCCAATGTTTGAATTCGAATTCATGAAGCGGCCGCTTTAAAAATGACGGGTGGCCGTATCGTTGTATATATCATACATTCACCAGCGTATCATTAGATAATATACCTAGTAGTTTTAATGTTGCATTCTTTCATTTGACACCATCATGATATCATCCAAGAACTCAATATGAAGGCAAAGTGGGACTGTGTAGGTGCCGCATTTCCGCGATAGTGGATCTTTCGAAGATAGTTTGTTTAGAAGGTAATTTATCATTTACATATACCTAACAGCACGTCAAGCTTAGCTTCGGTAGAGGGGTATGCAACAATAGCCTCCTGTTGATCCGGCACTCGAACCGAGCTCGATGATTATTAAAATACCCATTTGAAATACCGATTTTTGCAGAGCAAGTCTTCACGAAGAAGGCGCTCGATCTAGCTTGTCCAGTCGAGTAAATGATCCAATACGGTTTTAGAAATACACAAAACGTTCCGGATACCGAACTCTGGGATCTATGATCAAGGGTCCTTATCCACCATCTCATAATTCGCACGAGAATTCGTGGTGGGGAACATTATCCAACACAAATTAGCGTTGCAGAATGCCAAGACAAAACTCCAAACGAAGCGAAACACAACATGCTCCACAACATGCTCCACAACCCGAATGAGCCCCTTCATCCCTCAACAGCTATCTCAGGCCAGGGACACACAGATAAACGAGCGCCTTATCCACCCTTTTCCTGACCTTCCGGACTAAGATGTTCAATTTACCCCAGACGTAGAATGCTTCTAGCTCAAGGTATGAAAACAAATCCGCAACAGTTCGCGTTCCTCTAGAGCCTTAGCGAGCAAACAAGCATGGGCTGCATCCTTGAGAGTGCCACAAAACGCTCCACTTCTGATGACACCCTCGGAGCCACGAGTTATAATCGATCGTGGTATTGTTATTAACCCAGTTTAATTTGATGGACAGTGAAGGTCTCCTCAAGATTTCTTCATACAGGAGAAAGAACTGCCGATAGCGTCCGAAAAAAGTGACTATTTTGAGTACGATGATGATGCCTTGTAATAAGGCCCCACTATTGTTATGCCCTCATAGCTAAGTGTACTATGAAGCTTGAGCATGCCCACACAAACAGGCTTTTCTTGTCATGGATTGATGACCTCGAAACAAACAGAAACACCTTTCTGGAAGGCCGCACTTACGTCGGTCTCGTTCGCTCTTAAACCTGCCGTTCGAAAGTCTTCCGTCCGAGACCAGGAACTAAATTTTTTAAAGGGGATGCTTCAGACCTAGCCTTTCCATGGGCCACACCCGTGGTTGGAGTTATGCTGATGATCTCCTCACGAACCGCTCGGTTTCAAGTCGTCGGGCTCGATATTGGGAGCCAGTGGTGTGGGACCCGGATTAGTCCAAAAGTACTAAGTGCAGGAGAATAAGGGAATATATAACGATGTTGTCCTCCTAATATTCTGATCCCTTTCCTAATCCATTGTTCCAGTCTTGAACAACTGAAGCTTGTCTTCTTGTCATTCTTTTCTTTGCGTTTTTATATCTTTTACCTATCAAGGCGCATTGATTGCCCTTGCACGCCGCTGGTCGTTCTTTTCTGCAGATTTGATATCTCCTCTATTTGTTTTTCTTTTCTCTCTTTCTCATTCTTTCAAAAAGTTACCTTCTTTGATAGAGGGGATTACATTCTTCAGTCTTATATTTGATTTGATATTGGGATTATTGTCACCATGAAGGGTTTTACCTCGTTTCTTATCGCTTCGGCGCTCGCATTGAGGGGAGTAGCTGCACAGGTATGATGACATATTATAACCCATTGTATATTTTATAAGCCCCCTGCTCTAACACGAATCTTAGAATGGAGACAAAGTCCTTCTAGCTGCGAACGTTCAGAATGCTAGCTCGAAAACCGGACAAGTTGGTGATATCACGCCGGGTCAAGTAGAGTCTGCTACGTAAGTGAATCATATCAATCCATTAAGTTCACATCCATATTGGCCTTGTGGATACTATAAGTAAACATATACTGATATAAGTAAGATTTTCAATACAGTGACGATTCCAATTTCATAAACTTCTGTACAGGAAAAACCTTGACCGACGGTCTCCAAATCAGAACCGGATCATGTAACGGGATCGTTATGGGCGAGATCCCAGCGGCGAACAAGATGGTTTCTACACTGTTGCTTTTCCCGAACCCAGATTCAGATCTCGAGGAAGGAGATGACTTTACCATCAGCCTGAGGACAAATAACCTGAAAGCCGGATTCTTCACAAGTATGTGGTATTTCTTCTAAACATGCATCCACTCTGGCAACAGGAACCACCAAACTAATATATGACCTACTGCCTACAGACGCACAAGCAACATACTACGCTGCTCCCCAAACATTGGACCCTGACCTACAGATCATCATCGGTCATACTCACGTCACCGTCCAGCTCATCGACGATGCATCCGGCCAACCACCACCAGCTGAAATCTTTGCCTTCTTCAAGGGTATCAACGTACCACAGGACGGAGACAACATCCTATCTGCTGTAGTTGCCGGTGGTCTTCCCGCCGGCAAGTATCGTGTTTGCTCCATGTCTTCTGCAAGCAACCACCAACCTGTTATCATGCCTGTGGCACAAAGGGGTGCACAGGACGATTGCCAGAGGTTTACGGTTAAGCCTAAGGATGGTAATGGTGGTAATATTGATCCTACACCGAGTGACAATGATCCTAATGCCGGTGGTAACAACGGAGGCAACAACGGAGGCAACAATGGTGGCAACAATGGTGGAAACAATGGTGGAAACAATGGTGGAAACAATGGTGGAAACAATGGTGGAAACAATGGTGGAAACAACGGAGGTAATAACGGCGGGAACAATGGGGGGAACAATGGAGGTAACAATGGTGGTAACAATGGAGGCAATAACGGTGGGAACAACGGCGGGAACAATGGAGGGAACAACGGCGGGAACAATGGAGGCAATAACGGCGGGAACAACGGCGGGAACAATGGAGGCAACAATGGTGGAAATAGACCAACCACCACCGCGACTACCACCCGCCTTCGCCCTACCGCGAGACCTACTGTAAAGCCAGGGCGACCGACTCCTGCTAGACCTGTTACCTTCCAAACAAGAACAACCAAGTCGAAGAATACTAGGACCAGGAAGACCAGGACCAGGAAGACCAGGCCATCGTTCACCAGGCCGACTTCAGTAGCTACTACTACAGCTGCGGCCCCTGCCACAACTACTTCCATTGAAGAAGTCAATCCTACGACCTCTGCTGAAGATACTCCTGCGGTCCCCACCATCAGCAGTCCCCCGGTTTTCTCCAATGACACGGTTTCAACAAACTCGACAATTTTGAGAAGATATAAGGTTCCAGCCCCAGTATATGTACCGAAACCCCTATACTAACTGAAGCATCTTGTCGGGCCTGAGTAGCTTGCCCCTCGCGTCAAGCGGCTTGAATATCATTTTCATAGTATTCTCTCAGCAATTTTTATTCTTCCTTGTATTCTATATGTACGTATTGATTTATTAAATGATACCTCCTCTATTCTATAAGAGTTTTTTATGTATGTACATTCCAGCGGGGTCGTAGAGTGAATTATGCATATGAATCCCACATACCTCCTCTACCATTCGCCCACGGGTCCTCCTCTACGATTTGCTTTCTTCTTAGCCAGTTTGTACTTCCAGTCCCGCGTCACTGCCTCAGACTTCTCTATGCTATCCAGCTGGTCAGCCTTGGTCGAAATAGGAACTCTACTAAAATTATTTATATCTAGAAACGTAGGATTGCTTACAGTTTCTTGACACGTTCCTTCTTTTCTAGACTTGTTTTACCGGGTACTTGAGCGGATCTAATTACGGCCCGGTAAAGTTTCTCCCAGCAGTCCTTAGTGTTCGTCGACTGGCTGCGGCAGGAGTCGGATGAGATGACCATATCCCCCCCATCAGTTAAATATTTTGACCCCTATCGATATATACCACTTAGCGACATTGATTCTTATGGTGTGGTTCGCCATATAAGAGCCCTAGGCGATTCATGCTGACCTTTCTTTTCAGTGCCCCGAAAAATATTCGAGGTATATGGGGTTCTAACTTTTCAAGGGGCACCCTGAGTGTGGCCTTTGAATTAACCTTGTTGACGTTCTGACCTCCCGGTCCTGAGGATCTTGAGAAAGTTATCACGCCGATGCTGGGAGGGAATTTTGCAAGTTTCTTTTTCACATCGCCCTCGGCGATCCAGTTCCTAGCCCAGTTGAGATCATTTTCATCATATTGACGGTCACCATGTTGACGGCCATCATGTGCATGTGGATACCCGTCGTCTTTTTCATTCTTAGAGGACGAGCAGAGGGTGGGCGATCTAGAATACGCTCTTGCCGAGATCAGTCGAAGATAGGTGGATGGTTCCTGGAGCACGTGTATGCGCCTTTGGGGACGGAATGGTTGAAATCGAAACGCTAACCGCCCTATCATCTTTTTTTTTATTTCCGGTAGTATAGTCCAGTATAAAATAGACAAGCGACGCAGAAATAATCAAGCGATGTGATTTAATTAAAGTCTAGTCTTGAGCTCGATCAGGCAGACGGCGATGATTATACATTTCTCTGGAGTTCCACAGAGATCATGTGTTTGTACTTGCGCCTGTCGCCGTCCCTGTGTGTGACTCGTGCTCTAGCGGAAGAAGATATCGATATTTTGTCTAATCAGATGATGGTCGTCAAAACTTGCAGGATGGAAGTACTGACAGTCTGTGCAAGCAAGTAAGTATGGTCCTGGGATTGGAGCTGGAACTGGGACTGGAGCGTTAGCCGGGCTGGGCTGGGATGCGTCTGGAGCTAGCCGATTCCATTCATTTTCTTTCTTTGCAACGACATCATATCATCTCCGCCTCCACCGCTGCATCCAACCATCAACCAACAACCACCATCGCATCATCGACCATCCTTCCATCTCATCGCATATCATTGTATCTCTCCCTCCCATCGACGACCTCAAACAGCATCGTTCCTCTTTCACACCATTTGTGCAGCTCTGCCCTTGGAGCTGTGCTCGTGCTGTGGGGCTGGCTGGAGGGAGTTCCATCTTCCCACCAGGTGGCTAGTGCTTCCTAACCTGCTCAATCACGCTGCCGGCCACAACGTCAACAACATCAACATCAACCAATCAACTAACCAAGCATCCAATCAATCAATTCACCAACATCCCAACCTCACACCGTTCAGCCACATCACCTACTTCAACCTTCAACCTTCATTGACCATCGACCATCGACCATCGACCATCGACCACCCTACGGCTCTGCTCTACAAGACGACCTCTGTTTTCACGATTATAGCCTTTGTTCGCTGTCTGCTCCATTCTCCCTCCTGCCACCGCTTCGATCCTTAAATTGTAGCTAAAATCGCAATAATAACCAACCCAAGCTCTGATGACACAAGCACTGAGAGGCAAGACCACACACTGTTCAGAGCTCTAGACAAACACCAGCCCGAGATTTTGCTGCTCTGGCTGTGAAGGTAAAATAATCTGCAGACTAGATTCCTTAGTTCCTGAATCCTAGCCTTTCGCTTGGTCCCAAGATTGGCCTCCCACCTTTCCATCGCCATCCATCCCTAAACACACCAGATTATACTTCTATTATTGTTGAAAGCCCTGATGTCTGTCACACCACCACGGCCAGGTTCTACGGAGCCCATTTCCTCCTCGGCTTCATCTGTTTCCCAAGAGTCAGTAACCGATCCCAATCAAGATGAATCCGTTGAAATATATGAGACTAGCGTGCCTGAAGAATCGGCAACGGGCACTTCCAATGAAGCCTCATATACACCAATTGTCGACATCAATCTTGTCATGGAAACCGATGCCCAATCCGAGGATGAGCAGCCAGTCACTACATCTGTTCCTAAAGAACTCTCACCAGTATCGCCGGTACCACTCCACGTCCCCGAACCTTCTAAGATCCCTCTTCTGCTTGACCCAGCTCTTAGCCGAACAATCCCAAACGAAGAGCAAATTCCTTCTGATATAGGGTCCGCTCTAAGCGACCCATCGCTGGTTGGGTCTGGGGTGATTGAGGAAGGCAGTAATGAGACAACCGGTGACATTACTTTGCTTGATGCTGCAACGGCAGCCGTCTCCGCTATCAATGGAGTGGGCTCAGCTGGTCAACCTGTGTACCGGCCAGAGTTAACCCCCCAGCAAGCCGTGTCGACAAGCGTCCAGAGTTTTCTCCCTGAAGGGATAAGTCTAGCTTTGGATAATGTTGACACGACTATGACCGGAATGACTACGATGCCGCCTCAACTCGCCGTAGAGCCCTCTTCCTCCATCGAGATGAGAAACAGCGATGCCTTGCCTGAACCGATGTCAGCCACTCAATCCCTCAACCTCCAGGCCTTGCTCGCTAGTATGGCTGGCCAAACAAAACCTGTTGTAGAGAACGCCGATACCATGCAGCAAATCGACATGCCTGCTAACGTAATGCCCAACGGCCAACCGAGCGTAGGCAGTGCATCTCCGCCAATGTTCTCCCCCACATCTTCCATCCAGTCGCAGACTTTTCAGTCCTTAAAATCCTCCCATCCTTTGCCAAACCCACTCGCCCAAGGGGTGATCTCTATTAGTCACCCAACTAACCTAAGGCATCCTCTACCTGAGAATCCTACAAATATCCCTTTCAGTGAGATAGATGAAGGAGAGATCACGTTTTCCCCTGAAGAAGAGAGGGCGTACGAGAACTTCCTTGCGGTAGAGCGCGACTACGTGGCTAAGGGGGAGTGGGGTCGTTTTCCAGTGGGTTCTCGTCTATTCATCGGTAAATATCACCATCAATTTCGTCTGGATAACATTGAATCTAATATCGTATTTAGGGAACTTGTCAGCTGATCGCGTAAATAAGCGCGATGTATATCACATCTTCGCTCAGCACGGGAAGTTGGCGCAGATATCAATCAAGCAAGCGTATGGTTTCGTACAATTCTTTGATGTCACCTCTTGCACGAAGGCCTTGCGTCAGGAACAGGGCACTCCACTAAGAGGTCGTCAGATGCGTAAGTCACAAACTTTGAATCCTTCTAGATGCCCCGCCCTGGGACTAATAGTCTATTAGACCTCGAGATCTCAAAACCACAGCGCAGTTCAAGGAGCGGCGACCAAGTCAATGCAAGGGTTAGCACCAACCGTAGGTCAAGGTCGCCTGAAGAGCCGATGTCCCCAAGGAATAGGGGTTCTAGCTACCGTGGCCAGGGATACGGGGACAGAGATCGTGAATCTCGTAATTCTCGAGATAATGGGACTCGTGGTCGTGATGAGTATCGTCCAGTCGGTGAACGCCGAATGTCCTCTCCGCGACCTCAATACGTTCGCGAGCGAGACGATTACTATGGTCGGGACTACAACCGAGACCGTTCCAGGTCTCCCAGGGGTCGGTATAGAAGCCAGTCCCCACCCCACAGGAGCTCATTTGACCGCCCTCGCCCTCAACCTTCCCAACCCCCTCAAACCATTGACACCTTGATAGTCGTTTTCGATGAATTGGACCCTGCCTATATAAAATATGTAGACGGCACGTTTCGAGACCGAAGACTGCGGACGGATGTGTTCCATATGATGCCCCGTATCAACTTAGAGAGTCACATTAAGGAGCAGGTGGTCCAAGGGTGCAAGGCGTTTGTGTTCTTGACGCGAGCGACCCAACAAGCCAGTAAAGTCTCCATCCAGATCTTTAAAGGCAACAACGGTGCTGCTGGCCAATATGATGGTAAGCTTTCGGTTAAATTAATTCCGAATAGATATAGATATCGCGACTAACCTATCATCCTACAGAATACGACATGATACCAGCCGATTCTGCAGCGGAGCTTGTTCGTCGGGCAATTGGAAACCAGCCACAACCCCAACCTCAACCTCAACCCCAGCCACAACCCCAACCCCAATACAACGGGCATTCTCAGAGTAGTTATGCTCAGCAACCTCCCGCATACCACGGTCAACCTCATTCTGCCTATGTTTCTGGCAATCAGTCAATCTACCCAATTAATAACCCCAACCCGCAGCCCGTACAGCTAGCGCAAGCCGGCTTAACAGGCATTTTGCAGAACCTCGACCCCGCGACACTCCAAACACTCCTCACACATCTCCAGCAGCAGCAACAGCAGCAGCAGGTCACTGTCCCTTACATGCAAGCAGCCCAGCAACTGCAGAAACCCGCGGATCTCTCGGCGTTGCTCGGGGCAGCCGCCGGGCTTCCGCAGCATCAGCAGACATACGGTAGCCTAGCTACCGGTATCGATTATCAGAATCCTGCTCTTGTCGGTCTACTTGGTGGCCTGAACCCACACCCTCCACGAAACAGTGGAACTGTACAACAACAACAGCCACAACCTAATCAACAGGTCCAAAATATTATGAACCAACTAACCGGTCACTGGCCTCCTGGGCGTTAGCTTCCCGTCGCCCCCCACCCCCATCGGGGTCAGCTTCTCATCCTATACTATCTTATCTCCCCGCTGTCCACAAACAGCTTCTTTCCATCACATGCTACCTTCCTATACAAAAGTTTCTTCTTTAAATGTTGTTTTGGTCAGTTTTACATAGCATACAATAGATGGAGCAACGGAATGGCCTCGGATTGTTATTTTTTATATAGTATGATATATGATCACCTGAATAACCAAAAGAGTTTACATTCTCCGGTTTCGATCTACATACTGCGTTTCCCCCCCTCGAATCCCGAAAATAAACCCTATTTTTGATTTTCGTTATTCTGTTGTTTTATGATATCCATGTGCGTCTTTGTATTTTACAGCTGCAGCTATTCCTAACAATGGTTTGCGGGGTGCGTCTCGTGCTCAAAATCTGCCGTACTTTGATATATCCAAAAACAGAACTTAGCAAGAAGTATCTACCTATGTACTTAAGCAATAGCTTGCTTGTAGCTAATCAACCTTGTCGACGGCAAACCCCGCCCTTGATCACGAGCAGAAAACGGACCCTTTATCGATTACCATATACCGGCCTGCCAAACGGTCGTCGCTTGTACTTTCTTGAAATAAAAATTCCTCATGAATTGAAACCCTTGTCGATAAAACAAAAAAAAATCTTATCAATCTCATATCAAATCTCACATCATATCAATCAAACAAAGAGAGACGGAAAACCCAGTTTCCACTCGAGCGATGCAGCTGTCGATTCGACGTCTGCACGAGCTCGCTAGCTAAAATGTCCTGGTGTGACCTCTGGATTTACTAGCTGCAGATTTGGCCGTGCATTCTGCACCTACAGGGATGGCGCATATTCCAAACTTGAGGTCGAGCTCCCATTCGAAGGAGAGGAGCATTTTTCGTCGAATTCTTCAACACACGTGCAGTGGCAGTTCTCGGGCGGGTATCACAAGACACCACCATCACGAAGGTTTTTTTTTTGATATCACAGCATTGTCTTGCCCCTCACGACCCGGGTTTGCCGTTTCCCGTACAGGAACCAATTGATGGATAAACCACCTAATATCTCGATGAGGTGCTCACACGACATTTGGGGAAAGGACAAAGGGAAGTTACTCGTGTGAGCGAGCCTTGGTCTCACACGTACGTTCAACACCAGGGGATGAGTATAAAAGTCGTGTTGAAGTCAGCACGGTACGAAGTACGGAAGACAAATCTCTTGAAAATTTGTAATCATGGTGCAGGGTCATTTTAATGTCTCCCCAAAGCTTAGTCTGCATAAGACGCTGCTAATAAGAGGGAAAAGGAAGCTTAGCCGTCGTGAGAACAGGTTGTTTGAAAAATGTTACCGCCGATGAACCCTCGGCAGAGAGTGGGGATTCCCTTTTTCCGTTTTTTAATTTCTCTTAAAAAGCAAGCCCGTCTTCCGGGACGTGGGTTTGTGCTTGACGAACGGATAAAATGGTATCCGACTGATTGGGGGCATTTTAAGATTACCTTTGGGGGTTAAAGACAAGGAGGATAATAAGTCGATAGGAATGCATGATAATTGGGCTGACGGACATGTTTTACCAGGAGTTTGTGGGCCTTTGAATTCACGAAGATGCCATAGATTGTATGTATACGGCTAGTTGAAAGTTCTTCTCGTCAAAATCTCCTTTGATTTGGAAACCCTGGTACATAATTTGAAGGGTGATCAGGCCATATGAATGGCGTTCATGGGGTAGGGGGTTTATTCGCTAAAAGCCGCCTGGGTCGTGGTCAGAAGTTGGTAACGTTATAACAAACAATTGGAAGGGCCAGACAATGCACACTCGGACACGGAGCTCGGGGGAATAAAAAAGTTATCAAAGTTGGAAGAGTTACGGATGCTTCGGAGCCGTTTGCATCCGGATGGCTAACTTTTCTGTTGGCCCGCTGTCAGCTCGCTTGATTGATCCAAGATACCAAGGGACTTTTCTGATTTCTTGGTACGTGCGTCCAAAGTCAGAAGGAGCGGAACAAAAAAAAAGGAGGGAAAAAAAAACTTTGTGGTTCCGACTACTTCTACCTTTGAGGTTTTTTACCCTCGCATTTTTGAAATTTCATCCGATGTTTCGAATTCTCTTGAATAAGCTTGAAAGTCATCAGTCGGACAGTTCTATCGGCCGCTGTGATACTTCGTACGGAGACACTTGACCAAGTTTTATGCAGGGCTTAGTATCTACGAGTCCGATCCTAGTCTTGAAGCGGCCGTTAATTGGAGACATCACGGACCCCAAAAAACCTCTCTGCTGACCAGCAAGGGACTACCTAGAACAATGCGAAGTCATCTTCGGCATGTATGTATGTAGCCTTGGTAGATGTCGCCCATCTATACTGATGCTTGATGCTTTAAAGTCTGAGGATCCAAAGGCGTCCCAGCACGTGTCAGGGAAGCTTACGGACTATTGCTCCTTCACAAACATATATGCACTTTGAACCAAGGCTCTTGTTAGCCTCTAATCCAGGCGCTTGTTAGCCTGCCGGTTTTGCTCGGTTGGCATGCAACTATGACGATATTCTGGTTCAAATTCAAAAGCGAGAGTGGTCCGACCCAGGTGTACAGAGTAAAAGGTCCCCACGGTTCCCGCGGAGTAGCCCGTGAAAGGCTGCAGGATTTTTTTCTTTCCTTGGAGATTGGGGAACCCAAGGTTGCGCGGCCTTTCGCCCTGGATCGAATAATACCTCTAATCGCAAGTGTCAAGATATTGGCGGCGTATGGACAATAATATTCTTTCCCAAATCGGGATAGAATTCCTCACCATGTTCCCACGAGAACCCTGTGTTCAGGATGTGGTCTGAAGTTCATTCAAATCAAGTAAAACCACCTGGGCTGACAGGTGGTAAAGCATTCCAAGAACCAGAAGTGCCCAAGGGTTCTTCGTGGAGTCGCATTCTTTAGCCCAAAGCCCCATTACGTGAGCAAAGAGGGCAGTTCCCTCGATTGCGCATTTTCGAGGCTTCATTGGCGCCGGCTGCTTAGCAATTATGTCGGGCCAAGCAAACCAAAAACCAGCCGAGGCCCTCCCTTCAAATTTCAAAAAACTTAGCTCGCAGGGGTGTTCTTGATGCAAAAGCAGGTCTCGGAGCTTTCAAGATCCGATGCAATTTTTTTAAGTCAGAAACAGCTGTTTTGGAGCCGCTGGGTTCTTATTTCTGAGGGAACAAAATGTCCTTTTGTGTAATTAGATAGACGGCGCTTTGCATGGCCGTTGTTCAAGACGCTTATGAAGTCAGGCTTTTTAGAAGAGCTCGACTATCATAAGCTATCTTGACTCCAAATAAACGGAGGTGAACGGTAGTTATTTGGGCCCTTCCAAAAATACTCGTACGTAGGGTGAGCATTTTGTCATCAAAGCTGGTCAGTGCCCCGGGATGTGAAAATATGCCGTTAAGCTCCGGGGGGACACCTACATATATTGTCAGTCAGCTGGTAAGAGGGCTGTGATTCGTCGACGCACATTTCGGTAGTTTCCAAAGTAGCGAGGCTGGGATCCTATCATCCCTACGCCTGGAAGACGTGGCTATCATATGTAGATGCAATCCAGGAGCTAATGGCAAACTTGTGTCGAAGTTAGGACATTTTGTGTGCTTATGATGGAGAATTGTCATTAGCTTGCAGATGATCGGCCAATCACACCTAGCGGTTGGTTGCGTAGTACGTAGGTGGGAGCTTGTCGGGACCCGCGAGGTAAGGCTGGCCGACGGGATCTGGTTGGCTGACTGCGGGATGAAGCATGCCCTAACCCACGTTAGATGGACAGTGTCGTGCGAACAGAAGATGATAACAAAACGGACGATGTTCAATGGCCCATTGCACTCGAATAAAGGATATCCGAACGATTCTACTCCACGCAAAGACCATATTCCTCAAACCATTGTATCGATGAATACAGAATAGCAACCAGTCGAAGAAATGTTTCTCAGCCTGTACCGCTTATCCTGTTGAGTACGTGTGCATGAGCTTGGTCAAGGAGTGGAGAGAGGGCTGGGCGTTAGCTGCAGTGGTGATATCTTGGCATCGATCATTGCCGCGAGGCTCCGGGTCATCTCTGCGTAATGTCTACTTCCATATGTACTCCGTACCCCTACTGTTATTCTTCTTGTATCAGATATCAGATATTCGTATTTCCTTTTCATATGAATTCGTTCCCAAAGTCTGCCTGACGTTGCGAAAGGTATCCCGTTACAGTGAGCCTTTCTTTCTCCTCCGCGACAGCAATCTGACAGGGTAAAGCAGTTGGAACCGCCCTGGAAATTGATCTCAAACACTTAAACGGCTTGGGAAGCAGGGCTACAAAGAAGCAAGAAAAAAGAGAATCAATCAAAGCAGGCCGTACCAAGCGTCGGACCTGGCAGGCATTACGACTCTCCCGCACCGCAGCGTCAAAAGTAGCCAACGGGAGCCGATACTCTGACCATTTCGTGGAAGTAAGGCGGGGCTCAGCGGTGTTAGTAAGGCTTCGGATCTCGGGTTTATTTTTTACTTTGACGTGCAAAGCCTCCTCCATCGAAGGTGACGCTTCAAGTTTCCCATCGACGCAAGAGATAGGTGCCCGTCGATGTCGTTCGGCTTGGATAGGACGATTCGAGATGTTTCCCCTCATTTTGATGCTCCGTAATTGAAAGAGAGTTTTGTCTGGAGTGCATGCAACCGTCGACGTCGACGGCTGGTTAGTAGCTTACTGGTAATGTACTAGCGGACTCCTCCCGTCTCCATGTATGAAGTATGTATGTATTGCAGTATACCGTGTATGAATAGATGTACACAGGTCCATACATACACTACATATGGATGGGATGTACATCTACCCAACTGGTCGGGATTTGGATTTCTTGAAACGGTTTGAGTCTGGGTTTCCAACCGAGCCATCCTCGTACGTCGTACATTGTCTGTGGTTCATTCGTTCGTCGTCATTGCATGTTATATACTTAGTAGGTATACACTGTTAAGAAGCTTGGCCGGCAGATGCAGAAGCAGAAGTACCTGCTACGTGAGCAGATATTTAAAATGCATTGATCCTCCTGCCTGCGGTTATATTTTTAGTCGACGATATCCATGTAGATACTATTTATCGACTTACCTACAACGATATAACAAACAATATCTCTCTTCCGACACATATTTTTTCATAGACATTCCCGCGCATCGCTCGTTCAGACGCTTCCGGCAGCCGGGATCTTCAAGAAATCGAAAATTGAAAATTTTAAAATTGTCGAATCGACCAGCAGTCGGATCCGGATCTCAAGGAGATCCAAAATTACTAGTACGGAGTAGTACGTAGTTCGCCTGGGAGATACATAGGGCTAGCGCGGGAGGGTGAAAGTAGCAGCGCTCGCCTGGATCCCCCCGGGACGACGTGGTGTTTGGCTGACCCAGCCCGACGCAGCCAGACCCCGGGCGTCCAACCAACCGAAATAAATTTCTGGCTTGCCCCTTCCCTTTCGCTTTTTACTCACCCATTCATTCACATTCACACTTCCACTCCCATCCGCCCTTCTCCTTCAACCACCTCCACCTCCACACCCGCCCTTCTTCGTCTTTCCCTTCTCGCGACCGATAGCTTGGACAAGACTTACTAGACAGAGAGAGAAGAGGAAGATCGAAAGAATCGGTCTGTGGTCGACGACGAGCCGTTGCTTGCTTGCATTACATCACAGACGAGCCGTCCGTCTCTTTTTTCCTTTTCATCGCAACTTCCGACAGATCCACTCACCCACACCCACAACCACCACCACCATCTATTTTTCTCTCACGAACTACTTCACACAACTATATCGTTACGACAAATAGACAGACAATATGACTAGCAGCAGTAGTAGCACCACCAGTACTACCAAGTACTTTGCATCTTTCAAAGATGCTGCCTCCTCTCCGACATTATTCTCTCCAAAAATCGCCATACACTGGCCTTCGGTTCCCATGGGTGCTGTTATCCCACACAGGTTCAGGAGAAAAATAAGGTCGACACTCAGGAGCGGATCCTCACCAGCTTCATCTTTGGCTCGACTCCAGACTTCCATTGACCCTGCAGACACATTGAAGGCTCTTCGGTCGCATCAATGGTCATTCTACGATGCTCAGTATCTCATCATAATCGTCGTCGGACTCTTCTGCTTCTCTGTCATCGAAGTTCCCGGTCCTCTCCTGAAAACTTTGATAGCTACGCTCCTTCTATCCTCTCTCACAATCCCTCTCACGAGACAGTTCTTCTTGCCGCTTCTTCCGGTCTTGACCTATCTTATCTTGTTCTACTCCTGCAAGTATGTATACTTTTACCTTTTCTTTTTCCTTTCTTTTCCCGCTTAATTGATGACGCCAAACTGTCTTACCATTTTGGACGGACCGTGCTCTTCACCGACTTGTCTCTGGATCAACAAAATCTTGACCTTGACCCGTCTGCTGAACTCTAAAATAAACACAAAAAATTACATGACTTCTCCCAAGCCAGCGATGTGTTGCTAACACCGAACTTTCCGCCTAGGTTTATCCCAGCCGAATGGAGACCCCATATTTGGGTTCGCGTGCTCCCTGCCCTAGAAAACATCGTATACGGAGCAAATTTGAGCAATATTCTGTCCAAGCATCAGAACGCTTTTCTTGATATTCTCGCATGGATTCCGTACGGAATTTTGCACTTTACCACCCCATTCATTACCGCCGCCGTCATGTTCATTTTTGGAGGCCCCGGAAGTTTGCCGGTTTACTCGCGAACATTCGGATACATGAATGCTTTGGGTGTCGCGACCCAGCTTGTGTTCCCAAATGCTCCACCATGTTTGTCCACCACCACCCCTAAATACACAAAATCAATCTCATCGATGCTAATTTGGTCGTTTAGGGTACGAGAACAAGTATGGTCTTGCTCCTGCTAACTACGGCATTCAGGGCTCGCCAGCCGGTTTGGAAAGAGTTGATAAGCTATTCGGTGTCGATCTTTACACCTCTACCTTCACTGCCTCCCCTATGGTTTTTGGAGCCTTCCCTTCATTACACGCCGCTGTCGCCACAATGAATGCGTTGTTCCTTGGACACATCTTCCCCCGCGGAAAGCCAGTCTTTATTGCCTGGATCGTTTGGATCTGGTGGGCTACTCTCTATCTTTCTCACCACTACGCAGTCGACCTCATCGCCGGAAGCGTCCTATCCGCCGTTTTCTTCTACATTGCAAAAGCCAAGTTCCTACCCCGTGTCCAGATGGACAAGAGATGGCGTTGGGATTACGACTATGTCGAAATTGGCGAGAGCGAGTCCGAATACTCGTACCTTCTCAGCAGCCTCGACACAAGCGGCCAGAAGTACCACTCCGATAGCGACGAGTGGACCGTCGGTGGAATGTCGAACTCTGGAAGCTTGTCACCTGCTAGCGAAAGCCAGTCCCTCTGGGAAGGTGAAACTCTCGCCGATCGTGAATCCGACTTTGAACTTCGGTAATCGCATCGGCTACACAAACTCTCGCACGTTATCAAGGTGTCTGCAGAAGCACCTTGTATGGTTGCACTAATACATACAAACTTCTTTTTCCCTTCTAGACTCTTCGCGCATTTCTGTTTTGCGAAGGTTTTTTTTTATATGATACCCAAATTCATCACTCTCGTTTGTACAAAAGAAAAACCGGCATTTGTTGATTTGCTACACCCCATCCTATTACTCGCGACTTAACGAGTTGGGATACACCCCCCCTTTTTTTAATGACGACCTCCTTCTCCCGTTCCAGATTGGTTCCTTAGAGCTACTGGGCGGCATACGTTTATCTTGCGCCCACCAACCAAACTCGTTACGACCTTATTCTGTACCATACACACCCGTTTCTGTTCCGGAGTATCCGCTTGTCAGGGTCATGAACACACACCACTATCACCATTTTTAACGTCTACCTGTTTACGAATTTCCTTTTTTGCTCCCTCTGGCCCATCATCATTGGAGTTTCTTGTGTTGTCTCCCTTTTGCAGCGAGTCGAACCCTTTTTTTTTTTTCAAAAGGAAACAAGACCCAAACCTTTTAATGCTTTAATCCTGTTTCCCACACTTTTTTGTCACTTTTTCAGCCCTTTCACTTTTCATGCATGGGAAACGGTGTTTTCTTTCAAATCCAACTCTTTTTGACGATTTTTTGTTGGATGGATTAGAAGAGCGTTTTGAGCTCTTGAAATTCTTTAATGGCTTGGTGTTTCTTTTTTTTGTTTGTTTTTAATCTTCTTCTCTTTCCCCTTTGCCTTTCATCACTTCTCTCTAAACCCTTTGGAGGATTCTTGGTGGATCGCTAATAATTATTAGATGGTGTTTATCGGGGGGTGGGTTTAAAAGGGAAAATCTTTTTTTTCTTCTTTTTAACTAGGGGTCTAAAGGGAATGGGAGAAGATAATAATATTATACATACAAAGAGGCGGTTGGAGGAGGAGGATAGGCGATGGGATAGGACGAGAGAAAGAGAGGAAAGAGGAAATGGAATCGTTCGAGAGCGACTTCTTTTTTTTTTACTTTTTAATTTTTTTTGTTCGACCGACATTTTTTTCCCTTCTTCTTCATGTCTCTCGCTCACAGACCATCATCGTCCTTCCGAGCTAAAGGCCCGGTAGTAATTAATAAGTAATAACAGGAGAAATGGAATTGAGATTCTCTTTCCAATGCAAAAAGGATTGGAAGAGATATCTGTTGAAATCAAATTATATGAATGTGTGCCATCTCAACGAAGACTTAAATTTATAAACCCCAGATAATATAGATATGTAGATTGGAGTTTTTAATGGAGAAGAGAAGGGGAAGGATTGTGATATGCTTGGTTTGACGCCGAGAAACTAGATCTAGATGTACAAAGAAAGAAAGAGAGATGGATGGGGGATGCCCTATTGTACAATATAATGCGGTCCGAGACATGTGTTCTATATGATACAAAGTGTGCGGTCTATTCTATACGGGGAAGGGGTAGCTAGGTACCGGGTAAGTAGGTACTTAGGTATAACTAATGCATTCATGGCATTTATGTGTGAGTGCTATGTGAACGTGTGAGTGAGTGTGTATGTGTGCTTTGTGCGTCCATGCAATGCAATGCAGCCACGTTGGGCGCTCTCCTATGAAGGGATGAAAGGGTTTTTCGAATTTATATATTCTTCATTTTTGTTTATTTCTTATTCTTTTTTTTGTTTTTATGAAGTTGGGAGGGCAAGCCACCGTTCCCATATTGTGACACCTTTCTTGCTATCGGTGAGCCACCGTTGCAGCTCGGCCCTGAGCTGTTGTTCTGATTTACCCAGCACTCTTCTAAGATGGATTGGAAAAGTGATACGTCAGCATGTCTCGAGTCGTAGGGAAGCCTAAAAAGGGTGATAGTGATTATAAGTAAGACTTACATGCCACGATCCACACAAGCAATCCCCAACTCCGGAGGACTTAGCTTCATCACACCTCCACCCTTTGCGATCAACAGATCATCCGTAGAGATGTAGACCTCATAGCGGCTCAACCTCTTATGCAGGACAAATCCGAACGGGAGCGGTAAGATCCTGGAAGGCCATAAACCCGAATGCCTGCCCACCACGGTCGAACAATGGACTTTTTCCTTCCATGTTAGTTTATCCAAACCTTCGACGGGTCTGTTGACGCTCGTGGAGGGTAGGAAGGCTTCGAAGGAAGCCTTTATGCGGTGTTCTCTCTTTTTACGGTCGGATTCGATCTGGGAGGGGATTCTGCAGGTTATGGGGACTATGTTGGAGAACAGGGCGACGACGAAGGGAGTGAATTCGCCGCAGACGGTGAAGAGGACGGCGAAGAGGGGGATACGGCGGAAGTCGTGCTGGTTTCGCCTGGTAGTCTTGTCAATTGATTTTGCTCTCTTATATATATATATATATACTTGAGTATGTATATATATACACTAAGTATATATATTATACAATCCCTATACTGTAACAATAATAGATATAGAGAGAAAAGAGACTAACTTGAGGAGCTGGAGATCACTTCGAGTTATCCATTTATTCTGGACGATGCCTGCATAACCTCTATCGTCCCTCCAGCGGGACATGACGGGACCCGCAAGACGGGGATTGACCCAGGCAGCATTTTTGAGACCGGTCTTGTAGAAGGAGAGATAACCCTTTCCTATTTTGAAGTAGTAACCGAAGAGACTTTCACCGGGTTTACGAGGCGGTGGGAGGTCGAGATGGGCGGGAAGGGTAGATAGAGGAGCATTTATAGGGCTGTCATAACGAGGGTCCGGCTGGGAGGGAGCAGAAGAGGTAGAGTAGAAGGCCTTCTTCTTGGACTGCAGAGGGAGAAGGGTGAATACCCCCCGAACGGCGGGCCTCCCGCGTACAGCCGCTGCCGTCGCCGCCGCCGCCGCCACCTTGCCAGCGACGAGGGTTGTCGCGGTGGAGGTCATCTGAATTGGTTTTGCTTCCAGAATAATATATGGTGGATTGCATGAAATTGAATTTTCCGGGACGAATTTGTTTGATCGATTTTTCGGTTAGAGGAAATATCTGCGAGAACCCGTTTGGGCTGCAGGGATGTCTCCACCTGCCACACACCTGATATGGGAGTGACTGTGGAGAAAGGAATGTTGTGCAATGCAATGTCACACGAGAAGGAGCCAAAAGAAGAAGAGAATAAGAATAATTATAATTATCGTGATTCTTGTTTGAGGCTGTAAGGTTACTTATTTACCAAAGAAGGGACTGTGAGGTATGCTGGGCACTGCGCCGAGAGTCAGCTGGTGAATTGCATCTTCAATCCAAAGGCAGCTCTCTATATACTAAATATACTAAATATACTAAATATACTACTTGTACACTACGTACTACTTAGTATATATAATATGTCAGTAGTACTTGTAGAGTACCCGTAGATAGTATACCTACTCCTATCCATCCCATTCTCTTTTCCTTCAACCTCCAATCTGATATACAGACAGCGTAGTCGACATTATATTATAACGGATATACGAGATCTCCCCAAAATTAATTGACCGAAAATGGGTCTGCACATGTTCTGTGTCCCGTTCTCCTCCTCCTCTTCTCCCTCTTCTTCATCCTCCCTCTTCTCCTCTCCTCCTCCTCCTCCTCCTTCTTCTTCTTCATCATTGTCGTTATCATCATCATTATCATCAAAACCGTCATCAAAACCGTCATCAAGGTTCCCAATCAATTCAAACCCAAACTCAGAGTTGGATTTAGATTCGGATTCAGGTTCGGATTCATATTCGGATTCGGATTCATATTCAGATCCCATCAAACCCCCTGCAACGATGGTCAACAAGAGGAAGAAGAAGTCTGATAACAGTGGCGATGAGGGTGATAAAAGTGATGCCTCCGAACGTCGAGGCCGTCGAACAAGATGGTGGTCCCTGCGATCAAGATCTGGCCCAGGTGTAAGTCCATTTCACCGTGCTCTCTTTCTTCCCATTCTTCTTCCCCTTCCCTTCCCTTTCTTCCTTTCTTCCTCCCTTCCTCTTCCCTTTTCTTCCAAGTTGTGTGTATATATATATATACATACTTAAAGTATATATATATATGCGAGGATGGTGAAGAAGGGAAAGAGAGATTCCATCTGATGGAAATTTGTTGTCTTGAAGTCTTTAAGCGAGTTCTTAGCTTGGCCTATACCTTCCATGGCCAACATGCAACATTAATTTCAACTTCCAATTAACTTTCAAATTCAATCGATTCAGTTGATCGAGAAAAGAATATGAAGAATATACTAACATTGTCAAATAATAATATTAATAATACTAATAATTAATATCGATGATAATAACAGGGTGGCTCTGAAGCTGAACTCGGAGAAGGTCGGCCCAGACCTCGTTTGAGATCTCCTCCTCCTCCTCAGCCCGAAGAACACAACACACAACAACAACAACAACAACAACAACACACTCAGAAAGAAGACTCTGACGACGACGAAGAAGACGACCCAAACATCGACCCCACCACCGCCACCAACACCATTTCAAACACCAACATCCCTACCACTGCCCCTCCTCCTCCTCCCACTACAACCGCTACAACCAGATCCAAATCTGCTTCTCAACTTCCACCCTCCGACATCTACTCTCACAGTTTAATCGCCCCTCCTCGTCCTCGTCAAACCGTCAATCGAAAGTTCTGGGACATCATTCACCGGCGACAAAGTTCAAAAAGAACTTCCAGATCCGCTCCTCCTCATACCGCTAACGACCACGAAGACCCAGAATACAGGTCTTTCGACGCTGCTAAAGCCGTTCGCCCTTCCCCTAGGGTCGTTGACTATCTTCCAAAGCCTTCCGAACGTGCTGCTAAATTCGGTACCCCGCCGAGCATCCTCAAGGAATCCGGTGGCCCCAGGAGATTTGATTTCCCTCTCCCAGCTCCAACCGAAGCCGAAAGAAATTGGCGCCATACCATCTCCCGTATCCCAGGTGCCGTCGCTGGCGCTGTTCTTAAAGAAAGAGCTAGTGTAGATTTCGATAAAAAGAGCCGCGTCCACGGATACTTCCAGTCCGATCCTATCTACCTCACAGATAATACCACCCCGGAGCGTAGACCTTCACCACCTCCAGTTGAACACAGCCTTTCCGAATATCTTGATTCCCTGGTCCATTCTGATCAAGCAAAAGCAAAATCCAATAAAGACGATAATAATAATAAGGACAATCAAAACCCTCAGCTAAATTATAGCTCTCTTTTCGACGAATTCCAAGGTGAAAAACTACCGCCTGCCGCGACAGAAAAACCAAGGAGACGACGAAGTGTAGTTTTTGTCGAGCCTGAAGTTCCACTCAATAGAAATAGACGGAGTCTTCGACCCCGTCCTTCATCTGGACCCGCAACCGCTGCAACCGCTGCAACCACCGCACTCGCTCAAATAAAGGCTCAACAACAACAAGCTTCCAGCTCCAGCCGAGGGAATCCAGGTTCTAGCAGTAGCAGTAGCGGCAATAAGAAGAGCAAACCATCCAAGAAAGGATCCAAAGACAAGAAGGATCCCAAAGATGTATGTATATACCTTGATGGAAACTTGAAAAAAATACCTGCTTATTATAACGTAGGGCGGAGACGAAAACAAACCCTAGGGGAATCCCCGAGGCTCCCTTCATCGAAAATGTCGAAGATTTCGTGACTAGCAAGCAAGAAATCGAGCCCGCCATAAGAAAATTCAGCGAGATGATTGCGTATGAGAAATCTCCTCTCCCTAACCCCCTTCCCTTCTCCGAGTTTTTCTATCAATGATATACTAACTAGATGATGCTTTTTTTTTGGTCATTGTTCAGAAAATATACATACATGATGGAATCCAATGCCCGTCGTGCGGCCGGCCTGAAAGATAAAATCCCCGATATTAAAAAGACTCTACAAATGGTGCAATTCTTAGAAACCAAGAATAAAAAAGGCGACGAAGAGCCAATCTCTACTATGTTTGAACTCTCCGACACTCTTTATGCGAAAGCCTCCGTAACCCCCCCTTCTGAAGTTTACCTCTGGCTAGGTGTACGTATCATCCCTTCCTCCTCAAACTTCATCAGTCTAAAAGGCATTCATATACTAACTGGTGACAATATTGCAGGCCAACGTAATGTTGGCATATCCTAACGAAGAAGCTATTGCCATGCTGAAACAAAAGTTGTCTGCTGCCCAAGAGTCCCTTCGCAATTGCGAAGAGGACATTGATTTCCTAAGGCAGCAAATAACAGTAAGTCCATCTCATTTGTTTTTGTGCATTCAACCCCATAGGCGGTGGACTATTCGAGGCTAACAGTGAGACCCGTAGACTCTCGAGGTCAACACCAGCCGCATGTACAATTGGAATATCAGTTTACAGAGGAAGGAAAAGGAAAAGGGGGGAACAAAATAGATTTCCTTTCCCCTTTCCTTTCCCCCCTCTTTTTTTCATTATGACTACAACTAATGATTCATAATTAATTCGCTGCCCATATTTACATAGACTAAGCAGCATAAAAGTTTTTCATGGCCAATTTTTCCTTATTACTTTCTTCATAGCCTTTCTACCTTTTTCTTTTCCTTCTCTTCTTTTACGATAGCGAAGGGCATAATGGCATTATGATAATATTAAGATCCTCTCCATTATAGTTTTTTCATTCTCGGTGTGAAACCTGTCCCGTCATAAGATCCACAAGATCCGCACATCGTTCGCGAGTCGGTCTAATCTGGAAGCGGGACTTGCCGCAAATAAGCTTTGACAAGCCATCTGAACAGCTCGCTTGGTCTCCAATCTGATCTGAAAGATCTGTGGCAAAATGACCGAGCGGCTGAACCGCATCTCAATTTCGGGGTAGCGTTGCATTTTTATGGCTTAATCCCAATCCCATTGTGCATGCTGCATACCATGCATGGGACTCTTAAAAAGGTCAAGACCTAGCTCTCGACCCTTTTGATTTAATTTAATTCCTATTCTTTTCATGCTATAATTCTGTAGGACCTTTGAAGATTCTAGCCAGCCATGCGTTTCTTTGATATCTCCGCCCTTCTTCTCCTGGCATTGCAATTAACAACAACAATTGGAAGCATTATAGAAGCCCGAGCTTCTCCAAAATGCGACAAAAAATGCGCCAAGTCACTCATCCAACGGGACGTTCGGTCTAAATCATATTGTTCATCGTATCTGCGTGCACATGGCGCTTCGGCGCATACTGTTACGGTGACAACAAAGGCGAAGACGAATTGTGTGACTGTAGTTCGGACTTTTGTGACTACGAGTTTGGATATATTTAGGTAGGTTTAACCTCGTGCAGATAAGCATATATTAATTTATTATATATAGAGGTTCGTGAGTTAATATTTTGGATGTATATGTAGTGAGGCTTTGGTAACAACTACTCTCCCGGACATTATAGCCACTGAGTATTCTTCGACGGTAGTTATCGTTACGTATGTTCCATGTCCTTGTGTACGTAGATAATTGAGGATTCAAACTAACTTTATCTACGCATGTAGTGGCCCAACTCGAGTGATCGGTCGAAGGGCAGTCGAAGAAACCGAAATAGCGCCTCGTGCACCACCACCACCAATATGCACCTGTCGCAACCTCTCCCTCTGTTCCTCAAAAACCATATCCGCCGCCTGTCTAGAAATCGCCCCTCCCCGCACCATCACCAAAACCATTACAAAACCCTGCACCACAATCACAACCACCACATCTACCACTCGAAAATTCACCGAAATAACCTCGGGTACCTTAACAGTCGCCCCCGGGGCCGCTGCAACGACAACGACTATAAACCAAATACACACAACTCTGGTGCCCGAAGAGTGTACTAGAGACTTCTACACCCCACCATCCGACATCGGTAGTGCCGGTGTATTCTTCCTGGAGTACCCGAACTTTGTGACGAATTCGTTGGAATGCTGTACAGCTTGTTTTCAGAGGAAGAATTGTGCGGCGTCGGCTTACAGTAGTGATCTTGGATCGTGTTCCTTTTTGATCGTGATGGAGAAGCAGCCTGGGGGGACCAGTGGGGTTTGTCCGCTCGGGAGGCAGGATTTTAGTTTTATTAGGGATTTTGATTTTGGGGTTAATACTCTGCCGGGTCCCTGTGGGTTTTGAGGGGGTAGTATAGTATTATTATTGGTAGACTAGTAGGTATTCCTAGGGAGTGTATAGGCTAGAGTTATCAAACCATAGATGAAGGTTTGGGTCCTGAGCTGTCTGTATACATGTAGTATACGTGAGAGTAACTGCTGACCGTTTAGTTTCTATACCTTCAAATAATTAACATATTTTTCCCAAAATTGAGAAGGGGGTCATGCCTGATTCTAAGTACTATATGTAAGTCTATCTTAATACCAAACCACCCAGCTGGCCAATTTCGAGGCCGGACATAGGTATCAAGCTCGTTAAACGATATCTGGTCTGGTTGTTCTAGTACTATAACTCGTAGCTATACATCGCACTCGTATATAAAGTACTTAGTACTTAGCTTAATTAGATGTAGAGTAACACAAACGTCTGACAAAATACAACATGTATGATCCGGAGCACACTTTACATCCGAAGCCGGAACATAAGCTCGACGACAGCTTAGCGCAACTTAATTCTATTAATATCGGGAAAGTACAGGGAGCTGTAGATCTATAAATGGGGGGCTAAATCCCAAGTCAACAATTCATTAGTGATTGAATCGGAATCGGTTGTGACGGATAGCGCCTCTTATAGTATACGGGGCCAGGAATAAATATACCTTCAGTTTTAGATTGTAAACGTGCGCATAATTACAATGATTTTTCAGTAGTACGAGGGATTTAGGCCTTTCCGTCAACGAAAGCACTATCGACTCAGCTCGGATACTAGAACAGATGAGACAGCGCTAGATCTATAGAAACATCTCCCTGACTTACGGAATACATCACAAACTCTCTAAGGGAGTTGCTATTTAGACGCCTTACACGGAACAATCGACCCAAGCTGAGTTGGTGCTAATTTCTGGCATAGATAAGTACTTATGGAGCCATGCGACTATATTTCATCGATGCCTTCGAGAAAAAAAAACCCGCTAGATGGCAATCGTAAAGCGCCTCCTAGAAGACTACTTACTTAATCAAATCAATGATAGACTCCAGTCTCGGAGCTAAACTGTGGATAGACTCATCGCATACATGCATATAGGTTTATTTCAACACATTATCGTTTTGTTGGAAGTTTGAAGCGTCTATAAACGGAAACAGGTGGCAGAGCTACTTAATGTTACACACGCCATAATTAACCTCTGGGTTTCAATTCAACCTTCTGCCGAACCGAACCGAACCTAGTTTATGCATCGACGCGAGGTGCCAATTGCATATGCCGCTCCACTCACCATCTTTGCCCCGGAAAGCGCAGCATCGTACCTCTTAGAAGGGTACGGCCGTAACCTAGCTGAGCTTCTACCACCGTGATAATAACCTACCTGATTGAGGTAGGATGTCAACGGGCTTAGAGGATTAAAATAACTAAAATCAAGTGTGCAATTGGTTACAGTGCTCACAATACCTTTTTTTTTACCGGGAAAGCCGGCTTAGAATGCTAGGGAGACAGGACTACCATGGTCCTTCCGCACGAGTAACAAACCACACTACGAATTGCCATTGCTTGTGATTTCATGTTCATTATAAATACAGTTATAATATCTGAGACCCACACATTTCCGCTTGGTTAATTCCAATAAAATATATTAAGACTTAGCTAAGAGATAATTGAAAGAATCCGAACCATTACCCCCTTTAAGCATCACCACTTTATTCATCTCCTTTATCTCCTCTAACGAAAGTACCTATTCCGACAACCTTTATTAGTATCCCTACAACTAGCAATATACCCCAAAAGGTAGGAAGATAAACTCACCTCGGTTCATCAAAAACGTGATAATGATGGCCCCGGACTCCATCCCCATTAAACTGTGCTGGAAACCTCCATCCCTCAGGGACATCTTCCTCGTCAACCCTTATCTCGGACGATTGCTTCCCATCGATAACAAACTTCCCAACCTGAAGTTCAGTATCTGTGATCGACGATCTGCTAACCCTCGCGTATCCTACACGGTGCAAATCTCTATACAAGATGTATTCACACCATCTATCCCAGTCTGTAGAATCGATATCTCTCATCCTACTCTCCTTGCTTACGTAAGTATTATAGTTTCCCTCCTTCGGTTTGGTTACCAAGTAGCTGAGAAGGATCAACGGCCGAGGGCTGCCACCCATAAGCTTGCTGATCCCTTCACTCTGCAATCTTCGATCTTCGACATCTTCTTCCTGCCCGCTGTGGAAAACGAGCACATCGACCATGGTACCGTACATGTCCAACGTCGCCAAGATAGCAGGGGCCAACTCTCCAACCGGTGATGGCAAAAGGTGATGTGTCGAGTTCACGATTGGGAATTTGGATAGAAGCGCGGCACCCCAGGTATGTTTATTCGGGCCTGGGCCAAAGTCGGCGTACATGCCCAGATCTTCTGCTAGGAACTGTGTCATATCGCGGTTCCCCATGATGATACGTTGCAAATCGCTTTCAAGAAGACCCACAACATCAAGTTCCATTTCTTTGATCAAGTCCCGCATTCGGCGTTCGGATGACCACATATCATTATCCAATGCAAAGTGAACAGTCCAGATACCTGCTGTTACCAATTTCTCTTTCTCATGGTACGGTTTATAGTCCAGGTGTGGGAAACGGAGGTACGCGATTGAGACAGCGAGGAGCTCGAGGAAGGCGAGGGAGTAGACAAAATATGAGCGAGATGGCTTTCGGATGCTGCTGTAGTTGTTTTGAGATTTAGAAGTTGGTCCTCCTGCTTTTGTACCTATGATTACTGATAGGCCGACGCCGATGAGTGCCATCATGATAGTCATGACAAGCCATGTTCTTTCCCTGAGAAGGAAGCCGCCTGGGACGAAAGCGTAGGCAACAACCCAAACGTGAGCGAGGACGAGGAGGTTGTAAACCATAAAACCAGTACCAAAAGTGGCGCCCGGGGGATACCTAGCACACATTTGAATAAATGAAGGTGTGATAGCCATCAAGTAGACAGCAAGGGCGAGAGCACCGTAGTAGCCCCACCATCCATTGAATGACTGTAAAAAGGCTGCCCCAATGCAACCTATTACATAGAAAGCGGGGCTAGTTGCAAACTCCTGTCGGAGAATGCCAATTAGAAAGCCAGCTCCCATCGCGATGATGGTATATGCGCCATGAGGGACAGCCAATGGCCCCTTGACTGGATATCCGTCCCAAACCCAGGTGATCATGGTACTAGAGTCGGATAGGAGAGAGTGTAGACCGAACAAGAGCCCGCCAAACCCAATAGAGGCCAGATATTGGGAACCATCTTTCCCAGAATACATCGTTGTATCCACAGCTGGCGCAATTGGCCGCCTGAAATGAGTCCTAGCGATAGCGAGCACTGCAAGGACTAGACCGATCTTATTCCACCCACCATTGACAGAGTTCATTAGAGGCCAGATCGGATTATTAGTATGATTAGAAAACTTTGCGACGCTCGACATAATAAGGCCCAGGGAAAAGGCCGATGTCTTGATATCGATCCTGCTAGTTGTGCTTTCGAGGCTAAAATTCGCAGCCCAAGCCAGACAGGCGAAGAACAAGCCCGTGGTTGTCAGGAAAAGACGAATTTCCGGCGTAACGAAAAAGAAGGCAACTAGGGTTAAAAGGGAAGCGGAGTAGACAATGTGAATGTTCAGAAATACGAACTTTCGCACCGATCTATTCACGAGAAGGTATGGGGATATAGTTGCAAGAATAGCGATCTCATATCCGGAGATACCCATGTGCCATAGCGGGAAGTCTATCCAGAGTTCTTAGCCTGAGACACTCGAGAGTAGTTTATTAAGGGCAACATACACCAAACGACAACGCCGAGGGCAGTTAGAATGGACCAGAATGCGAACTGCTCGACATTAGCATGGATGAACCTTGCAAGATCGGTACAAGAAAATGTGAACATACTCCAAGGTACACATCGCTGGCGGTATCAATCAAAGCTGCCCACGAAAAGGCGCCGGTAAATTCTTGGGCAAGCGGCTGCTTTGTTTTCCTACCCAAAATCGTCAACCCCACTAAACTTCAAGATAGTATAATAGAGGTGTCTTGCTTACTTTGCATCATCGGCATAAACATCAGCCAGCTGGGTGGTTCTGTATCTCACCAACGTCTCACTTTTTAGAGCATATTCTTTGTTGGTAAAATGTATTTTCTTTGATAATGTCATGATATTTGCGAAAGATAGGGTGTCTGGATAGGACAGAGGTATCTACATCACATACCCTTTGTGGAAACCTTTAGTATCAACGAGATGCAGTTCAAAGCCTTCAAAGTCAAGCGCAGTAACAGCATCAAATCCAACGTCATATAAGATTAAAGACCACTCGAAGAAAGCGTAGATTGTGTAAGCTAGAGCACCAGCGTTAGAACTTATGTTCATTTCCAGACTTAGAGGTTGGAATAACATACCACCAGCCACCTTATGGACCTTATGTTGAATGAAAAAGTAGATTAAAGGCACGAGGGTACCAAAGAACAGAGTAGCAAGTATCTTTCGGTACTTGATGGCTTTAGCATTGACCGGCGAGGTAGCGAGGCATCCAAGAGTCCATGGCAGTGTCAAGACAAGGTAGGAAATCATGAAGATATCATGCCAATCGTGGTCATCGGTAGAAGTGATATAAACCCATCCTCCACATAGGAGGGTTCGTGCGACGCCCGTGAATGCAACAAATTTTGGCAGGGAGGCACCGGGCCTTGCGGTAAGATAATACCATAGCACAACTAGAAGAAATCGAGGACCTATTCGGAGCACATTAGCATTTTCGCCACCGCCTAAACTACTAGGAGTACAACAAACCCGAAGTTAAGGCGATGCAAATCTGAAATACCGATCGCTCGGGATACCGATCGCCAATGGTTGCCGATACCGATGGGAACCACTCTTGCGGATAGCCCTAGGGATAGAATATTAAGCCATCTGTCTGACTCGTTCCACGACAATCGCACGTGGGAACTCACATAATGTTCGTTTTTAACGATTTTGTAGAAATGCAGGTTTCTACCAGAAGTGGGATCCAATCAGCGACACCAAACCCTGAATAACGATGACGGTAGTTTTGGGCCCGAGTAAGCCCGAGAGGCGATTTGAAGGGTCTTCATACAATCCCACAATCAGAGCACCGATAAACCCCACTACCCCAGAACCGACGCCACGTTAGCCTAATCGCGTCCGGATAATAAATGTGACGTTGGACACCCTGCAGGGCGTCATGTTTGAGAGGAATCGTATTTCGTACAGTAAGCGAGCACAGTGTGCGTATGTGATATCCATTTCCCGTTAAGCTGTCACACGCGCAAAGAGAGACATCAGCAACGCTGGCGCAGAATACCAAGCAAACAAGACTTCATCAACTTACGGAGACAAGTGTACTCCCCTCCTTATCCTTCATGCCGGGCAATTAGGGCCAATAACCAAGACAGTGGTTGTGTGTGAACGTGAAGAAAACAAAAATCCTGCAGGAACGAAGAGAAAGCAACAAAAACACCACAAACAAGAGCAAAATAGCTTTAGGACGAAGACGGTGTCATAACACAATTACACTTTAAAAGAAAACCGCGATAAGTGTGGAGTGAGAAAACCAAGCGAGGAACAAAGCGGAACTGGCCTAACAAAATTGTCAGTGGCCTGCAGACAAGACAGTCTTATGTCAGCAGCTTGGCTCGGGATATTGCACTGACCGGAAGCACGAACAAGCCGGTTTATATCCTTCTTGAACGGCTTGGTATAACAACAACCTGGATTGTATAATTTATAATGCAGATTTGATTGGATCGGAGCTGTCTCAAACCGATATAGTTGTTTCTAAATTCTCCAATACACGCCGATGGTTATACCGAGAATACCGGAGCCGTCTCGGCACTAAACAACTGGTGTGTTCTGATACCGAAGATACGATCTTACCTTGTGAGAAAGGTAACAGACTGGCGCCATAGTAGTTCGGACTTTCCAGGTGAGGTTCCCCTGGCTCTCGTGTTCTCGTATCCGGCCGAAAGAAGCATGTTTGTCACCAAAAATGTGTTGCTGTGTTGACCCACGGTCAAATGCCAAGACCTTGCCTCTTTAGGACTAGTTTCTATGGCACATCCAAAATTTCAAAAACTTCCTGGCTTTGCTTGATGCACTATCACCATTGCCAGTCTTCGCAGCCGACATGGACATGACCAGCCGAAGTTACCTTTGAAATACAATCCTTTACGCAGTATCTTTGCTAAATGCACTTTGTGTCAAGAACAATCTTTCTAATCTGCGACGACTTCTTCCTACATAACTAAACATGTCCGATAAGGCTCGATTCTACCTAGAGCAGGGTCTTCCTGAGCTTCAGGAACTCGAGCGCAAGAAAATATTTACCAAAGTCTGTACGCTTCTTCTTCCATTCTCGATTCTCAGTAATTTTGGATTATTAATCATACCTCGATGTGTAGGAAGAAATCCAATCGATCTCCCGAAAACGTTCGTATCATGAACATCGCATCGCCGCCGCTCGCTGCAAACCCGCCGACTTCCTTGCCTACGCAACCTACGAGATGAATCTCGACGCCCTTCGTCAAAAGCGCACGAAGCGCTTAAGTATCCGTATGAGGGGAGCTTCAAATCATCTCGGTTCCCGCCGTATATTCTTTATCTTCCAACGGGCTACTCGTAAATTCCATGGTGACGTCCAGCTCTGGAAAACATACGCCGAATTCTGCAGGTCGCAAAAGTCTTATGGGCTATTGCGAAAAGTACTGGATAGTATGTTGAGACTACATCCCACAAAGCCGGATCTGTGGATTTATGCAGCGATGGTTGCGGTTGATGACAATGATAATATGGCGGAGGCTCGAAGTTACATGCAGAGGGGATTGCGATTCGCGAGGCGGTCCTCAAAAGAATTATGGGTGGAGTATGCGAAGTTTGAGTGTATGTTCATCGGTAAAGTGGCAGCGAAGACTGCTACGATACTAGGACTGGAAACTGGAGACGCGCCTGATCCCAATGGGTTAAATTTTGATGACATCGAGGAAGATTCCAGCGTAACACTGGAAGGCGATGATACCGCATTGTCGACAATTACGGAATCAGAGCTCAATGGGGAAACGGAGCCTCCTCAAGAGGACGAGAAACTGAAACAGAAGCTCGCGGAACAAGCAAACAAGGATGTTCTAGAAGGTGTCATTCCGATTATTGTGTTCGAAGAAGCGATCGAAGCAATACCGAATGACCCGTCACTTCCTATTACATTCTTTAAGCTATTCGAAAAATTCGGAGACCTAGCGTGTCAGAAAAAGTTACTAGCGTGTGTGGATGTACACCTCATGACAACCTACCCAACGGATGCTGGTGCCTTGCTCTGCCATGTGAGGGAGACATTGGCAGGAATTCAGGTTGCGGATGCGGCATTCCCTGCGGCATTGAAAATCGCGTTCAAAAGGTTCGGGGAGGCGAGGTCAAAAGCCGAAGATAAGAAGACGGTTTACAATGGGTTCGTGGGCATTTTGGGCGACATTCTTAGCAAAGGAAGCTCCGCAGAAGGTGGGTTGGACGAAAGTCTCGAGAAGGCTGTCAGACTATTCCTGGGAAGGATCATCAAATGGAGCCGGGAAGACCAAGTCGAGCTTCCGAATGCAAGCCAAGTTGCTCAGTTCGCCTTGTAAAATAGCGATTTTTCGGCCGTGTATAGTAGAGAGGTCTGTAAAATACTGGAGTTTCTTTCTGGGGAGTTTTTCGGGCAAAATCCAAGCGTGATGATTTGGCAAATACACATATTTTCAATATGTCGCGTTTTTAATATTACTTCGCAGCTTAGCTTCGAAGAATGTCAATTACAGGTTCAAGAAGGGAAATTTATCCGGGTACCTGCTGCCATAGGAAAGAGAAAGTATTGAAATGTGCATGCGCATATAGCGTGTCATCGGTATTCACATGTCCGCATTCCACCGATCCTAGAAATTACGATGCTACAACAAGAATTCGTGGAGAAAAAATATATATTATCACAAGGCAGCTCCCATTTGATGCCCCTCAGGGAAAAGTATGATACAGGAATGGAGAAAATATGTAACAATTGTATCCTCCCGAGGTCCTAATATCCTCCTCATGCGATGTGTTTCCGTCACAAACACCCCTTTCCCATGCCGGCGCCTAATGGCTCTACTAGCCTAGCGAAAGATTCGTAGAAAAAGTCGGAGGAGAGGTGTCTGGGATCGGAGTGTCGAACAAACTTTTTTGATGAGTCGTCAAAGCATTATATTTGTATGGAGGGAAAAATAAGAAGGAATGTTTGGTCGGAATGGAAGGGAACCAAAGGGAGGCCGCGACTTGCAACGTTTAAGAGTCGAAGACGTAGGTAAGGTGGCAACGACCGCAGTATTGACGGTTGGTCATGGCAGCCATGAAGACACCGGCACCGCACTTTTAATCGAGTTAGTAACTACCATTTTTTGAACTACGAGGAACATTTGATATGTGAACTTACAGTCTCGTTAGGGCACTCTCTCCTCAAACGCTCGATCTTTCCGTCGCTGTCGACCTTGTAGTACTTGAGGACAGCCAACTTGGTCTTCTTCCTCTTGTGCTTGATCTTCTTTGGGGTGGTGTAAACCTTCTTCTTTCTCTTCTTGGCACCACCTCGGAGACGGAGGACCAAGTGGAGGGTAGACTCCTTCTGGATGTTATAGTCGCTCAAAGTGCGACCATCCTCGAGCTGCTTACCAGCAAAGATAAGACGTTGTTGATCTGGGGGAATTCCTTCCTTGTCTTGGATCTTGGCCTTGACATTGTCGATGGTATCAGAGGATTCGACCTCAAGGGTGATGGTCTTGCCCGTGAGGGTCTTGACGAAGATTTGCATCTTGAATAGGACTTCGCTTTCACCGAGCGGAGTATCTGGATTTTGTGGGGGAAAAAGGTTGTGAGAAAAAGAGCAGATAACCAAAAGCGGTCTCAGCAATCAGATTGCGTCTACGGAGGGACAGGATCAGTTAAGAACATGATTGATGGAAGGTAATTATACAAAATGGAATATGAGGAGGGGAATCGAAAGGCGGTGGGACGTAGTATATGCGAGGTGGAGGGGTAGCTTACCTTCGATGTTTTGGTTGATGATGAGAGGAAAGGGAGAAAAAAGTTGATGGAGGTTGCTGAACCGGGGAGCTTTCTTTTCTTTGGAGAGGTCTCTAAGCTTGGCGAGAAAGTTGTGTGTTGGCCAGAAAAACCAGATTTGTGTGTGGGCAGGCGGAGATAAGATCTTTTAGATGGAGGTAGATTAGATTAGATTAGATGAGGGTTTATTGGAAGCCCTATTACGGTTTGGGACTAGCGTATCCAAGAGACCGAATTGGGGAAGCGCGTGCCATGACAACGCCCGCTCCCTGTCTGTTTGTATGCACGGCATGAGACAGGGCCAGTTGCCCCACCAGTGGACATGCAGGCTCCATTGTGCGGCGGACTGGGCTCATTTCGTTTCATTTCGCCAGATGACGCTGCGTTGTGAGGAGCGAAAGCGAGATGAATTCCAATGTTATGTGGTGGTTACTGCCCGGGGTAACCGCTGTGCATATTTCCGCTGGCGCCCGCTGACACTCTTTCCGATACTTCTGGCCCAGATACAGACAACCACACCCAGTAGCTAGTGTATGTAAGTACTATGTATGTACATGTACATTGCAATGTCATGCATAGTTACCAAGTATGCAGTGCCTACATCATGTATTATGATGTATTTATATACATATTTTTACTTAGTACCTATCTTAGTTTCGATGTCTACTTACCGACTACTTAGGCGATCGTGTTGTCGCAGTCGCAAGATGGAGATTGGGATGGAACCGATCGCATTCGCCATTCGCCATCGACATTGAGATTGGGGGTTCCGTGTCCCGGGCGACGACGACGACGACAACAACAACAACAAAGCTCGGGTTTAATGGCCTTGTAACATATCATATCGTATCATACTCTTAGTTCCTTAGCAGTTTCATACATATCCTCGGGAAAGAAAAGAAAGAAAGAAAAGAAAAGAAAAGACAAGAAAAGAAGAAAAACAAAGAAGAAAACAGAAAAAGCGAAAGAAAAAGAAAAAGAAGACCGAATAGCGGCAGCTGTGACCGGGGACAACGATTGGATTGGGTTTCGATTGGATTATCCAAACCGAGAGGCCTCAGAAAGTGCGGCAATGTTTGAAGTGAACATACTGTACATACATACACAGACATCAATACAAGGCAAGAAAAGTAAGTAGTAAGAAGTCACAATGGTAATAGTCATGGCAATTGTAATGTACAGAGTAATGTAATGTAATTATAATGTAATGTACATAATAATGCAATGGGTAATGTTGATAATTTGGTGCTGTTGAACCGACTGACTGAAGGGAAACTAAACTAAACTTCCATGCTTCCTCGCTTTATTATTATCTTGATGCATCCGTCCCCCATCCCAATCCCTTCCTCTTCTTCCTCTTCTTTTCTTCCTTTTCCCTTCTCTTTCCCTTCCCTTTTTCTCCTTCTTCCCACTATTCCCTTTCCCTTTCCCTCACCCCTCTCCCGGTAGGGAATACTCCTCTTTTTCCTCTTCATCTTCCTCAATCACTCTTTCCATTTACGTTCACGCACCATTTACGTTTACGTTACGAGTAGATGACCCCCAGCGCTCTTTGACGCCTTGACGTTTCCCTCTTTTCAGATATCAATCAAACCACCTCTTCTATCTCTTGGTATATCATACTAAGTACATACAGTGTATTGTATCAGTCGTTCCTGTGGAACTGCCCATTAAAAAAAACAAGGAAAGGGAAACAAAAAACAAAGAAGTGCCCCCCCGGACGTATTACACTCTCGCCTTGACTTTGACTTTGACTTATCTCGACTGTGTACAACCATAAACAAGAGAGAAAGAAAGAAAAGAAAGAGTCTCGATCAAGTAAACAAGGCCTTCCGCTACTGCGCACAGTCCCCCCCCTCCCTCCCGAGTTATCAATTCAATTTCGTTGACTACTTTCGAGTCCCGGCTTCCCTCGCAAGGATAATTACCTTACATTACTTTACATTACCACCTCGCGCGCTAGAAGAAACAAGATACCCGAAAAGAGAGAATCCTCAACAGAGCCTTGCATTACCTTGCATCGCATTGATTGTCTCTCACTCTCACAATATCAAACTTGCCAATTGCAATTCCCCACGACCGGCCTCTCTCCGCGCTTTCGATTCCATATCGCATCACAATATCGCGATATCGCATCCTAAAGTCGCTAACGAATCGCCATCGCCGCACAGACAACACGATCTCTACGACCACGACCACGACTACGACCAACAGGCCTTAGCCATTTTACTTCCCAACAGGGGAGAAAAAGAATAAAATTAACTTACATTTTTTTTAAAAAAAAATAAGGACAAAAAACAGAAAAACCCGCGATACATTCTTCTTTTGCGCCAAAAAAAATAAAATAAAATAAAAAACCCCCAGATATAAAATAACGACATCGATCTGAAAAATAAAATCCAAGAAAACAAAAATAAAATTCGAAGAAGAATCCGCTGTTGTACGGTCTATTGCCGAGTGCTTCATTGCTACTTGGCCATATTCTCGTCGCTGCGAGTTTCCTGGTTGCCCGGCCGGTTGTTGAGGAAATCCTACACGAAATAGCAACAACATCTCGACATTCGCCAACACAAGTATATCCATCCATCCTTCCATTGCCCTCGATCTCGACTTCTTCATTGAACGTCGAATTCGCCCGAGAACATACGGAACGATACTCAACATTTTAAATTTGATTGGCAAGGAATTCCGGCTGCCTTCACTGGCCAACCGATACTTCTTTTTTGCCTCTTTGCTATTCTATCCTATTATCATTCCGAATACTGTTCTGACATTGGTAAGGCAACTTCACATATTCTCAAGGATCATGAACTTAACATAACATAACACAGCATAGCATAGCATAGCATAGCTAAAATAACTACTTACTAACTAAGCCTCATCTATTATACACAGATCCATAATCTACATGTCAAGACAGTATTTAAATACTATTATTTAAACTAGTTCGTCTGAAACAAACGATGCTACCCGCCCAGAACCAAGAACCTCAGAACACTCAAAACACAATGGCCACCGCAACATTCCAAACCGTTCCGGCCAACGCCAGCATTCCGCCATCAGCACTTACCCACCGACGACGGGTATCGAATATTGAATCTCGTCCTAGGAAGCGCCAATATACACAAGAATTCCAGCCATACCCGACAGTGGCACCCGGCCTAATTTCCAGGCATAGAAAACATCGTTCCCAACCTGTAAACTTTCTAGACGACCCAACTCTCTTGATGAGCCCCAATGGCTTATCGTACACGACCGCTGCTGCAAGTTCTGCCATGATGGGTAGAAAGTTTGGAAACTTCTTGCAAGAGAATAGAATACCGGAGGGAAATGTAACACAAAACCTAGGTGCTAGACAACGGTCAATGTCTGAGGTAAACTTACAAGGATTCTTGCAGGACGTAACTGGTGGCATCACGAATACCCAAGATCTTTCCAGCCATCAATTGAATCAGACCGTAACCCCTAGATCATTGAGCGGGATGAGTACGTCTATTTCATTGATACATCAATTGATAATTATATCACTAACAATCCCTCTTAGACTTCATGCCTATCACTCCAGGAAGCCCATTCGTCGGGATCCTGCCCCAACAGACACCTACCTTCTCCCAACAGGTCCCCCAGCAAGCTCTTAGCAATCAATTCGTCCTTTCTCCGGGTTCTACAGTGAAACCAGCAAAGAGGCCGTTCCCGCCTCTCTCCACTAACATTAGATCTATACCTCCTCCACCCGATCTAGTGGAGAAGATCAAAAGTCATATGAGAAGGCATTCGGTGGATACTACCCCCGTTGTGAGAAATATGGATTCGTACTTTGTAAACATGGGTTCTACTTCGAGCTTGCCCTCGCCGCCAAACTCAGCACCATTGGTTACAGCAAATGCATTTGATATGGCACCAATGCCAAGTCGTGCAACCACATCGATTTCACACATTGCTGTTCCAGAGGAAGGGAGTTTTGACGACGAACTTGAAGATGATGAAAGTTACTTCTCACCATCAGGCTCAAGCGCTGGACATAGCCCCGAGTGCCCATCGAGCCCCCAGATGCACTCTATTGATGGTGTTCTTTCGTCCGAGAAATTGCACCAGGCTTTGCAATCAGTAGCATCTAGACAAACCGGCGAATCAGCCGACCCCGCTCAGTTGAAGGAATACCTCGACGATCAAGATGATGAAACTCGGGTCCCGGGTGGCTTTGTCCGAGCATCTGGAATTTCTAACGATGAGATCTCGGCTTACATCTCGGGACCGGAGCCTGCCGATAATAAATGGGTCTGCCTGTACCCTGAATGCCAAAAGCGCTTTGGCCGTAAAGAAAATATCAAATCGCATGTTCAAACCCATCTAGGAGACCGACAGTTCAGATGCGAGGTCTGCAAAAAGTGCTTTGTCAGGCAACATGACTTGAAGCGACATGCAAAGATCCACACTGGCATCAAGCCCTATCCCTGCAAGTGCGGCAACAGCTTCGCCCGACATGACGCACTGACCAGGCACAGACAACGTGGCATGTGCATCGGTGCTTTCGAGGGAATCGTTAAAAAGGTGGTTAAGAGAGGGCGGCCAAAGAAAATTCGTGCTGAAGGGGAACCTGAAACCCCAAAGAAGAGAAGAAGAAATAAGAAACGTCCCTCAGAAGGCGGGATGTCTTCAGAGTCAGGCGCATCGATATCATCAGGGTCGGATATCGGTGCATCATCGCCATCGGCGTGCGACGACATCGACACATGGGAAACACCAACATCTCCAGTATTAAGACTACTAGAAACAGTTCCGGAGATAGCACCAAACCAACCTCCAGCCACAGGAAAACGGAAACGTGAAGCCTCATCCGACCCCGAGAATGAAGATGACCACAAGCGAGGAAGGCTCGATAGCGTTTCCATTAATTCTTTTACAGAATTTGGACCCGTGGATTTTGGACTTCCAGCCGCGTCTCCACTATACTCGGCTCCATCGACGCCGGAAGACATGTTGGGCGAAGTTTCTCCGACAACAACAACGGCTCCAAAACAAGATGGTGCTCTCAGGTTCTGTGATCCGCTACTAAACTCATTCGACGAAGGCACCAGTTTTACACCTGAGGGGTCACCAGACCTCCAAGTTCTCCACAGGAAATACGCAAGCGCTTTCAATACCCCAGAATGGGAAGGACTTTCTGCCCCAGCAATTGCAGCTGACGAAGTCGATCTCCGAGAAATACTTGGCTTGCCAGATCTTGAAACTTCATCTGCCGCAGCGACAGCATCAACCGATACCTTTCCGTTTCTCGGCAACGGCAAAGAAATTCATAACGATATCTCACTCTCAAACTTAAATACCCTCAACGGTAACTTCGACCTTGGACTTTCCGGCGAAGAGTTTGATTTCATTAAGCCAGAATTACTACAGGAAAGCGATGTATTGGATATGCAGCTCTGGCAAAACCTCCAGGGCGAATATTGACACTCCAGCTCTAGAGACTCAAAATATACCTAAAATCCAACAAAATCAACACAATAAGTTTTAATGCTTAATCCTTTCCAATAATTTCCTTTTGGGTCATAATGGCTTGGTGTTATTGACAAGTAAAAAGAGTGGTGTGGCGCAGTTAAAAGGTCGAGGATTAAGCGTCAGGTACTTAATTATTTGGGTTTCTTTTCTACATTTCCGGAGTCCTTTGCATATTGTGTGGGTATTTCCTTTGGGCATTTCTTAAGCTCTTTGACTTTTTATCAAACCTCGGGACCTGGAGCAAGCACACGGTTTGTTTTTGTTTCTATTTCCTCTCATCTATCACCACTTATTTATTCAGATTTCCTACAGTATTTGGGCCAACTTTGGGCAACTGAAATACTTCTCACATCCTACACTAATGACCCAACCCCACCCCCGCCCTATTTGCTTTCCACAAATATTTTCCTATTTCCTTTTCTGTTTCTTTTTATTTCCTTACATTTCCTTACTGTTCATTTTACTTTTGGTCCTATTTCCTTGAGATGTATACGCACGCATACGATCATGATGTCTCGCGAGTTACTACCCCCTACCCCATCCCACTGACCCTTTTTATCTTGTCCCCTATTACCTTTCATGTCAAATATTATAACACCCCCATCAACACATACAAGCAAGTAACGCGACAAAGTGAATGAATTGAAGCCTTTATCTCAAGCTCTCCTATCGTACAAATCTTTGGTCGTATAATTTTAAGTGTTTAGGTAGACTAGTTTACCTATCTATCAATCGAAATTTATAAGCAGAGAGAAAAAAGAAAGAAAAAAGATGTGAACCATTTAAAACGCCTTCTCCCCAACCAGAACTCCCATCGGTCTTCCGGATTTCGTTAGCACTTTTCGAACAAAATCGATTATTTGGGCCTCGGTGCCTAGGGTTATATGAAGAGGTTAGCGCTACGAGTTCCGAAGATCTTAGCAACTATATACGAAAATCATTACCTGCTTGTCCAACGATCATCATAGAGATCGGTTCCCAGACTGTTTCCTTTGTGACCTTCGATGTTATTGGGCGTTGGCCGACTTGTTTTGAAGTTAGAAAATATCTTTTTTGGTTCCAGCGACTATTTCGAACTTCCATGGGCGTTTGTGATGGGATTGGTTGGGATATAAATAGAATCAGCATAGTTCTCACCTGGGACCACCACACTCGGCAACCCTCCCAAAATACTATAGAATGTATTATCAAAACCAAAGCTCTGGAGATATACATCGATGCTTTCCGGGGCGCTATGGTGATTTATCATCTATATTAGCCTTCATTTGTAGACTACGTCTGCAACATAAGACTAAGTTAAGCCGTGGTTGCCACTTACATCAGCTCATCTCTATATGTTGCCTCCCCGCTGCCAGCCGGGAGCATCATCACTGCCCCACCATTAAAAACATGAGATCTAAGGAACCCCTTGAAAACAGCCATCCTCTGTAGGGCCTCTTGATAGTCCCCCATTGAAATATTTTGTCGTTGAATTTCCCTGTACGGTAGATGCTCAAAATCTTTTAGCATTTGGATGCATATGTCGGAAGATTATCACTTAGCCCTAGCCGTCGGCTTCCGGGCTTGCATTTTTTGACCGTACCATTTATGCATTACCATTGGGTTGATATACGGATATCTCCCGAACTTCTGCTTGTATTTATTATAGAAGGTATTTTCGTTGATGTAGGACTCGTGTATTTGAATGTGGGCAACTGTCTGATTGTTATTACAAATGGTTAGAAACGATATGTATATATTAGGAGGGGAGTTTCGAATTCGGTAAGGCTTACAGAGTGTAGATATTCCGTGTACGATATATCCCTAGGGGCTAGACCGGAGGACTTCCATAATTCATTGATGTCGATCTCAGCTAAAGGTATCCCAGTTGATATTTTCGCATCTTCTATAAATTTCGCCATGACTGACTGTTTGTCAGAAGGGAGGGAGTCGAGGACGCCGCTAGGAACTATTATCCTGGATGGTTTCTATAACCAAAAATTGATTAATACTCACACTTGATGCCAAAAATTTTCATCCAAATGCCAGTTATTTACCTGTCTGCGCTGACCCTTCTTATCATACCAGACTTCCTGTAAAAGTTGAAAGTTCTGAATATCTCGGGCGAAGAACCCCATGGTATCCATTACGCTAATATATCCCCCCCCCCCCCCGGATTATCAGATTTTTTCACCATCGAGAGAACTTCCTTCTAACCCTAATCACATGAGAAGTATGGTTCTTAACCACATACCTCGAATATGGCATGACCCCCTCCAACTCTGATACCCCCAACGTCGGTCTCAATCCAAACACACCTTGCAAAGCCGCAGGCCAAATGATACTCCCACAGGCTACGAATATTAGCTATTTTCTTACTTGTATACAAAGATATATACGTTTCTTACCACCCCCTCCTCGAGAGAAAAAGGGAGGGAGGGAGGGAGGAAGCCTTACAATCAGTCCCTACTGCAAAGTCAACCCAATCATACCCGGCAACCGCAACCGCGCTACCAGTACTACTTCCTGCAGGATCCAGATATCCATCAGCGCGGGGATTAAACGGACACTGAAAATCGATCCAATCTCTTGCTGTTTCGCCGTTTGCGAACTGCGTGGTCTTGGTTTTCCCAATGATAACGGCCCCGAGAGAGATTAAATGTTGTATTGCTTCTGCGGTGGATTTAGAGGAACCGTGATATTGCGCATAGGCTTTCGACGAAGCACTAGTGGGGAGATTCCGGAGATCTATAATATCCTTCACTGCTATTCTTTTAGAGGATAGGGGGAGGGAAGAGTTGGTATAGAGTCGAGAGGGGACAGGAATAAGTTCGGTATGTGGGCGAGCGAAGCTGTATTAATCCCGGCGGCATCAGTAAATGTTTACAAAACAAATTATTCAATTACAATAGATCGGTATCTCATAACTGCCCAGACTTTGCGGGGATATATGTAATATCTGGATAGAGGCGCTCGTTGAACGTTGAAATTTATATCTTACCCATCTTCAGATTGCATGACACCATACATGAACGCACCATACGGATCGGGATACAGTCTCATTGCCTGGTAGATACTCCCGGACTGGAGGAAATACGGCCCACTCGGAATCGAATCATCAACTCTTAGAATGGAATGATCTTTCACACCAAGACTTCCTAGTACTTTCACACCATCCTCAAAAATCGTTGGTGATTGTTGTATTTTTCCAAATACTCCGAACAATACAGTTTCCAGGAAGAAAGGCCCAAATACATCATCTGCAGATAGCATTGATGTAATTGTAGCTTTCAGCCATTCTGAAGATATATTATTATTGCTTACTGTATTCAAATCCAGGGCTATTATCGTTATAGGAATGGCCATCTCCCAAACAGAGTGCTGCCCTTTGTGACGACTGGGAACGAGACTAGCTATTTCTGGGTTCTCATGTGTTTGTATATTAAGACTAGAACTCGAGTTCGAACGACGGGTTATAGAGGTACTATCAATATTAATTGTACCGACAACGTTTTTAGAAACAAGGTACTTGATATCACCATACTCGAGTATCGAAGTATGCATAACCGAAGCGCCTGAAACTATGGTTGTGGTCGCAAGTATTTGAAGCACTACGATCGCAAAAGCGGAGGTAATCATGTTAAGCGCTTGCGCCTGTCGGAGGCCGAATACGAACGAAAACATTCATGCAGAATGCTGATAACAGTTTCAGAAATAGTAACAGCGATAATATAATAAATAAATAAATGATAGAATAGCGGAAGAATCGGGGTAGAAGATGCAGAAGAAGAAAAATGTACGTCGGTTAAACCCTGGTGGCGTTCTATTGCATAGTATATTGACTTCTATCCAGGACGCTTTTAAAAATCGTATTTTCTGATGCAATGGTATCAACCATGGTACTCACAACCAGACTAAATGATGACATGGAATCGAATTTTACCTGTCTAGTGAGTCCCGGGGGGAAGCCTAGGAATTGAAGATCGTTTCTTCATCTCGAAGGGGAAAGATATATTTCTTGGAATGTCGTACGAAACTTTGTGCCAGTTTCCTAATCTGTTGGGTATCTTCGTATATATTACATCAAGTGAATCGTATTCACAGAATTAGTGCTGTAAAAGGACCCGAGCTCGGGCAGCAATACGTATACAGCCTCTTGCCAAAAGTCCTTCGGACTGCCGACCTAGGGATATTCTAAGGGCGCAGTCTGCAAGGGCAAGAGGTGAAAGGGACCGAGGATAGCCTAGTCTTTCGGAGATACCAATTGAAAATGTCCACGCCAACAACAAAAAAAAAAAAAAGAAATCACTCCGACACCAAGACCCACTAAGCTTGACTTGTCTTTCTTTTTCTTTTTCTCTCGTAGGCAATGCGAGACGCTCGTCTGTATCCTGCAGGTCGGAGGATATGCAGGGACGCGACGCTTTGGTGATTAGTGGCGCCTGCATCTAAGTACCGAATCTAGTTCGATGCATTGCGAAAGAACAAATAGCCTGGGTAATGTGATTAAAAGCCACAGCTAAAACTAGATCAAGTCCTAAGGAGAGAATGCTAAAAAGGAGGTTTAACTTTTTAATAGAGGGTTATAGTTCGTCTAAGGGGGTTATAACTAGTATTGGTTAGAATAATGCGTCAAAGTATATTTCGACCAAGGTATAGGAATCAATACGGAGTTGAGTTCAATATTAGGATTAAGGTCGAATTATTATAGTCTAAACTAAGCCCACCATTCAGATCTACCAAGGAACCACTGTTATAACTCCCAAAGAGATTACCGAATGCGACGCAAGAAGGCGAAATCGGCTGTAGACCCAAACTAGGTCAGGAGGCAGTGTACTGATAGCGATGAAACCGGGCCGTAAATTTTGTGATAAGGGCTATAACATCCTATACTCCTTGATAAAGACACATGTATTGGACCAATCAGTATGCCCACTAGGGAAGTGTGTGGCACTATCATATGTACGGCTAGATTGTTACGAGTGTGGAAGCCAGATTAAGTATTGGTTTTATGTTAAGAATCGCCTTTGAAAGTCCAAGGTAATTTACAGGAGAAATTATACAATAGCGATGGAGTCTTTCGAGGGTAAGAAGTGGGTGTATGCGTCGGGGTCCAGGTGGGGAGAACAAACAGATCGCTAATGTGTAGTTAGGAACACTAAAGGAAGTAGTAGTTTTAAGAGGGAGGCTTTATGAACAAATCCATTTTTGCAAAGGGAATGAAAAAGGTTATAATAGATAATAGAATGAAAGGAAAGAAAATAAAAACCAACAGTAAACAAAGTAAAGGATTGGAAAAAAAAGGGTATACGCCATGCACAAAAAACAAACGAGCTGTATCAAGAGGGAAAAAAAAAAAAAAAAAAAGGCCGGGAGACAAAGAATGCCCCGATGTGTCATCAAAAGAGTACCCAGATATTCGACCGTATCTATTCCTTCCGTTGGTGTGGACAAGGAAATCCGGTTGGAGTGGATAGAAGGCTTGATTTGCAGCGCATAGGCAAACCATGGGACGTTAATCACAAATTGGTTTTAGTGTCGTCATGGGTTCATCATGCGTCGGGATTTGTGACCTGATGGATAGGGTATTAGTATATTCTGTTTAATCATATCGCTTCTGATTAGGGTTGGACGAAGGTACCTTCAATATCCGTCTCGAGTAGTCCTGGTTGTCCGCAATGCTGCCGTCGCTCATTCTTCGCTGGAGCATGACAGGGTCTAGTCTGGTGTCCGCCTGTGGTTTTCTGATAGAGGCAGTGAACTCCTTTGCTGCAACGGCGGCTCTGTATTCCTCTTCGGCCTGTCGTCGTCTGTTTCGTCGAACAATGAGGAAACCACCAACACCCATTGCAATGACAGCGATTACGCCGACGACAACACCCGCCGCAATACCGGCCTTGCTTGAGCCTCCTCCGCCACTATTTTGTTGCTTGTCGCCATCAGCGGGAGCAGTCTGAGTAACAATGGCTGTCGACCATCACGGGTTAGTAGGTGAGCATTATTGCGATAAATCTGGTTGTAAAAACTTACGTGTCTTGATGACGGTTTGGATTGAAGGAGCTTCGCTAGTTGTGCTCTCAGAAGAGGATGTAGAGGATGTTTTCGTAGTCTTTGGTTTACTCGGGGGTACAACTCCAGTGATGCCAAATGACCAAACCGAAACGCCACCGCAAATTTCATCGGGAAATCCTTGACAGCGTACGTTACACTCGCTCATATCCACTTTTCCGTCCTCGGGGAAGACGTCACCACAGTAGCAAGTGGAGCCTCTAGTGACACCGTAGACAGCTTTGTTTTCGTCCCGACATTGTGCAAGGCAGAGGTTGGCTGTTTGGTATGTTTTGATACCATAATTCTTAGTATCACCGGGGTTATCGTAACAAGCTGTTGATGGATCACTGGCGAAGACAGGGACGACAGCGCCGAGGAGCACAAAAGCCGCCAAAGTTGTCCTTAGTAGTGAAGGCATTGTCGTTATGTATGTGATAGAGATTGTCGGGAGAGAGACAAGGAAAGGGATATTCTCGACAGTTTATGTTGTCGAGGGATGGAAGTCAAGCCAGGGGGTGTGATTGGCGACTAGAATGCTACAGGGTGAGTAGGGAAGAAGGGATCTATAGAATTTTCCACATGAACATGTTAGTATCACGATATTTTAGTTTGACGTAGAGGGTCACTACATCAGCAGGCCGGCGAGCGAGGAGGAAAGAAAAAGTGGAAGTGGAGGTAGGAGAGAGGTAGGAGAGGGAGAGGTGGAGAGGTGGAGAAAGAGGGAGAGAGAAGGAGAGAGAGAGAGAGAGCTGAAGCCGTAAAACGTGGATGTTGATAGTAACAAGGCCGTCTTTAATGCCTCGTCTTTCTCATGACGTCCTCCTCCTGCCTGTTCTTGCTCTCTTCTAGCTTCTCTCCTCCTCTCCTCTCCTCTCCTCTCCGCTTCCCATCCCATCCCATCCCCCTCTCCTTTCTTCTCCTCTCCTCTCCTCCCCTGCCTTCCCTTTCTTCCTCTCGACCATAGCCAACCAAACGGCAGGCATAGCAATAGTAACACGACAAAGCGAAAGTTGGACTAGCGGACAACGCATACCTTTCAATCAAAAGGCCCTTCGTTCTTCAACCCAAAGAAAATCCCACGTGAGGAGAATTTCAATTTCCTCCGCTCAAAAATGTCGACGAATTCGAGTCGGAGTTGTCGGATAGTTTTTTATTCCTATTTTATAGGAGGAACCGATGGTCGGAAGTTGCAAGTCGAGAACTCGATCAAATGAGAACAAATATCTTTGTCGTCCGGATAGCTTTTCCCAAGAGCGCCTCTAAGTTTCGAACGCCTTCTGAAATTATCGCCTTCAACCTCTACAAGCAAAGATACCTTGGTTCGTCCCTTTTGTCGTGATTAAAAACAGTTATAAAAGAAACCCTTCTTTTGCAGAATGCCCTCCCAATGATGTGTATGAATTATAGTTGTCGAAGAGGGTTGTCGGTTCAAACCCTTGATCTCTTCTCTTTTTTACTTCTAAGAATATTTCACACAAGGAAAAACAACTCCGTTTAGAGACAAAAGGAGAGAGTGGCCTGAAAATATGCTGACGACGAGGGGGGAAAATTATAGGAAAGAAAAAAAAAGAGAGAAAGAAAGAAGGAACAGGAAAAGGAAAACACCAGGGAAATCAAGCGCAAAGGAAAGTGGTTGACCGTAGATGGCGAATGAGAGTCTGTAAGGAAAGAACAGAGAAGTAGGCCAGCTGTACCCTGTGGTTGAAGAACTCGAGCGAGTGACTGGTGGTGAGGGTTATGGTGGTTGAAGAATCGAGAGAGGATGGAATGGGATGATGGGACAGGTGTGGAGGAGGAGTGGGAGTTTTGGCCTGGACGAGAAGGCTTGGAAGGAAAGAGGAAAGGAGAACTGCTAACCACCACCGTCCTAGCTCACCACCAAATGCACCACCATGCACCCACCACCTTGCACCACCGCTTCCTTGCTGAGTCGGCCACGAAGGAGGGCAGGGAAAAAAGAAAATGTGCCGGGAAATTGAAATTGGCTGGCACACAAACCACGCTTGCTCGCAGGAAATGGTCCGGTTTCCTGACTGATTTGGCTCAAACAGGAAGCATCAACGTCGCTCTTAATTGATGCAGGCGGTCGCTCATCGGTCATACACACGGACCAGATATCGTTCTTGCTGTATTTTGGCTTTGGTTTAAACTGAAGTATCTAAGTAAGCTCGCTCTAACTCTATCATATCCTTTACTATGGTCGTTACGATAAGAGCACTCATACAGGTTGGATAGGTCGGTCGGTCGGTCGGTCGGTCGGCGTGGATTGTGCTTACGGAGATAATATAATGGCTCTTCTGCTGACTGCTTTTGAATTTTTTTCTTGTGCCAGGAGATATGCAAGGTCAACCATTTGATACAAATTATTCACATAACACTCGTTGCCGCATACTGGTACTACTGTACCATATTGCTCTTACGGCTAGTTCGCTCTTAAACTTACGTTACCTGCATTACCTCCTCCCAATCGGCTGGTAAGCAACCAGCGGTGGTGGTAGTGGTCGTAACAGTGGCACTGCAGTTCGATACTGTCGGCCCTCGCAGCCGCCGACTTTTACATAGGTCCAAAGTTGTCGATACGACGGAGTGACCTGATCACGATACTGTTCTGCCCTGACTTATCCTAAACCCTTTTGCCAACAAAAGACCCAATCCAGCCCCGGCCAAGTCCATTCCCGTTTCTATTCATGGATCAACGTTATATATACAGCAAATGTATATGTACTTACTTCCTTGCGGTTCTAACTCACAGCACTTCTGCATCACGATAATAACAATAACAATAACATCCAAACTGGTATTGTTGGTAAACTAACCTACTATAAGTCCTTGGCTAATTAATATAACATAGCCTCAAAACTAAAAAGAACCCGGATTCTAGTGGTATTTTTTTTCTTCCTTCAAGGCGAAAGAAAAGAACTTTCCTGGCCGAAATATGTGCGCATGTAAGTACATATATATAGTATCATATTCAAAAGCCCCGTTGCCCTCCGAACGAACCGAAATGAGTGCTTGCATTTTCACATTCGTTCTCATGGTGCCTGATCCTGACTAACTAACCACCGACCCAAAGAACATGGGCCACAAAACTTTGAAGTCCTGATTGCGAATGCACGGGACAGAAACGGCGGGAAGCTGACGGTGGCTTGTTCTTTTTTTTTTTTTTTGTTTCTGTTCCCTTCCATAAAAGGCCGTTATTCACTAACTTTTAAGACCCTGGTTTGGGTTCTAGCTAAACAAAAACCTAACAGAAGGACATAAGGGCCGATAAACCTGTGTTAGAGAGTATCGAAAGAAGCGAGGGCTCTAACGCCTTGACAAGTAATGCACGATAGATGCACCGACGTCAGCCACCATGTATCGGATCTAAGGGCTACCCGTCGATGTCTACGATCCCCATTCAAAGTAAAAAAATGACGAAACAGTGTACAAATTACTAAGTAAGTGCATATATACAGTATGGCAGGGGAGAGAAAAAAAAAGAGACCGCCGAGATGACACCGAAAGACTCGGGTATTTTCCAGGCCCTTTTTACTGCCTTTAACGAGAGGGAAAAAATCTCTCACAGGACAAAAAAAACAGGAACGAAAAACGAAGGAACAAAATGGAAATCGAGTGTCAAGAAAGAAGCAATGAAAAAGAACTCTCGAACAGGATTTCTTTTAATTTCGCGTGTTTGAGATATGAACCCCCCTTTTTCCCCAAATCCTTGCCCATGCCGCGGCTCCGTCTTGGCTGCATGTTTTATTCTTTCTTACCTTCTTTCGCTGTGGGGGAGCACAAGAAACATCCTCAACAGCTTTCCTTACCAAACTCTTCTCAAATATTATTCAATGGAGGTAATTTCTGGGTGACACAGAACTTTGCCCAGTCCTATTAAATTGGAATTTGAGATTGGGATTGGGATTGGGATTTCGACCTCAAGCTCCCATGTTCAATTCAATTGCGATGAGTGTTTGAATGGCAGATATCTGCGTAGGGCCCCAAGCAAATAATTGGTTTAATAGCTACAACATGTTATTGATTCCTTCCACCAACGGGCCAGATCCACTTTGGCTCCCGAGATACTAGTTTCAGATATATAGCAAGGCGTCCGTGGCTGCCAGAACAATCAGCTGAACCGGTAATCGCATACGTAGCATTAGCTTTTTCACATTTGCATTTCCAAACCAACTTCTCGGAAACACGTTGCTCTCCCTCTTATCTATTATACGTAGGGCAGGTATAGAATAGCGAGCGAGTTTTTCTGTTCAAGATAGGTCTTTGCATTTTTAAACGCCTATCGATCCAACTACCATGAAACGTCCATGACCACTCTTCGATTCTCCCATTCTGGAACCAACCATGTAACCATTAATATTCGTCAATTAAACGATCCTCTTCCTCACCAAACTAAAACTCTAGCAGTCCAAAAACACAAGATGCCTCTTTCTCACGCAAGCCTGAGGGGGGTTATTGATACCGTATCAATACAGTTTTTTTTGTTCCAATACGGTATGACGGTGTTCAATACGGATTATATTAGAGTAGTATCAGAGGAGAGATTTTACTTAATTCGGATTCGAACGATATTGAAAAACACCACTTTTATAGCACAGTAATCATAACAGGGGGTTCAATTTGTTTCCCCTTCCAGATATTCGAAAATCATATATAGATATACCCAGCCCGCCGAATAAAAAGGAAAAGGGTTCCAGTACATTTTGATCTTCAATTTCTCACATGAGCCGGCGAACACTTGTCTATCTAGCTATGTACATACCATCTTATCTGAAACCCTATCCCTCCCCAATGTGGCCATGCATGTATGTCCATAAGGCATCCAAGTCGTCAAAAGTACCCAAAGGATGAAAGGAAGAAACATAAGCAGGATTTCTTCAAACCACAAAAACGAAAGGCTCGCCTATCGCTGACGAGCACTTTGTGGCTGTGGTCCTATTAGATTGTCCCAAACGTCCATAATACTCCCTCTTTCTGCAGGCAACATGCTATATTGTAGCGAGTACAGATCTCTCCGATGAATAGGCGGAACCTACATCAACACCAAGCTTCTATCAGCGCATATCCATGCCAAGTCATTCTAACAATGCTGCATTATGATCTTTCGTTTCAAACTCGGAAAAAGGTTGCGCAATAGAGGCTCTACGCAGCTTGCCGTGACATTCTGATACCCAATTCAAACAATGACACAAAACACTATCGGGAAAAAGTTGGACTCACAAATCGACCCGTAACAAGGCACAGTAGCACCCGTGGAGAAATATAATGTTTCCGTAGGCGTCCTCCCAACTGGAAATACTGCCGAAACATTGCCCTAAAGGACAGAGGCACTGACTATTACGAAACCCGTATCAGTATTGTCGCAAGAGAAAGCGTTGGATTATCACCCCAGCCAAAGGAGCAATCACGCGAATGTATACATACTTTCAACAGAACGTAAGATATATGCTCGCATTCTTTTTGTCTCCCCCCGTCAGGCAATTTATCGACATCTAGCATCTCAAACTGTACCCCGCCAGGCAACCTCTTCGAATCCTTTGTCCTCAACATCAGTGCGAAGAGTGGGAAATGGTTCAGGCATGCCAGAAGCGTTTCCAACCCGGCTTTGATACCGATTATGATCATTCTCGCCACCGCAAACGTGAGGTAGTACACTAACACGGTAGGCAACAGGAAAAACAAGAGCGTAAATAGGATGGTGCCGACGAGTAACTGGTCGATATCGTAGTCGCACGAATCGATACGGTTCCGTAGCACATTGCGTTTCTTCCCACGAAATAGGTGAAACAGTGAGATGATCGTTGTGAGCTGCCAGTGATATATCCGCGCTGAGGCAATGTAAAACGAGTAAATGTGTAAGGTCAAGACCGAAAGTAGATCCGAAAATATCGAGATTGGCATCGTGGCGCCCGCGAAACTCGAGAACCCGATAACCCAGATCAACCTAGCTAGATGAGGCCGCACGCTCGCCATCGATCCTGCCCAGTAGTCCACAACCCATAGAAAGAGATCACCGAGGAAGAAAGCAAGTTCTTTATTCAGTTTCAAACCAGCTGGTTTCCCTCGCAACCAGGATATTGTCTCGTGCAATCCATCAATCGTATACGTTCTTAGTAAGGCATCCAGCCAATCAGCCACACCAGTGGAGTTTTCAATGAGGAAAGTTCCTAGTGCAATCCCAATAATCACATCATTTGCAACCAGCCACAAGCTGTTGTAAAATCGTATATAATCAGGGTGAACAGAGTTGGCGCTCTCTAGATCTCCTTTCCGTTTCCTCAGTTTCCTATACTGAGTCGGCCAGTAGCATAATTGCTGGAGCCTGATATCCAACTGCTGCGCTATACTCGTCAGCGATTAACTAAGCGCTCTGGTAGGCAATGGGCATACTAACCCGTCGCGGAAACATCCTTCAGGGCGGCAAGATCTGGTTTCGGCCTCCACTCCACAATTCGAAGGACGACTTCATTCGCAGCCCTTTGGACTGTCAACAAGGCAACGAAACACCGTATCAGTAGCGGATACGCTAAGAGTACCAAGCTCCAAAGCCTGTTAACGGCTCGCTCTCCAAGATTTGTAGCGGATTCAACAACCCTTTCGCTAACGCTCATACTTCTCGACCGCCCAATCCGGTACCTTACGTTATCGTTGAGTAGGGTGGACATCTCCCACGAACAGTTGATCTATAACAGAATTAGAATTTCATTGGCTTGAAGCCCGAGATATTGGTTAACTCTTACCTGCCCAATTATCGCATCTAGTGACTCCTCTTTCACCGTTAGCCGGTGTTTTCGTACCGAATGCAGTCTAATTTTATCTGAAAGTTGACCATGTAAAGGTTTCACATATTGAGCTTCCTTCTCCTCTTCCACCTTAACCGTAGACGTTTCTTCATCTAACGCTAGTGAGATGGGTTTCAGAGACATATACTGCATCCGCCATGGTGACGGCATATCAAACAAAATGACCTGCACTGTAACATTCGTTTCCTTGGGACAATATATCGCAGGGTATGGACAACTTTCGGTGAGTGTGGCGTGGATGTGACGTGCTTCAAACTTCTTTGGTTGCTGGCCGTTCAGTGTGCCTAGAACGTGGAGTCTGGTTCGTTTGCTCATTTGGAAGAGCTTTGTAAGGGACCCAACAGGCTTTGTGAAGATAGCACCGTTCCGGAGAGCATGATCGATTGCTTTGCTCTAACAGCCCACAAATCAACAGGTATATTCATCAGGGTAATGGAAACAGTCCTCACATCCTTAGCGTTCAGCAGAGCAACCACGAATATATCATACTCCGAATTTCGCCAGCCTATCAACAATCCTGAGTTCTCCTTCCGTGGGAGGCCACATGGCCAGAATATCCGCATCAAAGTCGGCGAGGGATCCATGCCTGACGATGTCACTAGAAGCTCCCCCTTCTCCTCAATTGCTCCCTCGCGGATATCCCACCGCTACTAGCCCGTGAGTGCTAAATACCCCTGATTAGTCGAGTGTTTATTTCCAAATGTCCAATAAACCATTATCAAACCCATACAAGCCTAGTTTCCCTCGCAGCGATTCTTTCCAGTGGAACAAGTATTAGAATGAACAACAAGGTCAGCAGAACTACACCCTGGAGCACCCGTCCCTACAAACAAAAAAGTAAGTAATTCAATCAACTATCACCAATACAAAGGATCCCCAAAGGACGTACAAAAACCCCACTCTTCCACGCAAGAACCAGGAATTCAAATGCCCGGGATACGAGTGAAAACCGCGCGGTAATATACCCAGCGACAAAGACAATAAATGTCAGTGTCAAAGAAGGGTGCATCAAAAAGAACGCATCCGGAGAGTAAGGGTTTGGAATTTTGAAAAAAGGTTGAGCGTGTAGCCGTTGTCGAGATATGAGAAACCCTTATAGACTTCGAGTAGGCTTTGTAATAAGTATATTTTAGCGTGCCTAGAGGTGGGTCGCGGGGTATGGAGGACTGTCGTATGCTGCAGGGGTTTCAAGGGGTCGTAATTCGAACTCGAACTGATAGGATGGCGATGTATGTCGGGTGATGATTGATATTAAGTTTAATACACGGGAAATATATACAGTCGATCACAATTGAGGTGGAAGTTATTCACGAGAAGAAGATGACGCTGGTGTTTGGATGTTTCGAGGTTAGGTATCTGGAAAGGTGTTATGATTTGGGAGCTCTCAGGATAAGCCGCAGAAAATTGGTGTGGTAGCTGGCGCACACCAATTAAAATGACGTTGGGCCTGTGTCCAATGGTAACCGCTCAGGCTCTGCAAAATACCTATTGAAGATCAAATCGGTGCGAGACTCGAGACCTGCCACAGGAAACCATCGTGGATTCAGATGGACGTACACTATAATATACGGAACCATGCGCGATAATAAAGTGCACGTGCATAGACTATTCGTAGTTTAAGTTTACATTCTACCAATATAGTTCTTTATTGTACAATGAATTTGCATAAAACCATGGAACGACGAAAGAAAGTACTGGAAATATGACCCCGAACGCCATGCATTAAAACCCCAAGATCTCCAGAACATGCGCAGGACTCGTCTTTCTCCAAGATTGGCACTAGGGGGTACGGTGACCGTGAGCTGTACCTCAGGTTGATCTAGCGGAAGAAAAACAGGTGCGGAATAATACGGTTAAAGACTTTAGAACCGTCCCCTGAAGCCTCCTCTTGCCGGCGCACTTCCTCTGCCTCTTGGGATACCGCGTCCTCGACCACCAGCACCGCCTCTTGGAGCTCCGAATCCGAATCCACCACGGCCTCCAGGGGCTCCACCTCGTCCACCTCTTGGAGCTCCCCTACCACGTGCACCACCTCTCGGTGCACCCCGTCCACCCCGTCCACCAGCGCCGCCCCTCTTCGAGATACCCTTTGGCTTTGCAGTACCTGGTGGTGGCTTTGGTTTGGGCAGGAACCTAAATTCGATTGGTTGTCAGCAAGTGTCTTCGAACTGACCCAGAATTGACCTTGAGCCTCCGTGCTTACTTGTCTAACGGTAGTAACTTGTCACCGCCAATATAGAACTTATCGCCCTTCTTGAACGATGTGGCCACGACTCCCTCCTGCGGTTTTATAGTAAAATAAACTTGGTTGATTGGCCCGAGAACCTCATCGACCTTGCCAACAGCTGACTACATCGAACGACTTGAATTAGATTCATGGAAACCGCACATGTGCGCAAACCCTAGCCCTGTGAGCCTGGGGAGGTCTAGGAAAGTGCAAGTACCTTGTTCTCCAAGTAAATCGGCGCATTGAAGAATGGAATCTTCACATTTGTAGACTCGCACACCATCTCGCCCTCGGAAGCATGGACAAAAGTTCCGATCTCTAGACAAAATATCTTAAATCAGTGACTGCCATCTTTGGGGGATAGGCAGGGACTGTTTGGTACGTACCGAAGACCTGGTCTGGAGGACCAAATGACTGAGGGGCGCCACCCCTTCCACCTATCAATTGATACTGAAATTAGATCCCATTCCATCATATTTGGTCAGATATCGGGCTAACGATACCTCTGAATCCTCCACCGCCCCCTCTACCCCCTCCAAATCCACCTCCAAATCCACCTCCAAATCCACCTCCAAACCCACCCCGACCACCTCTTGGAGGACCGCCTCTGCCACCTCTAAAACTCATGGTTGGTTTGTCGGATTCGTAAAGAAAATTAATAACTTGAAGTATCAATAATTGCGATCTAAACTTGATTGGCGGGCGCTCTGTGCTGTTGGCGTGTTTGAAGTCAGCGAATGGGATTTTCGTTCGTGATGAAGAGTACAGTTTCGCTTTGGTGTTTTTTTTTGTCGAAATCTAAAAAAATTTCGTGGAATAAAAATTGGTCGCCAAGCAATCGGAAGCGATTAGCGCGGCTAAACCTGCCGCTGATTTCCAGCTGGGTGGTTGCCCAACACAAAGCGAACCGTTAATATAATCTCAACATTTGATTGCATTGATATTGATGCATGTAGATATTATATATATACTTAGTATCTAGGTACCTAGTAAGTGTCTACTTAAGTATTTAGGTACTTATAATTATAAGTAACTTAAGTATATCCAAATGTTTCTATCCTTTTTTTTTTTGATAATCTATTATGATTACATGCTGAACAAATTAACCTCCATCGGCGAGCTTTCGATATTTATACATATGATACTGCACTGACGCAACCGAAAATATTAAACTACTAGGTATATAAGTGTATATATACCACCCATATGGCCATAGGCATACAGCGAAAATGGGAATAGACTCAAGTCCATGCTCTCCACAGTTCACCATCGCTATTGCTCAAAGGAATGTAATTTAATGACCTATATAACCTCTTTTACCTAAATTAGTCGGGCAAGCCTCCAATGGAGGACCGAGTAGCCGCCACCACATGCCATATCAAGGCCCCATGTCGACGAACCACCTCAGGAACGATCAGGGCTTCTATTTCCGGATCACGTCTGCCTGCGAACTTTCCAACACTATTTGTATTTTCTTCGGTGCCCTGCGGTAACCGGAGCCAGTGTGTGGATTCCTTGTCGACGAATACTACTTCGTGCTTTCGACTTTGAAGCAGGTTACCTATCACTAGGTGATGGGAGTAACGCTTCAACGCCATATTGCATTTTTTGATCAAAAGCTTAGGATCTGTTTCTAGCTGTTCAAAGGTTAGCCCGGAAGCTCAGTTGCCGACCATCATTATTAGACGGCGAAGCTCATAGAACGGCATACCTTGAAGGACACGATCATGCTGTCCGGAGCCCACGACTCCACAAGCCTTTTCAGGAACTTCGGTACAGGATCCAAGTCAATAATCAATTTCTTTCCAGACCCCGGGCCAGCTGGGTTGACAAATTCCATCTCGCCGTCCTTTTCGGCAAACTCGCCGCTTTGAATCTTGTGTTCCGCCATTCTTTCCCTAGGAACGAAGAAATCGCTAACAGCGGCAGCCAGGTAGAACAAAGATTTACCACCCAGCGGTCTCATTTTCATGGCCAGCTCTCTCAAGAGGAACAGATAGGAGGTTATGGTTGTAAACGGAAGCAAAAGAAGCAGCCTTTCCCTCTTAGCATGCTTGTACTTCCTCAGAACCGATATCATCTCGGCGGCGTATTCATCCCTCGCCACGATGGTATTCCTGCTGCTTCCATCCGTGGGAGCTTCTGCCAAAAAGTCCAGGAAACAATTTGTAGAGTGGCTGTAATGGCGACTGTAAGGAAGCAGGCTAAACTGCCGGTGCAAAAATATAACAGCATATCCAGCCTCCAAAAAGTATTCGGCACTGGTAGCGCCTCTGGTACCAGCGGAAAAGTTGTCGATGAACCTGACGGTTTGATTTTCCAAGGGCACGGTGGTACCACCGGATGTCACGAGCACAACCCGTCGCTGGTGGGAACAGTGCAGGTTAACGAATTCTTCGGCTATTCGGGAGAACTCCTCGAGTTCCGGGGGCGGAGGGTTGGTGTCAAAGTAGGTGGTTTCATCTTTTTCGATAGCAGCGGTGAAAGTTGGAGCGGACCTATCGATGGCGTTCTCAATAGCCGGGGAACTCTGGGTCCTATGGGCGGTATTTATACTTGAACCGTCGGTAGACATGGTAAAAAGGAAGGGATGTGAATGGGAAGGTGGATGTGGATGTGGTGGATGAGAAGGGGTCGATGCGGGATGATGTTGAGATATCAATCAGACAATCAATTAATGCAATGCAATGCAATGACGTCCAGCACCGGCACGGTTAGCACCTTAAGCTTGCTGTCCTGGGAGAGTAGGCAGACCCTTTAAATTTTAAATTTAAGAAACGATATAGTACTAGTTTAAGTTTATCGAGAAACCAACCGGCCCCATTCGAAATTCTCGTCGCTGCGCAGCCATGTAACGTAAGTTGTATTATACGGTGGAAGTACGTTGGGAGTAGAGATAATTAAGTGGAAGAAGGTAAAGGGAAAGAACTAAACCGATCTTCTTCCCCATGCATCCGCGGTTCCCGACACCCGAAATATTTCGTCCCTTTTGACTCTCCCGTATGTTCTGTACTATACTATTGCCTTCTAGCTTCTTTGGTTCGACCGAATCAGGTTTTCCTTGCATTTTGCATTCTTAAGTATTTGTACGTATACTTAGCTAGGTAAGTAGGTGTATAATACAGTGCGGGGGGGAAATTAAAAGAGAGTTGCAGTTGCAGTTGCTGCAGCCCCACCAAATAAACACACCTTCGACTGTGCTGCACTTCGCTGTGGACTAGCTGTGCTGTCGACTCACAATCAAATAACTTTTATATAAAATAACCGGGCTGGGGTCTCCGCGCCCACAAAATACCATTCCAATTACTACCACACCACCACGACGTAGATACAAATAATCACACTTACAATCGACGATGGACGCCGTCAAGGAGGTCGTTGATAAGGTCAAGGACGTTACCATTGGTGACTCTTCTGCCGGGCCTTCTGCTCCTGCTGCTGCGAAGCCAAAGGGTGAGAAGAAGGAGAAGCAGAAGAAGCCAGCTGCCCCCGCTGCCCCCGCTGCCCCATTGGAGGTATGTACATGCAATTCTCTTCTTCCTACCCTCTTCCTCTTCCTCTTCCTTCTTCTCCTTCTTCCTATTCTTCCTATTCTTCCTATTCTTTTATTTTTATTTTATTATTATTTTTATTCTTCTCCTCCTTCTCCTTCTCCTTCTCCTTCTCCTACGAATGGCCTTTCCACCGGTCATCACACTCGAAAGGGAGATCGTTTTTTTTTTCAACATGTGCTAATTCTGTCGTAATAGTTGGATCCCCCTCCGGTCTATATCGACCATCGTATACAATTATTCGAGAAACTCAAGGCCGAGTACGATGCAGAATGCGCTTCCAAGCCACGAGAGCCCATCACCATCACCATCCTACCGGAAGGTCGTACCATGGTCGGTGAATCTTGGGTCACATCGCCTTTGAAGATTGCCATCGAGTCGGGCAAAGGTGTCGCCGATAAAACTGTCATCTCGAAGGTCGACGGTGTCCTGTGGGATCTTCCACGGCCTCTGGAGAAGGATTGCTCTGTCGAATTGCTCGATTTCGACAATATGGAGGGTAACATATCCCATAATATCCCCCCCCCCAGGCCCCTAAACCGAACCTCTTATTGATACTTTTGGATTTAATAGCCAAGAAGGTGTTCTGGCATTCCAGTGCACACGTTCTCGGTGAAGCTGCAGAGCGACACTTCGGTTGCCATCTCTGCTTGGGACCTCCAACTGACGATGGTTTCTTCTACGAAATGGGTATGGCTGAAGATGGCCAGTAAGTATTTACCACCTTTATTCAATTTCAATAAATTCACTAGGGTCGACCGCCCCCCCTAACGAGATCAACCTATAGGGCTGTTAAGTCGGAAGACGTAAAACCTCTCGAGACTATTGCAGGCAAGATCGTCAAGGAGAGGCAGCCCTTCGAACGTCTAGTCGTCTCCAAGGAAAACCTCCTTGAGATGTTCAAGCACAACAAGTTCAAGCAGGTTCTTATCTCCAGCAAGATTCCAGATGGCACCAGCTCCACAGTATACCGATGTGGTCCACTGATCGACCTTTGCGTCGGACCTCACATCCCAAATACTGGCAGAATAAAGGCTTTCTCTGTGATGAAGGTAAGAGCGAAAAAAATCCTTGCAAACTCCACAATACGATGGTACTAATAGAACATACTAGCACTCCTCCTGCTACTTTCTCGGCGACTCCGCCAACGAGACTCTGCAGCGTATCTATGGTGTCAGCTTTCCGGACAAAAAGTTGATGGACGAACACAAGAAGTACCTCGAGGAAGCCGCAAAGCGAGACCATCGCAAGATCGGAAAAGAGCAGGAACTCTTCTTCTTTGACCCTATCAGCCCTGGATCGGCATTCTTTCTTCCCCACGGAACCAGAATATACAATACCCTTATGGCATTCCTCCGAGAAGAATACTGGAAACGTGGTTACGATGAGGTTATCACCCCCAACATGTACAACTCGAGCCTCTGGAAGACCTCTGGTCATTGGGAAAATTATAAGGACGATATGTTCACCCTAGATGTGGACAAGGAGCAATTCGGACTAAAGCCTATGAACTGCCCAGGTCACTGTGTCGTCTTTGGCCACCGCGAGCGAAGTTACCGTGAACTGCCATGGAGGATGGCAGATTTCGGGGTTCTGCACCGAAATGAGGCCTCTGGCGCATTGACCGGCTTGACCAGAGTTAGGCGATTCCAGCAAGATGATACTCATATCTTTTGTACCAAGGACCAGGTCAAGGACGAAATTATGGGGCTGTTCGACTTTCTTAAACATATCTATGGTAAACTTGGCTTCACCTTTAAGCTGAACCTTTCCACCAGGCCAGATAAATATTTGGGAGAAATTGAGACCTGGAATAAGGCTGAAGACCAATTAAAGGAGGCTCTGGATCTGTTCGCAACTCAAGGTGGCGGCGCATGGGAGTTAAACCCAGGTGATGGTGCCTTTTACGGCCCAAAGATCGACATCACCATCTCTGACGCCCTTCGCCGTGAATTCCAATGTGCCACCATTCAGCTTGACTTCCAGCTTCCACAAAGATTCAAACTCCGATATAACACTGGTGCGCCGTCAACAAAGGATGAGAATGGCGAGGATATCGGTGTTTATGACACTCCTGTCATGGTCCACCGTGCCATTTACGGCAGCTTTGAGAGATTTACCGCTATTCTCACGGAGCACTTTGCCGGCAAGTGGCCATTCTGGTTGAGCCCCAGGCAAATCTTGATATTGCCTGTCACTCCTCAGAACAACGACTATGTGATTGAACTACAAAAGATCTTCCATGATGCTGGATTCTATGTTGATATTGATATCAGCGGCAACACCATGAAGAAGAAGATCTTACAGGCCCAGATGCATCAGTACAACTTTACCTTTGGTACGTAAATCAGCGATTCCGCCCTATTAGGAGGTTTCCTAGCTAATGGTTTCTTCTTCTTCTTCTTCTTGTATAGTTGTTGGCGCGGACGAGTGTAAGAACAGATCGGTCAACGCCAGAGATAGAGATAACCAGGAAAGTCAGAATAGAGGCGCACTTTTACCCGTCGATGATGTGATCAAGCGATTGACTGAACTCAAGCAGTCAAGGGAGTTAGATCAAACTCATGCCCTCAGGGCCTAGAAATATATAAGCCCTGTTGAGATAGAAAGTTCCGGTTTTATATTAGCTTGATTAACTATGCAAGCTTCCCTTCCTCGGACCCTCTCTAGTTCATGGTAGCACATCAATTATAAGTTAAACCATCGCATTGACTTTCATCAAGGTGTAAACTCGGTGCCCTGGATTCATGCCCGTTAATCGTGGTACCTCAAACTACATTATAAAAACATTAACTCGATACGGGATTCAGGAAAGACATTGAGGAATGCCGCAACTACGAACTACGAACTGCAACGTTACAAATACAACAAGATACCATTGATTTCTATATATTACACAAACTCCTCAAATGTAAATAGTAATAACAAAGTGAAGGTCCCAAAAAAAAAAAAAGGGAGCGAGGCGCTTCTATATACATAGGAATCAAAGCACCGTCCTCGACATCCGCCCTTAAACTGCCAATGAAGCAAAACCAGCCCTATACAAGGGGCAACCGCGTACATGAATGCATAGAAAGGATCGACGCCAACAAACCCCGCCTCGGAAAACCTAAAGAGTCGATTTTCTTTATTCTATGGACTCTGAGGAAGGCTATAAATGATGCACAAAAGAGAATGCAAATGGGTGGTTGGGTGGGTTCCTAGTGCTGGAACTGGAACTTGAAGCCGCCGCCGCCGCCGCCGCCGCCAGGGAAGCCACCACCAGGAAAGAAGAATGGTTGTCCGCCGCCACCGGGGAATCCGCCACCGAATGGGCCACCTTGGTGGAAGGGGTTTCGCTGTGTTTGGTCATTCGGATCGTCACCACTGTATAAATGTCAGTTTATATACCTGAGCTACGTTGTAATTCATGTTGGAATACGTACTTGTCAAACCTGGCTCGTAGTTCATCATCTCTGAGGACTTCATAGGCTTCATTGATTGCTTCCATCTTCCTCTCCGCCTGATCCTTTGTCAATCCACTCAGTTTCAATTTGTCAGGATGGTACTGTCGAACCATCTTGTTGTACTGTGTCTTGATTTCTCTCGATGTTGCATCTCGGTCTACGCCAAGAATCTTATAATAGTCCTTAGCCTTAGATTTCTTGAGAAGGACATGCGCCTTTTGGAGGTATTCATGGACTTTTTCGTTTTGGCCGTCCTGTTCTTTGGCATGGCTCAACTCCCTGATAGCCTCCTCGAATAATTCCTCGTCCATTAGTCGCTTAGCTTTATTGATTATGGCTGGAATGGAGTTAGGATTGAGCTGTAAAGTTTCCTCGCAGAAAGGCCGTGCTCTCTTGTCGTTATTTCCTTCACTGTAAATTTCACAAACAAGTTCGACAAGTTGGAGGATGAGATCGTTCGGGCTGTTGTCGTTCATGAGGCCTTCCTCCCTGAGAGTTTTGATATCGTCCCTGATTTCGGTAAGGATACCGGGTTCGTCAGTAGTTCCGATGATTATCTTAGCTGCACCGATGAATTGGCGTCTTCCACGCATTTCCATCGCTTTATTCAAAGACTTGTTATAGGCTTTTAGCCGACGGAAGGGTTTCTTGCATGGCTTTGAATCTGGGTCGAAGTGTAGGCATTTGCGGATCTGAGTCATAGCTCGGTCGAAGTCGTTGAGAGAATAGTAAAAGAGATTTGTGATATGAAGGTGAGGCTCGGTAAGTGCGGTAGATAGAGTGGAGATATGGCCCAGATCGCCGATGGCTAGGGGTTATGTTAGCATAGGTATTGGTATTAACTGACAAACTCGCAGAGGACTATTGTGTAGACTCACCTTCCCGGACTTCGCCCTTTGCAAGTCTACATTTATATCGGGTTTCTCTTAAAGATAATATCCCAGGCGAGAACGAAATGGCCTCGGTAGCTGCTTCTGTGCAAGCATGGTAGTCTTGCTTCTGGTAAGCAAGCTGGGCGGAGTAGACAAATGATTCTGCTTTATCAACATCGCCCAATTCCTGTCGCCGGTCGCTAGGACAGGACTTAAAATCACTCCTAGCACCAACCCAGTCCCCGGATCTTAACTTCATTTTCGCGCGCTGTAGGAGGGCGGCTTCGAAGTCTGGCTTCATCTCCAAAACTCGATTGAAGTCATCAGCGGCTTGAGCTGTGCGACCGAGTGAGAGGTAGGCGGTGCCCCGTTTGAAGATGGTAAGGTAGTTGGAGGGTTCCCGTTCAATAGCGGCATCGAAGAATTGCAGGGCGTCATTTGATTGGCCCTTTGCTAGTAGAACATTGGCGGAATCAACGAGCGACTTGACGGGGACGTCTTTGGGGACATCACTGGCGGCTGCAGGGATTGAGAGTGAAAGCACGCAGACGAAAGCCGCGGCCAGGTAAGTGTGCTTCGACTGTGCCAGGCGCATTTTCGTAGATGGCCGGTGTTAGGAAGCGTAAGTAAGTATGGACGTTTCAGGGATGTCGATGTCGATGGTCAATGTCGATGGTCGATGTTCGGGGTTCCGTAGTCAGCTTGGGGAAGTGGCCAGTTTATACATATCGAAGGGTCGGTTGTGGCCAAGTTGCAATTAGCTCCGCCGCTTGGTTCCTGACTGTGCTGGTTTAACTAACCGAACTAATGGAACAGTTCCCGAACAACCTTATCTTATCCCTAGCTCAACGTCATTTTAGGTGCATTGAGGGAGTTATCACCAACCTCATATGTTCCATCCATTGTACTTAAGGATTTGTAATATAACATGTGCATGCGCCTCGCATCCATGAGATACCGATGGATTTGCATCTAAACGACGATTGGGCTACCTCTGCTGTCTTTTCGCCATCTCTTGCCCGCCAGCAGCAGCATCAAGGTAAGTAAATATTCAAACCAACAACCATCTAGCCAGCGACATCGCGAGTTCAGTATTCAAATTTTACTAATGTATTGACTGTAGCAAAGGAATGGAGCTATATCGATCAATGGCTCCAGGCAAAATATCACCCACGGCCGGTCCCTCCGTTCGAAAGGAACATGGACACCCTGAGGGCTCTGACTGCCTTAGCTGCTGCAAACGAAGCTGCCGACGAGGAGAGAGCTTCGCAGCTCGAATTCAAGCAGAATATCCTAAGTAGCTACAGACCAAAGCGTCCGGACGATAAAATCATCCGTATTAGAGAAGGCCTGAATCGAGATGCCGGCAAGGCCTTGGACTCTGTGGCTAGTGCCAGTGTCAAGCTTGGTGCTGATTTGGGCAACGTATCACAGTGAGTCAGTATCGTTGCCTCATAGTTGGCCTCCCACTTGTCATTAACATAGTGATTTAAGAAACCGGGAGGCGCTGTTGTATCTGACAAAAGAAGAATGCCAAATTGAGCACTCGATCCTTCCTGAGGAGCAGACTCTTAAGACCCTCGTTGCCGATATTCAGGAAGCAGAGGAGTCTCTTCGCAAATTCCACAGGTAAATCTTCATTTCTGTGAGCGTTCAGTTTCTTAATATGCCGGCTAATATGAATTGCAGCGAGGCATATGAGACTCCCAAAGATCTCCCAGCCAAGCTTGCTGAGTGGACACGGACCATAAAGATCCTACAGCAGAAGTCCGCTGAATATAAAGACCGGGCTACTTCCTTGCAGGTGTGGGCCCTCCAATTTATGCATATAAAATTTTTACGAACAACTAATGGTCGCCTCGTATATATGTAGAATGCATATCGGAGAAACCCACCCAGATATACTATTGAGAATTTGGTTGAGCTGGAAAATGAGATCCTCGAGCTCCAGGATCATGTGCGAAGCCTGAATGGTCAAGTAAAGGCATACACTCTCCTACCGCCTGACCCTAAGGCTGCTCAACGCAAGATCGAGGAAGCCAAGGAGGAACTTGAAATGTTGAAATCCCAAAGAGAAGAGCTGTACCAGGGTCTGGCACGTTCTTGATCATTATAACCCGCTGTTATCGGCAAACTCCTCTCGACTGGCTTTCCTTGATATCATCAAGGGGTCATATATCTGAAGCGCCCTTTGGCAGTTCTAACATGGGTATATTGCGACATGCTAAGAGTTCAAGTTGAGAGAGCCTATTATCCGTTGCGTCATGTGTAATCGATGTCTTTCCACGCGATTCGCCTCGAGTTTTTCACCAGGGGCATCAAATCCAACTGCAGCAAGTAGAGTTGGGTCGATATACATACACACATGCACTAATGCATCAAACCGTGTTTATACCTCTGTCGCTTAACTATGAGCCTCCGCACACGCCAGCCGAAGTGTCGGTACAAGTGCATGTGCATGTCTTGAGGAACATACCGAGTCCCGTCTCCCAGCTCAGCGGCTTCCGTCTCCTGGAACGGGCCTCACGCTTTCAGTTGATCCCAATTTTCCAACCCCTTGTCGACGCAGGAATACTTTGGCAATAAACATATCTTCGAAGGAAGCCCCTTAACGACTTTGGGCAGGCCTTTACAGGGAAGAGGCTTCCTGCCAGGTTTCATCCTTCAACCATGCAGCCGGGAAGGAAATTGACCATACAAATTCCTTTGCCCTCTGTTCGCCGCAAAGCGCCACCACAAAAAGACGAGAGGAACCTGGAAATCTTATCTTTGATTAGTGCACAAAACGAATCAGGGTACAGGACACCGTTTTTTGTAGCGAATCAGCAGGAGGCAACATTTTCGTCGCATGATAATTTTCCTTTCGGTTCAGGGACTCTCTTCTTCTTTTTATGCTTCGAACTCTCCTGTCCGTCTTATCCTTCCAATTGTTCCTGTTCTTGTAGATGAACTTGTAGAATTCCAATTTCTCCTTCCTGCGCCGGCCCAATTTCATCATCGTACATACTTCAGACGTCCACAAGCCCTTCCCGAGAGTCAACATCTCGACCCGTCCCGCTGGCCCCAACCTTTGTTTGGTACAACAATCGCTCCGCCTTCTGTTACTCCACCACCACCCCAAAAAGCCCAAGCCGACAAAGACCGTCACCAAAAACGGCGATAGTATAGAGATTGCAAACAACCCAAAAAAAAAGGAAGAAGAATACCTCGTTCGCGCGACAACAACCAGCACTAGAAAACCAAGCTCCGGAGTTCTCTGAAATTCATCCAATCTTGGGTGCGCGGCCGCACATGGAGGACGAAAATAGGATAGCTATCACCGTTTGTGGAGATGGTGGAACAGGTACAGATTCGATCTGCCACACGCACCCGAACAGCACGCTTGCTCCTGTCTGCACCAATGTCTCACGTTCATCTAACATTGTTGATAATCCTTGAAAAGAAGAGGGCCTTGCATATGCGGTTTTGGAGAGGTTTGCTAACCTGGTTTCGTTGTCGCAGGTAAATCATCGATATCGTTACGACTGGTGCGAAGTAAATGGACACATGAGTAGGTCCCCTATTCTTTGGGTATTACCTACGAAATTAGTATCTAATTGGTTGTGGTATTTCAATTTGTAGCTATGACCCAACAATAGGTATTCCGATGGAACTCGATGAACAATTTGAGGAGCAGATGCTTATGTTTATACCATGACCATGCAGAGGACAGCTACTCCGTCACTAGAGTTATCGATGGCGTGACATATCACCTACACCTCACAGATACAGCGGGCCAAGAAGAGTGCGAACTTGTCCGAACCATAGATTAACATGCAACCACTGACTGTTCAACACTTACAGATATCGTGGCCTGTGGTCAGCGGCAAATACGCGAGATGCAGACGCATTTCTTCTAGTATACGATATCACCAGCCATGATTCCCTCGTCGCCCTTGATTATTTCAACGACCTGATAGAAATGGAGTCTGAGGAGCGGTCGCCGGCTAAACCACCACAGATCAAATTTGTAGCGGGGAATAAGGTCGACTTGGCGCATGATAGACAAGTTGCTAGTGTTGAAGGGCTAAACTGGGCGAGGGATCATGGATGCGGGTATGTTGGAAGCAGAACGTATTATACCAAGACAGGCTTGCTAACTTTATTGTTAGGTTTATGGAGACATCCGCAAGGAATATGGTTAATATCGAAGAAACATTTGCTCGTAAGCCCTCTTCAACCCACCCAAAAGCTTTGGATTAAACTGAAATATGATACCTAGTCATTGTGCGCAGAGTGGTCGCCGCAAGGAGGGGCCAGGCAGCACCCCCTACCCGACAAGCCAATGTTCCAACCAGTGGTTTACAAAATTACCCCACCACTATCGAAGATAACGAGAAAGGCCAAGCCAGCGATGCAAACGGCAAGAAGAAGAAAGGATTCTTCAGCAAGCTCTCTTGCTGCACGATTATGTGAACAATATCCCTTCCGCATATTAACAGTCTATCAACCGGATCATCTCTATCACTTTGAAGTCACCAGTATTCAATGTGACCTAATAAAAGGCCACTGTTTTACTATTTTACATCATAGTCTCTGCCGAATACCTTATCATGCGCACTAACCAGTCGATTTCCTTATTTTATTTATCTTGTTTTTTGTTACTCTTTATTAACCGCCAACTGCCAGCCTTACCCCGATCACTCGAAGTTCCTTTGTTCCAACCTGAAAAACTAACGGCCTTATCGTCATTATACTATACCATTCCGCTTTCCAGAGCGAGTCATTTGCTAATCTACCTACCTCTTTTATTGTATATTCACCTTTCTGAAACAACATCCAAGCCTACACCATCATTTACCCACCTTCTATTTCCTTGCCGCGCTTCTCTCTTCTTTCCTACTGATTTTATTCGCCTCTTTTTTGATATCTCTTTGATACCACCGTCGTTGTTTTAAAAAGGAGTAGAGGTCTTATTTTTCTTCGTTTCTCTTCCGTACCTTTTTTTCCTTTTTTCCTTTTTTCTTTTTTTTTTTTTTCCAATTGGCGATATATCGATCTTTTGTCCGGTACATTAGGAGAAGGCGGTGTTGATTGCATTGCATTGCGCTACTACATTTATCTTTTTTCATACCAGAAATTTAAAATATTTGACATGCAGGGTATTCTTCACAGGCCCAGAAACTCCAAAACCTATGCAGCGCGTGTATTAGGTTCCTCTAAAACAGACAGCTACAGGACAGATAGACACATGACGAAACTAAGAAGGATGGAAACTTGAGATATCAATCCCAGTATTGCCGTTATTATTTTGGGTGTGTGAGTACCCGTTCGGGTACTCGCCCAAGAATATCTAGCCTATTGCAAGGCGTCGGCGCTATCGATATCCAGTCACATGTGCCGGCAGCTTAGATCTTTTTTTAAAAAAAGCTTCAAAATAGCAATATCGTATACGCAAACCAAGGAACAAAGGATAAGAAGCAACGAAGGATATCGACGGATATTCAGATATATTAGAATAATATATGTCGTATCGAGATTAAAAAATAAATAATACTACCTACCTATGTAAGATGTTCCGTAGACACACCCAATCGAGCCTTGCTTGATAAAATTACCTGCTATAACCAAGATCGAAATTGTTACCTTGACTCCTCCTAGCCTTCCCAGATTCCCTGCCGGCCATAACGCATATTCTCCAATACAAACTTTACTCACAAAAAAACTCCACAAAAAGAACGCCTAGATTCACACCTTCTCACCGATTTCCTAATTCCCTGGTCCCCAGATCCCGTCCCTCGAAACCCAGTAAGCTAGAGAGAGCCGGGGACGATCAACTCCTCTCCAAGAAAGCCGCATATAGACCTCCGATTTCATTCCTTTTCACTCCCCCTCAGCTCTTCTATGAATTCCTTAAACTCTTTGTATTCCTCATACGATGCACTCGACTTAGTCCCCTTGTACCTCGTCACTTGCAAATTCACCTTTTGCCATTCCGAAGACTTTCCACCCCACCCAGCTTTCCTCATCAGCGAGACCAAAGTCTCTTCTTGTGTCCAACCTTGTTCTACCGGGACATCGGGGAGATAGGTAGCGCCATGACGACGGCCGTGGTACGTAAATGATATTCGAAGGCCATGAGTGCCTAAGGTCCAGTCGAATGGGCTTGAGGCTGGTTCGAAATCGGTTAGGATCGAGACGCTGCAATGATGACAGTTAGGGATATGCTACGCCTTCCTTGGTAATAGTAATGTGATGGTAGTTTAGAAGATAATTACCCGCATTCCAATGACGATAGTTCCTTCGCGTCTATCGGGTTAAACCTGGTATCGTCAAATGCTCTGCCATAGAACGTTTCAGTAATTTGATTTAATTCCCTCAGTCGTAATACATATGTATATATATTCATTAGGAAGGTCAAAAACGTACGAGGTCAGAGCATACGAAGCCAGCCCCTCATCCAACTTCTGCGGCTCAAAAGTCCCAATACAACCCCGCAGCTGTTTCCCTCTAGACCTTACCACATTCCACGTAACGAATAACGGCCGTTCCGGATGTGATACTCCATTTGTAGATGAGACGTGTCCGTTGATGGAGACACCGTTAGTTACCACTCCATTTGTGCTACTGCTATTGCTGTTACCATTTGGGAGTGATGAGTTATGTGTTTCGAGGTCATGGTAGGCTGTTTCCACTTCAGAGAGTGTGAGAGGCCTTTTCTTAGAGTACGATGAAGCGAGGACGTCAAAGCAGTATAGGCAGTGAGATTTTTCGGCCATGGTTTTCGTAGGGGCTTGGTATTCGGTGAGAGGGGAGGGTTAGTTGACTGAGGGGCTGTGGGGTTCTTGGAGGAGATGTTGAGATGGGTTCGTTCGGAGGGGTGAAATCGATCAGGCGAGAAAGGTTAAGCAACCTTAAACTTGAATTCGGATTAATAACCGCGATTAATAATGGGAACCAGTTTGCATTTTTAGAAACGAACCAAGATATTAAAAAACCCTTCTCGCATGGTCAAACGGCTCTACAGATTGGCACGTGCAGGCTAGGAAAAACGTTGAAACAAAGTCGACACTAAGGCATCTAGCTACGTATAGACAACCTGCAAGTTTAGGGGGTGAGTTCAGAGCATATGGTATACATAAACACATTGAAGACCGTTGTAATTTCAAGCGAATGATCCTATTGTATTGTTTAATCATGAGACTGTATAGAACTATTCCATTCGCAGTAGTGCACGAGGTTAGGCCCCAAAAATACAAGCCTGGACGCTGGACTCGTGCACAGAGGGGGGGGGGGGGGGTAATATAGAAAAAAACGAAAAAGAAAACCAGGCCAACATAGAATAAACAACAGGCTGGCAATTCGCCCAAGAAAAAGGGGGGAGAAGGAGTCGGGGAAAGGATTATAGGAAATCAAAGATTTTGAATTCGTAACATCGTCTAAGGTTTAGGAACCTTCAGGCTCTTGCTCACCATAGCACAGCCGTGAGCCACAAACAAAAGGACTGCAGGATGAAATTCCAGATTTGTACCTTTAAGGATGACTCCCAATGGCAAATTCTCTAAGATCCATTCATTCTTAACCCACCATGCCGCGATGGCCATCAAGCCGAGGGATGTTGGCGTGGGCGTTCCCTCGAAGTATTTTGACTTTCCGGATGCATCTTTTGGGAGATACTGGACGGAAACATTGAAACGAGCCAGGCGAGAGAGTCCACAAAGCACAAAGAAGGATAATAGGACAGTGTCGAGGAAACTGCGAAATCCGATGGCAAAGGCTAAAGAAGCAGGCGCAACGCCGAAAGAGATCTGAATTTGGGCATAACCGTTAGGGTTGATCATTCAACATAATCGAAGAGCACTGTAGCGTACCAAATCAGCGAGAGAGTCGAGCTCTTGGCCAAGCATAGATGATTTCTTCTGCCACCGAGCGATTCTTCCGTCCATGAAGTCGAAGAAGAGACCGAATGGCATAAAGGTGAGAGCGATCCAGATGTTTGTTAGGTCGGAAGGTTCGCCGAGACAGTACCGCAGTGAGGTGAACACCGACATGATGCCACAGAAGCCTATAGGAACGCCGAGTCAGCCAATGTTATGTTTTTTGCAGCCATGCGATTGCCCTTGAGAAGTTCCAACATACCATTTAGTTCAGTAATGAAGTCTGCAGCGTGAAGCTGTCTACGAGCTCCGGGAAATAATAACCGTCAGCGAAATACATCCTCAGTGACCCAGTTACGACAGCAAGCCGCCACGGGCAGCACCGCGATAGGGCGAGAGATACCAGGGAAGTCTGGGGTAGTACCGGAGCATGGAAAAGTGGCGGTCATCGTTTGTTATTTCCTTCATCTTGGTGTCGACTCCTAACAAGCCCAACTCAAAATATTAGCAACATATCGCCAGCACTTAGACATACAGTTACAAAGATGGATGGGCATATACGAACCTCCGTTACTGGCAACAGCGGGGGATGAGGATGACGTGGGACGCTGTCGCGACATGAATGGTGATTGAGCTGGAGAGTTTTCTATTCTATACTTTTTGTTTTTTTTTCTGATACACAGAACAAGGATCAGAGATTGATGGTTAAAAGGCCGCAGTTGGTGAAAAACAATAATAATAATGTCGTGTGCTTACGGCGGATAAGGAGAGGAGACTCTCTGAACTTGATGGGTCGTCCTTGTCGCGGAAGATGAGGGTGGTGAAGAAGAGAAGGCCAATAGTGGAGATCCAGGTAAGTAAGTAAGTAAGTAAAGTAAGTAAGTAAGTGGTAGGTAAGTCAGTACTTAGGTACCTAGGTATTTACTTAGCATTTGGGTTGCAGGGCGGTGGATGCGGACCAAGAAAACAGATCTGCCTCTACGTCACAGGACCATTGAAACATGAATGCTCGAGCTCACCAACCAATACGAACTCCGATAGCCCCACGCTCTCTCATTGTCAAATATATAAATTAAAATAATATAAATCCTGAAGTTCGTACTCTTATCGTGAAAATAATATATATGTAAGTACTTATATATACTTGTATATATAAATATATGATAATAACAGTAATGATAATAAATAAAAAAGGTATTAGGCAGGTAAGGGAGTACTTAGTACGTCTAGGATTCAACGGAGGATCGGGTGTAGTTTAGAACCGCCATCCTCTGAGCGACCTCTTAGTTATATTGACACCTACAGCTCGTAGCAATAAACCTCTGCACCAACCAGGGCGTACGGGATTCCCCACTAAACCACTCTATAGCCATAGCCATAGCCATGGTCATACCCGATGATTCTCTGATTAGGTATATATCAAACAATCATTACTAGGTCTCTTTGGTTTTTGATTCGATTCCCGTTCCGCGCTTAGCGTACCTCGTACAATAAGTACGGTGTCCTGTTCGTTCATTTGGCTCGTCGCATGCCGGATCTCCAGGCGCAGCTATCTTTACCTTCCGTCGATTTCCCGAGCGAGGTCCAGGCAGAGTGGAGATGTTGTTTTCTTATTCTTCCTTTTCGTTTCTTAGTGGATATCACCCTGTACATATCATCATGATTCTCGCCGACTCAAATCGCCATCCTCTGTGTTCTTTCTAGCCTCATCAAGCATTTTGCTGATTCCTTTGCTATCAAGAGCTTTCTGTATTGTACATCATCTGGTCAGTTCGTGGCCGACAATAGCTCGCGAGTAGCGATAGCGGTAAATGAATATACCGTCTAACCTTTAAGCAATGTGAGTACTCTAGGAACAGTTTCTTGCACGTCTCGTCTTCGGATCGTTCACCACGAAGAAACTCTGTATAGAACTGGAGGTTAGTATCGTGAAAGAAAAGCTCTGGAGAGAGAACCAACCTACTCTCGGTATACCATCTTATAAAACAAGCATCGTACTTCTCTTTTGCCGGTAAACACTCGGGTAGCAGACTCGCTGACATCTCACCTAACCAAAAAAGATAGACAAATCCAAAAAAAAATTTAAAACTTAAATTTAAAATTATTTTTATGAAAAGGTGCAGAAAACTTGATGTTGAATTTGATTGGAACAAGGTGCTGAAAGTAGTGGGTATGGTGGTATGGTAAACGAAGGAGAGAACTGTGCCTTGCAGGCATGTAAGCACCCAGGCCAAGCCAAGGAGCAACTCAACTCAATCGGTCCCGAAATTTTTCCTCTCCAAGCCATCGAATCAGAAACATTCGCGACTTGCCATTTGTCGACGACAGAACACAATCATTTCGACCTCGGATCAATCAAATATGCTCCTAGACGATACAAGCGCACATCCTACAATCCATTCGAATAATACTATCACTTTGTCCCGTCGCGGCGATCCTTGAGTTGACAAAGAAATATTCCCAAATACTTGCTGATCTACCCGACGCACACGAGACCACCGACGCAAACAAAGCAGACATACTCGTTAGCGATATCTTTCTTCGCTGTCGAGCATGGAGCCCACGGAATTTGCTACATTCCAAAAGGATGCTTCCCTCGGCTTGGTTAAGCTCGTCAAGACAGTGAAGACTCTTTCGTCAGGAGATATCGCCTTCAACAAATCCCTAGATGCAGAATTTTCCACAGTTCTCGACAATACAAACAGCAAAGTTTTAGGCTTGATCAATAGCTTGGTTCGAAACGCTACCGATGGATCTGATGTGAAGTTTGAAAATTTCGAGGATTCAGATAGTGTAGAGACACGATGGTCTGTTATCTCTGAAGTCGTTGACTTTTTGTTAGAGAAAGCGGTATGAAATTGCTACCCTTCCATATTTTGTTTGCTATTACAGAAGCTTACAATTGTTTCGCATATAGGATATGTGTATGGACGAATATACTGGAACTGTGAAGAGAGGGATCATGCAGACGACAACGGCGCAGAGCAACTACAAGTCGGCTCGGACGGAGAAGCGGACAGCAGAAGGGAGAAAGGCATTCAACAAAAGTTTGCACATGGTGAAACCTCAGCTTCAATTCAAAAAACCCTTGTCGCCGCTGGATTCGGGCCCTCATAAACCACGGTTGGAGAAGAAGCCGCATGCGATCAAACCGCTCCAAGACAGTTTGGTCCCAACCATCCTTGATGGTAGGGAGAAGTACCCGCATCCATATCTAGAGGAGATATCTCAGTATAAATTCCCAAACCGTGTGCACAAAGTGGCGGAGCCCATTCAATACAAGCCCTTTGAGTCAACTTCGGCTATATTCGTAGATTCTCCCCAACGGTTACACGAGATGATGCAAGAGTTAGTAAAAGCGGAGGAGATAGCCGTGGATTTGGAGCACCATGATTTTAGGTCATATATCGGCTTGGTGTGTTTGATGCAAGTTAGCACACGCGAACAGGATTGGATCATCGATACCCTAAAGCTAAGAGATGAGCTCGAGGTTCTGAACGAGGTTTTCGCCAATCCTGGTATTGTGAAGGTATGTGGGCTTTGCTGTTGGCAGTCGTAAATCTTTCCAAATTTTAACATCACATAGGTCTTTCATGGTGCCTTTATGGATATTATCTGGCTTCAACGCGATCTGAATATCTATGTGGTGGGCCTTTTCGATACATATGATGCCGCAAGAAGTTTGGGATTCACCGGCCACAGTCTCGCGTTCCTTCTCAAAAAATATATTAATTTCGACGCTGATAAGTCGTATCAATTGGCGGATTGGAGAGTGAGGTAAGAGTTCAACAAAATCTCTTTCTAAGTAAAAAAACCTAGTCGAAACTAAAAGAAAAACATCAAGACCCATACCTCAGGAAATGCTTGATTACGCAAGGTCCGACACGCATTTCTTATTGTTCATCTATGACAATATGAGGAACGAACTGATAGGGAAGAGCAACGCCGCGGAGGAGGATAAAATCGAAACGGTGCAAAATAATTCGAAAGAAACATGCCTTAAAACCTACGATACAGAGCCCTACGACCCGGTCAACGGCGGCGGGTCTCGTGGCTGGCTATCGATCCTGAAACACAATGCAGTCAATTTCACTGATGAACAATTTTCTGTGTTCAGGGCCGTGCATGCATGGCGTGATAGGGTTGCACGGGAAGAAGACGACAATCCACATTTCGTGATGTCAAAAAATCACTTGCTCAGTTTTGCGAGGCAAATGCCTGTTGATGCAGCCGCGGCCTTATCAGTCAGTAGCAACCCATTGCTAAGGTCCAAATTATCAGACCTCGTTTCTACGATCAAGGAAGCCAAGGCAAACCCTGTGCCGTTCAGTTCGGTACAACATCTTTTGGTTACCGCTGGAAAATATTGGACTCCGCAGGCTAAAGATACAAGGAAGGATGGCGAAGAGGGATTAAATATAATGCCAATGCTTGGCGCGGGAGACGCGGGAGCAAAAACAGAAGAATCTCAGTTTTGGGGAGGCACATTCGGCGGTAGTCGTTGGGAAGTTAAGGACCTGGTCGTTGGTGTGAACGACATTTCGCTCGCACTACCCTTGCCAAATCTCACGGCCACCGTTCTCGACGGCCCTGGCGGACATGAAACTCAGACGCCGATCCCTCGTGCAGATTACATCAAAGATAGAGAGATCAAGTCAGAGGCGGCGGATATAGTTGTTATCAAAAAGCTTGGCGGAGGGCGGAAGCGGAAGCTTGAAGATGTCACCGAATATGTGCAGCACAATGATGATGATGATGGATCGGATGGCGATCCAGATTCACCAAGCTCCCAGGTTGGCGCTAGCGCAGGGGAGGCTATACCCGGGAATGATGTGGACAAGGAAGATGGGCTTGAGACAGTTCAACTTTCGAAGTTAGACAAGCGAGCCGCTAGGAAAGCAGAAAAGAGGCGCAAGAAGGCAGAAGCGAAACGCGAAACGGCACCAGGAGATGGGGATCTTCAGGAGAACGGTGGGGATGATGAAGAAAATGAAGAAGGAGAGTTCCAGGCATTTGATTACACATCGGCACCATCGATAATGAATGCGAAGAAAGAAAGCGAAAGCAAAGCGTTCGATGGGAGCAAGAAATACGATGGGGGTCCAAAGGGGATGAGAGGTCGAAGGCGAGAAAGGGAAGGCAAAAGCTCAACAATGAGGGCATAATTACTCACCAACCTAGTACTTACTTACTTAGGTACTTGCTTAGTGAAATGACAATTAACGAGAAGGGGAACAGAAATATCTTCTTCTTCTTTTTCTTTTTTTTTTTTTTTTCCATCTTCCTGCAACTGAGCGCGCGCATATATGGGTATGTAAATATGTAGTTTGATATGTTGGTAGTGACAGCTGCATTAAGTTACACAGATTGCGGTGGCGGTCGCATTTGCCTCAGGCAATTTAACCCAAGAAAAAAAATCTACCACGAAAATCCCACGGTTGCCAAAAGGGGGGGTAAGCACATACCAGTGTTCACGCTAGTTGGTCCTTGCACTCACTAGCTAAGGACTTAGTACAAGGGGTTTCGTGTCCAATGCCTGCAACAGAACAAAATAAGCTTATACCATGCAAGCACTCGGCATGATTGGACAAAAAAAAGCTTCGTCGAAAGTCTTGGTCAACGACGCGATTAGAAGGATATATACTGGATACGCGCATGTGTAATATATAAGTACTTAAGTAGGTAGATATGCGAGAACCGGAAAAGGAGGAACACGGAACAAAGGGAATCTATAACAAGTAGATTCGACGACAAGAGCGAGCGATGATGACGACGATGTGCTGATATGATATATGATTATCACTACGACGAGGATCGAGATACATAAGAATGGTTACATTCTGTACTATCCCAGGTGCATGGCCCTGTCATTGCATAATATCGAGGACCCACCCCTGAGCAGGGTCTCCAAGCAGGGCCTGTGCCGCAGCCTCACACCGACAAGACCAATCTAACTGGTTTTTCTCTGCAGCTGAACGGTGCATATGTCCATTACATAGTCCTTACTATGTACACAGGTATACTATTCTCTTGTAGTTTGTTCTCCAGCATGGAGGTTGTTTGTGAATTGTATGTATGTACTTATTATGTATCTTCTCCTGAAAGTGTTGGAGGCTTTTAAATTTTGCCTTGTCGCGATATAACCCTTTCCGTTCAGCCCCGCCTGGTATATATATAATTACTTAAGTACTTAGGTAAGTACGGTACAAGTACAATACAAGTACAGTACAAGTTTAGTACATGTTGTTTTGTACTCCATGCTTCAAATTATATATGGAAATACTTCCATTACATGTCCAGGATAATAATAATAATATCGAAGTAAGTACATGAAGCGGGTCGGGTCCCGGTCTTGGCATCCTGCATCCTTTGCCTGTCTTCTGTCCACGCCATGCTCTCTCTCTCTTATTCTGATTCTGATTCTCATTTCATTCTTATTCCTATCTCTGTTCCTTCCTACTCATGGGTGGGTAGATGGATATGGGGTCGACTTCATCTACATATGCATAGGTACTCACATACTTCTTAGGTTATATTATCCTCCACATCAATTAATTAAATTGATACTCTGCTCTCCTTTACTACAAAATACTCTACTCTACTCTACTATACTATACTATACTATACTATACTATACTGGACTATGATATGAGCATCGTCTGCTCGTATATATAAAGTCTCCAAGTAAGTAAGTAGTAAGTAGTAAGTTGCAGGTCAATTCAATTCACGATGGGACTCAAGTTCCCTCATATCAAGATCGTCTTTGGCGCGGTCGTCTTCCTATCTCTGTTGTTCTTCACTCTATCATCCTACCGAGTCTCTGGTGTCCTTCCCATCCATCTCTCCAACGGTACGTTGATCCTGACATGCCATCGCCATCGCCATGCATACATGCATGTGGCCATTCACATTCCCCTCCACGAGCGCCTATCACTATCACTATCACTATTACCGTTAGCTAAATTCCCTATCTCGATTTCGATTTCGATTTCGACTTCGACTTCGATGATACAGAAATTCCTTCCATTCGTACTGTCACAGCCACGGTCACTGTCACAGCGACGACGACGTTTACAACCGCCATAACCACAACCTCAATCACGAAAACTAAAGTTCAAACCAAAACATCTCCTCCCGAATCGACCACAACCACAACTACAATCGACCCCAGCCAGCTCGATATTGAGCAAATCGAAGCCGACTTCCCGCTAGGCTATAAAAACCCGAACCCGTGGTTCAGAACTCCTGCTTCACCGAGGACATATGCGAAGGACTTGATGAGCCTGCTAACCGACGATCAGTTGGCTTTGTTACCTGGTTTCCGAGCCGCTGCTCTAAATTGGCCTGAAAAAGTACGAAAAATCGAGAGCTTTTACGGAATCAATAGGACTGGTTCATGGCAAGATCACATCAACTCACTGGATGATGATGGCCTTTCTCCGTTGTATGTTTCTCTCTCTCTCTTTTTTTCTTCTTGTCCTTCCTCAACAATTTATCGCCTCAGCCACACTAACGTGTTGGACGATACTATCTATCCGACAGGACAAAATGGGCCCAACAGTACATCTACGACCATCAGCACCCAGAAGATTGCACAGGAAAGAAGTTCTACGTTCTTAAGAATAAATGGCCTCGTCATGGACTCGGCGCTATTATTCGTCGCGTATTTATCGAAATGTCCGCGGCAATCCAGACCGACAGAATCCTTATCTTTGATCCAGAAGACTCTCCTGGGAACACATTAGTCGAAGAAACTTGCGGCAAGCACGTCGGAGCGAAGGCTTCTTTGGAGTGTGTCATCGAACGATTGTCATCTTGTGCGTCTTATGCGACAAAAGAAAACTCAGTCCATCAAATCGACCCTTCAGAAGTTAAGGATGGGAAGATCAGGGACACCGTCCCATTCGCCGAATTGGCCTACAGTTCGTATTTCGGCGGGTCAGGCGTTTCCCCTGGCGGATCAGTTTTGAGATACTGGTGGCGAGCGCAACTTTACGGCTATATTCTCCGACCAAACCGCGCAGCATTAGAAAGGATGACAGAGTTGAGATTGAACAAGACACTTCATCAGGGTGTCGAAACCAACCGTGGAAATGTTGAGGAGGTAAGCTACCATAAATCTACATGTCGTTCTTCGGACGAAGCGGGAAAGAGGAGTGGGAACCCAATAGCTAATATCCACGCTAGCCCGAGGCGCGTGAAGTTCCGTTTCCGTTGCCGCCTTCGACAGTCTCGATACACATCCGACATGGCGACAAGGCAGGAGAAGGACGTCTAATTTCGACACGGGATTATATTGTCGCGGCGGAGCGTTTCATTCTTCGGAATCCACTAAGTTACATAAAACGAGCATTCATGAGCACCGAAGACCCTGGTGCAATCGCTGAGGCAAAAAGAACGCCATTCGTCAACCCTGTTCGAAGTTTTGGGAACGTAGATTGGACCTGGTAAGTATTTGATCTTAGTAGCCCCCCCTATTCGGGAAGCTCGTTTGCATAGCTCAGATGACCTAACTAATACGACCTCGCATCGAAAAATAGGTACTACTCCAATATCCCACGTGTAGATGGAGGGCCCCAGGCCAATCTTGCACTCGCACATAACAAAACCGACTCACTACTTACGCATATGATGCAATTATGGATGGCGGTTGAGTGTGATACGTAAGTGTAACACCGGCTGTCCTGCCTAGTACGACATACCCTGGTTTGTGCCGCTAACCCACGATATTTAACAATAGGTTCGTTGGGAATCGCAACTCAAATTGGAATAAGATGATCGATGCAATTCGCTGTACCTTGATGGATAAGTGCCGCGCCCCTTACATCGACGCTGGATTCGTAGCAGATTGGATCAATTTCCCATAAGGGAGACGAACACTCGGCCAAGTTGGATTAACGAGTTGGGTACGCGGGTAAAATACCTTCTTATTTTGATACCCGATTTTTGAAGCTTTTGGCTACTTTTACTTTGTTATGGGATATTGGTAGATACGTACGTGCTTGCAGGCATTTCACTTTTCACATAGACTAACATAGCGGGATGTTTTCTCATGGCGTGGGGGGTTGGCTCTCTTTCATTTTTGGGTGTTATCCATTCTTGCACTCACCTTTTTTTTTTTCTCCTCCTCTTCTAATTCTGGCCCCAAAAGTATTTTTTTGTATATTGTTCTTGGTTCCTTATAATTTGCCATGAACGAGGAGGACCCTTATATATCAGTATATATACCTATTTTGTTCAGTAGGATCATTGGGTATCAATCTAATAACGAAATAAAGTAATGAAATCATAACCATCATCATCATCATCGTTGTCGTCGTCATGGCTATCACCAGATAGCAATAAATTTAGATAGCCATCCTTTGTGCTTTACCTACTTAGGCAGCTGATATATATATATATCTCACCTCATGTTTTGCCAGGCCTGGCAGGTCCCCGGTAATACGGGATTCCGTCAATGCAGTTTAGTTGTAATATATAAAGTATTGAACCAAAATATATATATATAGCCTCCCCAAAGTTTAAATTTCCCATACGACCCAAATTAATTCATATTCGGGACAGAATCCGGAAGCAAAAGGGTCTCACGATGGCCTGGTCTCCGTCAAGGGTAGAAAGCATTCGTGTCAGATATTAACCTGTCCCAGCGCTGTGAGCGAACCCGACGATAAAGCACGAAATCTGCAGGTATGGGGTGATATATATATACATCCGACTTTTGGTAATCCGCTTATCCTTAGTGAGACAAATCTTCAGTAGCCATGCTAGGTATGCAGTAAAAAATCTCGGGCCCATGGTGCGTGGTGGTATATCCAGTCTGGGTGTTAAGTACTTAGATATTTGAACAGGTTCAGCCGCTCACTCCTATAAGTAATTAGGGAGAGTAAAGCAACGGTTTCTTTGCGCACCAACCGCTTTATTTGACAGATATTAGGCAAGTAAGCATAAAGGTATCATATAATTAGCTAATACTAATATTATTAAAATAAGGTTACTTCTGTCAATTCTTAAGCCATTTTGTGGTATCCGCTGGTTCTCATCAAGAAGAATATATCTAAGTACTTACTTAAGTACTACCACCTAAGTAGGTACTTAAGTAAGTACTAGTTACACAAATATAAAAGCAAACAACGAAGGTTAAAGGTAGCCAGACGGTGGCAGGCCAGGTGGATAAATCGAATCCAGCTGAGTACATATACAATCAAATCCCGTCAGACAGCTGAGACTATGGAAGGACAGCCCCGAATCCAGGCGAAGGGGACCTTAAGTTCCTAGCTGTTAACTTGTGCAACCCAAGTCTGGTCATATAATTAACTACTAGCATACTCAAGTACTTACTAGGACTCATGGATTCACGACGATTTGCACATTTTATATTCATATATGCCCGTACGCTTACAATTACTATATATGCATATTGTGAAAACACATCGGCAGGATGGCCAGGTCGACTCCTTCCCAGACGGATTGTGAACGGCGGGACAAAATTACAATCTCAAAAAGCCACGACCTATGCTTACAATTACGCAATATACGGTAGCCGCTAATTATAATAGGTCCTAATTGCCTAAAGTCCGAGAGCTCGAGCTCGCTCCTACGGATTTTGCTTATTATATTGGGTACTATTATAACAGTATGATGGAGATCTGAGACCTTAATTAAGCTTTCTACGGATGATCAAGATAGTTCGAGAGCCTGGAACTATTTACCGACCAAGAGCTATAGCTAGCAAAAAAATAAAAATAAGGTCAGCTGTAACCCCCAAGCCGATCTACAAAAGAAAACCTAGATCTCTTGTCCCTCTTTCCTCCCGGGAATTAGAACAAATGAGTGTCTATTCGCTCACGGTGGCGTTTGTTGGTGCCACCTATCTGGTCAATTGGCCGTCTTTTATCGGAATTTCGAGACTTTAGAGGCGGGGTTTGGGCTCAAGTAGGAGGGTTTGACGTAGTAAAGCACGATGAGCTGAGGAGTATTGTTCCGCGGGATATGTATGCTTTATCACCTGGATACCTGGGAGACTTTGACATATCTAGAAAGATGCAATAAGCACTCAAGCTCCTAAGCTAAAAATATAAGCACTGTTGCCTTGCTCGCGCATGTTTTTAGATGGTAATTTTTTTATAAATTTATCATCTAATTGGCTTGAGGTTCGGAGAGTATAATTATAATATATTGGGTATCGAATTCGACAGGTTCGGATCCGAATTGGTTGGTTAATTGTGATGGGTTGCTTTTCTAGAATCGTTGGATTTCGTCACGCATATCATCTAGCTACTACTTAAGTTAGTAAGTAGCTTATATTATACTCTAAGCTAAGCTGAACCAACAAACATGAATATGTAAGTACGTACAATCGCTGTTTCAATTCTGTTTTGTTATTACATATATAAGTATATATATATATATATATAGTACAGTCTCGGGCTGGGAAGAAAATTTAAAAAATACGTTAATTGCATTGTATACGTATTTTGAGGTGAAGGTCACATGATAGCTCCACACCATCGATTCTTTGCTAACATAATAACATATTCTTCGGACAGGGATAGCTCTGCCTTTTTGCTACCCCCGTGACCCTTCCGAGGTGGTGATTTTTTTTCTTCAGCTCCCAGGATGCTTGTTCTTTTTGAGCTCGTTCATTCGTCGAGAGAGGGGTGCTCATCTCAAATGCCGCTAGGAACAAGGTAGGTTCGGGGATGTTGGTCTTCTACGCATGTAAGTAGTACTTAGGTACGGTACATACATACATAGTACAAAGACATCGATAACGCAGGTGGTTCGAAAGTAGCCAGTACTTCACGGGAAAGGATCAACCTCATTACAATATCTGTAGAGGTACCTTTTCCTTCTGTCGGTGGAGGTACCCACCCGAACCGGATGGCTGGATTTTTCTCCTGTTCCTGTCTGCCCGTCGTTCCTGCTTTTTCCTTTTTCCTTTTTCCTTTTTCCTTTTTCCTTTTTTTTTCTTTCTCTCCTCATGGCGCGCTAACGATTGTTTCGCTCACAAGGATAATTTCGCCAATTGCAGACGGTTAGCTAGCCATGAGGGACGATGTCACAGATTTTCCTCGGATGAAGAGAGGAAAGTGGTTGGAGAATGGAAGGGGGTGGTGACAGACAGGATATAACCGGATATGTGAAAGTTGATGCATCGATGTTCGGAATTCGGGAAGAAAGTAGTATCTACTTAAGTACTTAAGTAGGTAGGTATATATACGAGGCCAGAAGCATAATTGGATGCACATATACTACTTGTGTACTTATGTACTTATGTACTTATGTACTTGTGTACTTATGTACTTATGTACTTATGTACTTGTGTACTTGCATGGTTGATAGTCATCGCGAAGAATCGACTTGGCTGAGTACCTCAGAGCTGGAATTAGAGTTTGCGAACCAGCTCTATGTAGTACATACTTACATAGCTCATGAAAATAGTTTTATATTATATTATAACGCTATTGTTGCGCAATGCAGTGACATATCATTTCAAGAGTGGTCTGATGTTTATTTAGCCCCTCTCTCTCTGTCTGTCTCTCTCTGTCTGTCTCTCTCTGTCTGTCTCTGTCTGTCTCTGTCTGTCTCTCTCTCCCTGTTTCTCTCTCTCTCTCTCTGTCTGTCTGCCTCTCTCTCCCCCCCAAGTCAAGCTCTCAAGCTAGCTCTGGTCGATAAACCCGATCTGGATCTTGAGAGATCTACACGTTCGGAAATACTGTACTTTAGATGTTTATATTATTTACTTTACTTACTCTGACTAAGCAAGTAGATTCATTCACACTTCACACGACAACTGTTCTCGTGGTTTAATTGTAATTGTAATTGTAATTGTAATTGCGATTGTAATTGCAATTCATATCTTAATTCATATTAATATTAATATCAATATTAATATTAGTATCCTATCTTATTTTATAATTTACACTACGTAGTACATCTACGGCGTGTGTGCTGTGAAGTATACCAGGTAGACCTATAATCTTTTCTTTTATATGCATATACATACTTACTTACTTACCGCCTCACCACAAATTTAAATTACTTGACTTATCTCTTTCTTATACAACCTTCACCGTCTATAGCTAACTGTATTATTATACATCATCACCATCATCACTATCATCACCATCATCATCACCATCCGTGTTTTTGTTTTTGTTTTTCGATTTTCGATTTTTGTTTTTCGATTTTTGTTTTTCGATTTTCGATTTTCGATCAAAAGCATAAGTAACCGACCGGCGAAGGATCATATCGCTGCATCTCAATACTGGCATCGGCCTAGCGTTCGAACGTTCCCTGAGATCAGGTTCTGGCCTCTCCGCCTTCTATCGCTCTATCAGGACCGAAGTGGTTATCACTAGCAGCAGGGGACATTGCTTGCGGGTAGAATCTCTGCACCATCCGCCCCACACTGAGAAAACAGCAGGTCCAGCCAGCAATCTCGCTTCGTTCCTGCCATCCATCCTCCCACACGCCCATCCTCATCCTCATCCTCATCCTCATCCTCCATAGATCCCATCGTCCTGGTCCCCATCCCCCATCCCCATCCCCGTCCTCATCCCCGTCCGTCCTCATCCTCATCCTCGTCCTCGTCCTTGTCCTCGTTGTTGTCGTTGTTCTGCTCCTCCTCCTCCTCCTCATACTATACCATTCTTCTTCTTCTTCTTCTTCTTCTTCTTCTTCTTCTCATTTCATTCGTTGGCTTCTCCCTGTTTCACTTGGTTGGTTCGTCCTTCGGCCTTCTCGTCCACTAACGGGTCATTTCTCTCTGGTTAGATCTTGTAGCCTGCAGCAAACAAACACACACACACACACACGCACGCACATCCACACAAACGGGAACCAAGTTTCCCCTTCTGGTGACGGCAATACCGTGTGGATCAAGAAGCAGTGACAGAAAAGGAAGAGGAAGAAGAAGAAGAGAAGCAGAAGAAGCAGAAGAAGCGGCAAAGGACATATTAAAATAAAATACACAAAAAAGAAGAAAAACACTTCCCTCCCATTCTCCCCTCCCATCCGACCATCATAAAGGGCGTTTAAACGTCGCTTTCTATATCTTTTTCCCTTTTCCCTTTTTTTTTTCCCCCCCCTTCTCCCCTCCCCCGGAGCATATAAAAAAGGGCATCTGAATCCAAAGTATCCTTATCAACACACCCGAGTTGTATTAAACATTGTAATCCTCAAAGCCAAGCGACAACCTGCAATTCTCTCAGGGACAACCTCGACTTGTGTCTTGGACCTTATCGGGCTCCTGATACGGAGTTACCTATTCAACTACTACTACTACTACCACCACCACCACCACCACATCCCCGCAGGAACGAAGGAAACAAGGAAGGAAGGAGGGAGGAAGGAAGGAAGGAAGCTTCCTTTTCCCTTTTGAAAGCTTATCCTTTTTGGCAGCAGGGTCAGTTCTAGAAAGGCGTCGTCAAGCAAGGGCTTGTCGGAAGTTTGGGTTGGACGCGAATTGACACAGAATAGATTCTGGTTCACGTTATTCTTAATTATTGTTTCGGCTTGTTTTAATCTTCAATTGCACGACGATTGTGCACTTACCATCCAAATTTCCGGAGAGGGATATACATATTATTCACCGACAGCCATGGCGACAATGCTTATACCTTCGAGGACGTCGACGTCCTCGTCTTCTTCCTTTGCACCAGTCACCCGCCAAAACACAATGTCCTCCACGGATGGGCCCCCGAAATCCATCCGTCAGTCGAAGCGTTATTCCATCACAACTCTCTACATGTCGATGTCTGCTGCTGAGAAGGATATTGAAATCGAGGATGAGCTTGCAAAAGGTTGGGACAATGCAACTTTATATCTTTCCTTGTTTGCTCCCAAACGCTAATCATTGGAGTCTATAGCCCAGAAAGTGTTAAGGGACCTGAAAGCCAAAATATCCTCGCAATCGAAAAAGAACTTTGTGCTGGAGAAGGATGTTCGATATTTGGATTCTAGAATCGCTTTGTTGATCCAAAATCGCATGGCATTGGAGGAGGTAAAAAAAAGACCCATCTTGAATTTTTGACCATCATCTATGATCTCTAACAGTTTATTTTCTGCTTCTTCTTCTTCTTCTATTCGGTGATAGCAAAACGAAGTTGCCAACCATCTCGAAGAAGGCGGAGAACTCCAAGAAGGACAATTCCCAAACGACCAGAAGACACAGCATTACGGAAATCTTATGTTCCTCCTTCAATCCGAACCACGACACATTGCCGCTCTCTGCCGTCTCGTATCCATGGCTGAAATTGACTCCTTGCTCCAAACCGTTATGTTCACCATCTACGGTAACCAATACGAGAGTCGAGAGGAGCATTTGCTTCTTACAATGTTTCAAGTACGTCAAAATACCGCGCCCTAGTTTCCGTTTCTTCTAACAAATTTATTATTATCATTATTTTTTATCTATAGTCTGTCCTTTCAGCTCAGTTTGAGAATACCCCTGAATATAGCTCGCTGTTAAGAGCCAACACCCCGGTATCCCGTATGATGACAACGTATACCCGGAGAGGACCGGGCCAAAGCTATCTCAAGACAGTTCTTGCCGATCGGATCAATTCTTTAATCGAACACAAGGACCTCAACCTGGAAATAAACCCTCTGAAGGTCTACGAGCAAATGATCAAACAAATCGAGGAGGACACGGGTTCTCTACCTGCCCATCTTCCTAAAAGTGTAACTGCTGAGGAGGCTGCCCAAAATGAACAAGTTCAGCAAATCATTGAGCCCAGGTTAACAATGTTGATGGAAATTGCAAATTCGTTCTTGACCACTATCATCAACAACCTCAACGAGACCCCGTATGGCATCAGGTGGATCTGTAAACAGATCCGATCGCTTACTCGAAGGAAATACCCGGAGGCTAAGGATCCGGTTATATGTACTTTGATCGGCGGTTTCTTTTTCTTGAGATTCATCAACCCAGCGATTGTCACTCCGCGCTCCTACATGCTAGTCGACGGAACTCCTGCAGACAATCCAAGGCGTACTCTAACTCTTGTAAGGATATCCGGATCTGAAGGCCCTTTTTATTATCGATATTATTATTTTTTTTTTTTATAGAGTTGATAACTGACCAAAGTCTCGTTCTAGATCGCAAAAATGCTCCAAAATCTTGCAAACAAGCCATCGTATTCAAAAGAACCTTACATGGCTAGCCTGTCACCGTTTATTCAACACAACAAGATGAGAATAAACAAGTTCTTAAATGATCTGTGTGAGGTTGGAGATTTCTATGAATCTCTGGAGATGGATCAGTATGTTGCATTGTCGAAGAAGGATTTAGAACTTACAATATCCTTGAACGAAATCTATGCGACTCATTCGTTATTGGAGAAACATTCTGCTGCTTTGGTACGTGACATGCAGTATCACCTCCTAGATTACGTAAGGCTAATCATTGCTGTGAATTACCTAGTGCCAGGATGTCCTTCACCCTCACCTTAAGATCTTGCTCACTGAGCTTGGACCAGCACCGCATCAAGTTCCGAGGAAAGAGAATCGAGCCATCATCTTACCCCTCTTCAGCAGATGGGAACAACCAATCGATGACCTCACAGCCGCCCTTGATATCACCGACGAGGATGTTTTTTTTATGGAAGCAAAGTCTATCTTTGTTCAGCTCATGAGGACGATCCCATCGAATGCACTTGCGGTTAGGCGACCATTAAAATTAGATAAGATTGCCGACCTAGCGGCTACCTCTTCGAGAGATGCAGCAATGGTTAGAAAGGGCATTCGTGCTATGGAACTTCTTAACCAACTTGAAGAGATGGGCGTTCTCAGCAAACAGGAAGACTACTCGTTGCTCAGGGACGAAGTTGAACAGGAGTTGGTACATTTAGGTTCCTTGAAAGATAAGGTCATTCAAGAAACTGGAAAACTCGAAGAGGTCTATAAAACCATACGAGATCATAATGCCTACCTTGTTGGACAGCTAGAAACCTACAAGTCTTACCTGCACAACGTTCGAAGTCAGAGTGAAGGCAAGGTCCGAAAACAACAGAAGCAGCAAGTTCTGGGGCCCTATAAATTTACACACCAGCAGTTAGAAAAGGAAGGCGTGATCCAGAAGAGTAATGTCCCCGAAAATAGGTAAGAAACATTCAAAGATCGCTGATAGTCACATATCTAAAAAAAAAAAAAAAAAAACTAATTTCTGGTTTTTTAGACGGGCGAATATTTATTTCAACATCACTTCACCGATGCCTGGAACTTTCGTTATTTCTCTCCATTACAAAGGAAGAAATCGCGGCCTGTTAGAACTAGACCTCAAGTTAGACGATTTACTTGAGATGCAGCAGAACAATCAAGAGGATTTGGATTTGGAATACGTTCAATTCAACGTCCCCAAAGTCCTCGCACTTCTCAACAAGAGGTTTGCGCGGAAAAAATGGTAGTTGATGATGATCACGATTTCCTTTGTCCTTGTCCTTCCACGGGCCCATTGCCCTTGGATGTTCCCGTCTCAATGGGAAAACCCTCATGATACCCATTCAGCTTTTTTTTTCTTTTATCTTTTTCCTTTCCTTTCCCCCTACTTCCTTTCTCTCGGCCTGAATTTTCCAAATGTCTAAACTTGGATTCTTTTGTTTCACTTAGCTCATTTGTTTTTACTACCTAACGCAAATGCTGACGACCATCTATGACATCTCCATTGGTTGGCACCGCTCTTTCCTGGAGGATGATCATCACACTGTCTGATTGCGTGCCTTTTTTGTCCCCTGATGCTTTGAACATTCTAGCGGATGATTGCTGTCACTCACACCTCGGGTTACACTCACGACCTTTCTCCTGGTTACCAGCGCCCCAGTTTTGTTTTTTTGCTGTACTTTTATTTACAGCATTATTGCTCTTGCTATGCATTTACCTATGATCCTAGCCCGCTCTCCTTTCCTTCTTTCTTTCCCCCTCTCTTTCTTCTACTTCTTTTTTTCCGTTTCCCTGTCGCTATTACCATATGCACCTTTAATACCTTTTGCGGTACTTCATCTGCCTTTGTTCCTTATCCATTCTCAAGCACTTGAGTAACTATCAGCCATTCCACTTCTTAGCTCGAGCCCTCGTTTCTTTCTTTCTTTCTTTCTTTTTCTTTCTTTCTCCGTTGTGCTGTGCGGCTTCTGGTTCTTGTAATTTTCTGGGATCACGGTCTTTGTTTTGCCTAGTTCGTTTTCATTCTCTGAATCATTTCCTCCTCCTCCTCCATCTCCTTCTTCCTTTTACGTCTTCTTCGCTCTAAAAACCTGTTTTCATGAGAAGGACAGCTAGAAAGTCGAATACCCTGTATTCATCAGTGGGAAGACTTCGGTTGCATCGGTGTTATTGCCGTTGGTATTTGATACTTTTTGATCTTGTTTTTGAATTACTTCATTACGTGCATTGTATAGTTATAGCTTTGGGGTGAGACGTGTACTGTGTACCCCATCCTTTTGGTGGGGGCCTCTAACTGCACGTATCTATTGACATAGATGCCTAATAAGATTATGAACGAATGTTTAATTGGAGATTAGTAAATAAATACTCCAAGGCCTTCCGCATACTAGCCCTCGAAACCATATCATGATCAAGTAGATGCGAGATTGAAGCAACACGAAAATGATCAACATAACACACACATATTATGAGATTTTACTCTCCAGATCGGGGTCTACGCTAGAGTTCTAAAGGGGATGGCAGGATCGATCATCAAGAATATGCATACTTATATATGCATGTTTTCATATATACCTGAATATGTAGTAAAAAAAAAAAAAGATTGGTTCTGGGAGAGTTTCGCTGTCCTCTCCAAACGCGATATAAACCCGATGCTCCCAGAACTCCTTAAAAACAAAAACAGGTAAAACCCCAGTGGTAAAGTCTCGTAATATATACAAAAAAAATGACGGGTCGACAAGGCTGTTATACGTTCTGATGTATTTTTTTTTATTCCGTCGCTTCCTTGTGAAATATCATCACACATCCTCAAAACATTGCTTTATTTTTACGAACCAGCCAAATCTATTTACCTTTACCGTATGCGCCGGCTTTATATGCCAAATCTAGAATCATAGTCAGAGTGCCAGTCTCCTCTGAGCTGAACTGGGAATTTTGATTCGTTGTCAAGCAGCAAATATTGTTCTCCTGGAGTTGCCATTGGTCTTGTCCTCCGATAGTATCTAAATCCGGCTTTGGATTTTCTCGGAGATAGAACTGAAAGTTGTTTGCTTTTCGTTGCTTCTTCTTCTCCTCGAACTTGTTGTTCAGGATCCAACCATTGAACCACAAAGGCTTTCCATCCCGGTCAAGATGGAGGAGCTGTGGTGCACAGATCGTGAACTTTTCAGGTGGTGGGGTTTCCCCTTCTGCTGGAGGGGGGGTGCTTTCAGTCGGTTTAGGAGGCTGTTCTTTGAGTTCTCCCATGATACCTGCGTCACCTGAGTGGAACGCGTATTCGGTGTCACCAACAAGCTCCCATCCTATCCAGAAAGTTTCCTTGTCACCTATTTTTAGGTTAGCATCCAGTACAGGAGCGTAGACTTTGGATTTGATGTTAACATACCATAAACCAAGTCGTAGACACCGACAATACCCTTCGACTCGTTACCGTCACGGTCTGGGCCGTTCATTCTAGTGACCATCATCATAGAAACAAAGTGCCTCCATTTGTCGACAACAACGACACCAGATTCTTGTTGATGTCCACTCTCACCGGTCCAGAGGCGGGTCTGGCGGACGTTCCTCGAAATCGGCTTTGGAATGATTTGTTGCAACCACCTCTTCTTGTTCTCGGGCATAATGATTCTATCTTTGAAAAACAGTGCGCCGTACTTTTTATATTCTTCATCTTCGAAGAGGATTTCTGGGTTCTTGAAAAACAAGGAATCTGCGTCAATGAATATGACTTCTCGAAAACTAGAAAGCAACATGGCAAATGGCTTCGCGGCCCATCCAGCAAGTCTCCAGCCATCATCGCTGACCATGGCGGAGATATCTCGGGTAACGACACCCTCGAACTGTTCGAGTTCAGCCCGGTAGTCCTCACTAAGGTCGCTATCACCAAGATACATGATTTCGATTGGTAACTTGCACCCGAGCTTCCTGAAGGATGGAATGGAGGTGAGCAAGAATGGAGCTTGGCCGTCACCCGCAGAGAGAACGATACCACGTCCGCCTTTATACATTTGAGCATGTAGACTCATATGGTCAGCGAAATATGGCGAGAAGTATGGGAAGAGAAGAGTGGCGAATCGCTGTAAAAATCCACGATAGGCCTCATACTGGTGGATAGTTTGCGCAATATTTTCAATCGACTTATCCCTGCGAAGTTCTTGGACGATATCATCCCTGACATAAGCTTCGTCTTCTCCGATAACTACATGGAGTTTCTCCCATGCTTCGAAAAAGGTCTTAAATGCTCTTGCGCGAAGGCCAGTTTCCCGAAGCTTCTCCTTTCCGGTACCGTCGATTGGGCGTAGAAGTTCTCGAACATGCATCTCATCGGGAAGCAGCTCAAAGATACGATCGAGCGCTCTTTTGAAATCTGCATTTTGGGGTTTTGAAAGAGATTGTTTGGATTTCCGGGAATGCACGTCTTCATCCTTCGGCTTGTTCCCGTATTTAGCTTTCCCTGCAGGTTTGTTTTCATCCGCGAGATCAACCTTCGGTTTTTCGTAGGTTGTCGTTTGTTTCGGCTTCTGGACAAGTATGTGCTCCTCTTCGACATCAGCATTGGTAGCTTCAACCGGGCCGGCCTCAACCTCGCCGGCCGGTTTCGGGGCGACCGATTCAGATTTGACCGTTACAGCCGGGACAATTGTATCTGCCGTTGCTATCGCATTGGGGCCTGGTTTTCCTAGGAAAGCCTTCGCGCGCTCGGTGTGACGAGAAGCCGTTTTCGGGTCTGTTGTGGAGATATATAGAAAATAAGTCAACGCTAGAGCTAGAGCGCCAGCAATCAGCTTGAAGACGAAATTTTTCCTCTTTTCCATGTACTGTTGCGAATGATATCTCCCCTCTTTAGGAGGAGGGGGGCTCGAGAACAATGACAATGGCTTCGCCATTTTGCCCTTCATTTTCGCCGTTTGCATCGAAATCTAGGCGCCTGCCTGATTGTTGGGTCGGGTTCGCTGCGAAAAAAATAATGCCAACCCGCAGAAGCACTTTCAGGTTTCCGGGCAGATTACGGCTACACAGAGCATCGGTAACACATAAGAGAGAGTGATGGGGTTAGGCGTGAGGATATCTAAACCTGTACCCCTTAGAGAAGCGGCGGCGGCACTGACTATATACAACATTGTGGAAATTTCACGCCGTCCGAGCTGAGCTGACTGCTTCGAACATGACACTGTGGTTGCATGCCGGCCTGCCTGGATGGCAAACCGAGACGAATGGGGTTATTAACGATGCCGAAACCAGCAGGGATAAGGGGATGCTCCCCTGTATTCGAGCCCTCCTGCCGGCCGTCTAGTGTGTTGCAGGATGCTGGCCAGTCCGGAGAAGCGGTCTTTGCTGCCGGATTTTAGCAGGCTTGGCGCTTCAGTGGATCTTCCGACATGGAAAACTTGGGCGGATGGGCAACTTGACAGCTTCTATCGATGGTAGGGTGGACCCTGATGCCCTGCTTCCACTTCTGGAAGCTGGAGAATAACGACAGGATAAAGTGAATAGTCATGGGGGCAGTAGATATGCACATGCACGACTCCGACCTTCCGGCGGTGGCCCTACCCCTACCCCGGAACAGGGAAACATTCAAGGCTGGATGTTTTAATATTTGGGGTCGACTGAAGGCCTGTAGCATTTTGGCGGTTATCACGGATAACGATAAAGCCTGCGTGTGGTATGTGACACTGCTTCCCATACCCTGGGGCCAACGGGTCCGGAGTGAATAAGTATATATGGTGATGAATATTGATTCATGAAGCACAACAAATTGAGTGATCGAGCCGTATGTCCAGCAACTTCTTATGAAAGTGCGGAACAAAAGTACACTGGTAAGTGCAACAAAGTGTTGGAAGCGTTGGTAGTTGTTGCTCCCACATCCTTCACGCTGTTTTCACAAATCCAAACCACGTGGCGGGTGATTATCCCGCATGGTGAGCGACTTCGGGATGTCGGGATGGAATTTGGGTTAGTTTCACGAGCTTCGATGAGCAAATATCGTTGATCAATGCGACAATATTACCTGGTGCGAATGGGCTTTTTTGGGTCCATCGCGTATCGCTTATGAGATTTAACGGTTAGATTAGCTTTTAGAATCAAGGAGAAAAGAATGCGGTAAGGTGGCATTAGTCGCATATGGATGCCAGAGCAGGGTGTCAGGAGGAGGCCCGACGACGCAACGACCAAATATCGAAGTTATGGGTACTCTTGTCTCGGCAGATGAGTAAGCTTAAGTGGTCTATTCTTCGGGTGTGTCTATAAAACGATAACCAGCGGTGATGCTTGCTTTGAATTGATGGATCCGATGATGGATGGATGATTCATTTGGTCGATTAATTGATTGATATCACGATTGATATCATGGTTGAGTCAATGCGCTAGTGGTACTAGGAGGTACTATAAAATCAGTACATGTACATAGTATTTAAGTAAGTACTCGTAATAAGTACATAAGTATGTAGCTATAAGTTTTGTACTCACCTATCCTGCAACTTTTGTGTAGATTGTGTAGCTAAGAGGTACTTAAAGTAGGTAGTCTAGATGATATGATGGCGAATGGTGAGGCTGGTGTGATGCGAGGCTGACTTGGACAATAAATGCGTTGGGATGGATGGATGGATGACACAGACACTCAACCCAGATCCTCGTGCAGCCACTGCCAACTAAAAGCTTCCGACTTCGCCCTTAAAGGCGTCCCCTCCTCCTCCTCCTCCTCCTCCTCCTCCTCCTCCTCCTGCTGTTCCCCTCTTGTCATCACCATCATTACCATCACCACCACCATATTCTTCTTCTCCTTCTTCTTCTCCTTCTCCTTCTCCTTCTTCTTCTTCTTCTTCTTATTCATACCCATCATCATTACCACCATCATCACCATCCTAGATTTATATATATATCCACCTCTCCCCCCCCCCTCTAATACACCAATCTAGTCATAATACATATCAGTTTATCTCCTTCTCTGTGACTTCGTGACAATCTCGCTTCTTCGCTGGCCGCTTCCACTCTCGTTCCTCTGCTACGTCTTCTCGTGTGAACCCTGACGTCAATCCATTTCATTCTTCACACACCTTGCCACTACACCACACCATTTGTCCCTTCCGCTCCACTGGTCAATATCGTTTCAGATCCAGATTTATACTTCTTTATATACACACCATCCTCCACTCCACTCCACTCACTCCAATAATAGGGTCAACTATTTAATACCACCATCCTCATAGCGAAATGTCATCTGCCATTCCAATTCCTAAAAAGTCTTCTAAGAAGACTTCTTCTTCTTCCTCTTCCCCTTCTCCTGGTTCTTCTGATGAAATGTCCTCCCCATCCACTTCGTCCAACTCGCCGTCCTCTGCCATTTTCGGCCACAGACGGCGCCAGTCACTTCTGAGTAAGTCCAGATTCCCTACACTATTTTATTGTCCCAAAAAAAATTCTACCCAAGTGAGCGAGAAACTAATTGGATGTTCTCTAGGCTCCTCTTTGTCGAAACAAGAACATACGGTTTTTGACCTCGGAACCCGCGACGGAACAGCCCGGCTTGTTACTTGTGTCAAGGCCGGTCAAGGTTTCGATTGGAACCAAGAAATGTTCTTGCCTCACCATTCCGATATCACGGTACCCCCCCTTAGCGACCGTGTCGATATAGTTCATGAGATCATCCTGGATGATGAAGACGATGGGTTCATGGATATCGATAATGAACGTGAGAAGCGACGAAGATAAACAATTCATTGCTCAACGGACTGGTGGAACGGGGTCAACGGCGCATCACAATTTGGAAATGGCGGGGTTAGCGGTATTGAATCAGCGGAAATGGTATTAACAAGCAGAGTTCTTTTTTTTATTTTTTATTTTATTTTTATTTTTATTTTTATTTTTATTTTTATTTTTAATGCCCTTTTGTCTTTTGTCTTTCACCTACCCCTCCTCCTCCTTCTTCGGATATATACAAGGCGTCTTTTTTATTTATTTATTTATATCTTCGGCATCGGGTTTTCTAAATTGAAAGACAACGATTTGGGGGTTTGCGCGAGGAACCTGGAGGAGCATGCAGGATGTTTATGGCCTTTCTTGTTTTTCTCCTACTATCGATATGATAATTTGCAGCGATTTAGCGACACTTTGGATTGTTTTAGAAGTCTTTCATTATCGTGTTCTTTTATGATGATATCTCTGACCAAACTCTACCGATGGGACCCTCCCTTTCTTCCCTTTTCTCGTTATTTCTCCCTTTTCGCAGTCGTTACCCGACCCTACACCCGATACGAAAAAAAAAAAAAAAAGTAAAGAAAAGTCCCACTGCTAGGAAAAGGATTATCAATACACCCGTATACCAAGACGCCAAAATCCAAACGAACTCCTTCGCTGCATAAAGTGATAATCAAAGTGTACCAATATCCTACCAATAACGGCGTGAAAATCCATAACGTCTAGGGGACTGCGCTATTACTTTGTTTGCTGGATGTGCTCCAAAACTTGCTGGGCTTTTGCTACTTGTCCCTGGGCTCTTGTCAAAGGACCGTCCATCTGTAAATTAACAAAATTAGTCGACGGATAGAACCAAACGCTCAGATGGATATCCCCCCCCCTTACCTTCTTCAGACTCGGTAATAGTCCAACTGCATTCTCCCAGGCCTTCTCTACCTCCTTCTGCCTCGCCAAAGGTTTGATACCCCAATCGACCACATCTGTACCGCCTTCGTCATCTATATCCATGGTATTCTCGTTCTCCTTCAATGCTGCTTCAGCCAATGCAACCTCCCTGTCAATATCTGCTTTGAGTTTTTTTTCATAAGCAGCCGCGGCTCTCTTCGGGACCTCTCGTCGCAGCTTTGCGACTTCACCTGTAGCGGTGCCAACTTTTGCAATCAGGTCGTTGACACGGACTCGGAGTTTGTCATCGTATGGTTCGTACTCTATTTGTTTGGTAGCGTTAGGGTCTGTCGTCTTCGCTTTTTGTGAGTAAAAGTGAGGAGACATACGGTCCTCCTCCTCCGCTTTCAGTACGGAATCAACATCTCCGATATCGTTCCCATTTATCGAAATATTCTGGTTCGCAAGGTCGAGTAATCTTCGAACGTACTACTAGCCGGGTAAAAAAAAATATATATTTCAAGTCAGTTTCCATACACGATTTCTATTTATCCAGATCAAGATCTATGTTTAAACACACACCTCAGCAACCAGCTCCTCAACACGCTTCCGATAAGTCTCATCTTTAATACTAGAATTCGCAGAAGGCGGGAAATGCTGTGCGAGCTTGTCGCGCGAGAGTTGTTCCACACGGTTTAGCACCGTCTTGTACTCGGCAATGGTGTCAAGACGGACTTTGGGGTGGTCCGCGTCCGCCATTTGCGAGACAGACGGGGAACCGTTTGGTTACTTGGGTGAAAGGGCGGCGGTTTGAGAAAGTGCTTAGGTTCGGGGACTCTTGGATGCGAGAGATGGGGATGTTGGATGGAATGGGTTTAGGTTTTGTAAGGTTGCCAGTGTTGCTTTTGTTTTGCTTGGCGTCACCCATGTTTCCTCAAGCTTCAGAGCAACTAAGTAAGCACTTAGCTAGGGCTATCCTATCCTGGGTATGGTTGCGGCGAGCCTCATCCCATGGATCACCCGCAGGCATGCAATGGCTTGCGTGAACAGAGCAGGCAGATACCAGTATGATGATTATGATTACGGTGACAATGATGATTGAGAATCGACCTCTAGGGCCATTCATTAGTAGTATATATGAAAGCATATAGAAATAATAGCTTGCAGAGCTACTCTGATATGCCACTCGCCATCAATCCTGCAATATCAGGGATATGATCTAGGTGTCTGTCTACCACGGTAAATGTATGTGTTTGAACTGTACAACCAAAGCTAAGACAAGGTAAATGGGATTTTCAGCGACCAGAAAGTTTAAGAAAAAAGAACGATCAACCGCCAAAGTCACATTATAGCTATCCAACTCCATCTCAGTCCACAATCGATAACTCTGTCATGGAGAAACTCATTCCTCCGTCGCCGATTTTGTAGAGATCGACCTTTCTCTAAGCGGTAGCCTCTGGAGCGGGTGCTACAGCTGCAGGCTTGATACCTGAGGCATTAGCACCCGACTTGAAAAATGGCCCCAGGTATTCAGAATCATTCCACGGCCCAGCGTCACTCAATGGACAACCACCTTCGCATTTGCAACTTCCACCGAATTCAACAGGTAGATTTTCAGCTGGTATTTGCTCAAGGAGGGTAGGCGCGTAACCCGAACCGAGTACCTTAATTTTTTTCACGGTGACAGGATCAAGCCAGCCGCTGATGATGCTCCAAACGGTGGAGAAGCCCCATGGAGCGTTTATAATATAGAGCTTTCCCAATCTATCATCTGAGATTAGCGTAGATCTATTATTTCTGGTCGGTGAATGTGGTTTAAGTACCTTTCAGGATAGCAGTCCTGAGAAATTGCGGATGCCTTCTTCAGATAACCGTACGCGGATGGAATAGTTGTTACACCAACACCCTTCAAGTCCATAATCGCTATTCGGGTTACCATGGTTAGCTACTGCTAGGGAAGAGAGAGATTTAAAAGTCGGCATAGGGGGAAGGGCATACTGCAGCAGGTTTCCAACAGCCTGCCGACCTTTCTAGAGCAGGCGGGTAAACGGGGATCCGCAACCCTTTCATACTCAACGGCGAGATTGGTCAACATGCGTTCTTGGGAGGTGATCTTTCCCCTAATGTTGGAAAAGGCAGTGTTAGCATTATTCTCAAATGAACTTGATAATAGGAGAATACACACATTGCGGTCAAATTGATCTTTCCGAGCTGTTCAATATAAACTGGCCGTCCATCCTATAGTGTATGGTTAGCAATGAGCGCATGTTATATTAGGAGGCTAGATAGGCTAAGTACTTTGTCGGTCTTGTGGTAGTATTGTGGATAGTGTTCAAATATTTTTGGCTTCTCTGGATAGTCCCAGGTGGCAACGATCTCGTCAAGAGTCGTTCCCTTCGCCCAGATGTCGTTATCTTTTCTCCAGGTCTCGGCTTTTATGTACATCGCCTCCGCCAGGTTCACATCGAATTTTCTAGCTCGTAGGTATCGCAACTAAAACCATGAAAGGAATTGTTAGCATAAACATTACAAAATGTTGTATGTAATGGAATAAATCGGTTATTTGTGAGTGTGTGCATACTAGGGTATTTGTGTCGAGCCTTGTGGTGTATCCCTGAGCCTCGAGCTTTGCTCTCAGCTGGTGAACCTGAGCACCCTGGATCTCGGTGACATTACCAGGATGTCCCTCCGGTACATCACCCTCCGGATGGGTGTGTGGGAAATTGTAGTCGTCGTACTTTTCGCCGCTCATGGTAGCTATTTGGGGGTGTTATTTTTGCTAAATTGGTTGATGGAGCTGTGAGTAAAATATCCCATTCTAGTGGGGAGATAGTTCAAACGGTGGGTCCACACGTTACAGGAAAAAACACCAGGCAGGACGGTGGGAAATAATCGAATCTGAAGACTCACTAGATGAGGATTCGGGATAGGAGAGGTTCTGATGATGGTGACGGTGGTGATGGTGGAAGAAAGGGGATGGGGATTGGAGAATGATGGGGTGGATGGAATGGAGCTGCTGGAGGGATTAAGTAAGTATGTAAGTACTTACTTAGTATGCAACAGCTGAAGAGAAATATGTGGCGTCCTCGGGCCTTCGACCTGAACTCTACTTGACTTTCCTTAGCTGCCGCGACCCGACACAGAAAAGAGGCCCCCTTTTTTTTTCCTTTCTGTCTCTCTGTCTCCTCTCTGGCTATTCTCAGGACGACGTAATGGTAGTCACCGCTTTAGCACGAATGTTTGATAACTGCAGCTTTGAGACAAGATGGTTCAAGATGCCACGGACAAGGTCTGCTAGATGTTTGCCCTTGTTGTTGAGAACTTGCTTGGTTCTCAGGCTTGGCTGACTCCTGCGGAATCCATTTTTAACCAATAACTCTCGCATGTTTCCTCCGATTCAGCATGTGCTCGCGGCCAGACTGCTATTATACATGTACTTAAGAAGTATGTATATGTGCATGTACTCACTTGGATGTAAGCTCGAAAGCAGTTTGTACTCGAGCACATACATGCACATACATAATTACCTAGGTACTTATTTAGCCCCAAGCGGCATTATGCTGTCTGGAACCGAACGCGAAAGTATAAAATGCTATACATGCAAGTACCATCCTTGATTATAAGAATACCAGATGCTCATACAAATATAATTGCCTTCACCCCCATTGCATTGTTATTTGTGTCTAGGCTGAGTAGACATACATACATACTTACTTACTACTTAAGTATATACGTACGCTCAGCTCAGCCCGGCCAAGAAAAGCATGATCTCCTGAAAGCTAAGTCCAAAATCAATCTCTCGAGCCCGGGGCAAATTTGCTAAATAGAAAGGGAAAACCAAGGGGGGAAGGCGTATTATGGTCATCACAAGAGTAAGCACCAGTAGAAAATGTAACCCTGGTTCTCCCAAAAAAAAAAAAAAAAAAAAAAAAAATACAGAGAACGCTTATGGAGAAACATTGGCCGAGAATACGCAAGGAGACTAGTTCTCCTTGCCTAACCTATGAACGACGCGAATCGAAAGATGACCTCCCGAGGTCGATAGAAGCCCGAACACTGCTAGAACTACTTCTCCTTCTTTGACGGCGAGCTTCCCCCGGATCCAAATTAGTGAGGCCAGAGGATCTGCCAATCAAATTCAAAACATCGGTCAAGGATACAACGCCGATGAGGCGACCACTCAACCGGGCACCGGGTACAGATGCAACACTCAAACTTGCCGCAGCCGGAAAGCTAGCTGCGAGAGGGGACGCTGCGGCAAGTGAGGGTGGGGGTATTGCTGGGGTTGAAACTGGTATCGTTGGGGTTGAGGGTGTGCTGTTGCCTTCGCTCGGAGCGTCAACGAGCCACATTCTATCCCATGGAGTGAGCTAAGTTACCCTAAGGCGTCATCATTGAGGGGGGTAATGGATTGGCTCACCTGTGGGCCCTTGTGGCGATGATTTTTGCTACGGTGTGTGCTAGGGTCGAGTGAGGGCTTACATAGAATACTGGGTACGAATCCTTGCCGTCGTTTAAACCTCTATCTGTCAAAATTACAGAGAGGAAATGGAGGCAGGAGGATTTGAGGAGAGGTAAAGAGCTTGTTCTCGTAAGGTGCTATGGAGTACCTTGTTAGGTGCTGACTTTTCTGAATTCAAAGTAGAACAAACCTTGACATCTGTTGTAGAAATATTTCCAACCACGTTATAGTTGGAATCCACGACAGCCAGGGAGGAGATCCCTTCAGAATTCATCATCTCCAAAGCCTCAAGGACCCGTTGGTCACCACTACCAGGAAGGGGCGTTGTTAGGCCCAGATCTTAAAGAGAAAAAAGAAAAAAGAAAAAAGAAAAAAGAAAAGGAGAGAGGGAAAGGGAAAATGAAGCGTTTAAAAATCATTGAGAGAAGAAGGTAAATAGAAATGCATTGTACATACTTTATGGATATGACTTGCGCAGAACCAAAGTTTAATTCTCTGAGAGACAGAGGCAATATCTGGTCTATCTGGGAGAAGGCTTTGGCATTAGACCAAAAGAACTCGAGGATCTTCAACTGGCTGATCATTCCAATGACACTATCGGTTCCGTCCTTTACTACTGCAACTCGGTGAACACCACTACCTAGGGTCTCAACAACCTTGGAGAGGCCTTCGGTTTCGGAGACGGTGATGAAAGGGTCTTTTTTCCCCAGATCCTTAACCAACTTAACGGGGATATCACCTCCGGAGCGGCTTTTAGTAGCAAGATCTTGGAAGGTATGTCCGTCCGTATCTGAGGGGTCTCCTTTCCAGACACCGAGAACCATCAGGAGGAAAGCAGTGAGGTCACTGTAATCAAAGGTTCCGATGACCGCTCCATTTTCAGATTTGATTGGTAGCGAGGATATGCCGAAATCAACTAACATCTTTCCAATTAAATACCGGGTAAGTTTCGTAAAGACCTAGGAGAGAGCCAAAGAGGGTACAAGGGAGGAAACTCCGGTATGTCGTACCTGACATGCCTCTTCAATCGGCTTATTCTCCTCAACGAAATGCAACTCCTGGTCGGCTACAAGCTCTTTGCACGGGATGGCGCGCCAGTCTCGTTGCGGGACGTTAATATCCGGACGAGGAGCGATTGTAAGTAAATCTACGAGGGAGGCATGGGAGAGGGACGGCTGGCGGGAGGGAGATCGAGGGGTCGCGCGGAGAGAAGCTTGGCTAGAAGATGCAGATCTAGACATCTTTTGGGCCCCGAATTCGGGAGATGATGATGGTTGAGAAGCCGACATTGTAGAGATTGTTATATATATATATATCCAGGTACTCAGGTATATACGGTGTTTTTGTTCTTTCCTTTTTCCTTTTTATTCCCTACTTCTCCTTCTTATTCTTTTATATCCCACTTCTTTTTCTGTAAATTGTTATATTTCCAATGTTGATTTCGTAGAACTGGACAAATGATTCGAGTTAGAATGTCAAGAGGGAGAGGGAGGAAGGGAAGGGAAGGGGAGAGAGGGAAATCTCCGCTCGTGGTTATAGCGTGGTGTAGCAGGTGACTGCAGGCGGCGGTGGTGGCAGGAGCGTGACGTACAGAATGGCCTAAGTGCTAGCAGGAGCACCAATGATTTACCGTATTAAGGCTTGAGCCATTATCCCTTGCATGCATGCAGAAAGGGAGATGGCAGTTCCTATTCGATGTTTAGAATGTGGATTTTGAAGATATCGATTGGCAGATGGTGGAGATGACGTTGGTACATACTTACATAGATGTACTTACTACATGTAGGGTAGTTGTACGTTGTACTAAGGTAGCAGTCGGGTGGATGCTGAAACGGGATGGTGTCAAGGTCAAGGCGGGGTCTTCTGTGCAACATGACAACATATTTCGGCGTTGGCGCCACATTAACGGGCTTAGATATTTGTGGCTGTGCCTCACAGGGAAGGGTGCGGGGATGACGTAACCCAGCAGCCCGTAGATTGACTGACTTACCGTAACCTGCTTAGTTCTTCAGTGATGTACCTAAGTACCTACAAAGCATGATAGGTCAGAAGTACTTCAGACGAATCATTCTTATCCAAAAAGAGGAAATCAGCAAAACGTCAGTACTTAGTACTTACATGCACATGCACATGTCTATGTCCATGTACATCGGTGGGGATGTAATTAAGGATAGATCTTGAACATCCGGTCTTCTTGCTCTTTCGTCATAAGTCTGCATCTCCATTCATCCTATCACCCTTCCCGGGTACTTTCCTCTCTCTTTCTTCCCTCTATATCCCCTCTTCTTCTTCTGGTTCTTCTCCTTCTCCTTCTCCTTCTCCTTCTCCTTCTTCTTCTTCCCCCCCCCCCCCCGTTTCCTCGCCTTTTCCCTTTCCATTTCCGGATTCTCTTAGCTTAGCCTCTTCTCGCTCTACCCTTGCCAATATCACCCCCCAACACAACTTTCCTTCTCACATCTCATCTCCCGAACCAAACTCGGGTCTAACAAGACCACTCCCGTCGGCTTCCCCCATAAAATCCAGCGCCCATAGTTCTTTTGGATCTCCAGGCTAGGAAGAAATACTATCCATCCCTCAATCATGTCAGCGTACGGTGGCAGCAATCGTCCTCATTCGAGGTCCCAAACTCCCGTTCAAGATGTCGCGCGGACATCTAGTTACGCCTCTCACCGACCACGAACGGCAGATACCACCGGTACAAGCGGTGCCCATAGCCATAGATCAATCGAAGGCGATGCAAAATCTATGGATGGCAGTACAAGAGGTGGTACCGCAGAACCACCTTCCCGGCAACCTTCGACGTTGAAGAAGAGGAACTCGTTCAGAAGAAGTAGCTCTCTGAAGCGATCGGGATCTCGGTCGCGCAGGTCAACTGTTGGAGAGATGGATAGCGAAAACCCAAACTCTGCCTTTCACTCACCCGTCCCTTCTCACGGGAACCCGACGGAGGTTTTAGCCAGCAGGTTTTCAGGATGGCGCCGGATCTTGAAAGATTACATAGCATATTTTAAGGATGTCCAGGTTGCTTATGAAACCCAAGCCAAAACCACCAGTAGGCTTTTTCATACCTTGAACAGTGCCATTGAGCCAGAAATGTTTCTTCGATCCGGAGGTATTCTTGAAACGAATGTCGTCCTGAAAGAACACCATAAGTCCGCAATGCTAGCTAGCGAGCAAGCAAAGCAAATTCAAGTCCAGATTATTACTTCGCTGAGCGGTCTGCGGAATGACCTCACAGGGAAAATAAAGGAAATCAAAGGTCTGTCTGGCGACTTCAAAAATACACTAGACAAGGAGAGAGAGGGAACACGCAGGGCGGTTACACAGCTAGCGGATGCCCTGCTCGCTGTTGATTCCAACCCTTCCCTAGCCTCTGGCAAGAACGATCCGTATATCGTGAAACTTTCGGTTGACAAGCAACTTCGACGACAGTTGGCTGAGGAGAATTATCTCCATCGGGTAAGTCGAAAAAGATCTGACCGTTCTTAATCACAGGAGACTGATGCTTGAAGATAGGCATACCTGAACCTCGAGAGTAGTGGCCGCGAGCTGGAAAGTATTGTGGTCTCGGAGATTCAGAAAGCCTTTGACTCTTACATGAAGATCATCAGAATGGAAGGTGCGGATCTTACAGACACAGCTGAAAGACTGCAAACTCGCACTATCAACCTGCCACCAGATCACGAGTGGTCGTGCTTTGTTGAACGGGATCCCGATTTTGTCGACCCCCGAATCCCGGTTAGAGTTTTTGATAGTGTAGAGTACCCTGGCTGGAACCACCCAGCGGCAGTTGAAGTCAGGGCCGGACTTCTCGAGCGAAAGTCAAAGTATCTTAAATCCTATACACCGGGGTGGTATGTTTTATCACCTTCACATCTTCACGAATTCAAAACACCAGATAGAAATCATGATATGACTCCGGTGATGTCACTTTACCTTCCTGATTGTACTATGGGTAGCCATACACAGCCAGGTGCGAATTCTCACAAATTTGTTGTGAAAGGCCGACAAACCGGCGCTTTGCATCGGTAAGTTATATCGAATCCTCCGCTGAACAAGGAGCGATCATCTCGCTGACACGACCATTAGCGGCCATAGTTGGGTTTTCCGTGCGGAGACGCATGAGGATATGATAGGTTTCTACGAAAACATCAAAAAACTGATTGAGCTCTCCGGGCCCGAGCGAAACGCTTTTGTCGCGTCTTACCAAAAGCATCATACCCCTCCGGACACGGCAACGAAAGAAAACGGCTCTTTGAGCTCCGAGAATGGACTGGAGAATGACGAGGCTGATGAAATCCCATATTCTGCGGACCGCAGTGCACTAGTTGGTTCGGAGCCCTCTATTCATGAACCTCGACCCGAGGGTGGAAGATTCCCTTCCGATATTGACATTCAACGACGGCGTTCACTCAGATCCGCGACCAGTGGCGCCTCCAACCAGTCACTAAATTCCGCACCCGGCATCGTCCAGCCGCAGGAGAGCTATCCTGCCGGCCTAGGAGGTGAGTTTGACGAGCACCGGTTCAATACCTTCGCGGCTGGGCGGCCAGGAATTCAACGTAACCCATCTGCATTCTCGTATGATGCACAGGTAGCTAAACCCTTCCCTTACATAATCTTACCTAGCCCTGGGCACTGGCTAAACAACATCGTCACAAAGCATCCACCAACTTCAACCATACGTGGTGACGAAAATTTCCAGCCCGTTTTAGCACACGTTTCCCCGGATGTCGAACGCAAGATGTCGCAGCAAACGGAGTCGGGCGGCACCGTGGAGCGCAGAGATAGCATGACCGCATGGGCTCGAGAGACCCCTTCGAGAAGGCCGACGGCGACTTACGGACTTGATCCTATAACAGGTCAGCCTGATTTATCCGCACGCCAACATATAGACACCGCAGCCCGCCAAGGTTCTGCTTCGGATAACACCCAGCCTAACCTCGCGATTTACGAGGCCGGGGCCGCATTGGGTGTAGCAGGTGCGGGCGCATACGAGCTTTACCGGACATCACAGCCTACATCGGGTTCAAGCGGACAGGAAGCCGTACCAAGGGGGGCTTCTTCTACGAATGTCACAAACCCCGCCAAACTCACAGATACTGTATTCGTACCTTCAGAAACGGGGACACCGCAACGGCCCACAAAGTCATATGGTGACCTCCAGACTCTTGACGGTGAACCTCAAATAATTCCTACCCAACGCACAAATTCGAACTTCACAATATCTGACTTCCATGTCCCCGGTGGATACCCTAAATAGTGGAACACTCCAGCGTGTTAGGATCTGGAATGCCTACTCGTTCTTCCGTTCTTCACCCTGTTTCCTTTTTTTTGCGCCCCGGATTTCCCATTCAGCTCTCTTTCTCTGCCCGAAATCCCGCTCCGAAGTGAGACAAACAATTCACATTCGCGGGGGGTAAATTTCTTTTACACAACGATGAGGATATTATGCGCAATGAATCAATCGCTCTTTTTCTTTCCCCCCCGGTTTTAGCTCTGTTTGAGAATACATCTTTCTCTTTTACATTTTGACCGCATTTGCGTGGAGTATGGAGTAAGGTACCTGGGAGAATTTGGGCCGGGTGGTTTACGACAAGTCCGCAGTAGATTTGTAAATTAAATTTATAAAGTCTAGGTTAGGTACTTAGTACTTAAGGACCTAGCAAATGCGATGCTTGATTTTGATCGCTTTCAAGTTCAGTTTCAACCAAACACAACGGATCCAATGTATACCGTTGAATCAAGGATATGTAAGTAAGTATTGATGTATTGATGTATTGATGTATTTATGTATTTATGTTGTAAGTAGTGCAAGTACTAGCTTGTGTAAGTAAGTATGTACACCATATCTCTACTGATGAATTGGGGGTATTCATCGCTAAACGGCCACTGCATCATCTCCAGCTGGACGAGGGTCGGTCATGGCCAATGAAATGGGTTTGAACGGGTCCACATGGCTGAACATTCCTTTTCGTACCAAGCAAAGCTGAGGGCAAAGAGCTGATTTTGGGACGGCAGGGCTGCATGGCTATGGATCCATCTGGATGTATCGTCCCCGCTCCATTCATCTCACTCCCTTCAATTCATTCATGATCATGCCATGCCGTCTTAATCTTCGGGGTACAAGAATTAGTACTTAAGCAGCTGCTGCCTTCTCTCCCCCATACCTGAGATAAGTTCTATCTACCAAGTAGGTACACCTGCTCAGTACCTAGGTAAGTGCTTACTAAGTACCTAAGTAAGTACTAGGTACTCGCTTCGGGAGCTGTTTGTCGCACCAAACTCAGCCAACACCTCAGTCACGACTCGCTGTCTGACCGAAACCCGAAATCAGCCAACCAACGACCGACGGCTTATACTTCCCTGGCCTGGGTACTTATAAACCTACTTACTTAAGTAAGTAGCGCTGCTACCTTATCCATAAATTATTGAACTTAGCTAACAGAATCGCAGACTGCACTGCGGACCCTCGGATCTACTCTTAACACATAAGATAAATGCTTACCTGAGTAATTCAAAGGGTTACCCGGCAATATAACAAAAGATTATATCTTCGAGGAACATTGCATTCTGCGACCAGATCCACCCCGCGCGCGATCGCCACAACCTTCATCGCCATGGACCCGCCAACCACATCTGCATCCCAGTCCCCGAAACCGCCGCAGCAACAGCCCGCGGTTCAGGCATGTCGCTATAAGACCGGGAAAACACTGGGTTCCGGGTCATATTCTGTTGTTAGGGAATGTGTCCATATCGACACCGGGAGATACTATGCGGCAAAGATCATCAACAAGAAGCTGATGGCCGGGAGAGAGCACATGGTTCGAGCCCTTCATTCCAGTCTCTAAATTTATTGCAGCGAAGCTTCATCAATAGCTTACAACCCTGATTATCTTTAGGTTCGCAATGAGATTGCAGTTCTGAAAAAGGTGTCCATGGGGCACCAAAACATCTTAACTCTTGTTGATTACTTCGAAACAATGAACAACTGTACGCTGCCCTAGCCCCACCTTATCAAAGGCATCTTATTCCATCCTAACCGCGAGAAATAGTATATTTGGTAACAGACCTGGCTCTCGGTGGTGAGCTCTTTGATAGGATCTGTAGGAAAGGTTCTTATTTCGAGTCAGATGCTGCTGACCTGATTCGAGCTACCCTTTCTGCTGTTGCGTACCTGCACGACCATGGAATCGTCCATCGTGACTTGAAACCCGAGAATTTGCTGTTCCGGACACCGGAGGATAATGCCGACCTGTTGATCGCGGACTTTGGATTATCGAGAATCATGGATGAAGAAAGATTCCATGTTTTGACAACAACATGCGGGACACCTGGTTATATGGTTGGTTTGCTGTTGCGCCTGACCCTCGCTGATTCCATTCAAAGCTAACACCGGCACCAGGCACCCGAAATATTCAAGAAAACAGGACATGGGAAACCAGTGTAAGTTCAATCGCGCCTAAGGAATCTATATTTACAACAGACAGATCCTCATTGGCTCTCAAATTAGCGATATCTGGGCCATCGGTGTCATCACCTACTTCCTTCTCTGCGGTTACACACCGTTTGATAGGGATTCAAACTTAGAGGAAATGCAAGCCATCCTCAAGGCTGATTACAAATTCGAACCTGCACAATACTGGCAAGATATCTCAGACAATGGTATAACACTCCTCGGCAGTACGCTACTACCATAGTATATTAACAGGCCAATCTAGCTAAGGATTTCATAAAACGTTGCCTGACAATCGATCCCAAGGCACGGCCCACGGCCCATGCTGCCCTCGAGCACCCCTTCATAATTGAAGAACAGTTAGAGAAGGAGGCGGACTTGTTGCCCACCGTTCGTAAGAATTTCAATGCAAGGAGGACTCTTCATGCCGCCATAGACACTATCAGGGCCATCAACAAGCTCCGTGAAGGTGGTATGATGGATGGGGCTTTGAGCTCCGCACCAGAAAACCAAAAAAAGGAGAAACCGGTAAACCAGCCCGTCGCAGGACTATGGCATGGAAGTTCTGCACAAGCGGCTACAACCAAGGGCCTCTGGCAGAAGTCGTGATTTACAATGATATCTTGAATTGAACCGATCTTTTTTCTTTTGGATACATGATATGTCTCTCCCTTACCATATATTTTACGTGTTTTCTTAGCCTAGTTATAGTACAGCCGACGGATCTCGTGCGTGGAATGATAATGACCTTCTTTCGTTCTTTCGTTCTTTCTTTCGTTCTTTCGTTCTTTCGTTCTTTCTTTCGTTCTTTCGTTCTTTGCAGCTCTGCTCTGTTAATTTGGTTTTCCTTCCTTTTTAGCCTCCGCCGAACGCGACCATGTAAATTTAATGCCATTGTAGAATCTAATTTGGTATAAGGCTTACGATTTACGTATACCGCAGTATTGAAATCCCCTGGCCCGCTATCACAATCCTCTGAATGCTGCTTGTACATAAATAACTTACTCAAGTATACATACTAAATACCTGGTACTTAAAAGTAACTACCTAAGTAGGTAGGTACTTAGGTATATATATATATGTAGCCTGGAAGCCGCCATATATTAGTCTGGTGAGGCTCTAACTATATGCAACGCCATAGATCTGAGTTGCATGGTATAGTCTAGCGCAACTCGCAGCCCGCTCTGGTAAACGCCGCCAAGAAAAAGCAAAGCGAGCGCAAGGACCTTGAGGGAAAAACCATTCGCGAAATTCATTCACCAAAATTTTATACCCAGTCGCTTCAACTGTCTCCAATACTCCGTCCACAGGAACCAGAATCCAACACCCCTAGGCCCCAACCTACGTTCTACTTACGACTGCTAGACCTCTGCTATGCCAAAAGAACTAAAAAAACGTGGCCGTCGTGAGGCTAAACGGCAAAAGCTCGACCATGACACTAATTGTGAGGAAACCGCGATAAGCAGTGCCAGCAGGCCAGCACATGGTCTTGCTCTTTCTACACAAGCATTTGTCTCCGGAGAATCTGGTTCCACAGTCACCAATCAGTTGCCATTTGAATCGTCAATTGCGCCCGGTACAACTTTTTTCGGCCTATTGGACGAGCAGGAACAAGAGTATTTTAGAAAAGCCGATGAGACGTTAGAGTCGGATTTGTTTAAAAGTGAAGAGGGTATGTTGGTATCTTCTGGTGTATACGGCTGCCGTTCCAGATAGCTAATAGCTTGGGTGTTTTAGAAAGGGACATGTTTCTTCAGAATGTGATGAAAGAAACAGAGAACAAGGAGCTCAAGATGGCTTGCAGTCAGGGATGTTCACGATTGCTGGAGAAGCTACTCTTTCTAGCAACCCCGGATCGGGTGAAAGTCATATTTCAGAAATTCCATGGACAGTATGTGATGTCCGGTTATCCGATGTTCCTTTACGATAGTAACTAACATTACATAGCTTCGGCCATCTCATGGAACATCGATTTGCGTCCCACTGTTGTGAGGCTCTCTTTACAGTGGCCGCTTCGATTTCAGCGGCGGAATACGCGGGCCCCGCTCATGAGAAGATAGTTGGGGATGACAAAGAATTCGTCTCCACAGAAAGTCTCTTTCTCTACACTGTCACCGAGCTCGAACCGCTAATTGATGGCCTGCTCATGAATCCGTTCGGCGCACATGTCCTTAGAACCCTATTCCTCGTTCTTTCCGGAGCACCGCTAGACTCCCAATCTCATAAATCGATAATTCATAGCAAAAAAAAGGAGAATATCTTGGCGTCGGTAAAAAAGGAGGACGGCTACGAAGGCCAGGCACGACCGGTGCCAGAGTCTTTTAGAGAGGCCCTGAGTAAAATTATCAATACAATCACTGGGGATATCAACCGCGAGAGTATACGAAACCTTGCGACAGATCCTCTCGGAAGTCCAACTCTGCAGTTGTTGATTGAATTGGATTTGGGTCGGTCCCGAAAATACAAAATTAAGATCGAAGAGTCATTAGTAGGGAAACTTCTACTACAGCAGCCCGAGGACGAGGAGAGAGACACGGATGCTACTAGGTCTTTTGTTAAAATGCTGCTCTCTGACACCATTGGTTCCCACCTATTAGAAAGAGTTATGATGTGTGTCCCCAAAAAGACATTCAACCAACTCTACAACATGTATTTCAAGGGTGGACTTGGAAACCTAGCGGCGGGCGAGACTGCAAGTTATGTGGTGATTAAGATCCTAGATAAGTTGGAAACACCGGAATTCAAGACTGCCGAAGAAGAGCTTGAGAGGGCATTGCCGTCACTGCTCGAGAATCATCGGATCGCTGTGATTCGGTCCGTGGTTGAAAACTGCAGTAAACGCGGGCTCGTTGCAGATGGCTTTTGTGATTGCCTTTTTGAAACGTGGCGTTCGGGTTCTGGGGGGGAACGGAACCTCTTACTGGGAGTATTAGAAATAAGGCCGGAAGATCTGGAAGAGAACGATTCGAAAGATATCCGAAAGAAGAATCCGGGTCAGCTACATGCATCGTTGCTGGTCCAAGCGGTACTTTCAGTCCCAGGGGAATGTTCAAAACGAATGAAAGAGAGGTAAGAAAAGAACTAATGCATAAAATATCGTATTATGGCTGACCCTGAATTTAGTATTTTGTCGTGCCCCGAGGATGATCTCATAAAGCTTTGCAAGCACCAGACGGCATCCCATGCTATACAGAAGAGTATTGAGATCGATCCTACAGATATTGCATACAAACGCAAGTTAGCTGGCCTTCTCTCCGGGTCAATTCCGGATCTATCTGTGCATCCCGTCGGCTCTCATGTGGTCGACACGTTATTTAAGGCCACATTGGGCGGCCTTAAATTACAACGACAAAGAATTGCAGAGGAACTACTAGCCTCTGAAAGACGGCTACGGGATTCCTTCCATGGGAGAGCGGTGTGGAGGAATTGGAAAATGGATATGTACAAAACCAGGCGATACGATTGGAATAATATAACGGTTGCTTCGATATCTAACGAAGCCCAGCCCGAGGGTTCGGAGGCTAAGAAAAGTGCGATCCAGGTAAATACTAAACTAGCTGCCCCCTTAGTGAATCTAATCCAATTTCCGGATTGTTTCGAAACTACTAAGCTATAGCTGCTTTGGTTGGTGCTTCTGAGGATGCTAATAAGTGTGTTAGATTGCAAGCGAGAGGCATGCTGCAGCGAAGAGGGCGGATGAGGAAAGGGAGAAGGAGAGAGAGAAGGATAAAGATGTCAAGGGTAGGCTCAAAGAAAGGGAGAATACAGGCTCTCAGCGACCAAAGAAACGCAAGCAGAAAGAGCCTGTCGACGAGACGAAAAGCTAGATGCCTACTTACTAGTTAGGTAATATATATACCTAGGCCGGTACCACGGTGGGTGCTGGTCTAACGAATTACTTTATCATCTAAATACTATAATAAATAAATACCCACCTACCGTTAAAATTTATTTAAGTACCTAAGTACTTACTTACTCGGGTACCTACTTACTTACCTAAGGAAGTACTTATTAATATTGGTAAGGAAGATACAAATGGCTGCTCGCTTACTTCGGTGGGATGGTATGGATGTGCATCTAGACCCTGATGTCCCTGACATGCATGTTGAAACAAAACGTACGTTACTTGAGTACCTCAAGAACTATTAATATATACTTCTTATGATATATTACCAGGGCTTACTCACTTACATTGTATGTAGTCTTTTATCAATCTTTGTTCGCATCGAATCGGTGGGGCCGGAACGCCAACGCCCCAGCCGTCCCAAGCCAAGCCAGGTCAGGTCGGGCCGGGCCGGGAAATCTATGCATCTAAGCTCTTCTTCTTCTTCTTCTTCTTCTTCTTCTTCTTCTTCTTCTTCTTCTTCTTCTTCTTCTTCTTCTTCTTCTTCTTCTTCTTCTTCTTCTTCTTCTCCTTCGAGGGTGAATATTAATACAGTTCTAACAAAACAGAACAGGGCAGGGCAGGAGCCGTGCCGCTGTGCCGTGCAGTGCAGTGCAGCGGCGTGCGGTGCAGCGGAGTGGAGTGGAGTGGAATTCGGCTAGTACCACTGTGGTGGCTGACCCTTACCGTATATATTGGTCTGGGGTGTACATGTATTGTATTTAGAAAACCTGTTTTTGCAACCTGTAATACTTACTCGTATGAAGTATGTATCTACTTAAGTACTTAATATGTAAATAAGAATTCAAGAAAAAGAATAAATACTTAAGTACTCAAAGTACACAGAGCATCAAGATAGGAAGTACATAGTAAATTCTGATAGGAAGTAGTGTAAGTGCTAGTGGTGTGGCCATGGCCTTGTATACGTACTTGTCTTGCCTTTCGAATTCCTGTCCCGTCCCGCCCTGCCCTCGCCTCGCCTAGATATCTCATGCAAATATTAATATTAGATACCAATGAGTTTGAAAATAAATAAAACCGAAAATGAAAATATAAATATAAATAAAAATAAAAATAAAATAAATAAATAAAATGAAGATAAAAATAAACCAGGTAGACTGTGGGTACGAGGTATAGTATAAATGTAAGTCCTGTTTATATTCGTGGACCAGACCGTGTGAGTACCGAGGCAAGTATGCAAGTACTAACCTAATTAACCTAACCTAACCTATACTTTATTCTATTTCACTCCGGGCCTTTCCTGGCCCCATGCGCCGCTGCTCGACCTTGACCACATCGCCAGCTTCTATTCCTCTTCCTCAACTTAGGTACCTCTTACTTCCTACTTACTTGAGTAAGTACGTACCTATTTCTTCCCTCTTGACACTACCCCCTGTGCCCGAACAACACCAGCCACCACCACCACCAGCATCATCACCAGCATCATCAACATCCCCAACATCGCTACCTGAGATGCTGCTACCAGCTGCTATCACTTAGTCTCGTACGGCCAGTGTCGCGGGGAAGAAGGTTAGTTGCATGGGTGTTCATATCGAATTTGCTAGGACCCCCCCATCCCGCAAGCACCGGAATTCCTACGACTCCCTATCGGTCTCAGTCGTTGCCATCGATCTACTTTCCGCAACTTATCAAACACTTCGTCACGATAAAGCTTCCTCCGTGCTTGTATGCCGTGCTCTTTCCTCGGCCTTTTTCTCTCGCTCTCCCTCTATTATCAGCCCAAATCCAGTCCTATACTCCTACCTCCCTTGGAACTCGAGCTTTTGTACTTCTGCTGCTACCATATCGAAAATAGATTCATCTGACAAACATCCAGAACCAGTCGATGTAATATTCGTACCGAGAAACTGTTAATCGTTCACTATCCTCCTCGAACCTTTCAGGGAAGAAAAGAAAAAGAAAAAGAAAAAAAAAACCTGGAGGAAAAACTACCCAGTTCGTTCATCTTCACGCAAACCTGTAGGCGAACCATTCCTAGCTCTGGATAATAAGCCCCACGACTCGAACCATCTACAAAACATTACGGTGGCCACTATCACATCTTGATATTTTATTCAACCTTTAATATCCCGGCGGTTACCACTCCTAGTCTCTTTTCCAGATCGCATCATAAAATTTCGAACCGCGACTAGCTCACTCCCCACCGAAAACCCGAGAGTCCACAGAGAGGATGCCATCAAGGTTTTAACCGGACTGTCGCTATTTCTCATTATATTTCGAATCGCAGCTTCCAGGTGTTTTTACATTCTCTTTTCCCTTGCGTAGGGATAGTCAATCACCATGGACCATCATGATTTAGACGATATTTATGGGTTCCTCCCGCAGAATCTCCAAGGAGGTGTAATGCAAGGCTCGGATGGTATGCAGCAGGCTCTTCGTCATCCGAGCATAGTAGGAACTAGTATGGATGGCCTTGCAGGAACAATAGGTCCCGTTTTGGATGACAGCTTGGATCCGACAGCTGGTCTGCTTCAACCCAGCGATGTCGAAGACGCTATGATGGAGGAAAGCATGCAAGAACTCAGAAGGCAGAGTATGGCAGGGTTTTCTCTTAGCTTTGTCGACTATGCCGGGCTTGACTCCCAGCAAGGACTCGACCTTGGTCTTCAACCTTTAAATACTGCGGGTCTCCCGCTTGGAAATACATTCGACTCTCCAATGTTTATTTCACCTCAGGCAGATGCTACTGGGGGTCTGTTAGACATGGCTGCTTATAACGAAGGATTAATCATGCCTCCCCAAATGCAAAATTTCGACCCATCCCTGCCTCCACAGATAACCAGTCGACATAACTCCATGGTGGATTCAATGGATACAAGCGTAGTCGTGCCCTTACCCCCACAGCCCGAAGCAGTTATACCGGATAGTATAGAACCGGCAGTACCGACTTGTTAGTGCCCCGTGGAATCCCCCCGTGAACACAGATGCAAGGAACTAGTTCTGACGGCGTCATTTCTAGTACCCCACACCACTCAGAATACCCGCCAAACCGCCCCATTCAACACTATGAACATAAAGATGGAAAACATCTATTCTTCAAGTGGATTCGACATGGTCGGAGTTCTTGTAAGCAATGCGATCCTTCGCCATTTAGCGCTACTTTATGGTGATACAGGAGCAAGGCTAAGACGTCACTGGTGAACATAAGATGCGAGTCGCGACAAGACCAAACCCGAAGATTAATATTGGAGCTGTCGATATGTCTTGCGCTTTTGTAGTATGCGACGCTAGAAAATACGACATGCCGATTGTCTACTGTAGCGCAACTTTTGAGCGACTTACCGGATATACTAAGCATGAAATTCTCGGAAGAAACTGCCGGTTTCTACAGTCTCCTACCGGGGATGTCGAGAAAGGTGCAAAGCGGAAGTACGTCGATGAAGAATCGGTCAGATATCTCAAACAGCAATGTGAAGATCTGGACGAAGCCCAAGTTTCCCTTATCAACTATCGGAAAGGAGGCCAGCCCTTTATGAATCTATTGACAACTATTCCGATCTCCTGGGATACTGATGACATTGTTTATATCGTTGGTATGGTACCTACACCCACCCCGGACAGAGATATCTACAACCATTCCTATCTATGGAGCTGATGTGGTGTGTTAGGTTTCCAGGTTGACTTGGTTGACCACCCTGGATCCATAATGAATAAAAACAGGGGTCAGTACCAAACCAGCCGGATGTGCCAATGGCCATATTGATTACTAATTCCTGATTTCGTAGACGGCACAATTCAAATCAACTACCAACATAGAGAGCCCCCAAGTTACTGTTTGCAGCCACCTCCAGAGTCAAGGGCACAGGCTCCCGGAACAACTATCAGTAAAGAGGATGTTTCGCGGGTCTTACAATCTCTTGGGGGCGTTGACTCGGATATGGCGAGGAGACTATGGGATAAGATCTTATTGGAAAATACGGATGACGTGGTACATGTACTCTCTCTCAAGGGCCTTTTCATGTACTGCTCTCCCTCCATACAGTCAGTGCTAGAGTACGATCCATCGGAATTGGTTGGAACCGCACTGTCATCTGTTTGTCATCCCAGCGATATCGTACCAGTCACAAGGGACTTGAAAGACACTTCGACTGGATCTATGGTAAATATCGTATTCAGAATTCGTCGGAAATACAGCGGCTATGTTTGGTTTGAAAGCCATGGTTCGCTACACATTGAACAGGGAAAGGGCCGTAAGTGTATCATCTTGGTGGGTAGGGAGAGACCAGTTTATAAGCTACCCTGGAAAGAGGTCCAAGCAAACGGCGGGATCGGCGAGAATGAGATGTGGACAAAATTGTCTACCAGTGGGATGTTTCTCTTCGTCCCAAGCCACGCAAAACCGCTCCTTGACAGAAGTCCTGAAGAACTTATCGGTACTAGCCTACAGCACTTGATGCGCCCGGACTCGCGGCTTGAAGTAAGCAAAGCTCTAGACTCCACTCGAACCGGTAAGAAAATTACGGTTAAGCACGAGCTGCAGAATCGGAGGGGGCAGTTCTTACAGGCCGTTACGACTTTTTTCCCAGACGTCGAAGAAGGGCACAGGAAACCAACTTTCCTAATCGCACAGACAAAATTAGTGAAGCACTCTAGGCATTCCACCAGCAGCACACGGGGGGCTCTCAGCGACGCAGGAAGCCTCACACCCCAAAACCCGACTCCCTCTTGGTCAGGCACATCAGCACCGTCTCCACTAGATCGAACCTCACTCCCCAGTCTCCCTGAGAATCCCTCGGCTAGTACCGAGGACTCAAGTGCCCCAAAAGACTCGAATTCCAAAGACGAGGACGAGAATTTGTTTGATGAATTAAAGACAACGAGAAGCAGCAGCTGGCAGTTCGAATTACGGCAAATGCAAAGGACGAACAAGCGACTTAGCGAAGAATGTGCTGCCCTCTTGCAAATGAAAAAGCGGCGGAAGAGGAAGAAGGGGGCAGACGCCCTGGAAAAGGATTGCGCCAATTGTCATACAAAAACTACACCGGAATGGAGGAGGGGGCCGTCGGGGAAACGCGATCTTTGTAACAGTTGCGGCCTTCGATATGCTAAACTTGTACGTTCCACTAGAGAATCTTCAAGCTATACTAAACCACACTAACACAAACCGATGTACAGGTTGGACGAGTTTCCCCAAGGAATACTCAAGGATCGAATTCTAATCTCGGGGAGCCACAACCAATGGACACCAGCAATCCCGACGGGCCATCACCTGCTCCAGAAGGGCCAGTATCCCGCAACAATTCCGGGGCCGAGCAAACAAGTACAGCTGAGGAGAATACATCATCGTCCGAGCATCCTACCCCGGGGGATGGCCAAAATCAAGGTGCTGTTTTATCTCCCGGGGCATCCGGGAGGTAATATTTTTGTTGAACATTTGGCTGGATATTATTCCAATTCTAATTTATCAGGGACCTTGGGCTGGATTCACATCTGGGGTCGGGCGTTTTTTCGGTTTTTTTGGTTTTTTTTGGTCTTTATTTTCGGTTGTAGTTTTTTTCCCTTTTCTCTCCTTCTCCTTCTCCTTCTCCTTCTTCTTTTCCCTTTTCTTTCTCAAATGAGCATAGTTGTTTTAGTGTGCGTGCTCCGTTAGTTGCAAAGGCCCCAGCTATCCGTCTGCGGACATATTCTTATCGCTCATATAGCTTTCCTTCTGATTTCTTTTTTTTGCTTGGGGAGCACTCCTGGTATAGGGCTTGAGGCTTAACTCGCAAAAGGTTCCCGAAGGATAATATCTGGTGTGTAAATTTTTCGGGAATTATGTACATACATACCTAACTCATTCTTGAATCGGACGCGGTACAAACGAGATCTACTCCGTAGAACCCAGGCACTCAAGTAGTTCTTAAATTATGATCGGGCCGACCAGGCTACCCGAAATGTGTTGGGATGAGGTCGGCATGCCGAATTTGGCTTCATCGAATTTAAATTTGGTTTTTTCTCCAAGCGAACCGAACCTCAGAAACAACGACTCAATGGGTGGCTAAAATCTGGCGAAGGTAAAGAAATCATGATACCACGGCGAGTCGTAGCTCGCTCGTTGCAACCTTCAAGCAAGTTCCTATTGCGTATCCGTTCAGCGACTCTCGAAACCTCACTAACGTCTTGCATCACAGAGCTAATATCACTATACTCACCATGCCTACGGCAGCACCGATCAATCTCCACGGAGACCTCACCAGGTAGCAGCAATCCAGCTGCACCGAAAGGACCCCTCATTGTCGATTTCGACGAACAAGTCAAACTCGCTGCCTCGGAGCCATCACGGTCATCTATAATCCCCCAGACTCGGCCGCAGGCGTCTGGACGGCCACTGACGAAGCTTGAGGAATACCAGCGCCTAAAGGCATCAAGTATGGATATCCCGTGATAGAGAGGATTCAGGATGACCACTCGGTGATCTCTGATCCAGCAATTTTCAACTCTATATTCGGATATCGGACATTTGGTAACTAATATGGCATATACTCTATTTAGAACACGCTTCGGATCTAATTGGAGGGGTTCTTGAAGACCATTACAAGCCGCACGAGCTAATCACAAATCCGCCGTCCCCTCGGGATATTACTCTCGAACTTCTCCTAGCCTCCGGTGCACATCTCGGACATGCCACTGCCCTATGGAACCCTGGTAATCAACGTTTTATCTTCGGTATCCGCCAAGGCATACATTTGATTTCGCTGGATGTGATTGCTGCTCACCTACGGCGTGCCGCGAAAGTCGTGCACGGTGTATCAAAAAACGGAGGAATCATAATCTTCGTGGGTACTAGGGATGGACAGGAAAGGGCCGTCGTTGAGGCTGCAAAGAGGGCAAAGGGCTACCATGTCACCGAACGATGGGTTCCCGGCACAATTACGAATAAAGACCAACTTCTCAGCGAACAAAAAGTACGGATACTTAACTATTTAGACCAGGAGATTCGATTGACCGAACAGGAGAAGCTCGAGCTGAAACAAAAACTCGCTGGTGAGAATGGGGATATACACAGGATCCAAGTTGAAGATACAGCACAGGTTCCCTTCGGTTATGGTGCAATTAGACCCGACCTAGTGGTCTGCTTGAATCCACTAGAAAATAAAACCATGCTGCAGGAGTGCGCTCAGTATAGAATTCCGACAATCGGTATCATCGACACCGACGTCGATCCCACCTGCGTCACATACCCAATTCCCGCCAACGATGACAGGTAAGTCTAAAAACACACAGAACTCATATAGTTTGATTATTTATGGCCATCTGACGCTTACCCTCCTTCCCTCCTTCTGATTAGTCTCCGATGTGTCCAATTGATTGTTGGGGTTCTGGGAAGAGCGGGCCAGGAAGGCAGGTTAGCCCGGTATGAAGAAGAAACAAACCGCGCAGAAGAACTCAAGAGACGGCAGAAGCGTTTAGAAGAGACGGAGAGGACCCTGGAAGAAGCTACAACAACGAACCAAGTCTACAAGGATGCTGAACAAGCAGCTTCTGAATCTAGGCAGCGCGAGCTTGAGCGGGAGTCGTTAATCTCAAACAGATGATCTATTCCGGGTCTGGAACAGTAAATAGTAAGCCATGTATATGTACATATGATATATTTAACTCAAGTGTGGTAGTTACATGAAATGTCGACACTGCCAAGGTAGATTCATAGACGACATCCAAAAAAAGGGTGCAATAGATGGTCTTGTGAGGAGCTCCCTGGCATATTACAGAGGGTACGTCGACGCCGCGAACCTGGCGAACCCGACAAAGCGAGAAAGTTATATCGTACGGGGTTCATCAATTGATTAGTCGCATAGTGAGTTCCGCACTACGGCACAGTGATAAGTCAGCAATCCAGCCATCCAATATTTGCGATATGTAGAACAGATCGGGCCACCGCTGGGTTTTAAGGGTTTTCTTACACTGCAAATGTTCCTATATTCACAGGCGTCGGATTAGTAATCCATGCTTTACCCCAGTTTGGATTGACACCGTTGTAGGGAATGTCGAAAAGAGAGCCAACTTACCTGCAGACACGGGCATCGCACGTACTAAAGTGGGCCCGATTCCCTTCCAAAAGCCCCTCATGCCCTCCGCACGCCAAGTTTGTCCGAAACAATCTCGCATGCTGGAGTACTTTTGTTCGGCACCAAATTTATCTGATTGCATCTTGGATTTTATGACATCCAAAGGATAGCTACCCAGCCAAAGAGCCTCACCTGCAATACCACCATAAAGGGCAATTTTGAGAGGTGATATTTCTTCACGTTTCTTGTCCCTTGTCTCAAGGTTCATTAAATATTCGAAGGTTAGGAACCATAGGCCGTAAGCCTGGGCTTCACGGAGTATAGTGACAGCTTCACCCCTGTAAATGCCCTTCATAACACCGTCTTGGGCAGCAATTTTTCGTATACAGTCGAGGGGGCCATTGTACAGTCGGTCTGCTCCGTGAGGTTGGGTTTGGAGACGGATTCTTTTCACCGCATATCACAGGATTAGTCTTTTACTTATCGAACAAAGCGTATGCGTATGACGTCCTTCCCTTTTTTGAGAAATCGGAAGATGTGACAGCACATGGGAAACAGAGGTCTCATTGAGTTAAAAGAGAGCTCTGACGAACCTGATGTGCTCAATGGGACCCGATATGACGCTGTTTGCAATTCCTGCAGATGCCCCAGCTAGGAAATACTGGCCGAGGGTAAGCTCTTTCCGGCCTGTATTGTTATCTTTGTTGTACCGTTCCAGAATCCGTTGTGCTTGATAGAAGGCACCAAATTGAATGCTAACCTATAGAGGTTGGCGGTTTCGTGAGCTCGATGTCTGAGGCAGTCGGTAGCGCAGATGGCGTGTATGTCGATATCTTAGAGCTCTCAAAGGTCGGAATGGAATCACTTACGCATGCACCGACACCAATCAAAGGGGTTAGGGTCCCCTTGTAAAAAGCCAACGGGCCCTCTTTCTTCCAAATGGTGGCAGCAGCATCGACGGCACCGGAGTACTGCGAAGTTGTCTGCAAACGAACTTTAATTATGTCTACAAGAGTTCTTCGCATGAGCCCTGCATGTTCGTTTATCGATCCCCAACCGGTTTACAATTCTATATGTCATGGTAAAACACCGAGGTGTTATATCAAATTGGGGGGTGTGTAACTCGTACCGAAAGGTTGTCCTGCACGAATGATGTGGATTTTATGATTAGTTATACAAACTAGCACCCCGATGAATGAATAGTGCTTATGCAGAACAACCTAGTAAGACTTGAGCAACACCACCCATAGCACCAGCAAACAGGTCCTTGACCGTTCGCATCAAACCTTCCTCCTGAGCCACCTCCATCTTGATGATAGTAAGGACGGTATCGTGCGTTCTAACGAAAGGCTTCGGTAAGTTCGAGTCTGGGGGGTGGGAGAGGGGGAGGTGAGGTGGAAGGGGGAGAGAAAGGGAAAAGGAAGGAAAGATGGAGAGGGAGAGGGAGAGGGAGAGGGAGAGGGAGAGGGAAAGAAGGAGAGCTCGACGAAAAATAAACTGAGGTCGGACACGTAATACCGTTGCAATTGTCTATCAAACGATAGAAGCTTAAGCTAATTAAGATGTGTAGTATATACACTGGTAGTAGGAGAAGTAAGTAGATAGCATTGAAATCCATGACAAGGGTTAATTCTATAATTTAATTGACGGGGGATTGTGTGATTTTGCGCCTTAAGAGTTTTAGGCGAGGCGCATTCAAATCGATGTCTGGCATCCCGATATCGCATTGCATTGGCCATGGCCGGGTATCATCAATGAATGTCAATGGGACCGGACAGGATGTCAAATAATATAAATATAATATACGATAGTATAGAGGAAGTTGACTTAAGTTGTCTCAAACCAGCCCCGGGGCCCTGAGGATCCGAACAGATGCGCCCGGTGTACTCGTGCGGGACGCAGCGGCATACCACGAGACAAATAGGATCGATAGAATAGAATCAAGAATAAACTTACGAAGATAATCGATAAGGTTTGATTGATTGATTGATTAATTATAATTGTGATAGAAAACTGCAACTGTCAATTGGATGTTCCGTGACACCCGAGACGGACGGATACCAATCTCAAGCAGCCTCAAAGAAACTCCATCCGGCCGGCATGTGGCCTAACAGATCCAAATGCAAGGAGCCATACGATGACCTCACCGAGCATACGAGTGCATCGACAGGGTCTTTCTAGAAGGATTCCATACGAGTCTCTCCTTACTTACTTAAGTCCTTACCTAAGTACTTACTGACTTAGCTTGATTAAACGTTAAACGGGTCTAAAGTTAAAATACAACCGGGGCCTCCCAGCCAAAGTCGGGTAAGACGCGTCGGAGTCTCAAAGGCCTCATCGATACGGCGATCTATGATATCATGAGCGAACGGGAATATTTTAAATTTTGCTAAGGAGCTCAATCCCAAATATTAATATCTCATCCATCATACATCTTCATAAGAGCTCATTGTAAGTACTATACTAGCTTAGTTAGCTTGGGCCCGTATGCATCTGCTCGTTTCCGGAAGCCTTTTGATTTTTGATTTCTGTGAAGGGTATCGTCGTACGAGCGGTATAGTATACATAGTAGTGTCTCGTATGCTCGATGGGGAAGATATAAACGGCTGGCGCGGGACCCTGTGCTATGACGACATAAACCGTACGAAGATATCCACAGGAAAGCTTGACTGCGGCGCCAATTTTTCCAGCAACGGGGAGAGCCGAACAGGACTGGATATCGCGATGCAATATGATATGAAGCATGAGGATAGAGACAGATAAGGTATTTCCCTGCGCGCTTGTTAGTTAGACTCATTCAATCCGAGTCGATGTCAGGATGTGGACGCTAAAATGATTATTCATCATACATACACAGCGCATGTAACATGCTGCAATAGATCGTGTAGATAGATACTTACTTACTTACCTACTTGAGTAAGTACGGACAGGTAAGTACTTTAGGTACATCTACAACCCCCCGGCTATCATATATCCCCTGGCGGGCGACGCGATGGCATGTTCTATTCTATTGTTTTTCATTCAAATTCGAAATCGTGACAGTTGTGATAAAAATGATGACCCTGGTCGGCAATGGCCCGTCGACGCACCCCTCGCAAAAAAGCCTATGCTCACCCACACTTATACCGTACCATTCACGAAAAGAGCTCGGAAGCATCCAACGGCGTCACTATCTATTATTACTGTTATTTTTTATTATTTTTTTTTGCGAAGGCGCTTCGTCAGAGCTTTGAGAGAAAAAAAGTGAACCAAAGTGGAATGAAGGGAAGGGAAGGGGAAGGGAGGAGGCAATGCAATGTCGGCGCTCGGAAATGAAAATGTTCCGTGTAGACGACTCGGTAAGTAAAGATCCGAGCCTGCTTCCAGACCGGACATGCAAACACACCGAAGCCTTTCCTTCCTCAGACCACGCTGCTGACGAATGCCTATAGGGCGAGGTGCGTCTGATGATTAATGGGCAGCCTGGGCTCTCGGCCTCGCTTCTGGAGGAAACTTAATCCCGTCTGGTTCTCGTTCACATTCTGGTGAGCGAAATAAAAGGGCCTTGCAATTGGGTGCACAGCTAAAACCCTCGAACCCCCCCATGGCGGCACTCGGCACGCTTGGCTTTGACTCACTGAAACCTGCCTCAGAAGAGGTCTCTACACGGCCAGATCTGGACGTTTTGCATCTGGACAAGGGCCTGTAGCGGTTACAATATGGGGAAGGGTTCCAGAAATTCAAGGCGAACCTCGAAATATGTAAAGAACGAGGGAAAGAAAGAAAGAAAGAATCGGATATACGTAAGCGAAGGGCACGGAGGTGCCAGAAAAATAAGATGCTGAATCGTTCGTGTTCTTATGGCGCAGGAGCGGATGAGAATACGAACCGTTTCAGGAATTGATAACCTCTGGAAAGAAAGATTTACCGTCCCCGCCGGCATATATCTACCATTACGACGGGATGGCTGAGTTTAAGATTGCCCCCAAGAAGTCGAGCAAATGCACACCAGTTGTTAGGCTTTTAGAGGTAAGCACCGACTTAAATATTTAGTTGATATTGTCAGTATATCCCAAGCTTTTAAGCCTCGCGGCGTCGGCTTGTACGATCGTGGAACAGGTTCTAACGTTATGGGCACGAAACATATGTTAACATAACATGGCTGAGTTAAATACCATGGAGTACACTGCTCGCTCCTAATTATCGTGTCCGAGGGTTCTGTAGACGTGACATGTTCTGGTCACGGGCTGTTAATTTTACTATCGGCTGGACCGAGATTGAGAAATGGAGCTGGGTGCTGCTTCGTCGGATGCGATTGATGTCAGCTACGGCTGCCGTTTGCTGACAATCTGAAAATGAAGAGCGATTATATCGGGATAATTGTGTGCACAATTGGAGAACAAGCGGTGGTAGCTGTAGAGCTCCTCTACCGGGCCCGCAAAGAGGAAAAAAAAAAAAAAAAAAAAAAAAAGATCTTGTCGCAATTGCAATAACCTCTTGATATCATTTTCCGTTTTTGTTTTTTTCTTTCGAATTTTCAAACCTTCTTCTCCCATGCAGGTTATGGCTCGCACGAGCCCGTTGTCTCGATACTTACATCAGCATTCCGACATTTCTTTTTTTCCTACTTCCCACGCCAACGGGAAGCGGGTTTCGTGAGCACCCCGACGTTGGGATGGGTCGGAGTTTACGGCGTCTGGGCTGGGAATAAACGGAGAGTAAGCTCCACAGCCTGAATCCGTCACCAGGCAGGTACTTTCCACGGCCTGTCGTCAAACCCGCCCAAAAGTAGCAAATTAAAATCTCCGGCCGACACACCGATTGTCACCGTCGTTGGTCATGGCGTCGGGTGTGTGTCTTTGAAATACAATACACATGCCACTATTTTGGAGATTCTTTAACCTTGAAAATCTGATAAGTAGGGACATATGGTGGGATTTTAATACTTTGATTAAGGTTCCTATATCAAATTAAAAACTCATAAAAAAAAGAATGGATGGAAGGGAAAAAGGAAAAAGGAAGACATATCATGGGCATACTGCGTACACTTACGTGGAATCCGAGAAAGTCAAGGGCGTAAGCCAATATATCGACCGAAACTCCCAAGAAATGAGATAATGGGGTCACAAGAGTCTAGGACTCGTTTGGGACGACGTTAGTTCCCCGGGTCTTCGAAGCTCGCCGGACAATTGCAGGGGGGGTGTAAGTCACGACTCGGGAAGCCGGAACATGGGGACGCCATGAATAATAATGATGATGTTGTCGATGATGTCGGAGCGAGCAAACTAAAGGCGAACGGGGTCGAGGTTACTGTACCGTTACAGCGGTAGCGTGGGTTGCTATTCGTGTGCAGATGTTGGATTGCAATTGAGACAATCCAGCCCTGGCTGCATCTGTACAGCTTTTCCACCCCACACACAGAGTTCTAGCGTTAACCAGGTAGGTTCCTACCGACCAGCAGAGTGCAAGGAAGGGTAAGCCTTGGGCACGAAGGAGTTGGATTGTAGTGTAGTGTAGTGTAGTGGAGCGTCATGTAATGTTTAATGTAATGTAATATAACGAAATAACGATTGTAAGTACGATTGATTCCAGCTTTTAAAAGGAACTTGGTAGCCGGCTTCTCTCATCCACCCGGCGTCCGAAAAGTCTATGCCTCTCTAGTACAGTCTTCCCCCAATATTTTTTTTATCCAATTCTATATATATACTTTGCCTCCTCCTCCTGCTCCTCCTGCTCTCCCCCTTTGTGATACCGAATATTATTTTTATTTTTATTTTTCTTTCTATTTGTCCGACTTCGTCTCAAATCATATTCGGCTTCTTATCGACTCTCTTGGGTTGAAACACCTCCAACGCCAACCATCAAACCACCCAATTGATTAAATCCAGACAAACCAGAACATTTGATCTTAACAACATCAACGAAGGCGCCCTCAAAATCGTTAAATATAATATACACACATCATTCCTATAATACCTATCATTGTTCTGATTGTATTTACAAACGCCACAATGTCGAGTACAAGACAACATTCTCCTGAGTTATCCTCATCCAGAAAGAGAGTTGGCAAGGCCTGTGACAGATGTCGGTTAAAGAAGTCCAAGGTAGGCCTTCTCGTGTTAATGGCTTTCGAGTTTCTCGAGTTTAAAAATATATATATATAAGTATATAAAATCAACTAACGCAATGAACATATACTTAGTGTGACGGAGCCCTTCCCTGTCAAAGGTGTATTGCGGACGATCAAATCTGTGTCTTCAGCGAACGTAAAAGATCAAAAGACAAGACTTATCCTAAAGGGTGCGTATGCAATGTAGCCCTCCTTCTGGCTTCATTCCCGATAAACCTCGCCATGTTCTAACATGCATCTTTTAGATACGTCGAACTTCTGGAGAGCAGAAATCAAGTCCTTGCTGAAGCTTTACACAAAGTCCTATATTGCCATCAGCACAATATCGACACAACAAACCTATATCCTCGGGATGGAAAGATAGTTCTGAATGAAGTTTTGGGAAGACTGGACTCGTTTAAGGGACTACCATCATCGTTTAAACCAGCAAAATATGTCGATGATGCTTTGGAACACTTCGAGGAAGAGCATCACATGAGCCCTCGGTGCGAACGACAAGCCTCGGAATGTTCGAGTGTCCCTTCCGCACGAACGTCTCTAGATCTTTCTACCATTGGAACCGGCTCTCCAGCGACCCCGGATTTCACCTTTGACGGCCGATACCTCTCCCAGCCTTCGAAAATGCCATACTTCGATCAGACTGGCACGCTCCCACTATCAATCTCACCGTCCCTACTCATGCCGGATTTCCAATATTCGCAAGCGGCAATGTCATTCGATACGGCTTTCACTATGAGCGATCCTTTGATGATGGACACCGACTGGCTTTGAACCATTCCCCGGATCGAAAACAGCGTCCCACCTCTTCCAATGAGGACATCTCCACTTATTTATTGTACCGGCGCCCATTAGATATGTTGTTTTTTCGGCTACTGGAAGGCTCTGCAGGTCATGGAGTGTTGATCTTTTATCGTATTTCTCTACATTGCAGGCGTCTTGTTTTTTTTATTTTTATTTTTTATTTTTTATTTTCATTTTTTATCTTATTTTGGTAAAGAAAAAGCTAGGCTACAGCGGCGTTCTCAGGGGTTTTGACGTTGTGCGGATGTATAGGGCGACGATTATGGTCATTAATTGTACATGTACATTTATATTTATCAAAGTTGAATTGTGATTTTGGTTCTCTTTTGTCACCTCGCCCTCAGCCTTCTCAAGGAATGGTAAGGATCTTCAAATGTATTTAACGGCATATCTTCCTCTATAGTATTTCTTAATGTAATGAAAACAACATGTTGGCAATTTACGGAATTCGAATGGAATAAAGCTAGGGAATAAAGGTCTCCAACGGTCTAAATTTCGGATACTATGCTGAGCTAAGCACTGCGCGTGGGATACCAACTGGGTGTAATCTTACGCCGGCACTTGAAATCCAAGTGCTCAAGTGGGGTCCTAATTCCCTGAAGTTATTACATACGGTATACGGGGAATGCTCCGCAGAGAAAGCTAAAGGTTTGTTCGTCTCCGAGCCTGGAAACGTTCGAAACTGTAGTAACGTTGGCCGCTGGTGCTTTCGGGCCTTATAGTTACGTTACGATTGCAATGCAATTGCGAGTACATGATATCTTCGTATTTCGTACCACCATCGCATATTAATATGAAAGGCTTCCGGATCCATGCAATGGCATGCAATGGCCATGGCCAAGTAGCGCAGCACAGCCCGCTCCTGCGCAGTATTGCAATCGCCTCCACGCATATGTATACGTATGCCCCATGGCATGGCCCCATAAACATACTAAATTATGGCCAGCATACACAGTCTTAAGCTTGATTCTTGATCTTGCATTGCCTGCCATGCCAGGCCGGGCCATGGAGGCCTCAGCGTAGTGTTCAGCTTTTGTGTTGCGATTGGCATTGTAGCGGCGGCAGACTGTCAATTGCAATTGCAATAGCAGAATCGATTCATTTACCCGGCCGGGTTAATACGTTAATACACCCCCTCAATTACCCGTCTGTCGAGGTTCCTGTGGGGTATAAAATACAGAAACTTCATACCTCAGGAACAAAGGACCGTACACCACGGCATTTATTCGTAGCTTAAATATACCTACTAAGTATATACATATAATATATATTATATCATATTGTATTACGGTCCAGTCGACAGAAACAGCTTCGAAGATGAGTGCTAGCGAAACCGTTTCAAGCGGCCCCTTCAAATTCATCTCGCAAGGCGCCATTGTGCAGGAGTGGCTGGTCGGCGGGAAGAACATTGTCCTCGGATTCCAGGACCCCGCGGAGTATGCCAAAAGCAATCCCGCATACTTCGGGGCAACCATTGGCAGGTACGCTCGCTCGCTCGCTCGCTCTCGCGTTCGATAAAAATTCCCACCTGCATTGCTTGTCAATCGAAACTTCTAGCTGTCTGCATACATTTTAAAGATGTTCCGCTGACATAAAGGTGGATGGCACTATACCAGAGTTGCGGTAAGGCACCTGATTTCCTTCACCATGAGGAATCCAGCATGGATTTTCGGTGATAGGGACTCCTCTCGTCCGACAGGCTCAAAAACGACCAGAATCCTGCTTAACTAAGCTTACATGCATGCCCAATTGTGGCCTGGCTCGGTATATTATTAATGAACCTGAGAAAATTCTGACACTGACTGTGTGCATGTCCCCACGGTTTAGAATCGCCTGGCGAACGGGCAAATCAAGGATATTCCTCATGAAGGCGATGTGCATCCTCTCCCTGTCAATAACGGCACGAACACCCTCCACGGTGGAATTACTGGGTAAGTTAAGTCAAGTTAAGTCAAGTCAAGTTAAGTTAAGTTAAGTTAAGTTAAGTTGCAAATGTGTATTGTATTGTTTTGTATTGTATTGTATTGTATTGTATTAGTCATGTACGATCTCGAGGACACCCTCCCGTGTGCGGCCAAGCCGTCGGCTTTTGCATCGAATCCGAACAATCTCCCCTCGCGGTCTCGACGTTTCGGATCTCGAACCTCCTCGAGCTCGCGCTGTTTGCATGCAGAGGCTACAGCTAGCAGCCGGCATATATGCGCATGGCATCTGCGCTGCATGCACATAATTGGCTTTGTTGCATTTATGGACCCACAACGCATATTTTACTTTACATATTTTCATGCACTGTCAGCAGCACCTCCAGTTTTAGATAGAGCTTACTAACGGGCGATATTATCCTTCCCCCCCCTTGTTTAGGTGGGACAAAAAATACTGGACTGGGCCTGTCAAGGAGGCTTCTTTAGATGGGTCCGAGTCTCTGGTCTATTCTTACAAAAGCCCACATCTCGATGAAAAGTTTCCAGGGACATTGGATGTGACGGTTCGGTACACCGTTAGAAATGAAGCAAAAGACGGGGCAGATGTTTCTATCTTGGAAATTGAATACGAAGCAGAGATCGCGGCGGATAGTCCTAAAGACTGGGCTGTTCTTTCGTTGACAAACCATAGGTGGGTGCCATCTAACAAAAGGAGATTCGATTCTGACAACGTACATATATTTTGGCCCTCCAACAAAAATGGACAAGGGAATGAGAGGGCCAATCGGGTACTAGCTTGCTGAGTGAGTGCTGACATAAACGGGTGGGATAGTTACTTCAATATTGGCGACAAGAGTACAATCGAGGGCACCCAGGTACTGTACATATCCTACAAATCATTATGGCTTACTGATGCCTTGTTTCCACCCCTTGTAACCTCTAGTTTGCTGATGCTCCGGCTTCGTATTTCCTTCATGGATCCGAGTCGAGTGAAATAGGTGACAATTCCGGACAACACTAATATTGAAACCGACGAAGTCGACATTCCCACTGGGAGGTTTAAAAAGTTTCCGGGCATAGAGTCCGGGGTACCATTCGAACTTGGGGCTGAGGATCCAGATATCGACCATGGCTTCGCATTGACTACTGATGTGGCGAGTGTCCCAATCGATACGCGGGGTAAGCCTCCGTTTACTCTAGATCTCCTTCTTGGCTTCGAACGAAAACGTCGCCATCGGTGAAGCTTATCACAAGGACTAATATGCAAACCGGCGGCTGAGGTAATTAGGCTCCGTGGAAAAAACTTGTATTAAGTTATATCACCCATCTACCGGCGTTAACTTGGTCGTATCAAGTACCGAGCCAGCCTTCCAATTGTAAGAAATATCTAGTGCCGTTTTCTAATCTCTGACCTCCCTCTACACGTCTGATTTGTGAAGGGAAGCACACTCGTTAACTTACGGAATATCTAATAGTTACACCGGGAAATATATTGAAACCGAAGCGAGGGATGACGGCACCCCCGCATACGGCAAGCGAGCGGGGTTTTGTGTTGAACCAGCGAGGTACACCAATGCTGCCAACGTCCCGGAATGGAAGCACATGGTATTATTGAAGAAAGGAGAGGTATACGGCAGTCGAACTACCTGGAAGGCCTGGAAGAGCTCGAGTTTCTAAAGCGGCCTCCCCTCTTTTTTTTCTAAAAACGAAAATAAGAAATATACGGACGGTCATGCAGATATGTGCTATTGTAATTTTGTTTAATCTCAGCTCCCCTCAAAGTTGCTCGGATTTTCATCGACAGAGTAGAGGAAAGGAGCTAAGCCGGGGTTGGGTTGAAGTCTTGCCGTTTTAGGACATAGTATACTTCGAAAAGCTTATTTCGAATTTCGAATGATTCTATCATGTAGGCACCAAGATCATACAATACATGGGATATCTCGTTTGCGGCATGCACTTACTATACTAGCTACTCAAAATGGTATATTATTGATCGAAAGGGAAATCGAGCGTACGAACGTACCAAGAGGTATGAGGTATGAGGTATATAGGAAGTACGAAGTACTTTACTTATATACTTATGTATATACTCAATTATAATGGCACGGCCGGTGCAGTGTTACACCAAAGTCGGGTGTCGCGTCGACGTCGGTGGTTGGCCGACGGCACTGACGTCATGGATCCGAGTCCCGTTTGTCCGCTTATTTGCCTACGCGCTTAGCTTAGTTACTGAGCACCTGAGTAAGTAGCCGAGCCGAGCACAATTGCATTGCATTGCAGTGCAACGTACCGTACCCCTCAGTTGATAACGTTTATCGATTATCGATTATCTAAGATAAGTACCTCCTTAAGTACTTAAGTAAGTACTTACTTACTTATTGCAAGTAATATTTCGGAGTCCTCGACCACCTCCCTCTTCGAACTTCGTCTAAAACCATAAAATCTCAATTCATTTTGCTACTTAAATCGGAAACAATGGCCGCGTGTATCTTCTGCAGGATCATCAAGGGTGAGTGAGCTGAGCTACGGGAGGGAATAAACTAAGCTAGGGGTACCTATACTATACTATACTATACTATACTATAGAAGTCGAAGAGATTATACGAGAGTGAAGATTTGCTGTGGTACAAGGAAGAGCTAACCTAGCGTTGGAATCTCGCAATTTTATCTAGGGGAAATTCCTTCGTTCAAGCTCTACGACTCCCCCAAGGTCTATGCCTTTCTCGACATCCAACCCTTAAGTAAAGGACATGCCGTAGGTGTCACCTCGCTGCGGTGCCCCCCTCTTGACGACGGATGCCAATGGATATACTGCTAACATTATCTTTATTCGATTGATAGCTGGTTATCCCCAAAACACATGGGGAGAAGCTAGTTGATGTGCCAGATGATGAATTGGCAGAGATGTTGCCGGTCGCGAAGAAGCTAGCATTGGCAGTCGGCGTCAAGGACTTCAATATCCTTCAGAACAACGGAAGGATCGCTCGTTAGTCCACAAACAGCTTCCTCACTAAATGATTGGAGTTGGTACTAATTCCTTGCCCATGATAGACCAAGAAGTTGATCATGTACATGTGCACATGGTGAAGCTCCAATACACCTCGAATTATTTTGACGTTCCTGCACTGACTATTCTGACAAAGATCCCAAAACCAAATGAGACCGAAGGGCTGAGCGTCGGGTGGCCTGCCCAAAAAACGAATATGGAAGAATTGAAGGCTTACTACGAAGAACTAAAGTCAAAAATGTGAATAATAACGGGGTATCGATACCGGCATCATGACTACCGTGAGAGGGCATCTCGAACTACTTTTCAATGGATGACATTGGTCATAAAGACACCTCAAACCAATACCCTTTAGATAAAAATAATCATATAATATCGACAAAAGGTTGCCGGGTTTTCCATAAACCATTGTATAATCTATCATGATTTCGTACACCTGCAACGCCTCGCTAAATCGCTAATAAAACAAGTGATGCCTCGACCCCACAATATGCGCCCGCGATAAAAGGGTAGTATCTTTCGGCAAAAGGCGTTCCTATTCGAAGGGCAAATTTCGGGTGGTTCGACATAATTACCTCCTCGGCCTTCCTCGGCCTCTGAAGCCTTTCCCTCTGTGGTGCATTTTCATTCTGGTGTAGTTGGCATGTTTGTCTGCCTTAATAGTCGTTTTATTTTTGGAGGTAGCGGGCTTTTCTAAAACAGATGCCTGGCTCTTTCTTCGTGGTTTCACTGAGGCAACCTTGAGGACGATTGCTGCAAGCTCATCCTCGGATATCTCAACCCTCTGCAGTTCTCCATCGCAAATCCCATCCTCAGAATTCTCACCCTCTGCGATTTGGGCGAGAGTTTCCGGCTGTTGGTCGAGATGTCCTTCGGGCTCGGAGTCACAGCTTGACTCTTCAACATTTGGTTTGGTTTTCGTCGCACGTACAGGGCGAACTATTAATCAGATTAATAAGTATGACCGGCAAAGATAAATATACTAGCAACTTACTCCTGACACGTTTCGTTTGTCTCTTGAGGCCTTTCTTCTTGTAAGCTACCTGCTTGGATGTGTTCTCGGCTTCCGGTTCCTCGACCTGTACCTCCAATTCTAGGCATGGGGCAATTGTTGTAGGTCGCAATTTATCAGGATCTGTAATCTCAGTAGAATTGAGTCCATCCCTTTCAAGTTCTCTCAACACCTCCATACCAGGATCTTCTTCCTCTTGCATTTCTCTCAACTCTCTAGCTAGGATACTTAATGGCTTAACTTTCCCGATCATTCGGTTCGGAAGAAACAGCTTCACTTCCGGAGTTAGTGGGCTCCCACTCTCTTTTAACTCGAAGTTCATGCTATGCTGGCGAAAAATCGTAGGCGTGGAGAATAGGTCCGCTTCGCCAGGCTTGTTTCCTTTACTCTTTTTGGAAAGTGGGGTTTGGAATTCATATCGGCGCTTGCGCGAAGGTGTCGTCGGATCCAGAGGAATATAAGCATCTTCGCCATCGGAATCCTCAAAGCCCCGGTTATGGAAGATCTTCGAATTTTCCGAAGAATCCGTCAGCTTCGCTAAGATGGTACCATCTTCGGCTTCTTTAGGTTGTTTTGGGGGCGTCGGTGTTACGCCTGGTAGCTTGTCGAAAAGTCCAAGAATTCTGCCGTTCTTCTGAGGTGTAGGAGAAACATATCCTTTTTTCATCCATTTCAACTGACGGGCAACACTGGCGCTAGGTGAACAAGTGTGGTCCTGTAGTTTCAGACGGCTTGTGGGTGTAAAAAAGAATGGATTGGAGGAGGTTTCGAGGGGAGTTTGGGAAGGCTGCGCTGAGGGTTTCCGAGGGGTGATGTCTACTGGTTTATTGACAGGCTGCGAAAGGGATTGTGGCCCTGCGGTTTGCGAACTATCAAGGTCTAACCATTTCTTGAGTTTTTGATATTCAGAATATCGAGCGGCTATGTCCATGTTAGTTTATGAGCCATTGGTGATCAAATTCCAGCTAGAATTTCCATACCCATCTTTGGGTTCGCACTAATATCTTGTCTAGCTGGGGATCTGCCGTCATTTTGGATTGCGAAATCCTTCTCCCACGCCTTTATCTTGCGCTTCAAATGGCGGAGGCGATCCGAGTCGGATTTAGCTGTAGTAACGGGAAGGTCCGCCATTCTAATATGAAACTAGACTATTGCCTTAATTGGGAGGGCGGTGATGGTGGCGGTGATGGCGATGGCGATGGCGATGGCGATGATAATGACGGTAGAAATGATCTTGTGTTAAGTTCCTAGTCCTGTTTTGTTGATGCGACGTGTTTTGTTTGTGGCTTCCCAAAACGGAAGTGTGATTGAAATCGCGGTTGTCAGGTTACAGAGTTTAGACTCACGCGTTGTGCACCGACTCTGGACCTCGCAGCCCAGCTAGAGACTGAGCCCACGCCTCAAGCCTTAAACGATACTTGACTTCCGACGTCGCAAAGTTCGATATCCAACACCTGGCAAAATGGCCCCCCACAAGACTACCCCGGACTATGATAGCGACGACGCTATGCAAGACGTTGAATCCATGCAGGTTGATTCTGTCGGTGCCAAAGAGAAGACCGTCAAGGATGACCTGGAACACATGTTCGATGATGACCTCGATGACGAACCGATGGTTGACGCCTCTAACGCACATAAGAATAGCAGTGGAAAGGTTAATATCACGGCGATGTATGTGTAGGAAGCGGACCTCGTAGGTTTCCCTAGGAGCTAACCTCCTTCTTCTCAAAGCTCCGACATCCCCTCAGCGAACCCTTCCGACCCTGAGGATATGCTCCAGTTCTACTCAAGGTTGTTTCCTTGGCGGCAGCTCTTCCGTTGGCTCAATCATTCAGAGCTTCCTTCAACCGACTTCGCCCACCGAGAATTCGCATTCACATTGCACAACGATGCCTATCTGAGATATCAGTGCTATCCAACCTTCGAGACACTACGTCGCGATGTTCTTAATTTGAATCCCTCACGTTTTGAAATAGGCCCTGTCTATTCTACAAAACCAAGGGACAGGAAACAAGCAAAGGGTTCGTTCAAGCCAATTGAGAAGGAGCTGGTTTTCGATATCGATTTGACAGACTACGACGAGATCAGAACCTGTTGCTCTAAAACTAAGATCTGCATCAAATGCTGGCAGTTTGTGACAATGGCAATTAAGGTAGTCGATGTTGCTTTGCGCGATGATTTTGGATTTCAGCATATTATGTGGGTATACTCAGGAAGGAGGGGTGCGCACGCATGGGTTTGTGACAAAAAGGCCCGAAAATTAGGCGATGGGAAAAGAAGAGCCATAGCCGCCTACTTTGAGGTCGTCAAGGGCAGTAGTCAAAGCGGGAAGAAGGTTAATTTGGAGAGGCCGCTCCACCCCCATATTAGGTACCAATGTCTCAGCACAATACTTCTTATCGTGAAACTGCCTGGTTTACTGATTATAATGCACGACCGATAGACGAAGTCATGACATTCTTAAAGATGATTTTAAGCAGAATATTCTTGAAAACCAAGATCCCTTCCGAACCGAGAAACAGGCGGAAAGGCTTCTCCAACTTCTGCCAGACCGCCAGCTCAAGGAAGCACTTCGTGAGAAATGGGACTCCACAATTGAACGACCAAGCAGTGACAAATGGAAGGACATCGATGCGCTAGCCGGCTCTGGTGTCTCCAAGGTAAGTTACGTTTCTTAGTAAGATAGCATCTAAAGACTATTTTAACTCCATTTCACCTAGACAATCATCCCAAAGGTATTGCTTGAGCATAAACAGGATATCATCCTTGAATACACATACCCACGCCTCGATGCGGAAGTATCTAAACACCTCAACCACTTGCTCAAATCACCCTTTGTAGTGCATCCTGGCACAGGGAAAGTATGTGTCCCGATCGATATATCTAAACTTGATGAGTTCGACCCAGATGCTGTTCCTACGGTAACGCGGCTCTTGAAAGAAATCGACCAATGGAAGAACCCGGTGAAGGAAGAGGACGACGGCGTTTCTACATCCAGGGTATCTGATATCGACAAAACTAGCTTGAAACCTTACCACGATCTCTTTTCAAAGTTCGTACAAAAGTTGTTGAATGCGGAAAGGCCTTCCCCCACCGAAAAACCCCTTCATACAGAAAAATCCGTCAAGGTAAAAGCAGAAGAGATGGATTTCTAAGTTCGGAAAGGTTTTGATCTGGGACATGTGTCCAGATACTGCATGTATACTTAGATCAATTTTCAATGGAACCCACTTCATCTTTATCTTCTCCATCATCTTCAGTCTGGCTATCATCGTCCAAGCCTGCTAGTGGATTTAAATCAAGATCGTCATCGTCATCGTCATCGACTTCTTCCTCCTCCTCCTCCTCCTCTCCTTCCCCTTTTTCAATAGGCAAATTGGCGCTAAGAGATGCGCCGGCTTCCCCTTGCCCACCTTCCTCGTATTCACGTTGACTTCCAATTAGGCCCTTCTTCTCCTTCTTCTTCCTCATCGGAATCACAGCTTCAAAGGCTGCTTTCCAATCCTTCAATTCCAGCCATCTCAACATAATCTCCACAACTTGGTTTGTGGTTAATGTAATTCGCCCTGTCATCTTGATATATTCCCCGATCGGAAGTTTTGCAGTACGAAGCCCTTGGCCAACAGCTTTATTGAAACAGAGCCCCTTGTACCTGTTTTTATCTACTATCCCGCCGACAATGTAAGTTTTCCCTTCTTCCAGTGTCTCGAGCATCTCGTCGGAATCTGAAGAAAGGTAAATTACATTTCCCGCTTGAATATCATCCCTTGTAAGTTCATAGTCTGCATCTGTGACATGAATCTTGCGCCAGGATTTCCATTTCTCCCCGTGCATGAGATAGAGGTGAGAGCGAAGTCTTTTGTCGACACACGTGACCCACAAATCCATGGAAAATTTCGCGATTCTGTTGTCGCTGTAACATCTCGAAACTTGCGCCCCGAGTGATGCAACTTCCTTATCCATCATATATTCATCGAAGGAGCAATCCACGATGCATTTTATGGGAAGCCGTTTGGATTTACGTTCAAGTTTTCGGTTATTCTTGCGTTTGTTTCCAGACTTCGGTCCGCCAGTAGGTTTGGAGGTTTGGAGGTTGGCGTTCGCGGCATCACGCTCTTCACGTTGGCGGATTCTTTTCGCTGCCATCTTTTCGCGACGAAGGGCCCGTCGAGATTCCCGAGATTCTTCCCATTTCTGCTTTTTTAAGAGTTTCTTTTGTTGATTCTTAGATAAAGGGGTGGCTATATCATCGGATCCGTCTGTTGTAGTGGGCGATCCCGCAGTCTGCCTTGATGCTTCAGCCGGGTTTACTGATGACGCCGCGGTTAGAGAACTGGACCGCTTTCGCTTCCTATCATTTCTTGTGCTCTCGAGCTCTTGTACTTGTACAGAGTCCACGATAGATGGTTCGATAGCCGACATGGTAAGAAAGAGAAGGAACCCGCTGTCCGTGCTGGGAATGTGACCATTAGAAAAAACCAATTACCGAACAAAACTACACAGCATCGGCAGGTGACATAAGAACAAACAAAACGTGGGTTGACAAAACCCAACAGTCACAACACACCTTGGGCATACTAGATCAATGCTATATGTAGCCTCGTCGCCTAGATTTCAAGTCTACTTCCCTTCGATGTAATTATTACTTTATTGAGTTCGAACTAACTAATTAATTATGCGAGCCGGCACCCGGGGAGGGTAGATGCCGTTGTAAAAAGTTTTGTGCTACAATGAAATTATTCTACTGATCTATCAACCAGCCTTAGGACAGCCTTTATAAAATGGGAAAAGAAATAAAGAAAAAATGGGGGGAAGAAAAACAATACTTTTGAAGACTGCCTACCTAGGTAGTACTTAGGCGAATTTACCAAGAAGATTAAAAGTGGTCTGAGGTTACTCAGCATGTGGATTCCTTGGGCAGGTATAAGAGAGCCTGTAGTTAATTTAGAGGCTTCACTGAGCGATCATTGATGGCTTTAGTCTAGATGGTGCCGTTCAGATTGTGAGGGGTTTTGCCGGCGAATCTTGTCTTATGCAACCTCCGGGAAATAGATATGGCCATTGCTGGCGGCCGTCAACGGCGGCCTTGGGTATCGTGGTCATATCATAGGATCTTTCCAATTTGCCTAGCTCCTTTGCTAAGTCGCTAAATGTGAAAACCTCGGGAAGAATTTGCTCTACATTTGAACCATCACAGATTGCCTTCTGTATATTATTGCGGTCGAGAACAGATTTGCTCGCTCTGTCGGCGTGGGAATAGGCCTGCATTTTGAATTGAAAGTCCTGGATGCTACGTAAACACCAGCTGCAGTGCACTCCAGTATTTGCCAGCAAAATATCGCCCATGCGTCGATGATCATACTCGATTTCTCCATTGGTTCCGATCTGGCCAGCCATAGCGCGCCATTGTGGCCTGGGTGCTGGGAACTCGAAAGAGTACATGTATGACTTCATTTCGAGATGTAGGTATTGTGGATATCCCTGGCATGCCTTTAGTAATTCGATAGTATCGCGATTAGGAATCTCATCGACATCAGATACTATGACTAAATCAGATTCCTCCAGCTTCAGGGCCTTTATTATTTCGGTGGCGTGGTCACGGGACCTCTTCTCATTATCAAACGGGTCATGGGGGTTTTCAAGAAGGGTCGTAGTCTCTTCGTACAGGATCTTCTCCTTCGCGAAATCGAATCGATGACGGTTGGCTGCAAATGTCAGGGGTTTGAAGTCGCCTGTGGGCGCGTGTTTATTAGTAGTGTATAAAAAAAAATAACCCAAAAAAATTGAGAGAACTTTACCTACCAGTAAATGTTCGGTTCCCTTCAATAACAATAAATGTGTCTACAACATCCCAAAGCTCCTGCAGACGAATGATTGCAAGATCGAGTTCGACGCTGAACATCAAAACATCGATGACTTTTCTTTTGCGCCGCTTGTCATCTGATTTCGATCTATATTGCTTCCACCCGTGTATAGAACAGGAAGTGGGGATGTCGTTCGGGTCGAATCTGTAATGAACGATTTTTTCAAATGGCTCAGGGGGTGTATCCCAAATGGGCCGGAAGATGTAGCCAGCATCGCGAACGATCGTGGGCCGAAGGCTACGAATCACTAGCACGATCCATAATAATGCCAAAAGTGACAGAATTATCCACCTTGGTTGGGACCGCATAGAAACAAAGGAGCCAACAGCTGGCGGGGGATATTGGTGTTGGATGTTATCGACGAACGTTGGTTGTTTTGCTATCGTCCTGTTTTGCCAACAGCCAAGCCATTTTATGACCAGGGTCCATATGCATAGTACTGTACATACTTAAGTACTTATGCATCTTAAGAAGTACTTAGTATACAACTTCGAAACTGCCGCCCACCCATAGCCGAGGGCGCTTTGATGGACCATTTTTATTCTACCTAGAAATCGGGTCGGGTATATATCATGATATGAGCTGCATACCTTGGTAGCTATATGTATAAGTGCTCAAACTGACCTAGGCCAGGATATATCTAGATACCGTGCATTGGAACATATAGCTGAGCCTCTTAATTAATATTAACCCGGCCAGCCCGACTTGTTAGTTTGGAGTTTTGAGTTGACAAGTACTAATTAAGTCTCAATGCACAGTCCGTCCGGAGCAAGGGTAAGTTCTCGTCACCAGATTTATTGATTAATGATTCATACAATACATACATACCTCACACATACATACATACATACATACATACATACATACATACATACATACATATGTATGTACCTACCTAAGCATCGACAGTCAGTCGGGTCTCCGAGGCGTCTCAGCACCAAATCTAGCCAGACTAGACTAGACTAGACTGAACTAGACTGAACTATAGTTCATGTGAGTAAGTATATAGTACTTACTCGAGTACGTATAAGGTATACAGTCGAGGACAATGCAACATATTCAACACATTGATATCTAGGCATCAACTCTTTCGCTTCCTCCTGGTCCCTTTAATTCTGTTCAATTTCGTGCAATTCGAAGGAAGAATAATATTGAGTTCAGTGTCTAAATAGCCTCCCCTGAACCTTATAGGAGTATATAATTGGTGGAATGAAAGGAATCCGTCCGCGTCCCTTCGCCCGCAGATACGTTCTTGGCAAGTCTAGCCTCAAAGTTGAATCCGAAGCCATAGTCACATATTCGAACTAAAGTACTACAAGACCGAGCGCGAGACTAAGGCTGTGATATCCAATGCCTAAATGTATCCCCGTTGCACTTTAGCCTTTGACGATGTGACACAGCACAAGTTAAAGCCGTGTCTTCCCCGAATTCTACCTGGCTGATCCTGGGGGCTTCAAACTAAACAGCGTCACAAAGGGAAACATCCGGAAGTCCCAATTGCCATCCCCGAAAGATCGCCCCCCTCTGCCGATTAAAATTTATAAAAAAACGTGCTCGAATCCATGTCCTATGTCGGCACATTTTTTTTAGGGATGGCACGCTGTAGGCTAAATTCGAAATTTAGCCTGCGTGCTCCGGTACCAGCATGGCCAATTGCAACAAGCACATAAAGGTCTCGATGTTCAAGGATCTAAACTTTAGATCGAAAACATTGTGTACCAAAGTGGAGGCATTCTAAATTCATGCTGTCACGTTTTGTCATATGTGTAACCGTCGGAACCACCAATCAGACTTGGCACAAACGTGCAATATCCAACACAGGGTTGCCCCCATTCTGCGTTGCTTGGCATATGCACTCAAGTGCTAGTGCTGGCCTAGCTATAGCTCAAGTTATGAAAGAAGATACTCTAGATCTCGTTTGGAAGAACATCATTGATTCCACAACATCTGTGCTTTCGGCCCATCGTCCCGCAAATCTACAATGCATATCAAATTCGGAGTCGAGTCAGCTCCTCGTGGCATACAGGCGCGGAGGTCGCTAAACATGGTGCCGCCATGGCTTCTGTCATTTTTTGTTATCAAAATCGACGGCGAACCGGGCCACGAAACGAGATATTCCCAACAACGATTCGATTCCCGAATAGGAAATTGGATGATATACGGCGCTCTTTCTTTATAGGTTTTCTAGACTCTAGGCCAGCGTAGAGTCCAGTAATCCGAGAACGGGGCCTTATCAAACCCGGCGCCAAAGCATTCTAACAGCAGCGGCGAATTGAACAAAAAGTCCATCAAATATCTTGTACTGGTGGCTTTAGATACTATGACCCGCAACTATATAAAAGGGATCGCCATTCCAGTCATTCTGCATTTGAAATCCGGAAATCGGTCAACTGCGCATGCAACTCCTCTACAGAAATCCGAATAGAAGCCCACCCAGATCCGGTCAATTAGGCTTATAAATTTAACTTAAACCATGGCTGGAAAGTTAGCAACTTTGCTCCTCTTGCTCGGCGCGAACTCTGCCCTTGCGCAATCACCTCTATGGGGACAGTGTAAGCCAAAAATTCGTCAATCTAACTTCATGACTCTATGACCCGCTTCTAATCAATTTTTTACAAATTAACTACAGGTGGCGGTATTGGCTGGGGGGGCTCTACCAGTTGCGCTTCAGGCAGCACTTGCGTCGTCTTGAACGCATACTACAGCCAATGTCAACCTAGCTCCCAGTAAGTCCTGGTGTTGGATATTACATAGGTTCTGGGAATAACTAAGTAATTTTATCCTCGATAGAGTTACTACCACTAGTTCGACAACGACCACTCGTGCAACCACAACATCTACGACCGCAGTGAGAACGACAGTAGTTACAACCACGCCTTCTACTACTACACCCGGGGGGACGAGTCCTACGTGTTCAGTAGGCAGTATTTCTTTGGTGTCGAACTCCAAACTTCCAGATCCATTCACCTTTGCCAATGGCCAGAAAGTCACCACAAAAGAACAGTTTAAATGCCGTCAAGCTGAGATTTCAGCGGCAATGCAGCAATATGAGTTAGGAACAAAACCCGGAAAACCACAATCTCTTACGGCTTCGTGGAGTGGAAATACTCTTACCATCAACGTGTCTGACCAGGGGAAATCAATCTCATTCTCCGTCACTGTTACTGCACCTTCTGGTGGAAGGGCACCATACCCTGCTATCATCGGTTAGTAAAACATACATTAGCCTTTATCAATCGTGGTTTCGCACCTAACACCCTCTTCTTTTACCGAAAAGGATACGACGGTGGCTCAATCCCAATTCCTGCTGGTGTTGCTAAAATCAGTTTTAGCATCGCTGATATCGCAGCCCAGACTAATACTGGATCAAGGTAAGTTTATGAGCAAAAAGCCACCCATAGTTTACGTCGGGATGTTAATGGGCCATCTATGGTAGGGGCCAAGGGAAATTCTACAACCTTTATGGGAGCGGCCACTCAGCTGGTGCCCTTACAGCTTGGGCATGGGGTGTCAGCCGAATCATCGATGCAATCGAAATTACCCCAGCTACCAATATCAACCCTGCAAAAATCGGCGTTACTGGATGCTCCAGAAATGGCAAGGGGGCTTTCGTCGCCGGTGCTCTTGATGACCGTATTGCCTTGACTCTTCCCCAGGAATCGGGATCCGGTGGTTCCGCTTGCTGGAGGCTTTCGGACTACCAGAAGAGCCAGGGTCAAAATGTCCAAACTGCTTCCCAGATTATAACAGAGAACGTTTGGTTCTCTACTGCGTTCAACGCCAATGTTAATCAAGTTAACCGCCTTCCATTTGACCACCACAGTTTGGCTGCCTTGGTTGCACCCCGTGGGCTCTATGTTATCGAGAATACTTCAATGGTAAATATGACCGTGACTCTTAACGGGATTGGCAGACGCTCTTTGTTGGGTACCCGCTAACAAAAGCTACTAGGAATGGCTCGGCGCATTAAGCACGTACGGTTGCATGAAAGCAGGGTCTCTCGTCTACCAAGCCTTGGGCGTATCTAGCAATATGGGTTACTCGCAAGTCGGACACGGTGACCACTGCGGTTTTCCTGCGGCTCAACAAGGGTCTGAACTCAATTCTTTCATTAACAGGTTCTTACTCGATCAATCAGTCACGACAAACGTCTTTCGAACTGATGGCAACTTTAATTTCAACCAGGCTAATTGGGTTGACTGGTCTGTCCCAACCTTGAATTAATATGGGCGGCAGTCGAGATTTCAACTCCCGGATCTTGTACACGATTTGTTGCATTGATTGAAGTGTAAATATCTTAATAGTTTCGATATAAATTATAGAATATGCAATCGATAACGTTTTGAGTGTCATTGTGAACAACGGCCATTTAAGGAAGATATATTGATATTATAATACATCCGCTGACAGTATCCATCCGTAGCGGCCGACATTCGTGTCAGTATGTCGATGCCGATCCTTATGGTGTACGAATACAAGAAGTGGGATGGAGGTTAAGTGTTTTTCTTCTTCTTTTTCTTTTCTTTTTCTTGCCTTTTTAATGGCGAGGGAATAGATGGGACTTGTTCACAGTGGGGTTGACTACTTCCTTGATGAGCTATTGGGGTCACATCTACGGCAGCAACATTCTTCTTGGGTCTTCGATGTACTCTTTGACTTTAACAAGGAAGGTAACTGCTTCACGTCCGTCCAGTAGGCGATGGTCGTATGTAAGCGCAAGATACATCATCTATTGACTGTTAGATACCGTTATGCTTTTTATAAAGAGAAAAACACATACCGGTCGAATTTCAATCTTGCCGTTGACGACAACTGGACGTTGCTTGGTTGCATGAAGGCCTGCCGTATTATTAGTAGGGTTTTTTGTACAACTAAAGCATAAATGGCCTACCTAGAACAGCGCTCTGTGGCAAGTTAATAATAGGAGTTCCCATCAAACTCCCAAAAACTCCGCCGTTGGAAATGGTAAATGTACCCCCGGCAAGGTCCTCAAGAGTAATCTTTCCATGTCGGGCCTATCATTTTTCAGGGTAAGCTCGAGTTACAATGTTAACGAAATTTGAAGGTTGGGATCATTACCTTCTCACCGAGCTCTGAGATGGCCTTGTCGATGCCTACGAGATCGAGAGTTTCTGCGTTCCGGATTACAGGAGTAACAAGGCCCTTCTCTGTTGCGACAGCTATGCTGACATCGACATAGTCACGGTAGACGATGGTGTCGCCTCCGTTCGGACCCTCGATGCTAGCATTGACAACGGGTACATCCTTCATGGCAAGAATGCATGCCTTGGTGAAGAAACTGACGAACCCTAGCTTTACACCAGTTTTCTCCAATACTACGTTCTTATACAATGAGCGCATTTCCATTACGGCGGACATGTCTACTTCGTTGAATGTAGTCAGGGATGCTGCTGTATTTTGGGACTGCTTCAACCTCTCGCCCGTTCTGAGTCTCATGCGATTCATTTTTACCTATTCGATGGAATATGGGGAGTTAGTTCTTATGTGGCTTGGGAACAGAAGTACAACGGGATGAGATACCGACCCTCTGTTCTCCTCTGTTCCCGATTCCATCGGCGGCAGGGGCCGAATGAGTAGTTGGTGGGGGGGAAGTCTCGGCCTTCGGCTTTTCTGCGACCTTCTTAGGCTGAGGAGCTTTCTCGGCGGGCTTCGATTCCTCGGTTTTTTTTGGTGGTGGGGAAGGGGCTGACTCTTCCTTCTTCGTCTCTTCTTTGGCTGGTTTTGGTGCGCCTTCTCCAGGCTCCAACGTTGCGAGATCTTGACCAACTGTAACAGTAGTGTCGGCTTCAACCAGAAGTTCCTTTAGAATACCGGCTTGTGGGGCGTTGACGGCGACGTCAATCTAGCTATATGTTAGGGGAGTGCGAGCATGTGATGATGGTGGTGGTGGTACAGACGATACCTTATCAGTTTCGATGGTGGCAATCTCTTCATCCTGTTCGACCTGTTCGCCAACCTCTATCCCGTGAACCAGCCTCAGTTAGAATGCCGTCGGCCTCAGGCAACATGAGAATTGAGAAATCGCGAACCTTTTAACCATTGTTTTAGGGTTCCCTCTGATATAGATTCTGCCATGGGTGGAACCTTGATAGTGACGGAGTCGGCTAATGGAGTTCGGTGATTAGATATATCTGATTCAGGTGTGCCGGAAAACGTGGGTGAGTACCGTAAGAACGCCATTGGTGGAGGGATAGGAGAGGGTATGAAGCGGCGGCATGGGAGCTGCTTGGATTGTTAGCGGAGTAGCCCAGGGTATGTGATTATCGCTGACGGGAAGAGGAAGAGCTTCCTACCTGCGAGGGGTCTGTCTGGCAATGAGGCCGGTGATTGGAGCCTTGACATGGAAGAGGCGACAGGATGAGGTTTGTAGGTGTGAAAATGAAGATGGGTGATTTAGCCGCAGGGCGGTTGAGCGAAGGGCGGAGAAGGATGGCATGGTGGTGGTGATGATGATGATGATGATAATGATGGTGGTGGTGGCAGTGGTGGTGATGATGTCTGAAGGAGAGTCGAGTCAGGGCAGAGGTTACTAAGTAGGTAGTTACTTGGTAAGTGAGGTGAGGTCACTTAAAATTTGAGTTTATCAGGCATATCCAACCAATCAATATATTATAATTCTACCGATACAAGACCTTGTATAATAAGTCTATATACTTATATACCAAGTACTTACTTACTTCAGTAAGTATATTTTGTATATTTTACTTTCTTTTAATTTTTTTTCATTTTTTTTTTCATTTTTTTTCATTTTTTTTTCATTTTCTTCCAAGGTTTTCCTTGAAGTCATGTACCGTAGCGTAACGTAGCCGAACCGGGTCGGGTAAAGGACGATGGCCGAACGGAAGTGCCTTATTTACTACTTAGTACTTCTACTTACCTAAGTACTTAAATAATTACATACCAAGAAGTAATATAATAATTATACATCAATACGAGACTAAGTATTGATAATATAATAATTACTGACTAAGCTTAAGTATGTATCGTGTGGTGTCGGTGTTGGGCTTTCAATTGGGCTTGGCAGCCAGTCGGTCCGTCTCAAATTGATGTCTGTCGGGTCCCGCGATTCGACAACAACGACGACGACAACAACGACAACCACGACAACCACGACGACGACGCCAACGACCAGCATTCCCACCGCTCGTTCGGTCATCAATCATAATACTTACTAGAGGGTGTATTGCATAAGAGGTAGCTAGCTAAGTTACTAGGTACCTAACTGGTAGGTACCCTTCCTTCGCAAATGCAACGTTATTACCCTTTCGACCTCTCATTCGTATTCGATAGTTCCTCCTCCGATATATATCTCCCACCGCTCGCCGCTCCCCAGACATGGCTAGTTCTACGCCAATTAGAATAGTCCCGAGTCTCTACAGGAGAGCCTTGAAAACGAGCCTGGATTGGACTGTCAGACGGGATATCTGGCGCCCACAGGCCCTCGCTATCCGTCAACTCTTCGAGGCCAATAAGGATGTTCGGGCTCCCAAACAGTTAAAGGTTATACTTGAATCCAGCGGGTTTATTTCATATTATAGCCCGTATTCAGGGGGTTTATCGTGACTAACACCATTCCACCACCTTGTAGGTTCTCATTGCAGAAGCAGAGGCAGAGTTGGAGAAGTGGAAGCATCCAGATCCCTATTTGCCGCCTACGGCCCCTGGTGGTATGTTCCCTTACCCCCCTCTTGGTATCCGTATATACCTAATATATATATATATATATATGTGTGTGTGTGTGTGTGTGTGTATTGTACACACACACTCGGAGTCTTTGATATAATCTCTCTTCGTGGAATTTGAAAATGATCTAATTATCACCCTCCCGGGGGATCAACCGATAGGCTCTAAGTGGGAAAGAAATCTTCCTTGTCCTCTGCTGACCCGTAAGTTCCACATGTCTTGGAATCATTGCATTGAGCTCTTGGACCTGGTTAAGTTTGCTAACTCGAAAACCGTCCGAAGCACCCCAATATTCGGATTGATATTTCTTCTTTTAAAAATATTTTAAAAAATCTTAAAAAAAAAAAATAGAAATCAAATCAAATCGATCAATCAATCAATCAATCAATCAAAATAATGACTATAAAATAAAACTGCAAGCGCTCATGTAAATAAATACAAGCCCATCTGTCCTGTTCATATGATACCTTTTTGGACAGTGAGCCGCAACATTCCCTGTGCACAATTTCCTACAGGTCGGTCCTGACGAAGTGAAACCGATCAGTGACGAGAAAAGCAACTTAAGCTGGTGCATGCACGAGCGGCGCGGGGGAATATCGGCAGCCACCACCTGCATTTCTGCCGTTGTAACCCTTGCACATGCCATTCCATCTCCATTTCATTGGCCTTCGTTCTGTAAATAGCCATTCCCTTCAGCGGAAACCTTTTTTTTTTTCCTTCACCGCTGCCTAACCAACCCGGTTTCCAGACTTTTTTTTTTTTGCCTGTCTCTGATCACAATACATATTCTCCCTCCCTTCCCCCAATCTTGTTCTACCTTTTCTCTTACCAATCTTACCAATATATACTCGAAACCATTACTTCATCGTACCGTTTTTATCGACAGATGCTACACCAATCATAGGGCGGCCACATACGTCTGCGAATTCACACGTGGAGGGCTGGTAGCACTGTAAACACCCCCCACGGCAGTAGTTCCCACACCTCCGAGTCGGTTATTTCGTCACTACATCCCCCAGCCACCACGAACCCTTCTATATTTCTATCATCTCCCGCGACGAACAAGAGAAATAAATAGGAAAAAGATACATCGAGGGCGGGGCAAAAAATAAAAATAAAAGGACAATAGTAACCTTCAAATACCGCCACTATGAAATTCGGCGAAACACTCAAAAAGTCCCTGAAGGAGGAGTGGAAAGATAATTATATCGATTATGGAAAACTAAAAAAGCTTCTGCGAGAAAAAGACCCCGAGCCAACCCAATGGACCGAACAGGATGAATCCAACTTTGTGGAGGAGTTGGTAAATGTGCAGATCGAAAAAGTGAACACTTTCCATGCGAAGCTTGGTGCTGAATTGAAGGACCGGGTGAACAACTGTGAAGCCAAACTCGAACCCTTGGCTCAGAATTCTGAAGGCAAAGCCGCGGCCAAGGACACTGTCGATGAAAATACCAAGCAGCTTCTAGTCACTGTCACCCAAGAGCTGGATACTATCTCCAAGGAAATTGCGGATCTTTACAAATTCGCGAGATTGAATTTCACGGCTTGTCTGAAGGCTGCCAAGAAGCATGACAGGTTAAAGCAGTATAAGATCCGGCCTCTCGTTCAAGTCCGTCTTTCATCTTTACCTTTCAGTTCTGAGGATTATTCGCCGCTGCTATACAGGTAATTCTATCATCATCTTATACCCCCGTTCTTGCCATACATGGTGGATAACTATCCTGACGTCCGCCTGGATAGGATCTCGGCACTCTATGCATTCGTCGGACAGTATGACCAAACTCAACAACCATCCAAATCTCTTCCTTCGAAATCGTCCTCAAAAACCTATGAATCCCATAAATGTAAGTGATGAGAAAACGCTCCGGAACAGCCGTTGTGAAATATCTGACAATCCGAACAGTCTGGGTGCACCCCGATAATTTACTTGAAGTTAAAACCTATGTCCTACGCCGGCTGCCAGTTCTCATCTATAACCCCCAAAGTTCAAAGGTTGCGAAAGCCGACAGAAAAGACCCTACATTGACATCGCTCTACTTCGATAATTCCCAATTCGATCTATATACACATAAGCTTGATAGGTATGAAAGTGCTGCATCACTCCGCTTACGATGGTACGGCCAGCTTGCAGATAGACCGGAAATCACATTAGAGAGGAAGATTGTCCCTTCAATCGAAGAAGCAGAGGAGACTGGAACTGAAGAAAGGGTCTCACTCAAAGAAAAAGAAATCCAGCGTTTCATCTCTGGTGAAGATGAGGAAATACTTGAAAAAAAAATACGTAAGACAAAAGAGCGGAAGCCAGAAGAGGAGGCACGCAAATATGAAAAGACGGCGAGGAATATGCACGCCTTCGTCAAGGAAAACTCTCTACAACCCATCCTGCGTGCAGTCTACACAAGGACTGCCTTTCAAATCCCCGGAGATGACGAGATCAGGATATCACTAGATACTGATCTTGTCTTCATCAAAGAGGATGCTCTCAACTCTCGGAGACCCACTCGACTCGCTGACGACTGGCATCGACACGATATTGATGACCGAAAGTTGGAATATCCTTTCAGTTCACTCCCCAAGGATGAGATTTCGAAGTTTCCTTTTGCGCTTCTCGAAATCAAAATTAACAACTCTTTGAACGACCGTTCGAAGGAGTGGGTTTCCGATTTGATGACCTCGCATCTGGTGTACGATGCACCACGGTTTTCCAAGTTCGTTCATGGTGTTTCAGTATTGTTTGAAGACAATGTTAATAGTTTTCCATTCTGGCTGGGGGACCTCGACAAGGATATCAGAAAGGATCCCAAGGATGCATGGCAGCAAGAGCAGGACCGGCTCAAATCCGAGGAATTCACTGTCGGAAGTTTTGCAATGGGCCTTTCGCCTCTTCGCGGAAGCCCTTTCCGGGCATCTATTGCTCATGAATCAATGCGCCCTGTAGAATCTTCCAAACCCCGGCGATTGTCGGCGGGGGTCCCCAAAAAGCCAGTTTTGGAGGTCGTCCAGGCTCCAAAACAGGCAACTATTACTGAAGACCACGAAGAACAAAGCAATTCCCCATCGTCTTCTCGTGTTGGGGGCTTAGGATGGGGAAGCACAAAGCAGCGCCGCCGCCGATCTTCAGTTAAACTGCCCCCCGGCGTAACGAAGCCAAGCTCATATATCAAAGATTCCGGGCCGCTCCAGGTTGAAGCCAAAGTTTGGCTTGCCAATCAAAGGACTTTTATCAAATGGCAACATATATGTGTGCTGCTGGCCACCCTTTCGCTCGCACTTTACAATGCCGCCGGTCGGAAGAATATCGTTGCCCAGGGCATCGGCTTCTTCTTCACAGGAATCTCGGTATTTGCTGGAGCGTGGGGGTATTGGATGTATATCAGGCGGAGTAGGTTCATCACCGATAGGAGTGAGAAAGGCTTTGACACTAGTATCAGTCTGATCGGTCCCATTGTTGTCTGCATCGCTATGATCATTGCCTTGACACTGAACTTTATATTCAAGGTTAGTTGGAAGCACTCTAAATTTGATTTTTCGTGGTTTTTTCTTCTATTTTCCCCCTTCTATTTTTCCCATTTAACATTCCGCTAACGCTTCCGGTTCGCGGGCAGTTCAAAATCTCCTTCACTGAAACGTCTTTCTACATCGAAGACTTGACGGAACCAGTTCTGACACCAAGCAACACCGCTTCGACACTTGTAGTACAAGGCCAGGCCTACAACATACTTGGTTAATTAATCTACTATTTCCTAAATTTGATTTGACTTCCTGGGCATTTATTTTGAGCAAATATTGTTTACCTATTCAACAAATGGCACATACTCGCAAAATCTTGTACCTTATCTGATCACACCCTCTCCCAGACTAATTTTATTTAACCCATACTTTGAATCCTGATTCACATTATCGTGCCATGTGGTGAACAGCAAGACGACTTAAAGCTTCCCCAAACGCCCATGTTACCCTCCAAAATACAAATTTATACCGAACAATCCGTGGATTTAAGACCGATGAACCCCGAATCAAACAAAACCCCAAAATGTGAGTGGTGGTATACAAAAGCCAAATCAATGCATGCATATTATAATCAAATGCATAGATCTATCTACGAGGTTCTTAGTTCCTCGTCCTCAGCATCAGAATCGTCATCAAAAGTTTCCACATCATCGATAGCGTCTTCTCTCATTCCTGGGGGGTTTCCTAAGCCTGGCGTTGTGTCCGATACGTGAACGACGCGTTTTCCATGCACCTATATTGTAAGTTAGTGATGTAGGTAAATCGAGGAGAAGCACAAAGGGTGGCCGCACTTCCTTAACACCCTGTTTCCAGGCCTGCCAATCCCGATCATCCCTGATTAGGAAGGCCAGGAGCATACTAGGGTCCATTTCTCTCAAATGAAGCCTCCGAAGTTTTCTAGTATGGCAAAACTCGATCTCTTCAGCAGTATAGTCTGAGTCCTTTCGATAGGGGAGTAGTGGCCGAGTATTGTGAGGATCTAGGTAGAAGAGCGATTGCCCTTGGACCCCAATAAAATAGTGTGATGCTGACGGCCGTCCTCTGGTGTCAATATAAAAGTCAACCAGCCGTCCCCGACTTCAGTAGGACCATCGACTTACCCAGCGATCCCGACTGACTGTGGCATCATGAGGGATGACTTAAGGGCCTCCCAATACACGGGTGTCACTCTTTCGATCCCTAACCTTATACCCACGAGAACAAGGGTGGGGTGGAATACTCCATCGTCTGATATTGCAATTTTCCGGAAGGCATCCTCGTAGACATCTCCTCCGTCACCAGTTATGTAGACTTGTAAACCTTCATCGTGTTGTGCAGCCAATGCCCTTTAGGGTGTTAGCGCCACCATCAACCTCAATAGGGAGGGGGAATGGGGAGGCAGTTTAAAAATACGGGGAGAGAAGCGTACTGTATACATCGTGCCGTTGCGGATGGCCCGAACCATTCCCCGGGATAAACCCCACAAGATGCTTCTCCATATTTGACAAAGTTATGTAGGGAGAATGGTGCTCGTGGATCATCGGCGAACAAAGACAGGATATGCTGTTCCTCTTGGGGAGATTTTCCACGACGCCAATCTTTTCGCCGTGTTAGCACTTGAAAACCCGGGGTAAGGGGCCAAATAGATAGAGACTTACCTCGTCCGAGTTTAAGAAGGGATATGGCATTCGCGAGAACACATTGGCCCGACCTTATCATACAGCCCCACCCTGTATCTGAAGTAAAGCCTTCTTGATCGGCTAGGCTTCGGATCCGAGTCGCAAGTGTCATATTCCGGCTGGTTGTGGATAACGGAATTGGGGGGAAGGCGCTTCGATAAGTCATCCAAAACTTGGCATCAAAATCATCTAAAAATGCATGAGGCCATCCATCATCATCCATTTGTGTCGATGTATCTTTTTGGACTTCAACAGCAGCTTCCGAGGAGTCCGAGTCGGATTCATGTTGTGTGATGGCGTCGGCAGATGTTGAGGATGGTGTGGTCAGGAGCACTGGGACAGAGTCTGTGGAGGATGCATTTACGGTATCATATTCGTCGGAAGATTTGACGTCGAGTTCGCTCGGCTTAAAGGAGTATTCGACACCCAAACACCAGATAGAGCTCTTGGGCTCGTCATTCTTGACAGGCGGGTCCCAGAAGTATTGTATGACGCGCTGGAACTTGTCGATTCTGATGTTCATCATGCGAAACAGTTGTTCTCTCCAAAGGCTCTTGATGGTAGCCTTGTAACCAGGAATGGGATGAAGCTTGAAGTATATGTGATTATGTGGAGGTGGGGAGAAAGAGCGAAGGTTGCGATAGCTACAGATAGCCCAGATCTAAACTTAGGTACCGGAGCCTAAGCTAAGCAGCCTCAACTAGATCCAGTTGAGGCCATACACAACCACGCACTAAATAACTACTATATGTTGAATCCGAATCAAGATCCGGTTTGCTATCAGGTATTTCCGTAGGTGTAGGTGGAGTGGAGGTGAAGCAGCGGCGATGATGTGTAAAGGCTTGGGGAAAGTGCAGGTGCTGGATGACGAAGTGGGCTGACTTAGCGTACAGGTACTAGGTAAGTGTAGGTACAGGCACAGCTTGCATCTTACCTGTTGCTTATGTAATCCATACTCATCGATTCTCATCACCACCATCACCACCTCTCCTCCTCCTCCTCCTCCTCCTCCTCCTCCTCCTCCTCATCCTCCCCCTCCTCCTCCTCATCCTCATCCTCCTCCTCATCCTCCATCTCCACCATCACCATGCCCCGCCGGAAACATTCGCGGCCATCCCCTCACAAGGGCCACGGCCCAAACACCCGTTTCGCAAATCGCCTCTCTCATCCAAACCCAGCCACACCAACCAATGGAAAACGTGGGAAGCTCCAAAGACGTCTACTTCTTGGTGATGATTTTGCCCTAAATCCCTGTGATGATCCTAGCTCTTTAGGTAAATTGGCTATTCAGTCTACATGCATCCCTGTTTACAGATATAAACCCGCGATAATCTATCTCTCCTTCTTTTTCTACGCTTCTAGAACAAACTTTAGGTTCAGCAACCAACAATTGACGTAAATACCTTTTCGTGGGAAATATAGGAGGTCATTCCAGTTTTACATTACAACAAGAAGCCCGAAACACCGAGGAACGATATTACAGGAGAAATGATGATAGGAAGCTTAGACAATTGGGAATCACATTCGTACGCTCTCAGCAACAAAACGACCAAAGCAGCGAACCCAACACCCCTCCTGCGACTATCCCCAAACAAAAACCCCTTCCCTCATCAGAAACTACGCCGACAGGGCCCGAATCTCCCGCCACCGCCACCGCCACCACTGCTACTGCTACTGCTACTGCTACTGCTACTGCTACTGCTACTGCTACTGCTACTAGAAAATCTCATCTCGAACCAGTCAATAACCTTAACATCCACCCACTTCCCAATAATTACGTCGGTAGCTACCTCAAAGCTCAAAATGAGTTATCCTCTAGCGAAGAGGAAGTTGTCTTCGTTCCTCGGAATCAGCGGCGCTCCACAGGAGCCCAACCGATACCACAAAAGTGCAAAGCTCAGACCACCATCCCATCCGCCCCACTCCCAAAATCAGCTTCAACACCAAGGAATCCGAAAATCTCTAAGGAAATTCCAAAAAATTCTCGTCAATCCAAGAGTGATGGTAACTATGACGACGATGACGACGGTATACTCACCGATTACATCCGAAATATCGAAGAGAACGGGGAGGATATCGATGACATATTTTCTTTGCGGCCTTTAGGAAACTATCTAGACGACATCGATATAGGAAATGAAATCGCCCATCGAAAGTTTGATCCAGAGGGCAACGAGCTCGGGATGTACGTAGATATCAACACTGCTGCCATCATCGGAAAGCGAAAGGGGAGGTTTGGACCAGAATACCACTTCAAACCAGCAGGTTCGATGCTTCAAGAGGCCCTTTGGCTTGAAGGTACGGATATGACACACGATATTCAACATCTAATAGACCACTTTGAAGCCGGGTTGGGAGATAGTGATTGTTTCAGCTCGGGACACGAAGATTCTGATGCCCGGGCACCTGACGTCCAAGGAGATGCCGACTCAGACTCTGACAAGGCATTTCAATTCGATGAAGGGGATGACGAAGAAGAAGAGGAATTCGATATTGAAGAACTTGTCAACATGATGTTTGGGAAGTCGAATAAACAAGGAAAATTCCCACGTGCATCCAAACTAGCCGATGCCTACGATGAGTTTGATATCATGGATCGTGAAAGGGTCAGCTTAGCTAACCCTTTCAACCGTAAGTCCCGAAAGGCCAACATTGGACGATCCTCGAATAAGATTACAAACACGGAAATGGATAGCGATGAAGCTCAAATTCAGATTGAACTCGAACAGTATATCCTCGCGGATCGAGAAAAGAAAAAGATTCGTAAGCAAGAGAGGCATATGCGACGACAAACAGGCACGTTGGATACTTGCAGTACACCCACGAAGTCTGGGTCCATGGATATCAAAGGATATCCTGGCGGGGTAACAATGAGTCAGGTCCGCACATCTATTAAACAGTTCTTGATGAGCGGAGTCGCAGAAAGGTTTGTTCTATCCTAAATTATACGCTCGGTATGTCTCCGCTAACCCAGTCGATTCGCCAGGCTCTCACTACCACCAATGCATAAACAAGATCGACTAGAGATTCATATTCTAGCCCATAGTTTCTTCATGCAAAGTAAATCACAAGGGAAAGGTAATAATCGTTTTCCTGTTCTCTACAAAACCAAGCAAAGCAGGCTTTTTGAAGGGGACGAAAAAGCAATCGACATTCTTCTCAGCAAACCAAATGGTCGGGCCCGACGGGCGGGGTTTGGAAATAATCGTGGCAAAGCTAGCCGCCAACCCACAGGTGGAAGTGGCGGTGATCGAACCATCCACAATAGAGATGGAACTATCGTAGGAACAGGGGCAGCAGAGCTGAGCCAGGGGAACAAAGGCTACGACATGCTCGCGAAAATGGGGTGGACTACGGGAACAGGGCTTGGCAGCAACAGAACTGGGATTTTAGATCCTGTTCAGGCGATTGTCAAGAATTCTAGGGCTGGGCTAGGGTAAATGGTTGAATATTCGCTATGTTCATGACGTTCAACTAGATATCTCGAGCCCCCCATGTTAGAGACCGTCGACTATATGTATTAATTGGTTTCCTAGAAGCTATTGATCAATTTTGACGATTGCATTGCATTGCATCGTAGTAATTTAAAGTTTGTTGTATGCCGCGCGGAGTTCAACGTTACCCAATCGGGAATTTCCAACTATCAAAATTTCTCTCAACACCAACGTCAACTCGAACTACATCGCAGTGTACGAGCGACTGGACATCGCACTGCAGGATTCGATTTCTGAACCTTACCAAACATCTCGGCAATACGGAGTCCGATTGCTGCAAGATTATATGCAACATGATCACCAAGTTCCTCTCCAATGTAGTGGCTAGCTTCAACCCATTCTCAAAGCATTCAAAAAGCACCAGGATCTTCCTCTCAATGCTGCCGCCTGATGCCAGGACCACGATGAAAATTCAAACCAAACTCTTGCCTCGAACCTCGGAGGATCTCCCCAAGATTGCAGTAACATTCAGTACGTCTCTTAACCCCGGTATATGTTTACATATGTAGCTACCTCTGACGGAACCTTAGAGGACGGCAAGGTCATGGAATTAGAGGCCTCAAAACTGTCAATCAAGGACCTAGTTGAGGAACTCGATAGACATTCACGAATACTAAGGAAGAAAGAAGAGCTTGGTGGCAATTGATCATGGGCTTAGTCAGAGCCTGGAGCGGCTATCAGCTGGATTCTATATTAAATAAAAATAAAGAAGTCAAATAGAATAAAATAAATGAGTAAATGACAGTATTGTGGAAGCTGGCTAAAAAAACTCACAAAACCCAAAAAACCAATTAAAAAAGAATTTTGAAAAAAATTCTCTCGGAAAACGATTAATATGATAGGATGGACCCAGGATACATTCTTGCCGGTTGATCCCGGATATGCTATATTGTTACCATCAACCGACTCATACTGTCCGGCTCCATATAACTTCGGTGTTTTAGAAGAAAACCGCCACCGTCCCCATATGCATGCATTATCGCCGTCCACCTGAATCCCCCTTCTCAATGTACATAGATAAAATTCAATAACCCAACCAAACCAATATTCCCTCAAATAATGCAAGAGGTTTTCAGGACACTATACCTCCAGGATCGTTCTATCCACATCCTCAACTTCATTATGGACATTTGATCGTGCGCAGTTAAGAATAACCACCTTAATAGAAGCAGCGTACGCCTCCCGAACCGTACACGCGACACATGTTTTATCCACATCTGCTATTATAGCAGCTAGGCCCCAGTAAGAGCACCACGCACGGGCGAAGACCTCATTGTCACACACACCGAATGCCTCGATTATTAACACCTCTTCGACTTCGTTGTTGTAGTACATCTCGCTACCTGTTTCAGATGCCGCATCATCGGTAATGTTGCTTCCCCAATTTTTAATCTCCGTGAGTTTGTCCGGGCGTACTACTCGAAAGTCATACGCATTGTATAAGACATGAGGCCCATTTTTGCAGGGATACGCAGCAATAAACGGGGTGTCATGGCGGAGATACACTCGCCAGGATTTGGAAGCGATTGCGAACGTTATTGAGGCGTCATAAAGAGTCGGATCACCGGGGTACATGCTGAAATTCGAACGGCCGCTGATACTCCGACTGCTAGCACTGCGTCCGCTTGTGCTCCTACCGCTGATACTAGATGGTGGGCGATGGTTTCCTTGAGAACCAGGAGGGAGTATCCTCATAACTGTTTGGGAATCGGATGTAACGGGTTGAAAGTTTAGTCTTTCAATTCGAATATTATCCGTAGGATCCTCAAGGTCAGGCTCCAGCATGTCGAAATCATCGACATGGATACTCGATTCATGTTCCGGGAATGCCTCACTATTGGCTGTCATGTTGTGAATGTCGCTCGGTGTTAAATGGCCAAGCGGTGGTGCTTGTTTGATCAAGACAACTGTTGGAGGAGCATCAGTAAACCAAACCTGCAGGGTTGGGTATACGAGATGTAGGTGCTACGCGTTTCACATACCTTCAGAGCGGTGAAGTTCTGGACTTGTTGGAAGAGGACCGAGCCATCCACATATCTGTCTAACTCCTTTTGCCGCGCCTAAAACTTTCCCAACAATACATTCCCAAGACCAATACGTAGAGCCTCTCCATTGCAATCCTGCATTAGGTGCCAGGTGCGAGAGCGTTTTTATCGACGGAGGGGCGTCAGGGTCGCAATCAATTAAAGTTTTCATCATAACCCAAGGCATAGTTCTTCCGGGCAGCATTAATCCAGTAAACCACGACATGCAACTTACACTACGATCTTCAACCGCCTTTTCTTTTGTATCCACTTCCGACAGAATGAATTCTACTTCAGGCATGTTCGGCCATCTTGATGGAAAAAAACCAAAAAGAAAAGAGAGAAGAAGAAAAATTAGTGGGCTTCTAGGCATAGGTGGGAAAAAAGAATCGTCGTACTTTAGAGTCCACCCAAAATTTCTGAGTATATCAACTTGGCTATTCTTGTTCTGAAAGTGGAATGTCACAGTCGACTGTGCCGCTGGATGGGATGAAGCCGGACTCTCAATTTCGACATTTTCAAGCCAACGCTGGGCTAACACTAGATCGTAGCGTACTTTGACAGGCCAGCTGTGGTGTTTTCCGAGTGAATTGTTTAAGGGGCTGCGTGATGTTATCCGCAAGAAAAGCTCAAGAGACAACAGAAGTTGGTGGAAAAATTTGTTATTTCCAGCACTGTCATCCCGGTAAAAGAATTCTGGAACAATCTGGTTTTCGAGCTTGCTGAAATCTACCCATTCTGGACGAGCGAGTACATCGACAAGGTCAAAGACTTGTCTACCCATTTCGAACCTATGAGGGTCGTCTGCATGTGTGATCCCGTCATACAAGAGGTTTGCATATAATTCGTGGTATAGAAGGGTTGGGTCCTGGAGGAGCGAAATGTCAGTCCTGGGTCGTATGCGACAAATAAAAAAGAACATGCTTGGTTATGTGTGATCTTACACGGTCCTCAATACCTTCATGTTTCAGCTTACGGAGCCTCGACACGACATAGTTCATGTTGAGTTTGCGGACCTTGACTTGGCCACCCTCCAATGGTGGCCCACCGTCGAGCGGGCATCCATAGGTTGCGGCGTATCCCGCAAGGGTGATGGTCCCCGGGTAGAGCCCGAATATATCCCGCATATATGGCCGGTCCAATGACTCCTGCGGGCGATTGGCGTCGCTCATGTCGTTGAAAAAGTCCTCTTGGAAAGGGTAGCAATCTGTGCCCTCATCATCCCATCCATTTGCCGGGACCACATAAAAGTGAAACTGATTCTTGAGATATGGTACCTCCCTACAGGTTCCCTCAAATACCGGAGCACCATTAGAAATATATCTCCGGGCCTGGTCCCTAGTCAGAAATGGGGTATGAATGTCCAAAGGAGGCCAATCGGCCGGCACCGACTCATTCCTATTTCCGACAGGGACCACGAGCAGGCCGCCATTCTGCTCTTCGATATATCGATATCGCCGCGAGCCTTTGGACTCTGGAGTTGTGACCCGCGTATCATCAGAGCAGGTTACTTGGCTCTCTTCTACGTCCTGCAAGTCCTTTAACAAATACGCTATCCGTCAGTCCTAGAATTGATCTTCTCACAAAGGGGAAAAAAGATGCACCGGGAAGTTTTTAACTTGGAGCTAGTCCGATTCGCACCTCATAATGCTGTGAAAAGGATTCTGACCTCCTTGATATACCCCGCTGCCAACCCGGGAAATTGGCAGGATATGAATTTCTACTCATCTAACGGGTTTTTTGATTCCTGAAGCTGTCGAGGGTCTAGGTACACTTGGGTCCTCGAAGCTAAGCCAGCTAAGCCATCACGGCGGAACTTATCTGCTCTGGGCGATGACTAGGGTATGAAGTGGCTCCGGCGATGTAAAGTAGATAGTATAATATTGGTTCCTCGAGGGTTGGCTACGCTGTACGTACAGGAAGATGGAAGGTGGACTAAGAGATCGAAATGGAGGAGAAACACCAGCCAAACAGCTAGCAAACGACAGTCTTGGATTGTGGTAGCGAGCAGGGAGCCAAACAAACTACCCCTCTATCACCGATACGTCGTACCTACTCGGGTATAGTATAGCCTGACAAACACGGGCATACATACTATGTATTATATCACGTATATATAATCAAAAGTTGTTCGTGATTACGATACGTTTTACCTTGCGCCGTACGTACAAATAGTTGGCTCCACGTTGGCTCCACGTTGGCTCTTCAGTACATACCGCTATGTCGTAGTACAGGTATTCATTTGGTTTTATACGCCCACTGGGTAGGTGCTTAGGTACTTAGACTACGTGTTGGTGTTGTCGGCCAGTGGATCGAACCCAGCCGGGGTCTATCACGAGGCAGGTTGCAGGGCACGGATCTTTACTTCAAGTGTTAATGAGGTCTTCAACATCGATAAGTACCTAAAGCGGGCCATGATTAATTATAGGTACTGCCTAAAAGAATACCATACACGCAGCATCATTCTAACAATCCAGAACAGGGCGGAGTGGTGTGAAGGGGGTGGAAGGATAAAACGCCAGACAACCCATCCAAAACCCGAGGGCATACAGAACACCAGTCATGTCGAAAACTTGTCAAAAACGCTAGCCCCGGGTCAAAGAAAACATGGCGGAGAAATAGACAATAGCCAGCCAAATACCATATTTAAAAGACATGCGGTAACCCCGGCAATGATAAAAACGATAAAAACGATAAAAACGATAAAAACATCGGTGAGGTTGGTGTATGAATCGAAATACCATAGACACCTAGAGGGGGGAAACATCTTGACCGGATCGTATGTATGTAACGCCAAATTCTTGAAACCAAAATCCCAAAATAAGAAGAAGAAAAAGGAAGGAAGGAAGGCGAAACGATAATAAGAATAGAGGTGAAAAGGTAATCCAAATCCGGTCCCAAATGCTTCCGCGATAACAATATAAACAAACGCCGAGGAGGAGGGGTTGGCGACATGCGAAGTGACAGACAAACCTAATACCAAGAATACAGGAAAGGAAATGGGCGAATGGTGGAAATCAGCAGGGAAATCAACAAAGGGAAAAAAAACTCCAAACTGCCCTTGAAAACTCCAGGAAACTTAAGCGACCAAAAAGAAGTCATCAGGGTATGTTATCGCATCATTCTAGCTCATAAAGCAAAACATCAGGCAGTCTCCGGAACGACAAACCAAATAAAAATGATAAAAGTAAGGGGAGAAAAACACCAAAGAATAAGGTAAAAATAACTGTGTGATAACCAAAGAACAAGTTAAAAGGAAACCGAAGAGAAAAGAAAAGAAAAGACGAAGCTCTCGATCGCGATCGCGTCTCGTCTAGTCGGTCTAAAGATACTGCTTTAAAGCCTGGGGTGAGAGCCAGCCAACCTTCTCGAAAGCCGCAAATAGACGCGAGGCCTTGTTGACATCAATGTGACATACTTGTTGTGCATGGGTTCGTGAAAATACTTGGTTTCCAGCTCTTAGTCGTGTAACTCGTTCAAGAAATATAAGACGCTTCTGCGTCAGATACTGGCCGCAAGAAAGTTTCAAAGTCGAAGCAAGGTGTTGTTCTGCTTTATGAAGAAGATGACGGTCTGGATCATTTGAGATATCGAGAGGAGCTCCAGACCAATCGACGTGAAGGCAACGCGGATTATCTGGTAGAAGATCGACCAGGGGTGTAACATCCTCGACCGTCAAAAAATGAACATCTTTCCTAGTCGTCGTAACTGGCTTCGATTGTCGGCTGAATTTAGGCTTGATCACTTTGTTATCGGTATTTCTATGGATTCGAACCTTGTCGTTCGGGAAAGCCGCAATGTCCGAGCCCGAGCTCCGGGATCTTTGATGCGACCGCTTAGGCCCAGAGATGGTTGCTTTGGGAGACATGCTGTGTGCAACTAGCTTAACAGTCTTTGCGGCCCTCACAACCTTTGCAGCCCTCGCGGCATCAATCTGTTGTTTTAAAAACTGCCTCTCGCGTTGAAAATATTCACCAGGTCCCCGAAAACAATCTTGCCATGCCGTTGATTTGAATGTCGGGATAGAAACGACCTTGCTATCCGCCTTAGCCGCGGAAACCCCTACAATCCTGGTAGGTGTTGTTTTGACTAGTGATGCTGGTGATTCTCGATCGGTTTCAGAGAGATCGAACAACGGCCGTTGATTCTCATCATTTGAAGGCGCATCGTAGAGAACAGGATCCCTATTAAGTATCGAAGGTCCAAGATCGGATGGAACCTCGGATATCTGACGGTTGATGTATGGAGAAAGTGGCGGTGAAAGTATTCCGCTTTGAGAGAGCGACTTCTTATCGCTGTGACTTATTTCGTGAAATCCTGAGATTTCAGGTCGGGGAGAAAAGCTCATTGCGGGGCGCTTGAATGGGGATGATTCTGGAGTCCGCGGCATTTGGTTGGCTGGGTTTATATTTTCCTGGACGAGTTGTACCGGAGGATCAAGTTCCATATCTAGGAACACCACGACCCGTCGAGGTATGGGTCCCACCAACGACTATAAGTTCGAAACAGGGTAAAATAGGACGGGGTCAGTCAATGTACTGATTTGAGGCTCTACTTGGTGACTTCTTGATACTAAGAACGAACGGGGGATCGAGTCAGCACAGGCCAGTGTTGAATCACAATAAATTCTCAGAAGGATGACGGATTGGTAAAAGTACAATAAATTTCAGAGCAGCGTAGTAACAAAAATTGGGAGTAGGAAAAGCAATGGAAGTAATTTATGTATAGATATAAGAAAGGTGGAAGTTTTCGTCATACAGTGTGTGGCTGTAATGGAAGATCCTAGAGCTACGGACGGGGTTAGGAAATAGGCAGATGATGGATAAGCCGAACGAAAAATGGGAAGAAACATCAAGTAAGCATAACCACCTCGTCTTTTTCTTCTTATCCTTGTGCTTCCTTTCCAAGAAATGGCTGAAGAAGAAGAAGAAGAGGAGGAGGAGGAGGAGAGGCAGCGGTGGAGTCACCAGGAATGGATGACCATAACGACTAACGTAAACTGGGCCAGGCCAGACAGGATACGAAATGGTAGCACTTACCCGTTTGAAAAATGTGTTGTTGGAGTTGAGGTTGTTGGAGTTGTGTTGTGTTGTGTTGCGTTGTGTGGCAAAGAACAGGGGATTTGTCAGCGTTTCCGGGAGCTTCCAATTGGTCACGTGAGAAGCTGAGAGGAGATAGAGGGAGAGGAAGAGAGAAAGAAAGGGAAAAAAGAGAGAGAGGGGGAGAGGGGGAGGGATAAAATTATAATCTAAGGTGGGAGAGGCTTAGGAATGCCGGGCGTGCCTAATTATCTTTATTTCTTTGTCTGGCACCTTCGATTGTGCGGGCAGTGGAATGGATGATATTGGACAAAAGAGCAAGCGGAAGGCTAGGCTTAAGAGTCACGGCCTACGTGAGCCTTGTTTCAAGATGACGATGTCGACAAACAACTTTAGCCCCCAATAGGCTTTTTTCGACGGGAGATATTTCAATTGGCCAATTCAATCCTAAAGGATCTCTTCCTTTCTTCCTCTTCTCCTTCTTTTTTTTTTCCACTTCGTCTGGGGGGAAGCCAAAAAGTTAGTTCTGCAAGAATGGGATCGAATTGACTTGAACAAAAGGTCACATGCGAGGCAAGCAATGTCTGGGTGACGTCTGAGCCGGATGAGGCGCAAAACCACAACCGTCACAGGTTGAATAGAAGGGAGGGAAGTGAATGGAAGGAAAATAAATAAAATATAAAAAATAAAAAGATATAAAAATAAAAAATAAAAAATAAAAATGAAGAGCGGACAGAATTTTGGGCAATTAGGGATGATCCAAAGGATCCGCCGGATCAAAGGCTTCGTCCTTTGTTGCACTCAACCAGACCCAATCCGAATCCTTGAACTTCAACTTGAGCTCGAACAAAGAAGGAGGATGAGGACGAGGCAAGACGCACGAGGAATAGCCACTTCTATAACCCTAACTTACCAGATATTTGAATCCTCAAATTCTAAGCTATACCGGCTCAGCTTGAGAATGTTTTCGAGAGATATCGAGACCGTGCCACAGCCAATTCAATCCGGTTCGTAATTGTTCTCAATCCGAGGAATCTTCGAATGGATGAAGGGAAGTAATAAAATTTTAAAAGATGAATAAGAATAAGAAGACGATGATGATGATGATGATACAACCAAGATGATATCGTTATGTAGGTTGTCGCAATCGCCACTCGAGGGTTGTTCAACACAATATGATTGCAAGCCGTGCAGTCGCTCTTTCTGAACCGGAGGTCAATCAGGCTTCTCCCGTCGCAGGGAACCGATGAACCCAAGTAAATTTCCTGTCCTGTAATTGGAAGAAGATGGAGATTCCAAAATCTAAGATTGCTGGAGACGGAGGCAGATAAAAGGAAATGGTATGGTGTTTGCGCCGCCGGCTGCGAAAGGTGATATTATGCATTCGCAGACAAACACTATCTTTGGTCATGTCCCAGACCGTTGATTGGCTGGACGGCCTCGAAAAGAGTGGTCAACCTGACCACTGCCCGTCCCCAGAAGCAGGGAAGCTGCGCGCCAAAAAGCAAAAATATTTACGCTGATGGTGGGGCGGCCCAGACGAGGTGTGTGTCACCAGACGCATAATTCCTTGGAGCCTGATCCTTAGGAAGGCCTCTGGGATGCTGGGATGGGGATACGATACGGAATGAGAACTTCGCTTCGACTGCTGTTATACGGCTGAGCTGCTTCGCCGGGTCGAGACGGATCACAGCTGACGGAACGGGCAGTCTAGCGCGGTGTATCAGAGATAACCATTTACTCAACCATTACAGTACGTACGTGCGTACATGCTTGCGCTTGATACTCAACATAACATCGCTCGAAGCAAGCTACATAAGTTGAATTGATTCGATTGATGGCCGATGGCAATGCAATTGCTTTTGCAGGGATGTCGGTTTTGAATCGGCCCGCCGATACCTACTGAAATACATCCATACATACATACATACCTAGCGTCCTCTGATCTGATCAGGAATCCAGTAAAAACATCGGATGAAAAGTTCTCCCACACCCTGCAAGTGCCGATTCTCCGCCTGTATGTATGATGTATGTATGTATGGATGTATGTATGTATGTATGCACATGCTAGGTACTTACATACTTGAGTTCCCAAATCTTTTTTATGTGTACGCATCTTGAATTCCGCCCCTTCCCGTGTGGGTAACGTAACGTAACGTAAGTTAGAAACCTCCGAAACAATGAGATTACTGCCAGATACCTCCGGCAAACATTAATTGTCATTGTATCTGTCATGTATATACCTACCTACTTACTTAAGTAGTTTCTCAGATCCTCTATTTTTGGAGGCTCTTTGACAGCTTTGACCAAAAGGATATCATGATTGGCAATTGACCGCCTGGCCTCGTGGTTTCTGGGACAATTACGTACATGTGCAGGTGCAGTCCGCCCCACCGATTTCGACCTTGTCTTCCCGTTAACGTTAGCTTATCTAGCTTAGCGGTCAAAACCACCACCACCACCACCACCACCCGATCACATGGGTCTCCTCTCCAACAGTTAGCCCGTCCAATGCCCATGTGATCGTGGTGTTGATTGGAGTTCTTATCGATACCTCCCTCCCCTGCCAATTATATTACCTGCGCTCGGATGAGACAGAACAGGGAGCGGGAGCATCAACGGGAAGCCAATGCAGCTGATTGATCCTCGAATACATGTACACAGATGCGGGATGTCACTGTGCTCTGGATCGCAATCCCGGTCGCATGGTGCAGCGGGAGCACATAGAAATAAGTACTTGCTTACTTACCTATACCGATATCGAGATTGGAATATTAAGTGTACAAATAGGCATGTCAGTCGGTAGGTATTCTCCAACCAGGTTTGGGCGACAGGCGATATATAGGCTTGCACTAATTTCATTTTTGAATCAAGTCGAATGTTACATAAGTAACTACGGTGTAAGTACATTACTTTGGGCAACAATCTCATTTCCCCAACTTCAAAAAGCCTTGGAACCAATTGCATACAGATTCAAATACATGATAATCAGGACATGGCATTGCCGAAGTCGGCCGACTTGGGCCGGTCCTAAATTGCTCGTCCATGCCCCATCTCCCAGATGTTCCGTGGCCATACGTAATGAAAGTACCTAAGTACGTGTACCTCCCTCCTGTGTACCACTGCTTCCTGTGCTTCCTGGTGTTATATGTTATGAAGTATATGAGTACTTGTTACATGGTACTCCACAAGGGCACAATCAATCAATCCAAGGTAAGTTAGCGTCCTCGATCATGAGGCCAGGTCATCATCCAAGAAACAACCCAATGTGACCTGACGGGAAATACCACACGCCAGACCCTAGTTCAACACACCAGAGCTACCACCGCCTCGCTCAAGTTCGGTTGAGCAACATCAGGCACGCGAATAACCTATAATCTGCATCGTGTACAATCAGAGGCGCAACAAGTTGCCCAATTCGGGAGCAAGATTTTGGCAACATGGCGATCACAATAGCCTTATGGAGAGTCACCTTAGAAGTAATGCGAGAAACAGATATCTGACCGCCTATGCCACATCGAGATTCGAACTTCGCGAGTTATAATACAGTTTTATTTTGTTAGAAGGGAGGGGAACACATGAGAGATTAATAGAGTCGGATGAACGATCATGAGATATTGCTTCCAAGCAATTTTACAATGGCCGTACGAGCCATGGAAGGGTTCATGGGTAGGGTTGTTGGAGGGGCGTACGCGTGCCACACTCCCGCAAAACTAGGAAATACGAAAACGAATAAGTTCTCAACTTTGTCAAGAACCTCAAAGGGTTTCCCGCTTTTTTCTGTTGTTCTCGGGCTCATCCATCACTAATGGCAGACATCCGATCAAACCAAAAAAAAAAAAAAAAAAAAAAAGAGAAAGAGAAAAAAAAGAACGAGGAGAATGAGAAGGATTATCTAGGACATGGACAAGGAAATATGGTGTCCACCCAACAGATTATAACCTTTTGAGAAATCAGGAACGTTTTTAAGATGTTCCAGCGTCTTCAACCTAAGCGCTGGTATCGGCCTCGGGGCAATTGCTCATAATATGACCGGGTTTTTTGCACCTGTTGATGGTTAATTTAGGTCAGGGATTAAAAGGGAAGGGAAGGAAAGGAAAGGAAAGGAAAGGAAAGGAAAGGAAAGGAATGGAATGGAAAGGAAAGGAAAGGAAAGGAAAGGAAAGGAAAGGAAAGGGAGAACTTACTTGTAACAAACACGATCCTGCTCGCTAGTGCAGTCACGGGAAAGATGACCGATTTGGCCACCTAAAAACAATTAGTGGTCTGAAGACACATCAAGATGCGCGAAAACTTATGTACTTTAAAGGGGAAAAAAAGGGTGGGGGAAGGAGAGGGATGTAAGCTTCAATCAAACATACAGTTGTAGCACTTCTGGCCTTGTGTACAGTCACGAGACATGTGGCCTTAAAATCAAGGATAAGAATGTTAGATTTTACGATAGGTCTAAGCTTTATAATTTGTGGGCAGAAGCTTACCAAATCCTATAAGGCCAAAGTGATTAGTTGAGGTGACAAAGCCAGGATAAAACAGCGTAATTATAAAAACTTACCGCCGCAAGAGTAACATGTTTGTCCGCGACCAGAAGCGTATCTGTTTCCTCCGCCGAACCCTCCATTGTCTCCAGATTGACAGTTGCGGGCAATATGGCCAACCTTTCCACATTTGTAGCATTCGGCGCCGGAACCAGCAGCGCCGCCACTGTTACCACCGGAATAGGAGCTACCCGAGGACTCATTGGTACATTCACGGCTTATGTGACCTGTTTGTCCGCATCGGTAACAGGATTTCTCCTTCGGAGGTGATTGACATTCTCGACCTGGAAGTGTGTTAACAAACAGAAGTATGAGTATATCATGAGAGCGCACTGCTCCATTCGCGGTGTCAACTTACTGAGGTGGCCATCTTCTGTATTGCGAGAGAAAGCATAAGGAAAAAATCAGGGTGAGAGTTAGCCTTTGATACATCTTACATACCAATCCGCACGTTATCCATTAGATGACGCACAAACACAAGGGAGCACGTTACGCCACATACGTCCACAATTGTAGCTAATTCACCATCAGCTACGTCAAGCCTCGACAACTTTCATGGTACAGTCACAGTGAAGGGGAGGGAGAACAGGATCAAGACAAGCGTGCCTTCTAAGCAATTGGGTGGCTTACCAAACTGGGTTGCCTCTCTTTGGGCAGTCCTTGGCCTAGATAGATTGAAAAACAGCATCAGAAGAGGTATTCAAGTGATATTGCTTGATCATAGCAAAGCTCATGTACCTGGTGACCAGATCCACCACCTAAAGGAAAGAGATGTCCGAGTTAGCGGTTCTGGGTGCATATAGATAGTGTGGTATGGTATGGAACGAACAATTGTAACAGGAGCGGTTGCCGCCTCCGAAACTTCCACTACCACCGTAAGAGTTTCCTCCGCCTTCCATTTTGATTCTTTGGGAAGAGGGGCCGAGATGATAGAGAAGAGTGAATTATGTAGATTCCAGGTCTAAGAGGACAACAAATTTTTATTGTTAGCAGCTAGTCGGAAAATCGCAGCGCTTTAAAGAAGTCATCAAAAAAAAAGGGACGAGGGGGTTAACAACAAAGCTAAGAAGCTAGTTGAGTGCAAGGACGGTTCGAGATAATGATTAGGGTGAGTTGTAGAGATATTGGGGAGGTTGTGAAAGAAACTCAATGAAAGCGATGAGTTGAAGGCCGGGGGATAGAGAAATGTGGAGATGTGGAGGAGGAAGAGGGGGAACAATCCAATTAGAAGAGAAGGACTGACTTTTCCTTCTCGAAGAGATATTCTAGGGAGCAGAGAATGAGGGCACTTGAGCAAGTACTTGAGTATTGGATTACTGTAAGTAAGGAAGTAAGGAAGTAAGTAAGGAAGGAAGAAACGAAGAAGTTGAGTTGGGTAGTTTGTTCGTCGAGGAGGGAAGGATGGAAGCTAGAATCTGGGAGGGAGAGCTGAAGTTGAAATAATTGAATTCGAATTTTGGCGTGGCCACCAAACTCAGAGATTTTTTTGTGTGTGTTGCTGGTATTTTTTTTTTTTTTTTTTTTTTTGTCGGAGAAGCTGTATTTACCAGATGGACAGGCAGCACCCCTACCTGCTGCTGTTAGGCAAGTACTTCCTACTTCTTATAGGTAAGCAACTACTAGGTATTAATTACATACTTAACATAGGTACCTAATATATTTATAGATACTACTACCACTCGAAGAGTATATTCATGTATTCGGGGTGCTTTTATCATGTCAGAATGTCTACGTAACAGGTACCTAGGTACTTACCTAGGTACTTGAATGCAAACTAGGTAGACTAACTCCTCCGTATACGTACTATATAAGCTTGGATGCTGGGGCTTGGCGCTGCTCTAAAACGAAAACTACTCTAAGTAGCCTAGGTAACTCACTTATTCCTCTTTTTGTCATAACAATTAATCTTAAATTACCTATTTTGGTAAAATAGGCAGACACACACTAACCAAGCTCTAGCTCTGGCCGATATCAACAACATCCATCCTCATCCATCCTCGTCCATCCATCCATCCATCATCACCATCATCATCACCACCACCACCGCCACCACCAACCACCACCGACCACCACTGCCGTCACCACCATCACCATCATATTCATAATAAAATAATAATTTAGTATCCACTAAAAAGCCACCCTCTCCATAGTTTCATCATCATCCGATCGACTATCGGCTACCTACCTACGATTTTATCCAAGTACTTAATAGGTTATTCGCATACGTATCTACCCCACGTGCCGTCAAACATCGCTTCATCCCAATTGTCGCGTACTCTGCACATACTCATCTATCATAATCGTTCCGATTATTTGTGCATTTCTCCTCTAGCCCGAGAGTATCATCAATTATCGGTCCATCCTGACAGCTTGGGCCTTGCTCCTTCCCTTTATATAAGGGATACATCTATCAAGCTTCTCTACTTCACGCTCTCGATAATCGGCATTATTGCTTCTACCAATCTCCCCATCACTACAATCATCATCATCACCACCATATCTCTCACCAATTAGTATTCGCAGCATCGCTGCAAGCAATGCTATCCCGCTGATCTCCACGCTATAGTCCAATATCCTCCCCTGGAACGGTTATGCAGCGGTGATGCAGTCCGTTATTGAGTTCTCTCCTCCGGAATAGATAACTGGGAAGCGAAAAGAACATCAACATCCATACCTCTTTTCCGTGAGGTAAGCAAATTAAACCTACACCCTAACGTATACATATACTTTCAATCGGTACGATCGGGCCAAATATAATGTTAATAATCTCCATAATAGATTCATCCCTCCCCTCCCGAATATGAATCATCACCAGTACTCCCAAATGCCCCCCCATGGGCCCTATATCCCACAACAAATGATGGGACCCCCACCACCGCCACCACCACCACCACCACCACCACCACCACATCATCACCATCACCATCATGCTCATCAACATCAAAATCAACATGCTCACCAACACCAACAACACCAACACCAGCCCTCTTATCCGCCACATCCTCAGCATGTTCTCCCGTACTCTCAACACCCGCCGCCTCACCCCTCCCAGGCACAGGACTACCGCCCGCCCCATTTCCACCAACCTAACCGCCCTTTGATAGTATCAACTCCGGCTTCCTATATCCCCCAATATCCTATCATTCCTCATCATATGCCGAATACCTTTTACCGCCCTTCACATCTACAACCAAACGTCCCGCCGTATTATCCCCCGCAGGAAATCCACCAACCCCCTGCTGATATCCCATCTCCTGCCTCCCTCCCCCGAGAACCTGTCGTTTCGAACCCAGCCTCGAGCCCCGCTCAGTCTACTAAGCCGATAGAAGAGTCGTGCGAGACGAAATATGGAACGCCCACGTCTCCTTCACCAATACTATATTCTCCTATGGTCCCAATCGTCGTACCGCTACAGGAAGGTCATGAACTTAACCCTTTGGTAATTCCAGCCCCCCCCCCCCCCCAATCCATTATATAGCGTGAAATCTTAATGTATCTTGTTTGGTCTTGTAGCGGCTCCCTTGGTTTTCAGCTCCCAACAAACCGTTCCCTTTTAGGAAGCCTAAAACTCTCAAAACCAAGGATACTGTTCCTCAAAAAACCACTCCTCCGGATCCCAATGGCCTCTTGGCCACTAGGCCTAGTACGTCGGATTCTCCGTTAGGGAATATGATCTCTCTTACGACTGAAACAAAAGACAATTTTTTTGCAGAGTTGGAATCCGATGAACAGAACACGGTCATTGGATCAGATATTGCTACCTCACTTTCCACGGATAGAGCTTTGAAATTGGCGAATACCTCAGCATCCCCAGTTCCAACAATTCCGGTCGTTCCCTTCATCCCAGCTATCCACAAGCCACGGAAAAGCGCCGATGCTACACCCGTACCCAGTGACTTGGAAAGAGCCCAAGGGTTTGCCAGAGAGACTGAAGCGCTCGAAGATGTTAAGGAAAACGGTGCACAAACGGCAACGGAAGATCAACCCCCGCCACCACCCCCGCCTAAATCCTGGGCAGATCTTGTCCGTTCTAAAGCTGCCAAAATATCTACTACTCCCAACCCCTCTGTTTTTCCCAGCACAAACGGTTTATCTATTGCATCTGGGAATCTTGGGGACACTCAGGCGCGTACACTCGCCGAGGTTTTACAAACATTCGATATAACTCAGCTAAGGGGCTCCGGTTCAGGATGGAAGGTACCTTTGATGGAACCCCGTGGGTTAATAAACACTGGTAATATGTGTTTTATGAACTCGGTAAATCAATCATCGTATCCCAAAACTTTCTATGGAGTTTAGAACTAATACTTATTCTGCCGCTTAATTTTATTAGATATTACAAGCATTATTGTTCTGTGGGCCTTTCTTCTTGTTTCTCGATGCAGTCAGCAGAAAGGTCGCGCACAATTTCAAAAATGAAACACCTCTGATTGATGCTATGTACGTCTGTTTGTCCTCCATCTTACGGTCTCCCCACATCAGGCAGCTAATTATGCCAATATATAGGATCATGTTTATGCGCGAGTTCCGACGAGTTACTCCAGGCTCCCTTTTGTCAAGTGACAGTCCCATCTCGGATATGACGTTATCCGGAGACCCGTTTGTCCCTGAATATGTTTACGAAGCGGTCAAGGGCCTAAAGCGGTTTAGTTCCATGAGGGTAAGTCGTTTTTTCCACCTTCTAAATGTATTTTTTTTCTAATGATTTTTCAGCGTGGCCATCAACAAGACGCGGAAGAGTTTCTCAATTTCTTTCTTGATGTTCTGCACGAGGAGTGTGTCGCAGCAATAAAATCTGGAGAGGGATCGAAGCAAGGAAGTGCTGCTCATCCTAATCATACAGCCACCCCATCCCAAGAAGATGACTCGGGCTGGTTAGAAGTCGGCCACAAGCAAAAAACAACTATTACGCGCAACATTGGGCATATTAGTGGAATATCCCCCGTCACAAAGATTTTCGGAGGGCAAATGAGAAACGAATTGAGAATCTCTGGCCAACGAAGCAGCGTGATGCGGGAGCCGTATCAATCCCTACAGCTTGACATACAGAATAGCAACATTCACAGCATCGTTGACGCTCTTCGTCAAATTAGTATTCCGGAACAGCTTCAAGGTGGTGACTTCAAATCTGCTCGCGGGGCAAGTGCATCCGCGACCAAGCAGGCATTCATCGATAGCCTTCCACCAGTACTAATTCTCCACCTTAAGCGTTTCCAATATAACAATACAGGCGGAACGCAGAAAATTTGGAAGAGCATAGGCTATCCTCTCGATCTCGAAATACCTAGCGAAGCTCTTAGCCCCACCCGTAGGACATCTGCCCAACCAGCTCGATACAAGCTTACCAGCGTCGTTTACCACCACGGAAAGAGTGCCACGAACGGACACTACACGGTTGACGTGAAAAGACAGGATGGTTGGATCCGTATAGATGATACAGTCGTCAAGAGAATCACCGGAAATGATGTAGTTGTGCATGATGGCCTTTACAATTTAGAATCTCGCAAGAGAGTTGTCAGCGAAGAGAATGGCTGGAAGGAAGTTAACTTTGCGACAAAAGTCAGTGGCAAGGCCATGACCGCAACCAACAATTCTTCAAGGGATGACAAGGTAGCATATCTGTTGTTCTACGAATTGCAGTGAAGAAGGGTTGACATCCCTAATCTTTCTTTTTCTCTTCTCCCCTTCTCCTCCCATGGAAAGTGCCGTGTGTCCTACCACATATTGCGTCTAACCACAACATCTGGCATTCTTCACAGTACTTATTTGTCTCCAACTTCCGGATTGGGGCTTATTAATTACATTACTCTTCTTTGCATATATATCCTCTAAATATGACCCTCTCCCCAAAAGTTCTGGCTTTTCTGGCATAGCGGGTAGCTGTACATGTATTTGTTGGCTTGTCATAACCATTCTTCGTTACAATCATCGTCCCAAAACCCCAACCCCCCTTCTCTCTCCCCCTCCATCACTTTACTTTTTTTTTTTTTTTTTTTTTTGAAAAACGGGTTTGCTGCATAGGGCCATCGCAGCCTCGTAACCAACTGTGGGGCCATCGGTGCTCTACCTTTTATGGTGGGCTACCAAAATTGTGGATATATCTAAAGAGAAAGAAAAGAAAACCAGGGTTCTGTGAAATTGCCAAGTAGCCATCGTATAGTCCCTTTTTGTTCGCGGCTTTCCCTCGCAACCGTGCAATTTGTTTTTATCGTTTTGGGTTTGGCTAGGCAGGAGTAAAAATCGAACCCCTTCCGTGTATCATATAATTCATGACTGGGCCCAAGCCTCTGGCTAAGAATATTGTTTTAAGGGCGGTTATTGGAAGACCATACCGCGCATCTGTAATAAAAATTGGCAAGCTAAAAGCTGTACGCAGAGCCAGCGTGCAAGTTTAGTTATAGCATGTAGACAAAGCTATCAGATTATCCCTTATTTTCTGAGACCCTTTTTCCTTACCCCTCCCAATATTCCTGGCGTTTGGCGATCACCGTGAAAGTTTACTTGTGATGAAAGCTAAAGCACGGGGATATGCTGCTTGGACAAGACTATCGAGGTCATCTTCCGGAATGCCCTCGATGACTCCATATTTCAGTTTGAGCTTCCTAGCCTGGAAGGCATCATGAGTCATGGGAGCATAGACCCTCGAGTGCTGCCACCAATTAATCAACCTATCGACTATCGAATACGGGTGCAGGCAGCAGGTATTCTTACCTTATGGTACCAATAGCCAATATTCTCGTCACGAGTAGCATTAACAGCACAGAGCGGCATCCTAGATATAAAGCTTACGCATGCGACCACACGGTTCACGCAGTCTGATTACCGGGATTCCACGTTAATTAAGGGGTATAATAGTAGGATGAGGGTTAAGGGACGAGAACATACCTCTTAGACTGATCAAATTTAAGACATTCCTATAGCCCTCTCCGATGCCTATAAACACAATCTTATCTGCGTCGGAAAGACTACGGTGCAATTAGTCTCGGTTTATTTGAGCTGAACGTAATACCGGATACGTACTCGATATAATTGTCCCAGAGCTGAAGAATTAATGTATTTGTATCGTCGTTTACACCACTGTTTCCAACTCTTTGGCTGTCTTCCTATAAGATGAAAGTGTTAAAATATATTCTTCGTGAGCTAGCCAACATGTTATTGGGATTTACTTCATCATCCGGGGTCACATATTTGGGAACATTGACGTCAATCACCCCGAAAGTTTCATTAACCGCCCATTCGATAAAGACTTTTGCCGAGTCCATCTACTGAAAGTGTTACAAATACTACCATTTGATGGGGGTTAAATTACGAGGCGGCTTACCACAAAGGAATTATGCGTCTGAATGGTGTCATTCCCGGGTTCTGGTACCCCGAGAAGATCGGCACTGTTGAATCGTTCAGCAAAACTGCGCAAATAAGAGTGAGGCGGGCCCGTTTACTTACGAATCATGAACAATTATAATCAAGGTATCCGCTTTGTCGTAATTTGGGCTGAGTTTACTTAATTAATGGAGTAAACGAATCACTGGAACTCAAGTGAACTTACGTCGCGAGAACCTGGTCCTCGAACGTGGGAGAAGCTAGCTGGCTTGGGCGTACTACAAGTAGAGGCGCGATTCCGTGGGTATCAAACAACGCTCGGGCTTGATATTGGCGGATTATGTCTACAGATGGTGGAATTTTTTGGGTAAGCCTAGCCGAAGCCTCTCACGTTAAACCTTTCTACCCGACAGCGAAAGGTCCTTACCGTGAAGCCTTCTCGCCTTGATTTTATTCGCAGAGAGGCGGTCTAGCCTTATCAGCCATACCGGCCACACAGTTTGGGAGCTTCCAAAATACACCAAAAAAAAAGGAGATGAAAGGATACATACTATTTATGGATTTATACTCCATGCATTTCCAGTATTGGGACTGCTGGATGATAACTTGGTTGACAACTTCCACCACCTTGGGGCTCGCGTGGACGTCGTGTAGTGGCTCAGGCGGTTCTCCCATCAAAGTTCTCGCAACAGCAAGTGCGGAATTTGATATTGAATTAAGATTGTAGCCGCCCTGTAACATCGTTGTTAGTTTCGAGGGAATAGAGATGGGCAGCCGAGTTGGAAATCGGATTACTTCGAGGCACACAGCAACCCTTCCATTTGCTAGGGACATGAGCATGTGTGTCATATGCGCATAACCCGCGGGCGTCACAAAACATTCTCCGATTTTATCCCCAGCGGCAGCATCAAACCCAGCGGAAACTGGAGAGACATTAGAATGAAAAAAATAGGAGAAGGTAGAGGTCAAATGGCTTACTAATGACGAGGTCCGGTTGGTATTCATAAGCTATCGGCATTACCACACGCTGAAATGCGTAAATATAGTCGGCATCGCGAATTCCACCAGTGGCCCAAGGGATATTGACATTGCTATTGTGTTCTTTCATTAGTATCATAAAACCTCGGCTTATTTTTGTGAATATATCGTTGGGAACATACTAACCAAGGCCACCACCTTCGCCGCAATATGTGAGATCCCCATCAGGGTAGGGGGGGTAGAACGTCCCACCTTCAAACCGGTGAAGCGAAACGTACAAGACAGAGTCGTCTTCATAAAATGCGGTTTGCGTACCATTGCCTAAAATCGGAGCCGTTTCAGTCACGGTACACAGTATCTTATAGCCTTCATGGGGGCATGTTTACCATGGTGGACGTCCCTAGGGTTTAGGTTTCGTGAGCGCGAAGAATTCACTTGTCATTTAAGATGCACATACCAATCCAGAATCATTATCTTCTCGCACTCGGGGTTTCCCTGCCGAATGACCCTTGCTGCAACGGCGACATTATTAAAAAGGCAAAATCCCATGGATTTGTGTGGCTCAGCATGATGGCCTGGAGGCCGGACAACAGCAATAGCATTTTTGACCTGACCACTCCATACAGCTTTGCAGGTTTCAATAGAGCCTCCACAGGACAATTTAGCACATGTAAAAGACTGGTTGTTGTAGAACACAGAGTCGCCGGTGAGGGTTAGGTTAAGCAGAGAGGCTTTATCGAGGTCTGAAGCGAGATTTGTTTAGACCCCATAGGGATATCGACTGGGGACCCTGACTCACCAGGAAGGGTTGTGAGAAACCGCCAATGATCGGAGGTGTGGACAAGAAGGGCCTCGTCTTCCGTAACCTCCCTTGCTCTTATCCGTACCATTAGACCATCTTCATTTTCTAGTTCGGAACCACCTTCCGGTAGTTTCGTCAAACCGGCCGACGCGAGAGCCTGGTATATCACGTGTATACGGCGGGGGTCTTCAGGATGAACATCTTCTTCATCAAGGGTTGCGTGGAATCTCATTCGAACATCGTAGCAAAGCCCGGTGCGTAGAGAAGAGAGCGGTAGGGCTCGGGTATAGCTATCCGTTGAAACTTTAGGACGAATAGCATTGGCCCGCCGCTGGAGGAAGAGTTCAGGAGTAAGCTTTGCATAACCTGATCGCGGACGGATTTTTAGATGGTCAATACGGTTCGACAAGACGTGACCGGTGTCGGGGAGTATATCGGTGGGGTGTTGGAGAGCAAGCGATGATGTTTGAAGCTCATCTTCCAGATGACGGTTTGACGCAGTGGTCATATGGGTACTAGTAGCATGTTGAGGGGTCAGGGGGGGGGCATCATGCATTTGTGCGTCGTCAACAAGAGCGGGAGCCATAGCAGGGGATGAGAAGAAGAAGAAGAGACGCGTGGATATATTGATTATTGATTAAAAACCCTAAGGAGGTACCTAAGCTACGTAGGTAAGCTTAAGCAAGTCTGGAGTTGCGTTGCAATATCCTATATATTTCCTAAAAGGGAATGTGAATGTATAGTGGTGCTGAGTCATCAAACGAATAAGACATTGTAAGATGTACAGAGGAAGTAGTAGGTAACTACTAGGGTCTGGCTAAGCGAGAGCTGTGTATGGATATACTCTGCCGATCGACCAGTTTGTCTCGATTGGCTCCTGCCATCCGATCCCCGGCCAAGGTGGAAGAAAGTGGGGGAAGACAACCCAACAAACGACGTCAGTTCGCATTCCCTGCTTTTTCTACGGGAAATCTTGAAAGACATCAAGTCGGGAAAGGCCAGTCCCCCAAAAAAAGGTACAGCCATGCGAGAAGACGTCACCACAAGAATTTAAAACCTTGAATCGAACCCAATCGAAGGACCTGAATGAAAGTCGGCTCTCCAACAGAACAGAAAACGATCAATACTTGCACTTGTTGACAGGTCAGTGCAGTGGTAGGTAAGTAAGTAAGCCTAGGTAGGTACCTACTTAGGAGGTATGTAGTAAGTTAAAACAAGTCAGTAAAAGAAGTATGTACCTACAGGTACCTACCATCACGTTTGCCCCTTTCCCTTCCCTTCTCTCCCCTTCCCATCCTTCCTTTCCTTCCTTCCTTCCCCTCCTCTCTCCCCTCTCTTTTTGATATACTTTTATAAGTGCCTAAGTACCTATAAGTAAGAGGTACTTACATATAGTATTCACTCGTATATACTTGTGTACCTAAAGGTACTTAAGTACTTACTTACGTCTTATTTACTTATATATAAAAAAAGATCATCATCCCCCCCATCGCCATTATTATCATCATCACCACGACCTCCACAACAACAACAAGAACAACAACAACAACAACAACCCAACATCATCACCGCTTTTGCCAGATCCCATATTAAAAAAAAAAATACAAAAATAAAAAAATATATGAAATAGAAAAAAATATATATTCAAATATAAGAACTTAATTTTCTATAAATTCCAATTGACAGGGAATCGACATATTCTCATAAAAAAAAAAAAGAAGAAGAAAACGATATAAAAAGCAGAAAGAAGTGTGACAAATCAAAGAGTGGGTGCGTGTCCAATAAATACCTCTTCCTCGGTAGCTTCCACGCACGGAATGATGGACCTCGAGCTAATCCGCAAGCAAGATTCAAGCATAGGAAACCTGTTTAGCCTGTGCACTGCACTGCACTGCACTGCACTGCACTTTGCCAACTAGCGGGGGATCGACGATCACTGGCAATCAAGGAACTGAGCTTGAAACTCGAAATCGAAATCGAACCCGAACAACCTCCCATTCATCCATCCAGGATTCGAAGCCAGCCTTCCCACCCCCCCAGTGCAGCAGCCTCACCGTTTCCCTCGAGCCCTCCCCCAGATCATCTGTCTGCCTGGTGCCCCTTCCGAGATCCCCAACCTCCTCATCCTTCCAAGGCACGGCTGCCGACCAAATACTCAAAGTACCCAACCAGATATAAGTACTTAGGTACTTTACTTAAGTACTTACTTACTTACCTGCTTCCTGCTTTTCCTACTAGGTATCTGTCTACCGGGTGTGGGGTTCCCCTCTCTCCCCGGTGTGTCTACCCATTTGCTCCCACTCCCCTAATCGTGTCTGGGTGCGTGAGTGCGTGTGCGTGTGCTCTGCGTGTGTGTGTGTGTGCGTGTGTGTGTGTGTGTGTGTGTGTGTGTGTGCATGTGTGAGCGTGTGCGTGTGTGTGTGTGCATGTATGTCTCCTTGTGGTACAATTATCTGCCCCCAAACAATTTAAGTCGTAGTCGTGGATGACGGGGGTGCTACATCCATATCATACATCCCATCCCACCCCATACAACCGAGCGAGACACCAGATATCCCACATTCAAGATCCCATTTCTTCCAAGGAAATCATCGTTCCATCCGCCACTCCCAATCGATTGGATCTAACTCCTAATAACACTCTCAATCCGTGATGTTTCGAAACAGGTATGTCTCCAGCCATCCTCTCAAGATTCCTAACCTGGCTCGGTCCAGCATTTTTCTTTTTCCGTTCCTTGATTTTCTTGTATTCCGTCAGATCGTTCGTCCACCCGCCCCCTCTTCCTCAATCCCTCCCATTCGTTTCCTCCGTCCCATTCGGACGAAAGAACTACCCCTGAAGTTATCGCTTCCGTCCTCTGCTTGGCCGAGGGAAGGGAGGAACACCGTCTTCTAAACCCCGGTTGGCCACCCGAAGCCAGATATTTCTCATTACAAAAAGTATCTACTTATCTACATACTAACTCTTGCTACTCGTACCACTACTACAGACAATCCTCGCAAAAGCCTCCAGATGAGCTTTTCGAAAAATTTCGCCTCTCTTTCCCAGATGTCACAAGTACGGCCGGCGAGCAGCTCCAGTCTACTGCCAATGGAATCCATGAACTAGATATGAACCCCGCTAGGTTAGTCCAAATCAGATATAATAATTCATGACCATGGACTTGGAGCTCCATATGCCAAAACGAAGAGGGGAAGGAGGAAAAGGAAGAGGAACAAGACTTTAACGCTCTACACGTGCTAACTTGCATCCCCAATCGTTGTTGATATATGCAGATTCGGGCACGAAGATCTTGATCCTACACCTCGTGCGGCGGCAGAGCCGTTTCGATTCACGCCGTCCTTGCTCGATCCCACTTCTGCTGCTTTCGCTGCTTTCGCGAACCAACCGCCAGGCTATTACACACCAACACCAGGGAACCCACAGCCGCCTCCGTTCTCAGAACCCAATGTGGACCTCCAAACACCCAGTATAGGCATAGGTATCGGACCCCCAATCACCGCTGCTCCAAATGCGACTCTCCTAAACACGACGCAAGCATATCCTACCCATGCAATTAACCCACAACAATTCCATAACTACCACCCATTTTTAGCCCCATCTCTCCATCAAGACTATGCACTTCACAATTTCGATGCCCCGGCATCGCCGAAAGGCAGTCCGATGGAGATATCAGGTCGTGAAGATGAAATAAATGAGTTTAAACAAGCATTCAATGTCCCACAAGTGCTGGAAAGCAGGCAAGGCGTTTCACATCCTAGGGCCGAACAGTAAGCTACATCTAAAGCCGTTCTGAGGTTGAGATATAACAGCTAATTCGTCTAGATTCCGGTTTCACGTGACATTGAATGCCCCAACTGCAATGATCCGGCATCACGATGAGATTCCCGTCACTTACTTGAACAAAGGCCAAGCCTATACAATTAGCATAATTGATACCTCCCCATCCCCCCCTGTAAACGGTGGTGTCCGATACCGTACATTCATCAGAATATCCTTCCAAGATGAAGGTCAGAGGCAAAGAGCCGCTACTTGCTGGCAGCTTTGGAAGGAAGGAAGAGGTACCAACGAAGCACACCAACGAGGCGGGAAGTTACAGGCTGTAGAGTATGTCAACACGCCAATGAATGGAGAAGACGAAAAGAAACGCGGCCGCATGGAAATTGACACCGCTTCTTTTGACGGGTTCTCTGTTTTGTGGACTCCTGCTCTGGGTGCATTTGAAACCGTGGTCTCCGTTCGTTTCAACTTTCTCTCTACCGACTTTAGCCATTCCAAAGGTGTCAAAGGTATACCTGTTCGTCTATGCGCAAAAACCGAAATATTGACCTCCGATCCTCCTCCCCAGACTTCGAACGGACAGGCGGAGGTCTGTTATTGCAAGGTCAAGCTCTTTCGCGACCATGGAGCGGAGCGTAAGCTAGCAAACGACATACTTCATGTCAAAAAGACAATGGATAAACTTAAGCAGCAAGCGGATGCCTCAGAAGAGTCTGGTAGTAGTAAGAAGCGAAAGGATTCTATGGCAAGTAACAAATCATCGAACCTAGAAAGCGGGAAACCCGGCAAAGCGGCCAAGCACAAGCGAACCTGGTCCATATCATCTGCGAGCTCCACCGGCGGGAACAAGGTTAATGATGACGATATTAACCAGAAAATCAATGCCTTGCAAGATATGTTCACAAGCACGCGCCCCGTTAGTGTTTTATATTTAAGGGGCGAAGAGCAGGATGACCCGGACCTGTACCCCGTCCATCTTCCAGGCGAATCTCATGACAGCCTGGACGAAAATTGGATGAGGCGGCCATCGGCAGCCAGCATGATGAGTAGTGCCAGCGCCTCGTCTTTTGTTTCTCCAAGTCCAAGTTCAGCATCGCTTCCAAGTCACCACGATTTCCAGGCTGGGGACCAGACCAGCCCCGAAAATTTCCGTTCCGTTAGCCAACGTTTTGCACCTAATGAAATAACAAGAGTAAAAACAAGCAATGATGCGGGTATACTCGCCGGTTGGATAGAAGCTATAGGCATCGACCCAAGTTACGTTCCACCGGCTGACCGCCAAACGAAACCTAGTAAGTATTTCCCCTTGTATCTCATCCTGCATCATTGGCTAATGGGCAACAGTCATGTGCGTTTATGTCCTCAATACCATGGCATCATCCGGAGCAGACCAAAACTATTATAAGGCGGTATATCTCCGCGAACGATCGGAAACCTGTTTAACCAACCAAATCGCCATGAAGTGTGGGCTAGACCCCACTCACATTAGACGGGTAATCCGGATCGATGCTCGTGGCCTTCACAGCATAGTTGATGACGATGTAGTCCGAGAAATGAAAGAAGGGCAAGATATGAAAGTCCAATTTCTTGATATTAGTAATGCTATGCTTTCTCCTCCACAGACGGAGTGGGCTCCAGAAATGAATGAGGAATCGAAAGATCTATTTGATAAAGGATGGGAAATGCGACTTTGTTTCTAGCTTCCTCTGTATTCATCCATCCATGCCTCTTCCCTGCCCCCTTCATTTTCTTCCTTCTCGTAGCATATTCTGTACCATTTTGTCATATAATTTTACCCTGTTCCTAATTTTTGGGAAGCTATCAGCGATTTAATAATCTCCTTTCCTCCCTTCCTTTTGCCTTCCTTGTACCGTTGCAATCTCCGAGGCCCCATTTACATCCTCCCATACGCCCCAACTGCATTTTATTGGCGATTTATGAAATTAACCTGGATGTGCTAGCGCTTCCGTTTATATATTGGACACTAATAAAAGCGCAACTCTCTAGTTTTTTCGGTTATTTTATCGTAGTGCTTGTGAGGTGGTTTACCTAGGGCTTATTCTACCCACAGATTCAATGGCCGATACCTTGCAAGGTAGTCCCACAAAGACATCAGGCACACCATGCTAGAACCCCCTGCCAAAACTTAAACCTAAGGGAAAAGATTGGAGACCCCTTGTGGCGTAAGTAAAGCTGAATTCTCTAAGCTGGGAACATGGAACTACCGACTACCAGGCATAATACATTTATTCCGAATTCTCAAAATCAAGACATGTCTTTCCGCGCGCCAGATCATTGAAATCTAGATGGGAAGCTCTTTTTCTAAACATAGCTTTCGAACAGTCTATGAGGATGTAAATAGGAGACTCTCCAGTACAAACCCTCCTTTGGCCTGGTCCAAATCGTGGGCATGAGCTAATCTTCCGGAGTCCTAATAGCTTACACCACTCATTTATATATAATAGCAAACGAATCCACCCACTGATTCAGTCAGAACAAGTATCATTAGTAAATTAAACCCAAATAGAAGGAGAGGGGGAAATGACTTACCTGCCCAACGGTACCAGATACTCCTGCAATTCTATAGCCCCTAGGAGGGATCATTGTATATCTATGATTCGTAAGCACTTGCTGACCACGCAAAGATACCGTTGGCAGCTTTGTACATACGGCGAGCCACCATTATAGTTACCAAAAAAGGGTGAACGGCGGCCAAGGGTAGTAAGAATATCACAACCGTCCACCCAAAACCCGCTTCTGACAGAGAACCCTAGGAGAGACTCCCCCTTCCTCGTATCTAAAAGGTATTCAGAGCACGACCCCCCTCGGTTTCCGAATATCGATGAGGAGCTATCGTCGAAAATAAACTCAATACCGTTCAGACTAAAATCCGTGTTAATTAGAGGTACACTGGTGTTGGATAAATAAGCTTACGCTGATCCAGAATAAACACGAATTCCGTTTAAAACTCTGTTCGTTCCGATTGGTAGAATCGCTTCACTAGGAGACCCTCCACCCAGACCTAACCTCATGCTCTGGAAAGCCCTCTCCCCCCCGCGGAGCTTAATGAAACTTTGTGCGGTTTCCAGGAAGTCATCGATGTCCAATTTTCCGTGACCGATGGTGAATATGCTGAGCTTGATCTTCCTAGATTTTTCAGTTGGGGGAATTTTAGACAGAATATCAGATACTGTGACGTTGAAATTACGTTCGACTTTCGGGAACACTTCGCTAATTAATTATCAGCAGATATACGCTCCCCACAAGGCTTAACCAGCATACTAGTAGTTTTGCAATATATCGTTGACATATATTTCAATCCAGGCGACCCCAGTCGAAGAAACTACGACAGCGCCAACCCCTACTCCATATACTTGAGGGTTGTCGCCTTCGAATAGGGAAGGGGGGTCAGAGGTCGATCTGAAACATGGATGAAATCTGAATCTCAATATATCTAGTCGGTGCCAATGACATTCATCTTTAGGCAAACAAAGCCTTTGTTTGTCCATTAGCTTTGTATATGAAATAGGGGATCTTATTTGATACATACCGTAGTCCAGGAGACTTGGTTCTTGTAGAATATGATTCCTTTGATATTAAGGGCTTAGATTTCTTTATACATTAGGAGAACAGGAGGAATGATCATACCCTCGTAACAAATGATCTATTAAACCTGACGTAGTCTCGGACCTATAGATGACGAATGTGAGTGACGGCCCCTTCCTCTGAAATCGGTGGAATTTTGAACCAACCATAATACCAGATGGTTGGTGAGGACATCCGAAAGCATGCCCAACTTCGTGAAGAAAGGCACCAATACCAATGCAACATGCTTCCCTATTTTCTGTTAGGCGGGGACCTTCGATGACAAGCGCCAAAAAAAAAACCCCCCTTACCAATACGAGCCAGATTGACCTGCGTCATTTGCAATGATTCTAGTATCCGTCCTCGTGCAGTCAGTTAACTTAGACAGTTAGTTTATATGCCCCTCTACCCCATTCGAGTGAGCGGGTAACTTACTGATGGGACAACATCCTCGATGAATTTTGGCCAGCTGTGTAGTGAATGGCTGCCAAATATCCCCATTTGGATGAAGCCAGACCCGCCGCCAAGTGCAGCATGGCCAGTAATGACCTGTGATGCAGGGTCCCATTTCGAATCGAGTATTAGAACAGCAACATGTTTCCTATCATAGACTGATTTAGGCGAGAAGTGCTTTTCTACAGTTTTGTAAGCAACATTCCACAACTCTCCTGTCCTTTTCCCCTTCGAATTTTGCTGCGCGATATCAAGATCTCTAATTTCGGCAACAGTCCTTTCTGACCGGAGGACGTGGACCTTGGGCACCATCCTAGACATCCTATCACGATGAGAAATTGATTCTGCAGCCCATGTCTCCTCAAATCTGAACGTTCGCCGCCCGAATTTGTTTCTTGCCATCTCTTCTGCGGTATATGCCTGCCACAGATATGCTGCCATACGAAATTTTTTGATAGCAGTATCCAACCCGTTGCCTTGGGTTTTAATTTTGTCCGGGGGGGAATCAAACGTAGCCGGTGAATCACTTCCAAGGAGTATTACCAAGTGAAGCGGCGGAGCAGCCAGCGGCATCATGTGGATAGTTATATGCGATATGGATTGAAGCGTCTCCCTTCCAGACGTATACTCGAACTGCAATTTGTTGGGACCAGGCTCGAGGTATACTAGGGCACGAAAGAACCCATCGGATACAGGCCAAGACGTAGGTGGGAAATTCCCGTGATGATGATGAACGACAATTATTCCGTCCTGTGGCCGATCGGGTGAGCCGCATTGACCAAATACCAACAGAATGGAGGCGAAGGCCCACGAGCCATCACTGATAGAAATTATCCGGGGTGCGTTCGGTGATATGGGTTGGACCGGTTGTGTCATCGGGATGTGTGGATTGATCTAGTCAACAGCCAAAAAAAGGGGGATCAGGAAGCGATACCTCGATAGAGAGCTAGAAGATCCGTATTTAGATACATACGTATGTAGATTGACGTCTCAACACCGGAGACCCTATATCTTCGCCAGGTGGTTCCTCCAAGTTCGGTTTTGGGGGGACTGGGGGGACTGGGGGGACAAACTGCTGTGACGATATCGACGCCCGCGCGGAATCATTCCAAGTGGTGCTAGCCGATATAATGGACGGCGAAGAACCATTCGGTGTTATAGTTAGTCCGGTTGCAAGACTATCGGATCCCTCTTGATGAGATTCTGACGCACAAGCAACGGGTTGTGCCAAAGGTATTTCTGAAGCGATGTTTAAACTCTGGCGGGACCGCCGCCGAAGGTTTGTAAGTTTGAGCTTGCTTAACATAGTGGCAGGACTTTTCCAGATTTGCTCCCAGGAGACGGTGCTTGCGTCAACGAAGGTGCCGAATGAGAAAGTGTATCCGAAGGTTATGTAGCGTTTCTATAACGGATAGAATGTAGTTACATTGATCAAGATGGAGAACTGTGAGTGGCAAGAGTCCAATTCATGGAGGAAATGCACTTGCTTGGTTATGTCAACAAATCTCACACTGACCTAGCCTAAGCCATGGCATGGCTGCAGTTCCTTGGTCCGGTAGAACTACCTATCCAACGCAGCCATCACACAAACCAAGGAAAACGAGAAGGAGAAGGAGAGAGGGGGTGGGGGGGGGGGGGTTACTATGTAAGGTACTATGTAAGGAGTGAGGAACGGTGGTGGTGGTGATGGGGTTAGGAGGAGGAGCTAGGAGTTTGATGTTTGTCGTCATGGATAGGTGCGTGGTGAATGACGTCGAGCTGCATAACACTGACCTGCAGCGTTCAAACCCGGGTTGTGAATGGCCTTTAGCTTTGTAGCTGCTCAAGTACCTAATGTGCTTACCTAAGCCAATATACATATTAAGTAAGTAGGTAAGTATAGGTAAGTACTTAAGTAGTTAGCACTTAAATTAGATAAAATTAAATTAAATTTAACCAGCCACTAGTCTCGGGGCCAGACGCCAGCGTGCTGTGTATCCTACGGTCGATCTAGACGCGACAGTCCGAGCATCGCATCTTGCTCAGGATGTCATGTTAGCAGGGTGCACATGATGGTGAAGTCGGCCGCCGGGTCCCTAACAGTATTAGATGGTTCTCGGCCGTCCATGCAAATCTGTTGCCCGTGGACTCCGCGGCGAAACTTAAAACCCACCACACCTCAACACAATCACAACAACATAGCCACGAGAGAAACGACCAATCACAGTGCAAACTAATAGTTAACATTTGATTTGTGTGAACTCTCTTGATCTTGGTCTATCGCCAGGATCCTTGGAAGCCATGCAACTCGGGGTGCTAAACCCGCGGAACCGTTATAGGGGGGGCCTGCCGCGTTCCTGAATTTCGGTCATCGGAACTCCGGGTAACGAAATGTACCCGCAGAAAGCATATAAAATGGCTTGGTATACGTACCAGCCCCGAGCATTGATACATGCGTTAGTTAACAATATATACCTCCTAGCTAAATACGCCCGCCTATCTAGGTACTTTCATAAAAATACCTATACATTGGAAAAAAACGATTCCCAAGTAGTTGAAAGCCGTCAGCAATGGATCATCACCCTCCTCCTCCTCCTCCTCCTCTTCCTGGTACTGCAAAAGACAACGAAAAATTACAATTCGACAATATCAATGAAGACCCTAATCTTGCCGTGACTGGTGATGACGGTCTAATCCAACATGAGGAAGATCAAGTTCTCGAGCTTGCCCGAAAATTTACTATTAGATCTATCCAAGGTTCCCATGAATCACCGTTCACTGCACCCCCAGATGGACCCCTAGACCCTAAGAGCCCCAATTTCAAGGCCAGAGAATGGGCCAGGGCGTTCTACAATGTTAGGTACAAGTCAGACACTGGCGTTCCTCCTAGGGTTGCCGGTTTGGCATTTAAGAATCTAAATGTTTGGGGGACGGGATCAGTAACAGATTACCAGTCGAGCGTCGGAAACGCTATATTCAAGCTTCCGTCCCTACTCGGCTATGGCCAAAATAAAATCGACATTCTTCAGGATATGAATGGCCTTTTGCTTCCAGGTGAAATGCTTTGCGTGTACGTACTACAACCTTGGATATACAAGAAACAACAACTAACAAAGATGACCAAAACATAGCCTCGGCCCACCAGGATCTGGGTGCTCTACATTGCTTAAGACGATAGCCGGGGATACACATGGCCTCAAAATTAGTCCAGGGTCACTGATAAACTATCAAGGGATCACTCCCCAGAAGATGACAACGGCATTTAAGGGCGAGGCTATCTACACGGCTGAGGTTGACGCACATTACCCTCAGTTGTCTGTAGGCGATACTCTCTACTTTGCCGCTCTAGCTCGTGCTCCAAGCACAATTCCTGGTGGCGTTGATCGCAGTGTATATGCGACACACCTGCGGGATGTCATCATGGCGATGTTTGGAATCAGCCACACTATCAACACTCGGGTCGGTAATGATTTCGTCAGGGGTGTAAGTGGGGGTGAGAGGAAAAGAGTCACGATTGCCGAGGCGAGTCTAAGTTACGCTCCTTTGCAATGCTGGGACAACAGCACAAGAGGCTTGGATTCGGCCAATGCTGTAGAATTTTGCAAAACGCTGAGGACCCAAAGTGACGTATTCGGGTCAACAGCTTGCGTGGCTATCTACCAATCCCCACAGGCGGCTTACGAAGTGAGAGAACCCTACCTCCTAAGACCGACACCTGGATACTAACGCCTTCCACTCAAATTAGTTTTTTGATAAAGTCACAGTTCTTTATGAAGGCAGGCAAATTTATTTTGGGAAAGCCACAGACGCAAGAGCGTACTTCGTTAATCTTGGTTTTGATTGCCCAGAATCGCAGACGACACCTGACTTCCTAACCTCTATGACCAGCTCTACCGAAAGGTTGATCCGGCCAGGTTTTGAGGCAACTGCCCCACGGACATCTGATGACTTTGTGAGACGCTGGAGAGAGAGCATGGATTATCAACGCCTAGTCCAAGAGATAGATGACTATCACGACGAATATCCTTTCGACGGTGAACATCTCCAGAAATTTTCCGGGTCAAGAAAGGCAGAAAAATCTAACAACCAACGCGAAAATTCGCCGTATACCCTATCATACATATCGCAGGTCAAACTTTGTAATTGGAGAGAGTTACGGAAACTGAAGAACGACCCATCTATCCCAATCGCAATGCTAGTCACAAATATCTTTGAAGCCTTGATCATTGCTAGTATATTCATAAACTTGCCCCAAACGACGACTTCGCTTTACCCTCGGGGTGTTGTGCTATTCATGATGATCCTTTTAAGTAAGCTTATACCACCTCTTCTTTTCTAATTTGGGATGACCAAACAACTAACAAAGACTAGATGCATTCTCTTCTCTAATCGAGATCATTTCATTATACGCCAAACGTGCAATTGTCGAAAAACACAACCGTTATGCACTTTACCACCCGAGCGCAGAAGCTTTGTCTTCGTTCATCATGGATTTACCCTATAAAATCACTAACGGCCTGGTAACCAACGTTATTTTGTATTTTACAACCGGCCTACGCCGTGAACCAGGCCCGTTTTTCTTCTTTTTCCTCATATCCTTTACTATGACGCTTGCAATATCCACATTTTTCCGCTTCTTCGCCTCAGTAACGAAAACTGTCGATCAGGCGATGGCCCCTTCATCAATAATCATTATCGCCCTTGTTCTATACACTGGATTCTCAATTCCAGTCCAGTATATGAAAGGTTGGGCATCTTGGATCAGATGGGTTAATCCAATTAGTTACGGGTTTGAAAGCGTCATGATAAATGAGTTTCACGGCCAAAACTATCTGTGCTCCGCATATATTCCTTCCGGTCCAGTATATGATGCCGTGAATCCCGAACAGAGGACATGTGCATCGAAAGGATCTTTGCCGGGGCTCAATGTCGTCAGCGGAACGGCTTACATTCAGACAACTTTTGGGTTTCAGGAAAATCATAAATGGCGTAATTTTGGAATTCTAGTCGTGTTCGCCGTGGGGCTCATGGCTTGCCATCTTCTTACAACAGAGTTAGTGTCATCCGAGCGTTCGAAAGGTGAGGTTAAGGTATTCAAAAGAGGTAAAGTTCATAGTGCAAGAAAAAAATCAGAACGCGGGGATGAGGAGGCAGGTAAACCAATACCCTCACGTCGCCTAGGACATGACGACGGCAGCCGGACCCCCCCACCTCCCGGGAAGCAAAGTTCAATTTTTCATTGGGAGGATGTTTGCTACGAAGTCCAGATAAAAGGAGAAACCCGAGTCATTCTAGATCATGTTGACGGATGGATCAAGCCGGGAACACTGACAGCCTTGATGGTAAGAAAAATATATTGATGGGTCTACAAGCATCTTGTACTAACTTTCGGGCTTGTAGGGTGTATCTGGGGCGGGGAAAACGACTCTGTTGGATGTCCTTGCAAGTAGAACTACAACCGGCGTCATTTCCGGGAATATGTTCGTAGATGGACGTGATCGTGATGAATCTTTTCAGCGGAAAACTGGTTATGTGCAGCAACAAGACCTACACCTTCATTCATCAACAGTCCGAGAGGCACTAAAATTCAGCGCCTTATTGAGACAACCTCCGGGTTACTCCTACCAGGAAAAACTAGATTATGTGGATTACATTATCGATTTGTTAGGCATGGGCGACTACGCCGATGCAGTTGTTGGAATACCAGGATCTGGACTGAACGTTGAGGAGAGAAAGCGTTTGACTATCGGTGTAGAACTCGCCGCACGGCCAAAATTACTGTTGTTTTTGGACGAGCCGACGTCTGGGCTAGATAGCCAAACTTCGTGGTCGATCTGTAACCTGCTGGAAAGGCTGACGGAATCCGGACAAGCGATTTTATGCACTATACATCAGCCCTCTGCAATGCTCTTCCAACGATTCGACAGGCTATTACTACTAGCGAAAGGTGGTAAGACAGTTTATTTCGGTGAGGTAGGGAAGAACTCAAATACACTCCTTGACTACTTCGCTCGCAATGGTGGCGCCCTTTGCGCAAAAAATGCAAACCCTGCCGAGTATATGCTGGAGGTTATTGGTGCAGCTCCTGGTACGCATTCGGAGATTGATTGGCCATCAGTGTGGAAACTGAGCCCGGAGTATCGTGAGGTCAGACTGGAGCTAGCAAGACTTAGAGACCCCGCCGGCAGCCCATCTGCGGTTGCAGATGAAGTTATTTCTGGTGTCCAACAATTCGCTGCCCCTTTCACAGCGCAGCTCTTTCTGGTCTTGAAAAGAGTCTTCGAGCAGTATTGGAGAACTCCATCTTACATATATTCCAAAATGCTGTTAGCTGTCGGTTGTGTAAGTAGGGTCCAAATGTGGCATAAATTCTCGGATACACGTGCTGACTTAACCCACACTTCGGGGATGCAACAGTCTATGCTCATAGGATTTTCATTCTTTATGAGTGAAAATACTATGCAGGGCCTAAACAATCAAATGTTTGGTGTCTTTGCCTTTATTTTTGTTATTATTACTGTTATTATGCAAATAATACCAGTCTTCGTCACTCAAAGAACACTCTATGAAGCCCGAGAGCGACAATCGAGAACTTACAGCTGGCAAGCGTTCATCCTTTCAAATTTAATAGTTGAATTTGCATGGAATTCTGTAGGTGATCCTAAAAATCTCCAAGTGGGACAAATACTTACGGGGGATAGGCAACTGGAATTCTATGCTTTTTGGTCTGGTATTACCCTATGGGGCTTTACAGGAACGCGGAGTATACTGATGCAGTTCATGCACGAGGGACACTCGTGGTTCTTTTAATTTGGGTGATATTTATGTTCGCCAGTTCATTTGCGATTATGATGATTTCTGGAATCGAAAATCCTGAAGTGGCATCCGCCAATTCAAACGCACTATCTATAATGGTAGGAATCCTTCTCATTGGCTCGAAGATGTTGGCGATGCTAACCTCTAAAAGATGTATGCCTTCTGTGGTATTCTCGCAGGGCCAAAAACCCTTCCTGGGTTCTGGATTTTTATGTATCGTGTCAATCCTCTCACATATTTCACATCGAGCTTTATGGCCACGACGCTAGCAAATGCGCCGGTCCATTGTTCAGAGAACGAATACCAGGAGTTTAAGGCACCAGATGGATTGACTTGTGGCGAATATTTAGAACCATACTTATCCGAGGCTGGCGGCTACATCTTAGATCCCCTCGCCTCAGGTTTGGAAAGCTGCCGGTATTGTCAAATGGATGGGACAAACGCATTCTTAGTGGGTATCAACTCGGACTTTTCAGAAAGGTGGAGGAACTTCGGGATTGTGTGGGTTTATGTTATATTCAACACCGCTATTGCTATCCTCTTTTACTGGTTGTTTAGGGTTCCAAAGGGGAAGAAAACATAGAGAATAAGATCTGACCCAGATGGGTGTTCTGCAGTGCAAGATTGGGTACTCAGCATATTGTCACGATCCCATATTTGTTGCTTTTCTCTGGACATGTTCTGTCAGCAATATTTGGCAAAATTTTCAAAAATATAAATTTTTAGTCAGATTGATATTGTATAGCTACCTAGTCTCGTTCCTAAACGCCGGCTGGCCACAAGATAGCTACCATGGTTCTAAGGCCTAAATCGAAGTGCGAATTTAGAGTTTTTACGGACATGTAAGACATTATTGTACTTCCTTCAAACTTCCTCTCGAATATTGAACCATCTAAACAGCACTATCCACGTAGACCCCCCTCCTCCTGCTAAGTATGAGGATGCTCACGCAGTATAGAATAGTAGTAGCGTATGCCAAGTATGGTTTATATACAGGCCACTTCTCACTCGTCTGGTCGCTCTAATATTGAATTTGATAACAAAAACTAAAAAAAGGGGAAAGGAGGGAAAATAATATCTGTCTGGGGAATACCATCTAGTAAACCTCATCACTATCCACATTCCCCGCGAAACCGCTGAATTCACACATATAACCAAGAGCCCTAGCATCGACGTTTTGGTTCATCATTGCCCCGAACAAGATTTCCTTTTTAGATGCCATTCCGGCCAGAAACATGTTCTTAAGACAATCCGCCTCCGTATCTAGTAGATTTAATGATTCAATCGAGCCTAATAGACCATCGAAATTATAGCCATCTGCCGAAGTCAAAGAAAGGTTGCGAAGTACAGTCGCTCCTCGCTGAATGATGCGAGCGAAAGGTTGTCCATCGTCCTGATACGACGGCCCTCGACCATTTATAGGCCTCGCAACTTGTTGTTGGGTGCACAAAAAATATACCAAGCGAACAAGACTATGTGAAAAGCCGTCTTCTGACGACAGCCACGACAGCGCAAGGTGAGAATCTTCTTTGGCAGCAATTCCAGAGAGTATCTCTGCTGCAAGCATGCCTTGTTCTAGATAAGGCTTTCGGGCCTCGACTGCCTGAGGTAACATCATACGCACGTTGTCGGCCACGGGAATGGGGGATATAGCTAGAGCAAATGAACGTGTTAAAAGATCCCAAGGTCGTTCCGTGACTGGCTCCGAAGTAAAAAGCTCCTTGAAGTAACCCCGATTAGGATCATCCCGAACTAGAAGCTTCGCTAAGCTATCAACTGCCGGGGGCAAATAACGATGTATTGATGGGTGATAAGACGCAAACATGGGCAGAGGTCTTCCCGAGGAATATGGGCTCGGTTGTGGTGCAAATGATAGAATAAACCTCAAGAGCCCGAGTGCCTCCTGCTTCCCAGGTAGAATGATTGACTGCGAAAGGTTGGAGAGAAATATTATCATGTCCTTCATGAAGTCAAGCGTATTATTGTTTGACCGGAGCAGCAGCTTCGTTCGGCATATTACATCAATGATGCTAGCGACGAACTTTATGACACCTCTTTCTGCTAAAGGGTCATGGTTGGATTCGAAGAATGACAGGTTGCGGAAGATCGTTGTTATAGCAATAAGCCTGTCAGCGGCTCTATCCAGCTCGTACGAACAGCTCCCAACCTTTGGCACAGCGAGTAGAGTGTTTGCTTCTTGCCGACAGCCCCGAAGAACCTCTTCATAGGGCGGGAAAGAAGGCTCGATGTCCAGCACCACAACATTGTCCCTCAATAACGAGACTTCTGATTCCGCCACATCTACAAGGGTCTCTACCAGGTCTTCACAGCTTTTCAGGGACAAGGACCACTGTGACTCAACGGAGACTGTTACAAGAGTATCCAATGCCAACCTGATCTCTGCCTGTAGCCCTGACTTTAAACTCATAGTCAGAGCATGGACATCGATTATCCCTAGTTCGTTGAAGGTTGGGACGGTGGGGCGTAGGTGCACGATCTCTGCCCCAATGCCGCTCAAGACTGCAACATCAACGCCACCATGCGTATCCAGCCCGCGTACTTTTGGATTAAAGTGAAGGTTATGTTTCTCCCGAGTTGGAGCCCCAGCAGGCTGAGCGATATCGGGTGGCTGGGGTTGTCCTGCAGGGGCTGGTTGGAGTTGTTGGCTTTTGGTCGCAATTTGGGGGTGATTAAACTGGGTGGCACCCGATACGGTTGTGGGGGGGTATGCTGAATGGGTGGGAGCGGGTGGGATACTCTTATTCCCGGGTAAGCCGCCTTGGAACTGGGAATTTTGGTTCTGAAAGGCACCTGGTGAGGGCGTTTGAAAGTTGCTTGTACTGGTTTCCTGGGAAGGCTGTTTAGCTGGGCTTTGAGAAGTTCCTTGGGGCTGCTTTCCCATCCCTAAGTGTGGAACTGGATTTGCATTCAAAGCTTGCATTGGCAGATTATGTTGGGCCTGAGTACTTTTCCGGTATGCATCCTCAAACGGTGCCAAATTGTTCTGGTAGACTTGGGCTAATTGCTCGACAACACCGGAATGCAACTCTGTGTTCAGCTGTAAGCTCTGTGCGACAGAATGCCATTGATTTGTTGCTGTTATGCTCCGATGGCCGCCAAACCGTTGGACAAGTAAATACAGAGAAAACAAGTGGATTTGACGGTCTCCCAAGAGGACGGCGAGACTTGTAATAGGTGTGCCTCGTTTCTGCATAAAATCCTGCAGGGATCTCGCGAATTGATCAGGATTCGGGCCACCGCGTCCTGTTATTTTGGTATTCGGGTTTGGATGGGACCCAGGTAATGTCGAGACGGTGATATTTCTTCCATGGTGTTGTATCATTGGATTCTGCCCCTGTATTTGAGTTGACTGTTGCATCATTTTTTGCTGCTGTTGTCTCTGTATCTGATTGTACATCGCTTGGGCTCCCGGGTTAGGTTGGAAATTCTGGGGCATATTCATTGCCTGATTCATCCCATTCGGAGGCGAGAAAGCGCGCTGGCCTTGCATTGTGAAGCCAGAATTCGGTTGTGGCTGTTGAGGGAACCCGTGAGGAGTAACGCTACGAGTAACGCTGTGCTCAGAGGTTGGGGATCCTTGTTGAATGAACATGTGCTGTTGGTTAGCTGGTGAGAATGGACTCGGGGATTGAGTAGCCATCCGCTTAGGCGGAGGAGGCTGACCGGGGCCAGCAACGCTACTCGAATTCGGTGTTTTGTAAACTTGGCTCTGCATGATAGGTGATGGCGTACCATTATTCGGAGCACCTTGGCTGAGCTGTGGAATAAAAGAAGGGGTTGCACTAAGAGGCCTCTGAGGTACATTTGGGTTTCCAGCTCCGTAAAGATGATACACCTGGTTGCTGGGAACTTGTCCGACGCCGCTCTGTGGGGTTTGAGAACGAGAACCCGGCAAAACACCTGGAGTTTGACGTGGTGATAAATTGACAGAATCCTCGCGCGGTCGCGCTCTCTTGAGAGGAACCACTGAATTCACATGATAAGATGGAGCCTGGAACCCTGGCGATGGGTGTCGAGAGTTCCCATTGTGCATCAGCGACGCGTGCGGCGACTGTTGGGTGATGGGAGAATGCTGCATATGCTGGTTTTGCTGGTTCTGGCCCTGCTGGCCCTGCTGGTTTTGCTGGCCCTGCTGAAATTGCATTGGATCCATCGAAGATGGCATCATCATATTATTAGAAGCATCCATCTCGACAGGTGTCCGAATAGAGGTCGACGCGTCCGGGTCTGAAACTTCTTCTGGTTGCGTAGGCCAAGTCTGTTCGCACAAAGGTTTTATCAAGCAGCGAACCTCCTCCGCCCTTCGTAGCGAGGCAGGAATAGTGCAACTAGATTAGAATATCGTTGAGGTACATATAGAACAGCAGGGTTCCTCGTTCGTGTCTATGTACTGTGTATTCAGGATGTTCGATTCTTGGGGTGGATGGAGTGAAATGAAATGTAGTTAGTCGATTAGTCTAGCGAGCAACAAGGGAGGTCGAGATTTCGGGTGCCGGACACTGTGTAAACAAACCTCCGACGACCACGCCCCAAAATAACAACGTCACCAACCCACGAACCTGCACAATCAACAGCTATGTCACAAGATTTACCCCCTACCGGAGGATACGGTCCCATTCAATATCGGGTACAGTCAGGCCCCTTTCTTAAACTAAACGGATTGCTAATTCATGCCTCAAATAGCGAAACCTTCCCCCGCGTGGATTTCGTCCCTCCTTTTACATTTTTGCCACGCTTGCGATATGCTCTTGGGGTTTCTATAGAGTCATCGACGGCAATCAAGAGAAGCGGTATGCACTTCCATCGCATAGGAGCTACACCCTATGGCGTTGCTCCATGTTGTCGGGACTAGAAAATTAATTTTCAAATGCTGCTATCCACAGTGAATTGCTACGTGAGAAACGATGGGCTCGCATTCATCTAACGCCAGTACTACAAGCGGAAGAGGATCGGGATATGGTCCGAAGAGTTTGGGCAGGCGAGCGCCGAGAAGAGCTGCTAATGCAGGACGTGAAAGATTGGAAGTTCGGCAGTGTCTACAATTCCAACAGGTACCAGCTCGATTTGAAACTCTTGAATTCGGTCCATGCTCCCTAAATTTAACGCTGTCCTCTTCTTCCGATCACAGATTCGTGCGACCTACATTCGTGCCAACCCCCTCCCAAGTTACCGCCGGTCGGCCTCCTCACGTTGTTCGCGAAACCGGTGATAATTAAGAGTGAAGCCCACCCGATTTAACAAATCCTGGCCCCGAATATAGATAGCCTCGACGTTGGTTAGCTTGTTATGCATCTCAGCATTTTCCTAAAATAAAAAAATCCGTAAAATACTCGGGCTTTAAATCTAACTTGATCTTCAATCGATTAGATATAAATCACAGAGCTGAGCATAGCAAGGCCAGTCTCTAAAATAGCTAAACGCTACACGATAAATAATAACATTTCCCGTTTCCTAGAATCACACAGAAGAAGATAGGGACAGGTAAAATGCTAAAGGCTTTCCTATCCAGGAAATAAAAAGTGAAGCTATGCCACCGATACGCTATAAGAATAACTACTCCAATAACACCGAACGTTATAGGGAACAAGCCAAGGCATTCGCCGAAAAACATGCCGCCAAATCTAAATAATGTTACACCCCACGTTTTTAACAACATCAAAATAAGTATCGTCCTCAAATGTTTGTAAAAACCGCTTGACACCCGTCGCTTTGAAAGTTTGGCTGCCACCCGAGTGCCACCATTTCAGAATCTGGGTTTCGGTGTCATATGCCCACTTCCCGTCTGAAATTACCACATCAAGTTTGTCCCTAGGGAAATGATACAATGGGATGAAGATCTCAGATGGTGATAACTCCGCTGTTGCGATCGCGTTGACCGCTAGAGAGAACACCGATTGTGCCAAATTGAAAGAGTATGCGGTAGTGACACCGGAGATTTTGATAGGAGCTGGCCGGATGAAAGCATCTGCCGCCCTAGTTCCTGTAGATGTACCAATCGAGGTAGAGGAACGTTCAATGGACATCGGTGTATTTGATAGAGTCCTTTTGATGGAATTTGAGTCGATCGTATTGGACGCATCCCTCGGGCTATCATGGTAAGGTTCTAGAAGAGGCCTTCCAGGATCATCTCTTTCCGGCGCGGTATCATCTCTGCCGTAGATACTCAAATCTTCTCCATTCCATTGATCGCCCCATTCATGATTGTTCTATCAACCAGCCCAGCCAGTAAGTGAATGACCGCACCATGACGATAGAAGAAGAAAAACTTACGAGGGCACAATAGTTCCACCAGGTATACGAGGCCAATGAACCTTCCAGTGCGAAATGGTTGGCATCTGAAGCTCGGGTCTGGGAAGTATAATCACCAGTCTTGTACGCATATTTGTCGTCCATATCATAAGGTATCCCAATCTCTGAAAACAAACAAGGCGTCGATCCTATATTATCGAGACCTTCTTGTTTCATGGCAGTGAGTTGTTCCTTCATCGAATTCCTAATAGCTGTCTCGCCGAGTTTAACTGCAAAAGCTGGAGATAAATAACGACCACGTAAGACACCGAGGACATCGACATTGAAAAATCTATTCCTATAAGGTGTAAGCAACCGCCCGAGTATCTTTTGGTAGTTTAAAGGGCATAGAATTACCATTTCTTGGACATCAAGGTGAGCCCATCGTAGTAATGAGGGGCGTAGACTATCCGACCTAGCCCTTTCGTGGCTTCGTCCAGTACCGGGGGTACTACCCAAACCGGAGGTTGGAGTAGTAGTAGTGAGTTTTGATGCATACTCCGAACGCCATGAGCCCAGCGCTTCCAATGATCCATAAAATACGTGTTGCAAAAGACCCCAGCATCGATAACATGCCCAGCAGGTGTTTTGCTAAAATAGTCCGGGCGCAATAGCTCATCCGTTTCTGGGCTCCAAACGCCATGCTGGGCCCAAATGCATTCACCTAGTCTCCACCCCGGGTCTCTTTTCCAACCATACTCTGTATCCGGGTAGTCCGCACCAAGCCACGCAGAGGTTCCCTTCGGGTCCACGAGAATTTTCCCGGTCCGGTATGAGCCCATTGACCCAAGTTCCCAAGTCTCAATTTCACAAGCCCTGCCACTAGCCGTTAAGATCGCTTGCCACGCTGTTGGCGATGTGCCCTTTTGGAGTTGTTGGTCGACTGGGATCTTGGTTAAATCCTGGTACCCAACGAGCCCGTGATTCGGTTCGTTAAAAGACTCCCACCCAATAACAGTTATATCCTCTAGATCACCCGCCTCTTTGATTCTTCGGGCAAGGTGAACGCTGGCATTGATATAGTGGGATTGAAGATAGTCCTGTATGTTCTGCCCATTTATAATAGCCTTGGGGGCGAAATCACAACCCGCAAAGAACAGAGTAAACATAACTTGGCAGACCATCCGGGTATAATTCGTCGCCCATATCATCTTTGGAAACTCGACGGGGTTTCTGTATGTATTGTGAACAAGCGCCGCTTCCGTTACATCGAATGCTCTTGGGTTGAGCCCCGCAGCATATAATGTCCACATAGGCGCCCCAGAACCCCCAGAAAAGCGCGACCACTAGACAACCATAAGGTTTTAATTATTTACCGCAGTCGAGACCTCTAGGAACTACTTACTACGTCCTGGTGCGGGTCTAAAAACACGTAGAATCCATACTGTTTAGCCTTTCGCAAAACCTCGACAGTGAAATTGATGTACTCTTCATCATAGACACCGCTACGGAAGAAATTAGTAAAGCTGGGCCTGCGTTTTATGGTACATCGGGGAACATACGGTCCTCTTGCCTCCAAAGCTTCCCACGTGTACAAGTATCTCAGGGTGTTATAACCCCAATTCCTCAGGCGCCGAAAATGTATGTCAGCATCCTCAAGCGAAAATGGTCGACCAACGAATGATACATTATCACCATCAAAGAACTTATCGGAAACATGCGAAGGTATCTCCGGCGTTTTGGGGAATTTTGTGTCGGCGGCAAGGTTTATTCCTCTAAGTAAGATCTCGCGTCCATGCCGATCTGTGAATCTAGTACCCTCAACAGTTAAACTCACAGGCATGGTGATGGTAGGTACTACAGCTCAAGAGGGAATGCTGGATCAATATAAGTTGGTATGGTAAGGAAGCCGATAGCTTAAGCTGGTATACACTGTGACCAAGGAAGATATTGAGAAATACCTTACTCGTTGTCTACGATGTTATCGGGCTGATGGGCAAGATGCCAAGTACAGCTCGGTAAAGTCTTGGCAAGACCCACACACGAGAAGGCATGTGTTCAGCATTAAACCCGATTGTACCCGAGCCCAGTATAATCTCAGTTAATTTAGGGAAACCCAGGCGCTCTCTTATGAACTAACCTTCTAATTTAACGCCAAAAGATGAAAGTTCAATCAGGGTCGCTCACTTATGGGCAGAAGGTCAGTCTAGGAGTCGCTCCAAACAGAAGCTATCATGTACAACAAACGCCACCGCGTTCTAGAAACCCTCCTAAACAAATGGCTTTTTGTTCTACTAGCATAGCTTACATCATTTGGTGGCCTAAGAGAGGAACGGATGTATTGGCATCTAGGTAGCTTCGGTGACCTTTGGTTAGGTACCGTACCTACCCCAATTATCTGGTTACAGGGCTGGGAACTTTTAAAGCTCACCCAAGGCTCTAAATCATACAACGTATCCTTGTAGGACATGGAGGCAAAACCATGTAGTATTTCCTGGTCACCAAAACCCTTGATGCATAGTACCTGTCGCATCCAGAAAACCACATACTATGAGAAGTGCAGCACAACGAAGTCATGCCCCAGCATTTTACCGGTAAAATTCAAATCTAGTGCAACATTAGCCAGGCGTGAATCGACAATTTGAACATTATTAAGAAGATAGTACTTGTCTGCTTCAGTTCCTCCTTTGACTTGGCTCGAATAAGCATCATCGAGATCGGCTTGTATGATATTGTATCGGTTTTTCCGAACCGCCCGGCTAAGCGTTAGGTTAGTTGCCATAATATAGCACGATTTCAGTCACAACTTACAGCCCCGCCTCTTGCATGATAGCCGCGATTACAGCACCCGAAAGTGGATCATTTCGTACTATCAGTGAGTCTAAGTCACATTCGGGGGATAATGACATTTTTGCGGCAATGGTTGTAAAAATGAGACGTCGCTCACGTCGATCTTTCAGATTGGGAAATTCAATTTTCCTATCAAGACGCCCAGGGCGCAATAGGGCAGGATCCAGCGTATCGGCACGATTCGTAGCCATTATGACTTTGACGTTAGCAGTTTGGTCAAAGCCATCCATCTGGTTTAGAAGCTCTAGAAGAATACGTTGAACTTCTCTATCCGCCCCAGTTTGTGCGTCAAATCTTTTCGTAGCAATAGCATCAATCTCATCGATGAAAATTATAGCCGGGGAGTTTTCCCTTGCCATTCTAAAAACATCACGAACCATGCGTGGACCTTCTCCGAGGTACTTCTGCACGAACTCAGACCCGACGACGCGAATGAAGCTTGCTGTTGTGCTGTTTGCAACCGCTTTGACCTAAGGAGCGGGTTAAACCACAACTAAAGAGTGAGTGACGAGGGCCGGTACTCACAAGCATTGTTTTTCCCGTCCCCGGGGGTCCATAGAGTAGAACCCCACGAGGGGGGTCAATGCCAATCTGTTTATAAAGATCAAAATGTGTAAGGGGGAGCTCGACCGCTTCTCTGATCTCTTGTTTCTGCATATCCAATCCGCCAACATCTGCATATGTAACATCCGGCTTTTCATCCTGCCCAAGCATCGCTATCGATGAGTCGGCTTCTGGGGGGAGGATGTCGACCAAGGCGTTCGAATGACGATGTAACGCGACGGAAGAAGATGGTTTCAGGAGCTCACGGTCGAGAGTCGATAGTATTCGAACAACATAATTAGATCCGGTGGAACTTTGCACAATCCCAGTGCTTTGGCATGTCAGTATGTAGCAAGAGAAGGTGTGAGAGGGGGAAGTTATCAAACTTTTGATCTATCGCCTCCATAAACTGTCCTATCACCAGTGGCACTGATTGGATGCGTTTGATCTCCTCCTGAGCTCTTACAAGTTCTCGTTTCAGACTCCTAATTTTGTACCGTTCAGTAACCCGTATCATCTGCTCGCCATAAAAAGGGAGACCTACCTTTGCTCGTCTTTGATGTATTCTTCTTGAAGTTGAATATACCTTGTAATGAAGATTAGAACCACGATGGACACGCTAATAGCCAGCTGCCAAAGAACATACTCTAAGTGACGTTGCAGCTTCTTCAAAGTCGCATATTCGTTGTCTTCAGCAAGCGTATCGAATACCGAGGCATCGCTAAAGGAAGAAGGAGCCTGCTTCTGCTTCTTGTTCCCCAAAAGATGAGGGTGATTCGATGGGTTTCCGACAGTTGCGCTCGCCATTATAAAAGGTTGAGAGTTTCAGGAAGGGGTGGTTCGTGAGGTTAGTAGAGGTTGGGAGTGTCAGAAGTTAGGTTTAGAGGTGTATGGTCTTGTATTGGACGTGCCAAGAAACGTAATTGGCGGAAACAGAACGACGCTAGATGCCGAATATACCAGACACCAAAACTAAATAGAACAAACAAGCAGGGTCTGGAGATACAAACCCAATCCACGAATGTGTGATAATAATAAGTTGGAACTACATATCAATAAGAAAAATGGAGTTGATGATCTTGACGGAATGAAATTCCAGTAAATTTATATAAACTTCCAATTACATATATATGTAGCTTTTGCAGAAATTTGACATACTAGGGTAGGAATGGGCTGTTTGAAGCTGTTTGAGACCTTAGTAAGTCCAAATTGTGTAATAGACTTCCCAAAAATAGAAACAATATATATACACACGCAAACTAGCACAACATCGCAATCCACTAACTCATATATGTACTGTTAGGATTACAATACAAAAATACAAAAAACGACCTTCGAACAGAACAACCCCCCCATAACTTTTGAACAAAATATCCAAAAACAATAAAAATCAGATAAATCAAAAAAGTAAAAAAAATAAAATCAAAATATCCAAAAAAATAAATTGTAATAAAAATTGATAAATAATAAACAAAAAAACAAAAAACAAATAATTTTGTGATTGTCTACCACACAAAAACGAATTTCTTGTTAAAAATCAAATTAAAATTAAAATAGTTTAATTTAATAATAATAGATAATATATCTATTAGTTCGTTTTTAGATGAATTAGTAATAGTAATTTAAGATTATATCTATTTACCCAAAAACAATAACAACAAAAAAAGATAAAAATGATAAATTTTAGTAAATTTTAACAAAAAAGAATTAAATAAAAAAATTTTAATTTT